GTGGGAAGTCATGCCTTGGATGATCGTGCCGACGATGATGAGAATGCTGCCGATGAACATGCCGAAGCGTCGTCCCCACTGATCAATGCCAGGTCCGACGAAGGGCAGAGCGGAGACACCGCCAATCTGATACATGGAGCTGATCAGACCGGCCCAGATACCCTTGTTTTCTCCGTTGAAGTGCTTGAGGAAGTACTCCTTGTTGTTGAGCAGGCCGCCGAACATCATAGTGTCGTAGCCGTTCATGGTCTGGCAGAAGAAGCCGATGAGAAGGCATGCGAACAGCTGCAATGTGCGGGGGTGTGTGAGCGGCACGGCTTCTTGGAGCAGAGCCTCGTTGAAGGCTTCGCTGCCTTTGAGTTCTTTGACCTCGACGACCTGCCCGAGGGAAGAACGTGTCAGTCCCCAGTCTCGACGAGTTGGGAAGGGTGCTGCTGACTTACATCCTTGGTCTTGTCGATCGAGCCCAGCTGCTCAACAATCTGTGTCTCGGCTACCTTCTCAGCCATCTTGTGCTCTGGGTCGTCGTTGGCACTAAAGAGTCGGTGAGGTGTTGACTGTCTGGGTTGACAATGGAATGATGGTGGAAAGGAGGGAGCTGGAGGCGTATTTAATCTATTTCATGGAGGCCTTCCAGATGACAGCGGAGCTCCATACTGAGCCGACCACCGTTCCTAGCTTGGCCTGGGGTATACAATTGTGATCAGACCATAGCTCGTGTCTAGTCTTGGGTAGAAAACGCCTCCCGACGTGGAGCCGATGAAGGGAGGGTGATGTGAGATGGGCCAATGGTTTGTCAGTCAGCTGCTTCAATCAGCCTCGAACGCTCGGGCCCAGAAATCCTAGCCGACTTGAATCCGGGGCATGAGATTATTTTCCCTTGACCTGCACATGCGGAGTGTCCATACGGGGTTTCCAAAGGGATGTTGTGGTGGATGGAGCCTCGCTGCAGGGCACCCATTCGTTCTCCCCCCTTCTGACAGGGAATGCGGGCTGGGTCACGAGCGCCATGGCTTCGCTTAGCTTCTCCTTCTTTACCAAATGCTGACTGACATTCGGAAGGTAATGGGAGACCCCAATATCCGGGAAAGAAGCTTGGTCAACCGCTCAAGGCCGAGGACAAACCTTGGGAGCTTCACATTGGCCAGCTTCCAAAGCCTTGCAGCTGTGCGGCGGCCCGGGTAGAAGAAAGTCATGATACTGTTGCCACCGAGGTTCAAGCGACAGTTGGCTGTCATTTGCGTGCTACGCATTGAGTTCCAACCTGGCGTTCCTTACTTCGGGTTGGCGACTTGGCCGCAGTGGTGATTCGCCGTTTGGGCCATCGAGGTGAGACGAAAGCAGGGCCGCTCGATATGCGCTTGTTCCTTCGCGTGCTAGTCGAATCCGGGGCCAAGAGACCACGGGTCGAAATCTGATATCCTCCTGACTAACTGCGCAGACCTTGATTGGTGGGCCATGGAAATGGATGCAGATGAAGCGAATGAAGGGCATGCTCGCCCTTCCTCCGAACATTAAGCGGCAGACAGACTTCGCAGCGACGCGAATTGACGGGGACCAACCTCCCCCAGTCATTCCTCTCCTCCAAAACATCGGCTCGACCCAGCGCTGCTGTTTTTAGTCTAAACCGTCACGACTATGCTATGTAGCTTGAGTTTAGCTTCGAGCATATCACATTCTTCATGTAGTGTACCCAGTAAAGCTCCGACCGGCGCAAGGAGCACCTCCGCACGGCCCGTAACCAAGCGCCGAGGCAAGGTTGATCTTCGGTTGCGTTAAGCCAATATCACGGATGCCCGTCAGCCGGGAAACCAGTGTTCCAAGGCACGGAATATTCCTTGGGCGTTCCACCAAGCCATCGAGCTATCACAGCATCCCCAGATTGATCATAGGCGATAGTCTCAACGTCCTGCGAGTCCTTTCCCATTTTACAACGTGACTTTGGCTAATCCTCGGCGTTTGCCCTCGTTGCTGTCGCAAATATGGCGTAAGTAGATTGACAACTCCTGACCTCAGCCTTGTTTGGTCATGTTGGCATTCGACATATTCTAAACGAAGGCACACCAGCCTCCAGAGGTTGATTCTGACCCTCGACTAATGTCGTGGCGTCGTCCACCGATCCTCCCTTTGCAGTTTGGGCCAGTTTCCAGCACCTGCCTGTCATCAGAAGTGGTCCATGACCCGGCTCCGGAATGAATACCCTCAGAGGGTAGATGACTGCGATTGCCAGATCGAAGGAGCTATGGCGATGCCATCTTGTGAGACGCATCGAATCATGGCTCAACAACTGAATGTGGAGTCTCAAAGTGGCTGCGGTAGCCGCTTGATCGAGAGCACTGAAGCGTGGGTACTGTGCTTGCTGCACTGCAGAGAATCCATTCTGCTGCAATTTTAAGTTGTTCCATTGACCCTTTACTGGTGGAAATGTGTTTCTGGGCCTCAGAACGACCAGCCTAACTCCACAACAAGACGCCCACCCGTCTGGCAATCAGAAGGGGCCAGCCACGCGAACTGACCGAAGTACGGAGTACTAGGCCCCGGGTCTCGACACCACTGAGGGACTCCGTGATCTCAGTCTGTGCTGATCTTTGACTTGTTGGGCAAGGACGGCCTGTGTTTGCATCGGTTGCGGCCTTGTCCAAAGTCTTCCTGCCGCCCAACTGACCAGTCTCGATTGTTCTGGAGTGGCAATCGCCTCAGAGCTCGCTTTGTGCTGGCCAGCATCAGAAGAATACCACCGACACGCCACTAGCAGGGGGCGTCAAGCGAGCACGGAGAACTAGCCCACGAGAGTGATCCCCGAGGATGCATGGAACTGTCTCCTGATCTGCAGCATGTGCTTGTTGAGCAGTGAGATCTGGACCAGCTGGGCAGTCTTCTCAGGCTGGCGTCCTGGCTCTTGGCGATCTGGAACGTGTCGTCCTCCAGCACACCATCACTCGAGCAGCCAATATGGGGTCGTGACTCTATACTCAGCAGGGTCGGATGACGATCATCCTGAGACCCCCATTTGCGGCGCAGCCGAACGCCGTGTCTAGACCCCAATCTGTATGGAGGAGACGGTGTGCTCAACACTGCAATAGATGCGGCTCCGTCCTCTTGCTGGGCCGGCTTGCAGGGTCCCTCGGTAAACTTCGATATCCGGTCACCTCCTGCATGGCGATCGCCACTGGCGCCTTGGAGAAGGTCGCTGCTGTATGTCAACGGGACAGTCGTGCGTTTTTCAAGATCCACTCATGACTTGGACCGATGGGGTGCCCCGGCCTAAGAGTGTCACATGAGACGCAGTATCTCAGCTGGACTTGTGCTGCTGATCTTGTTCCAGAAGCTCTTCAATTGTCTGCGCTGTTATTGCATGCTAGCATTCCTTTCTGCGAGCCGTTCTCGCCCACCCCAGAGGCTAGAACGTCCTCGGTACAGTTAGCCAGGTTCGCAAATACTTCACGATGTCGCCGGAAACGAAATGCGATCGAGAGGAGAAGCTCGAAAGGGCTGCTATCTTCGCCTGGGTACCTGCCTCCGAACGGAACGGAACATGGAAATGAGACATTGCCTCGGTGGAAACGATTGTCTCCGCCAGGTGAAGTGCTTTGCAGATTGGCAGGCGCTACCGCCCAACTGCACAGAGCCACCCCGCTAGTCATGCCGCCTTACGGGGGGCCGATGAATACTTGAGACTTTCAGGACGTTGTCGATGTTTTATACGAATGCAGACATCATCGACGAGCGTCGTGGCAAGCAGGTGAAGGAGCAATGAAAAATACCCAAACCAGTTGTGACCCAGCGTCTGCTGAATGGCCGGAGAACACCACTTTGTCTTGCGCGCCCTGGGAGAAGATAGCACGAACCATCGACGAGCAGGTTGTAATCTGTGCGTGGGATACCTGAACACCAGAGAAGATGGATTGAAGAGTGATTCAAAATCTCAACCCGTGATAGCGACTCCGACGACTTTTCCCACGCCACATAATGACACGGTACGCGTCGCTACCGACACCTGGCGTTGGGATCCTGCCGGTTAATTTACCATGCTGAGGCGAGTCGTGGTGGCGCACTGGCCTGCAGTTGTGGTTGGATTGCGTGGGGGGTTAATGATGCTTGTCTGATGCCCTTCATTTTGAACCCGCTGTGTGATCATGTCGCAGCCCCTGTCAGACGGCGCGTGGGACGTCTTCTGTGCCTCAAGGCAGTCTCGAGCTCATTATCGGTATCACCTAAGGCACTGAAGTGGGAAGCTATCAGCCAGTGCAAGCGACGCATCCATCGGCTGCTCAAACGGTGGCTGAGCCGAGGAATGTCCTGCTTCCGAGTCACCTTGCTGCCCAGAGGGAGAGGCGGATATGCAAAGCACAAGAAGTAGTGGAACAGCTTGAGATCGTGGAGAGTGAACCATTTCGAAACCGAGGACATCATGACAACAGGTGGTAATGAGAAAGCTTGGCCTCCGGAGGACTCCCTTCTGCACGTCTCCTCGAGTCGACCATTGCTGGATACTGACACAATTTTCTATCGGACAGGGAACACCAATGTCGATAACGGGGCCTTTCCTCTGAGCATTTGACGTGGCCCTTCTTACATGCGAAGCAACCTGCCCGAGACTTTTTATGCGAGCGCCGGGAACAAAGAATAGCCTAGAGTTGGGTTGATGAGCAGAACGGAGAACTCAACTTGGCCGAGCAGACGTCTTCTGGAAGAGTCAAGCACCGTTGATGAGGACGTGGTCATATCGTCGATAATTAGCCTATATAGGTACGACTTGGTTTACGACACGGATACGGCGTTCCATTTTCGGCGCTCAGCTCCACCATTAACGTCATTGGGCCAATGACGTCGCTCACGTTCACTCTGCGTTCACATTGCGTTGACCTTGACTTCACAACCGTGCTCGCGTGTTTGCTTGTCTCCGGGCAGCAGGTATTCATGTATGCATGCTTCGAGCAATTACACTTACAGGCCTTATCCTCTGCAGAAGAAGATTCACGTCCCGCACGTTTGTGACCATGAGTTGGATGGACTCGTGGTCAAGGCCGGGCAAACATGCCGCCGTGCCTCCTCCGTTCTATCTGACTCAGGGCGACGATGTGCCCTACTGCCGAACTTGCGGTAGAGTTATAAGTAAGTTGATTTGTCAAACCTGGTTTTCACCACAGATTGTTGACGAATATCCGAGGCGCTCGCAAACAGCATCACCAAAAGACAACCAACACCATCAAATACTGCTCAGATCGATGTCGGAATCGTAAGCCTGGGCCCCTGGATAAGAGGATAGAGAGGACGATAGTGGCGCTTCTCAATGCTGAGCCTGCCCAGCAAACCACTGGTGCAGCCAAACCAAAGGCAACAAAGGGTGACCGTCGGATCATCGTAACGTGCGAGGAGATCGAGGAGGCCGTGTTTGGCAGTCGACACGACCCGACCAAGACGTTTGGACGAAAGAAGAACCGAGCAAGTCGAGCCTTGGGTGACGATCAGGATGGCGAATGGAAGAGCGTGGACATGGAGGACGACCAGGATCATGATACCAGCTCCGACCAGGATTTGTCTGGAGCAAAGGACACACATCACCGAGGAGTGCGTCCGCTGGTACGGCCATCGCAGTGGGCATCTGACGTCAATGGCAGTGTTGGAGGGGAGAAGGGCTGGGCTGAACGACAATCCGAGACTGCTGAGGAGCTTGAAAAGCGGATGGAGGGTCAGCAGCGTGCTGAACAGCGTGAGATGGTCCGAAGGGCGGCTAGAAGAGGCGTCGTTTTTGGGTTTGCAGTAGACTCTTCCGAGCAGGATCGTCAGGGTCAACATGCCACAGCAGCAACCACAGTAGAAGGGCGAAATGATGGCTCAGAATCGGAGACACGGCGGAAGTGCGAAGCCCTCATGAATGGCTCGGTAGTCGAACCCAGTTTCGCCAAGGGCAATTGGGCCATCCGGTGGAGGGAATAGCCTGGACTGCAGTTCTGAGGTAGAGGGAATAGCCGCCATGGCGGCAAGGAGGATGTAAGAACGAGACGTGCAGGTTCTTTCTACGAGCAAGTCTGCGAGTACAGGGGAGTGACAGGACTGAAGCTCCGTGCTCCGCTTGGCCACTCGGACCTGTCGATCAGGCCCTCCACTGCCAAGGGGACACGAGTCACATCACCCTACTACGCAGAGCATACATGCATCTACATTATGAACATGAGCCACGGCCATCCTAGGATACCGATCACTCTTGATAGGATTCTTCTTCACGATGTCTGCATCTACATATTGACGTGAGCCATGCCCATCTTAGGATACCGATCGCCCTTGATGGGGTTCTTCTTCAAAATGTCCGCAATCTCCTTCATCTCCTCGTCCGACAGCTCCACGTGCTTCGTGTTCTCGACCACCCGCTCCGGCCTGGTGGCGCCGGGAATGGGGATGATAGTCCCCAGCGTGAGCTGCTGCCCGTCCTCCGTAGTGATGCTGCGTCCACTGAGGGCCCGGACCCAGGCGATGGCGATCTGAGCCTTGGTCACGCCCTTTTTCTTTGCCAGCTTTTCCACCTCGTCCACGATCTGGTTGTTATACTCGAGCACATCGTCCTGGAACCGGGGCGAGATCTTGCGGAAATCCCCCTCCGGGATATCGGCGTTTCGTCTGATGGTTTCACCGGCCAGCGCACCGCGGCTGAGCGGACTATACGCGACGATCGGTATGTTGAGCCGCGCGCACGTGGCCGCCACACCATTGCGCAAGACATCCGTCGTCCAAAGCGAGACTTCGACCTCGACGGCGGCGATGGGATGGATCGCGTGAGCCCGCTCGATGGTCGACGCCTTGACCTCCGACAGGCCGATGGCGCCGATCTTGCCCTCCTTGACGAGCTCGGCGAGCGTGCCGATCGTCTCCTCCAGCGGCACGTCGTGGTCGAGGCGCGCGCACTCGAAAATGTCGATGCTCTTGGTCCCGTCCAGGATCGCCAGGCAGTCGTCGACGCTGCGGCGCACGTTCTTGGCCGAGCCGTCCGGTTTCATCGACCCCGGGAGCGTGCCGCCTTTGATGCTGAGGACCACCTTGTCCGCGTCGTCGGGGTGGAGCTTGAAGTACTCGTTGAGCAGGTGGCACGAGTGGCGCGACGGCGGGCCGTACAGTTCGCCGCCGTTCCAGAAGTTGGAGCCCTGCGCCAGTGCCGTCTCCATGGCCTTGAAGCTGGCCTCGGCTGGTTGCGGGTTGGGCCGCCATGTCAGGCCCATGAGGCCGTAGCCGATGGGGCCGACGGGCTTGCCGACGAGCTTGACGTTGGCGGACATGCTGGAGAATTTGCTCGGCGTACTTGGAGTGAGCGTTATCGAGGAATACGCTTTTCCTCCTGCGAGGTCGAGAGCCTCGAGTGGATGACACAGAGTTCTGGGATATATATCGTCCTGTCCAGACTGGACCCGGTCCAGAATTTCACCGCACCGATACACTGTACGCGTGTCAGTAACTAGATCCCCCCAGGACGAAAATGCCCCGCCGTAACTCTTACGACTACGATGGCAAAGATGGTGATGTAAAGCAGCCGCCGCAAGGGTGGAGACTCGTGCGATTCGGCAGTTATTTACGAGCTTGTTTCTTTTGGGCTGTACGAGGACATACCTGTACCGCGTAGGTAGCAGACGTGCAGACAGTGTAGGGCTAAGTACCAGGAAGTACAAAGTATGTACGACTACGAGGTAAGGAGGTCGCTATCAATGATGATCGAATCGCAAGTCAAGCCGATAGGCATGCGAGGCATGGAGCGGGCACTGGCAGCAAAACATAGATCCACCCAATGAGAACGCACACGTCCACGCTGTAAAAAGGAATAGACGAGACTGGTTGATCGGGTGCGTGGGCGTTCGACACGATCTCCAACCTCCGGGTCTCCGGGGTACTGTAACGGTGCTTGGAAACCTGACTCGATCATTCTTATGCCATGCTTATTACTCGACGCTTGACGGTCGAGTCTCTTTGAAGGTCCCCCTTAGTTGTCGACACTTGGTTGGAAAAGGGTAAAATTTCCGCACGCCGAGGTCGTTACGTTCATTGTCCGTACAGTACGAGGAACGACGGGGTCTTAAGGCCGGACTGTGCATATGCATGTGCATAGGATTCGGTGTAGGAGTAGGTGCAACTGCAGGAGGCCAGGTACTCTTTATTTGGACCCAATGGCAAGTCTCGAAGAGGTATTGGATCGTGTCTCGCGTTCTCGGCGTCTTACTGTAGCTGGCCAAGCACAAAGGTAAAGGTCCAGCTACAAAGTACAGCAAGAAACCGTCGGGTGATAGATTCGGCCATAAACAAGGGGATATCATCATAATGTGCCTCGAGACAGTCTGTATGTATTTATTCAAAAAAAGCCAAGTCCACTTCCGCTGGCCAGCGACTCTGTTGTACCATGCCACGTTCATCTCAATGTACAGGTGAAATCGTCAAGTTCGCCTATATTCTTCAATCCGGGAGCCAAAAATGTGGGAGATGGACTCTCCTCGTCCAGAAAAGCAAGAACGCACTGCACTGTTGGAAACACTTTTGCTTGCCCTCGATGGTCCATCCCCTTCTCAAGCCCAAAAACCAATCGCAATCCCACGACCGTGCCTGCCTGCTCAGAATACCACGCTCTTGTTACAGGGTTTCATCGTCTTCTAGCGACGCCTTTGTGCATTTCGATCGTGTCATCGTCGACATAAGGGAAAACAAGTGCGCCTGCCACATTCGCTCGCACCCTCCACGTCAGCTGGTATATGCACCATGCGGCCACCATGGCACGTTCGCCAAGAGCAAAAGGCGCGATGCTCGATTCGAAGAACTCCAGACTTCCTTGCTTTCATGCTTATACCACTGTGTCTCGCCAGCCGCCGGTTTGCAATGCTGAAAATAAGAAAAGACGTCATTCTGACGAAGAAGGGTATCACTGATGATCTGGTGTTGTCACAGCAAATGGCTGCCAAGGCCCGAAATTCAGGGTAAAAAGTCGTCGAGTCACTCAAATTGGTCGTTTTGCGCATCGGTAACAGTGTCGCTCAGGTTGATGAGAAGTTGGGCCAGACATCGCTTGGTGGCTGCATCGTCCCTGAGGACGTTGGAAAACGTTGCATCTCGAAGTGGTTCTGGGAGGCACTGGCGCAGCGCTTGACGAGCTCTATTATTATCGCTAAGTCTGGAGACCATGTCAGTGGACAGTCCCGGGCAAAACTGAGCGACATACCTCAGGAAGCATCTAACGACGTGTTTCAGCAGCCGGACAGTCTGAGTCTCGACCAGACCAATGACCATGTTGCTCAAGACGGTGCCCACGGCATAGAACCGCTCGTACGTGGCACAGATGTATCCCAGGCCCGTATCATCAAGCAGTATCTTCTGGACGATGAAGATGGCGACCGTCTTGGACAACTCACTGCCGGTTTCCATGATTCGTAGGCACAGCGGGATGATCTCGGTCGTCAAGAGGAAAGTGATTGTTGGCGAGGAGTTGCCGGCATTGGCGCCAGGTGTCCCTGATGGGTTGATCGAAACATTGGAGGACGGCTCGTTCTTGACCAAAGCACCAATGACGCCGAGTGAAGTGAGGCGGAGGTACTCGAAGGGTCTCGACTTCGACGTCGTGTTAAGAAAAGGGTACAGGAACAAGGGGATGTGCGCTGAACCGTGAATTAGCATGTGTCTTGCGCCCGTAGTTCAATAGTGCCTACCGTTGAGAAAGAGGCCTCTGGTCTCATTGTGACTAGCAACACACTGGAGCAGGGCCAGGGCGTTGCAAACACGGTTGCTGGCTGCTGCCGTGAGCTGGCTTGGGTTCAGCAGAGGATAGACCGAGATGATCTCCTGAAGCAGACTCGTCATGACGCCAAAGCTGTGCCAGAGAACCAAAGCGAGCTCGGGCACTTGTTCCCGCTTCTTGCTCAGCTCCATCAGCGCCCCTTCCCTTCGGTTTGGGTCCAGAAGCTCAGCCACCCATTGTAGCACCTTCCGATTCTCTTCCGAGAGCTGTTGATCCATGCCCGGCGCCGCCTGCTCGTTCATAGCCGTGAGGGAAGCGCCAAGGGAGCTTTGCGCGTTATCGGCCACGGCCTGCCGGTTGGTGGCCTGCGCATGCGAAGAGCTGTGATTGGGGTTCGCCGCGAGTCGAGAGTAGTGTTGCGCAGCAGCAAGTTGGGCTTGCGCCTGTTGCTGGCCATGGCTCAAGGGTGCGTGACTTTGCTGGGGTCCATTATGCTGCCAAGCGGACTGCTCGTGCTGGTTGTATTGTTGCTGGTGGGAGTAAAGATGCTGCGTCTGTAGCATGATGGTCGAGGTCGGTTCGGGTCAGGCGAGACTCATTCTTAGCTGAGGCGAGGGTGAGGCAGTAAGGATGTCTAGGAGGGTACGGAGTAGCGCGCGGCCGACCGGGACGGAGGTTGCTCAAACGATGAGAGCAGAGCGTGGGTGACTAAGTGTGAATTATAGAGGCTGGAACTCGAAAGTAAGAGGACCTGTTGTGGATGCGAATTCGAAGAGAAGACAACCCAAGGGATTTGATACAAAGTACGGAGCAAAGAAGCGGGGAGTTCGAGTTTGAACGGGATGGACTCGGCCCCTGTGCGGCTTGTTGCGGTCAGAGGCTGCTTTCTTTCGCTCTTCACGGGGATATGTGCGTGGGCCTCTTAGCGCGCAACCGTGAGGGCTGCGTGACGCCCAGTTGGCTGCTTAGATAATGCCCGTGATTTAGTGGCATTTACTGGGTGGGGGCTAAATAATGGGCACCTTACAAACACCGTAGATCGGTCAGATTCACAGAAAGGATTTTCGATACGCGCTCACCTGAGACGCTCTGGACAATGCATGTACAGTAACTCACACCCATTCGACAAGCTGCGTCCGAGTATAGTCCCCCAACACTAAACACCCAACCTATCACGCACCACATGTACTCCGTACGTTGATGCCGAACCTCAAGTCTGCCCCACCATGCGTACAGAAGATTATCCAGAACAAGCTATACATACAGACATCATCGACCTCGACGTCATGGGTGCTGATCCGCCTTCCTGCCCTCCAGCACCAAGTCGACTCTCTTGATCGGATGTAGTAACATGCCTGGAAGACACATTCTTCCCTCGCCAGCCACCTCAAACTGTTCGCCGCCGTCGTTGTTGAACTTGTACCCCAGCCAGCGATGCCACAGCACCTCCGGGAAGCCAGCATTATAGTACCACGTGGTGCCTCGGAAATTGTGTTCCCTCTCGCCAAAGACGCTGGTTCGCGCGGCGCCTGTTGCCCCGTTTCGGCCGGCATTGAAGACTGACTGTAAGTAGTTTGTGGGCCACTTTCGGTCGATGTACTCGGGATGCGGCACGTAGACGGCCTTGAGCCCATGATGCAGCGCGCAGCTTGCCGGCCACATTTCACTAAACATGGAGTGTTTCTTCAGTGCGGTCTCCTTGTGCATGGTGACGAGGAGCTTGCGTGAAAGGCGAGAGGCGGTTATAATTGCTGTGCGACGGGGTGGTCGGCCGCGGGTGATATTGTAGCCTGTCGTATCATCCGTAAGGAGCCAAGTTGTCCCATCAGGATCGAAGAGGGGGTTGAACACAATAAGGTCAGCATCTTCGCCAACACCCCAGGTGTATTTGTCCTTGTCGAAGGACGTCGGTGGTACCGGGTCGGTGTCCATGGACACATCGTCGTCGAGGGGACGTTCAGGACCCCAGATGGGCTTGTCCCCTTGTTGCTTCATGGCTCCGGCCGGGGTGCTGAAGCCAGGATTTTTTGGATCTTTATTCGCACGGTTGAGGCTGCTCCATAGATTTGCCACGCTGTTTGTGCCGTGCTCTGTCTGGATGCGGACCATTTGGGAGAAATCTTCCCATTCGCCGTGCTCGGAGGGCACAAAGAACCGACTGTTCCTTTCCCAGAGAAGTTTGCGGGGTTGTTGTTTCGCCCATTGCGTGATACTGTCGAAGAAATGGTACCAGTGGTGCGTGGTGCGGATGTCCATTTCCCAGTTCCAGAAGAAGTCGTACTCGGGGTGTTGGTGGGCGAAGTATTGCATTGGCATGAACGTGCTGCGATATACACCGTGGACAGGCAGACCGCGCATATTCGTCTCTTCAAGACCGCCATACATGAGCTCCATCTGCTTCTCGGTCCAAAGAGTACCCATGCCGTGGAACTCCTCCGGCAACGAATCTCGCAGAATCCGCTCATATGTTTCGTCGTCAGAGAAGATGGGCACGTCGTTGGATTTGACTTGGACAAGGAAATGTACCACATACTCTCCGCCACTCAACATGGTCAATTCCGAGATCAGGGAGCGCAGGTAAATCTTATCCTCAGGGGTGTATGGATAATCCCACCACGTTCGAATCACAACGGCCGTGCGCGGCAGCTTTTCGGAACCCGTCTTCGGTTTTGAGGGGCTCCCGGATGCCTTTGGTGGCATTGCTGCAACATCAGACGAATCGTCTCTCTTGCTGTATGCGCTACCAACCGCCATTGCCTGGAACGCCTCAATACGGGGGTGTTCAGGCAATGGTTTGAACCGATGATTGTTCGCCTTCACACATCGTTGTTGTACTTCTGACCAGTGGATTCCCCTCCAGTCCACTTCGGGCGTTTCCTGCCACACGAGGTCGGCGCCCTCTCGCTCGCCTTCTTGCTGTGCTCCACTGCCGCCCCTGTTGATGCTGTATCCGAGCCCGTATGGACCTAGGCGCCCAAATCTGTCGTAGCAGATGTCATCCCTTAATCCCAGCATTTTTGCCGAGCCCATGACCACGTCTGGAAATCCCCGGGGAATACCCTCATACATGCGCACCTGCGGAATAGACACGGTGTTCGCAACGTCCAGGAAGCAATCCACTTTGTCGCCATATTTGGCGATGTACTCAGGAGAGGTATAATTGGGGTACGGATCGAACCTCTTGCTTTGTTGAGGCGCTCTCTTTCTTCGCTCCTTGTCCAGCGGCGCATCTTCCGGTGACCTCTTGGACGGCGGCCTTTCCAGTCCTTCGTCGGTGATATTCAGCGTCTGCCACTCGCCCTCATCCTCTTTCCTCGGGTACTCGGGCACGTTATCGGCCACTGGCACCAACGACCGAAGCCCACCGTAATATCTCTGCAGGAACGGGAAGTCCTCCCACGGTGGGGGCTTTGGCTTCATTTCCTTCTGTTCAATGGCTATCTCCACCTCTTTTTGCGCGTTGTGGCTCATCCGTACCAGTGACAAAATGAAGATGATCAGGGTCGCGGCGACGCCTAAACACAAATAGCGCATGATTGACCGAGGCATCCTACCCAGATATGGGGGGGAAGAGGATCTTTTCGAGCTGTATGCTTCATTGAAGGGCATAGGCTTGAGAGAGTACGAGGCGGCTCGAGAGGAGGCAGTGGAAGGAGAGGCTTCGTCGTCGAGGATGGTGGTGTCCGGACTGTCGTCCTCACTGTGCCGTTGATTGCGATGCAGAAAGCCTTCTTTCTCGAGGTCTGACTCTCCTCGGGTGCGTATTCGTGCCATCGAGGTTGCGTTGTCTATCCCTAGAGACGAACTCCTCGGCCACGGCATAGTTGTCGCAAATTTTAAGGTGGCCGCAGCCCCAGCGCATCGTTGTGTCCACCAATACCGGACGGTGCACTCTCTTCCCTAACAAGCGCGAGACCTCTGTAGCGCGGCACAAGATGTTTAGTTCTGGTTGAAGGATGCGCTGGTCGTGGAGCAGGCTCTGCAGGAGCACCTCTGGTACGGCACGCGATTGAAGGTCCTGGGTCAATCTGGCGGGGGGATCGTTTGCAAATATAAAGGTAGTAGATCCACCAAAAGTACTCTGTATATACACAGACCAGAGAAAGGGTCCAGGGTGCGCGGGCTGTTCTCCTTATCGCCGCCCGGTTCTGAGCGCGAAGTCAACATCGGCTCAGTCCAGATGAAGCCCCACAAAAATGCAGTCAAATCAGGGCAAGTGCCCGCTGAATACGAAGCTTCTCCGCGTGTCGCTCTTTCCTCGCAAGGATCAATACGACACAGCGCGACAGCTCAAAAGGTCAAATCACAGTCAGGGTCAGGGTCTCCAGCAACGAAGAATGCGATCGACCCGGTGCTCATATGTCAGACTGAGAAGCGCTTCTATCTTCGCATTTGTAATTCCCGAGGATCATGCCCCCTAACCTTGATGCCGCCGCTATTTGTCCATCGTGTTGAATTCACGGTTCTATTCCCTGGCAACACCAAGCTCCTTCAAAATGCTGTCGTTGTGCTCTCCGATCGTGGGGATTCTTTCCATCCTTGCTTCAACCTCCGCGCTCATGCCAGGAGGCAAGAAGGATTTGACGGGACCGACCTCAGTGTCCACTTCTCGAAACCGACCTCGAGCTGCGAGCTGCTGATGTTCCCACACACCCTGCATGTCGTTCACCTTTGCATTTGCGATCCCCGCCTGCTCAAGTCTTCTCACCACCTCTTCCGCACCACCTTCCCACGAGGCAAAGATCCCGCTGATGATGGCTTCCAGTTCAGCTCGGTTGTCGCTGCGCGATGCAGTGTTTTTGAACTTTGGATTTGTGGTAAGGTCCTCCCGCTGCAGTACTTCTGTGGCCAGGATCTTCCATTCCCGTTCGTTCTGTACGCCGAGCATCACCTTTGCACTCTCCTTGCCGTCAGGTCCCATCCCCGTCGAGAACGGCCCATAAGGGTAGATGCTAGCATGCGATGCTCCGGCTCTTTTGGGGCCCGACTGCCCCTCAAAAGCATAATACAAGGGGAAACCCATCCACTCTACCAGTGACTCCAGCATGGAGACGTCTATCACGCATCCGCGTCCCGTCTTCTGCCTCTGCATGATTGCTGCCATGATACTACTGTATGCATAGATGCCTGCTGAAATGTCCGCAATGGAACAACCCACCTTCGCCATCTCGCCTTCAGTTCCCGTGATACTCAGCAGACCTGCCTCCGCCTGAATGAGGAGGTCATACGCCTTTTTGTGCGCGTAAGGCCCATTGCTTCCATATCCACTGATCGACGCATAGATCAAACGATCGCCTCGGTTTTCTCCAGGGTAGGCCTCGTTCATCGTCCTCTTCATATCTTCATACCCTAGCCCCATCTTCTCTGCGTCCCCTGGCCTCAGATTTTGCACGAAGACATCGGCCTTCTCGCATACCAGCTTTCGCAGTATCTCCATATCCTTCGGATCCTTGATATCCAAAGCCAAGGATTCCTTGTTGCGGTTTATCCAGACGAAGTGACTGCAGAGTTTACCCCTAACCCGATTGTCGTGGTGACGCACGAAGTCGCCGCTGCCTGGTCGCTCGATCTTGATCACTCGTGCACCAAGATCTGAAAGGTGCCGAGTTGCCAGAGGCATGGAGATGACCTGTTCTAGAGCCACTATAGTTATGTCGCTCAGTGGCCGGGCTGAAGGAGGATTGAACTGGAATGCCGCTGACTCAGAATCGCGAGCAGTGCTATACCCTCGGCGGTTGACAGGGCGTGCGGCGTCGGAACGGGGTGAAAAGACTGACATCGAATCACATATTGACGGTGCCCAGAACACATTCCTCCTCTCCTGCAATCTCGCGGTCGGACGTGTAAAATAGCAACGACCCACCGATTCGAGTTGTCTCCAACTCTTCAGGTCGACGCCCTGTTTGTGTAATAGCTTGTATGTCCGAGACGAGATTCTGCTCGCCATATCGACCGCGCGTGTTCATAGCACGACACTCGGACCCTGTACGAAGTAATCTGGACACTTTCTAGACTGAGCAAACAGCCGAGAATAGCCAACGAAAGGAGATCCAGTCGTGCCTTTTGTACTCCCCGTTTCCGTCCTCCCAATGCCCTTTCCCCCGCACAAGGCTGCTCTGCCGACGGCGGTTTCCCGGCGCGCTCGTGCTTCTGCGGAGCAATTCTGGAGCTCCACTGTGATTTGAATAAAAGCAGCACAGGAGAACCCGCCAGAGTACCCTTTTGTGACTTCACACTTCACTCACTCACTCGCTTCGCATGCCAACGGTGTTGTGAAATACAACGCATATGCGGTGCTATGCTACCTAACGGTGGACTGCCAAGCCTTGTTTCGCATTCACCACTTCGAAATGCACCCACCACCACAGCTGTGTGAGACAAAAAGGCCACCAGTGGTCCTCAAACTCCAGGCTTGGACTTTTCAACAAACCTAGGTAGGTAGGCAACAAGAAAAAGAGATGAGTCCCCCGAGCTGGGTCGGATGTACTGGGACTGCTTTCCCACGGAAGGTCAGCAGCTGGCAACCCAGCAATCATAACTCTCTGGGTCCAACCCCAGTCGAGTCTGAGCGCGACAGATCAGTTGTAGGGTGTGTGATTGTTGGAAAATAGTGTGCTGGATGAAATGAAACATCACAACCAGCGACAAGCCGTTGTGTACATGGATAATTTGTTGGATGAGGTGCAGGATCGGTGGCATAACGCAGCAAGTGAATATCAAGCAAGGCAGGCACGCCGTTAGCTTTTGACCCCGTGCCCATTGTGAATTGGTTCAGAGCAGGCCACACCATGACCACCTGTATGCAAACCAGGGATCGCAGATCCGGTGCTTTCGGGGGTTGCCCCTTTCAAGGATGCACTCCGCTGGTATTTACTCTGGCCCGTTAGCTTTTAATTCGTGCCCATTGCCTGTTGCTTCAGCACAGGCCACACCATTACTACATGACATACCAGCAAGTGCAGTCCGGTGCTTTCCGAGGTTGCCCTCTCTAAATATGCCATCTGCTGGTAGCCGCTTTGCAGAGCGCCGTTTACAACCTCTTTTACATAGTCAAGGACACTGCATTTGTAGATGGAGACAGAGGCCACTGAAACAGGGCTAGAGGAGGAAGTTTGAAGAGGAAGCTGAACAGGAAGTTAAAGAGGTGAATGACCAAGATGTCATGGGCTGGTGCGCATGAGAATTGATAACTGAAACGACGGTTGCGACCTTGAAGTACACCCAGGTTGGATATACCTCATAAGAAATTCAAATCCCACCGTCCTCCAATCACAGTCTTTCCTTCAGCGGCAACTGAAAAACGATGGATTAGCAAACTCGGTGGTAGTGGATTCCTATGCTCGTGTGCAATGTGCTCGGCGAAATCCCGCGCCGTGGTAAAAGCCGTGTAGTCGCGCACGAGCTCCTCCCCCGTTGCAAAGCAGAAAATACAGCCGTATTTGATGTGAGCGTGGCTTTCTCGCCTAGCCGTGGATGACCCGTTCGATGATATCGAGACCTTCTCGGCCCGTGGAAGGAATAAGTGACACTTGGCCAGAAACGAGCTGCGGTACTGGATGAGCAGATCGGGATGCTCGCGCACCTCATCTGTGGTATGTATGTTGGATGTCGTGCTGTTCGTGACATGATAGCGTACTTTATACGCGCAGTCCGGGCATTGCCAATTGAGGTACGCGCCGCCGAAGGCCTTCAATTTGCGCCGGTTGTCCTCGTTGAGTTCTTTCTTCTCCACAAACGAAATTCGACCCCTGTCTCGCCGGTTACTGATGCCCAGCGCGCCGGGGCAGAAGTTGCCCAGCCCGGCTGGGCGCATGTCTTCTGGCATCCGCCGGCTGGGGTTGCTTGGATTGAGAGCCGGGAGTTGTCTGATTTGGTCGTGTCGGTAGAGCAGCGTATCCCAGACCATGGCAAAGGGGCGACGATCGAGTAGGTCGCGGTCGTAGTGCTCGACGAAGATCGTCTGGATCCCGCGCACCGAATGCTGCATTTGCTCGACGAGTTCGCCCAGGTACTGAGCTGCGACTGTGTCAGAGCCATCGATTATATAGGGCAACTGCTGAAAGTCGACCGTTGAGAGCGATCTCAATCGTAATTGTAGTATCTGAAGGCGCGGGTCGTAGGCTTTGATTGAGTTGGGCACAATGTCGGGGAAAATGTACCAATCAATCAGGGTTCTGAGCTTGCGCCGGATTTGGTTGAGCGTTACTTGCAGGTCATCTAGAGCTTGTTTGACTGTGATCGGACCAGGCGGAGGTTGCATAGGATCATCAAGCACGATGGCGGCCATGGCTGCGCGAGGTGCGAACTTTGGCGTCGCCTTACAGGGTTCGCGATCTCACTTCTGGATAGAGCTTGGGATCTGTAAGATGTGGTTGCTTGACATGATTATCATGGCGCAAACGAACTCAAGGTGACGATGGGTTGGTATTGACTGCGTTGCGCCAATGTCGCTAGAAGTCTCGAGGAAGGCTCGACCATAGCGCGCCTATCGCTGTGCGACGAAGAAGCTCTTGAAGGGAGACATCAGGCTGAGGTAGAGGGCCTACCTATTTAGCTGCTTGAGCAGAGCCGATGGTGCGAATGGGTCACGAGGAACAAATGCACAGGGTGCCGTCGGGCATATTGGGTCGCCTAATTGGTTGCGCGGGATCGCTTCTGCAAGAGTCGAAAGCCTGTGACGAAAGGCTCCCAAAGGGCTCAGAAGCCGGGCACTTGCATATGCAAGCTCATGCAATTCGTGCATGAAGAGCAGGTCTCTAGGCGGCATGGTGATCGTGCAGGAGGGGGTTAGTTCGCATGAAGCAAGGCGAACGCGGGCTGCATATGGGCTGCACTCCGCCACGGGTGAACAAGGGGGTCGGGAGGGGGAAAAGGGAAAAGTGAATGAACGCCAGTCGCTTAGTCAAATGCATGCCGGTCAAATGTCGTCGTCATTTATGTCATTCAAAGTCGCCTAAGCCCTTTCCGGAATTATCAGATCTGGTCGAAAAGATCAACACCATATTTTGTGCTCCGCGTGCGCAGGTCGCCAGTGAGCATACAACTCCATGATGCCGACGGAACTAGAGGAGGTAGGTGCGCTCCATCGTCTGCCGTTCTGGTAGCGCTGACCTGTTTCAGCTTGTCGAATTCCTGCATCATGGCAACACTCAAATCAGACAAGTTGGTAGGTCAATTTCGATATTGCGCGTGTATTGAACCTTCCAAGTCCGCTGGATATTCCCAGAGATCGCATCTCAGATACATTTACTGAGCATCGATATTCAGCGTGTGAACACTTGGTTGGTCTTTCGGATGATGCGACGGTATTCAAGCAGCAGCAACTGGCCGCAGTCCGAGACCTGAAGCTTCTTGTGAAGGACTACCCTGTGAGTTCTCACATTGCCAAATCACACGCCGCATGCTGATGAACCTCATTCTGTCATGACCAGCCCATCGCCAAGAATGCTCTCACGATCTTGATCAATATCAGCCACGACGCCGAAGTCCTTGAGAATCTCGCCACAGATGATTCGTTCCTCGAGACATTGTTGAACAAGATCACAGTATGTAGGTTGAATCCTCCTTTGTTGCCGTTGCTTCCTGGGTCTGAGGCGACCAAACACTGACACTCACTAGAACCCGAAAGAGGAGGCCGCAAATGAGATTGCAATGCTATTGGCGAATCTCGCCAAGTCAGAGCGCCTGGAAAGGCTGATTAAGCTGAAAAGAGCGACTCCGGTGGCGACCGTGTCGACATCTCCGTACGCGCTCGATCAGCTGTTCGATTGCTTTGTGAAAGGAGCCGAAGGAAAGCTCAACAAACACGCGAACTTCGACTACCTTGCTTACTTCCTGGCGGATATGTCGAAATACAAAGCTGGAAGAGACCATTTCTTGGGCAAGAGAGACTATGATGAAGTAGTGCCCATCAGCAAGTTGACCGTTTTCACCGAGCATAAGAGTCACATCCGGCGAAGTGGTGTGGCCAGCACCATCAAGAACGTCGCGTTTGAGGTCGATAAGCACCCCTTGCTACTTGCGGATGACACTGAGTTTATCGATGGTGTTCCAGGCGTCAACATATTGCCGTACATCCTGCTACCATTGGCGGGATCAGAAGAATACCCTGAGGAGGAATCTGCGAACATGCTTCCGGATTTGCAACTCTTGCCCCCAGACAAAACGAGAGAAGAGGATAATGAAATTCTTGTCACTCATTTGGAAACACTGTTGCTTCTTACCACGACAAGGGAAGGGAGGGACAGGCTGAGGCAGGTCCAGGTATATCCCTTGACCAGGGAAACACACATGCAGGTCCAGGACGAAGGTGTGAAAGAGGCATGCGATCGCTTAGTACAGATTCTCATGAGGGAGGAGGAGGAGAAACGTCCAGAGATCGAAGAGGTGGACGATGACGAGAAGATAGAAGAGATATTCTGAATGACAACTCGTATGCCAAACTCATTAGACTTTTGTACGGAGTAATTGGCCGGCTATTTCAGCCTTGTGCTAATGAAGAGGCTGAGCTAACCAAGATGAAGATCCTCGGCTCACTTGCCGATCACAGAGAGAGCGTCTGGGCGGAAGCAAGAATACGGTGGTTCCCAACATCGCTGAACGCATTCTACACGGTAACGCATACGTCTTGCCCGACGCGTCGCTGCGAAACTTTGACCTGCATCTTTCGTTCCCCTTCCAACATCTTTTGACGCGTCCATTTTCTGGCTTCGACTCCTTTCTTGCGCTTGGCACAGGTCCCATGGCGACATGCCTGCTGCGCGACAGATGACTGCTTTCGAGCCTCCGCCATCATCGATTCTCGTCACGCACGTCGTACATGGAAATGGAGCGCACGACTTCGACCAAGACAGTTTCAACCAGCTGCTGGCCGAAGCAGCAGGCTCAGACGACCAAGGTCAATCCAACCTGGGAGGTGACGTTGCCGTCAATCATAAATTGATCTGCATCGTCTTTCAGATCGGCATCGAGCCCAGTCTCGAAGAGAACCCTTTCCGTGCTGCAACAGCCGGATGTAAGGGCAATGCTCAGTTACGGACCTGCCTCGAAGTCTTGCGAGTAGCTATCGAGCGGTCCCAGCAAGTTATCTATGTGAAGTCGGATCGCCAAGGTATTGGAAACACCACAAAATCGTGCTCCCTCTACACTTGGCTCATTCCTACCCTCTTGCCTCTGGTTGCCTCGGATCAAACAGGAGAGATCAGGGATGCGGTGCTAGAGCTTTTTGACTCCATTGTAAATGCTGACAGGAAATGCACTCCATCCTCCTCTTCTGACGTCGTACTGAGCTTCTTGAGGAACTCAATTTCGAGTAAGTTTGCATATTGCCAGATCTCCAACCCACTCCTGACCGTGCTAGGTATTTTGTCCGTTGCCGAATCGCTCCTCCCAAACCGGCCGGCCGCTCCGGTCATCATCGATGGAGAAGACTTTGCGTTCCACATCACACAACTTACGCACGGCCTCGAAATCAGCGTACCCAGCCTCAAGTTCCCGTCCTCTCGTCTGCTGGTATTGGGCTTGGCCCGCGTGTTGAAGCTGTTGCCGAAACACTCTGAATCCCCACAACACAGCATACAGTTTCGTAAGGTCTTCTCTCGCTTCCGCCACTTTGTCGACGACAACGAGGATGTTGTGGCCAATGGAGAAGAGCCTGAGGTAGTGTACATTCACAGGCACTGCACTACAGCGCTAACCATATTACAGGGGATCGAGCACGAGATTCGCGGTTTGTGTATTAGACCTGTGAAATATCCGGCGAAGCCGCCTGCAGATACCGTCGAAATATGGCCGGATAGCGATCGAGCACGCAAGAGGCTACGTCTATCTACCAACAATGAGGACGGCTTGCCAGATAATTCCGCCCAGCAGAAAATTTGTCGAAGTCTCACCTCTGAATTGACAGGGCGTGGTGTTCCTGATCTTGACGGCCTGGCCCAAACGTCCCCTATGAACTTCAGGAGCCTATCGGAGGACAAGCAATGCGCCATGCTCGAACTACTAGGCATCGCCGCTTGTCAGCTCGCTTCTTCATCTACCGGTCCACAATGTGCGAACTGTGACGAGGCAAACGGAGCACCGAATTCGGACCTCGTTCAAGTAACACCTTCCAGCGAGGAGCTGCTGCGAACGCTGCTTGTGCTAGTGCAAAGTATCTCTCGTCATTCGCGTGCAAGGATCGCCGCCATGGCTGCCCTCCGTCGGATCATACTACACACCAGTTCAGATGTGGACTTGAAGCTGGGTCAGACTTCGCCTGGCGATTGGTGCCTCCAATCACTCAAAAGCTCTTCGAGGGACCTCAGAATTGTGGCAGCCAGAACCTTACAGGTCTACGTGATGCGGAGACGGCATGTTGGCATTGCCTTTGCCCGTGAGAACAGACTTACGGCCTTAGACTTCCTCCACAACCTATGGCAAAAGGGAGACGTGTCACTGCAGGAAACTGTCATCGTGGCTTTGACCCAGATGGCACAAGTTGTTGGAGATGAAGAACTAAACATCATTTTGGTCCGGCTTGTCGAATACCTGGGCCATACTAACCCATATATCAGCGGCCTGGTGTATGCCGAAATCCAGCATCTTGCACAGTCGCTGCAGACGTCCGTTTGGGTTCTCTTTCGACCGTTCTGGAGGACGCTCGGGGTGGTGTTCGCAAAATCACTAATGTCTCGGCCGAACGCTGCAGAGCAATTGTGTGAGTTGCTGGGAATGGATATGTCGAGTCTGATGGGCCATGCGGCGGAATACGCCCTTCCCTACCTAATCTTGCACAAAGCTCACGATGTGATCAGGAAATTTGCTGAGGCCAATGGCCAGTCTGCCACGCCCTTCGACATATGCACTCAAGGACCAAATCTTGTCGCCATTCTTTCGTTCCTCTTGGTACAGCCATTTCCTGATGCGGAACAGTCTGTCATGTCAATCTTGTCTGAAGTCTCTGGAGACTTTGGCAAAGCCGAGCTTGCCGACTGGGCTGCTGACTCGATTCAGATTGCTTGTACACTGCTCAAAGCTATCGGAGACACCGGACAGGGAAAGTCATCTCGCATTTATCGTGGTCTGCAACTCCTCGCTCAATTGGTAGCCGCTCGTCAACGTGGGCAATCTGGCTCCAAACGAAGCGACAGCATGGGGACATTTTTGGAGAATAATGTTCTTGCAATAGTCACACAATTCACTGTTTTTCTGAATGACCTGGAGGCAAAAGAATCCAAAAACGAAAAGCGAAGATGTCTAGCTGCACTGGGTGAGATAGTCAAGCTGGGCAAGAGTCGCATTGTACGTGCGCTGCCGCAGATTTGTACTTGTTTGCGATCGGGCCTGGATGATCCTGATTTGTGCGACGCCGCATTCGCCTCATGGGCAGCCATGATTACATCCCTGAAGAAAGACGACTTGGAGCCTCTCGTTGAACAGACCATGGCAATGATCGTCCGAAACTGGGATACGCTCGATAGCTTATCACAACAACTAGCTCACAGTGTTGTTGCTGACCTGATCAGGAAGCATCCAGATCTGATCCGGAAACACTTCAGTACACTCCCCTCACTAGCTTCAATCCCCTCCATGGCCGATCTCGGTCTGGAAATTGCCAGCTTGAACGATCACATGGATGACCGGCAAAAGCTGATCGCCTATGTGCAGAGACTGAGGGATGAGAATAATGCGGTGGTCGAACAAACTCTGGTTGAGCTGGCCCCACTATTACAGCGAAAGCAAGATCTTTTGCAGAGATCGATCCTTCGAGAGCAGCCAGACGAGCTCGTTGCAGAGCTGACTCGTGCACTGCTTGACTGTTGTGTCAAGTTCAACTCGAGCAATGAGGTTACGAAGCTGTGCGGCCAGTGTCTGGGCAGTATAGGTTGCCTCGATGCCAGCAAGATCGACAATGTGAAAGACCGCAAAATGATGGTGGTACAGGCGAATTTCAGCAAGGCGGACGAGGTCATTCGATGGATCTTTTTCTTCCTCGAGCATGTCTTGGTCAAGGCCTTCTTATCCGCGAACACCACTCGGGCTCAAGGCTTCCTCGGCTGGGCTATGCAGGAGCTCTTGAAGTCTTGCGGGCTGGACGCGCCGTCAAAAGCGCTGGATGAAAGTCTGACTGCGCACTTATGGAGTGAATTGGCCACCTCCATTCAGAACGTCTTAACACCATTTACGACCTCGAAATATACAGTGCACGAAGTGCGAGCTCCCGAGAAGAGTCAATATCCTCTGTTCACTCCCGGCATGAGACATCGCGACTGGCTTCGGACAGTCACGTTGGATTTCCTTCACCAAGGCACCGGAGAGAACGTTGACATTGTCTTCTCTATCTCCTGCCGCATCATACATGGCCAAGATATTTCGATCCCTGCTTTCCTATTGCCGTATGCGGTTGTCAACCTCATCGTCAACGGCATAGAGCGGGACAGCCAAGAGATTGTGACCGAGATCAATTCCATTTTTGGCCAATCTCTGGAAGGCCACAGCCAACGAGTGCAGGAGGACATAAAGCTATGCAGCCAGACAATGTTTGAGGTACTTGACTACATGTCTACTTGGCAGCAACAAAGGCGGAAGCAGTATGCCGGCACCCTAGCCAAGCCAGATCGAGGGCTCAACGATCCACTATCGAACAATGCTGTTGCTCAAATTCGAAGCATTGAGCGTGTACTTGAACAGATCGCCCCAGATGTCCTAGCCCGAAGAGCCCTGGAGTGCCGGTCTTATTCAAGAGCACTGTTTCATTGGGAGCAGCACATACGCAAATCGAATCAAGACGACATTGAGGGGAAGCTTCAAAGACTCCAGGACATATACGCTCAGATCGATGAACCAGACGGAATCGAAGGCATCTCCACTCGGATGCATGTTCTGGACATTGAGCAGCAGGTCTTGGAGCATAAGAAGGCAGGACGTTGGACTGCAGCCCAGAGCTGGTATGAAATGCAGCTTGTGTCTCATCCAGAAGACAGCGATGTGCAGAGAAACCTGATGGAATGCCTCAAGGAGTCGGGACAATATGATGCCCTGATTCACCACTTCGATGGTATCAGGAGCCGTAACAGCAATTCGTCTACCGTGCTTGCACCTTATGCGATTGAAGCGGCATGGGCAACAAGCCGTTGGGATCTTTTGGCCAGCTACATCCCGCAGATCGGCGGTTACGATTTTGCTTCCCACATTGCAGACATCATGCTGGCTGTAAAGAACGGAGACGATGCGAGAGCCGTCCACCTCGTATCCGAAGTTTACCGCACGACAGCTTCGGAGCTGAACCAAAGCAACACCTCTTCATTCCAAGCAAGTCATCATACATTGCTCAGATTACACGTGCTCAACGACGTGCAGCTCATCATGGCAAGTCCCAAAGAAGACAGTGGGGACGTCCTGAATATCTTACGAGGCCGACTAGATGTTCTTGGAACCAACGTCGCCGATAAGCAATATCTACTTGGCGTCCGCCGTGCCGTCATGTCTTTAAGACCCGACGTTTTCACGGTGGATGATATCGCAGCCGCGTGGCTCTCAAGTGCCAGGCTCGCACGCAAAGCCCGGTCAACCACCCAAGCTTTCAATGCCGTCCTGAAAGCCGCGGCCCTCGGCGACAAATCTGCCGCCATTGAACAGGCGAAGCTTATGTGGTTGGAGGGACATCACCGCAAGGCCATTCAGACGCTCGAGGGAGCGATCGAATCGGGGGCATTCGTGGCACATGACCACATGTCTGAAAATGGCCCAACCACAATGACTGTGGAGCAGCGACATCTGCAGAATGCAATGACGGCTCAAGCCCACGTCCTACTCGGCAAGTGGCTCGCACAGGCCGGGCAGACTCAATCGGAGGTTATCAGGAAGACTTTCAGAAAGGCCACGGAGAGCTTCAGCAAAGGGGAGAAGGGCTGGTATCACCTTGGTCGCTACTACAACAAGATGCTAGACTCTGAACGAGCAATGCCTCCAGGTAAGGAAAGTCAAACATACCTGACTGGGGAGACCACCAAACACGTCATCGAGAACTATCTGCGGTCGCTTGCCAACGGCAGCAAATATGTCTTTCAGACACTGCCGAAAGTCCTGACGCTTTGGCTCGAGCTCATCGACGGCTCAGAGCCAGCAAGAGATGACCGACGGGGTAACGCGGAGTTTCACACCAAGGTGGCAAACCAACGAAAGCGCGTCATTGAGGAGACGAACAACCAGATCAAGAAGTACATGGATCGACTGCAACCAGTCCTCCTCTACACTATTTTGCCGCAGCTCGTTGCACGAATCTGCCACCCCAGCAAGCCCGTTCAGGAGATCCTGTTGAACATCGTGATTCGAGTGGCAAAAGCGTTCCCCCAACAAGCACTTTGGACACTGTTGGCGGTGGTGGAATCGCAGCAGAAGGACCGGGCCTTGAAAGGGACGCAGATCGTGACCAAGCTCGTCGAAGTCACCAAGAAGTCGAGCAAGGACTCATCTGCTGCCGAGATGAGAAGCATGTTTACCAACGGTCACAAGTTCGTCAAGGAGCTGCTTCGCATCTCCGAGTTCCCTATCGAGGGTAAAGTCTTCCAGATCAACCTCGCGAAAGATCTGGGCTTCAACCATAAAATCACTCCCTCGAAGTTGGTCGTTCCAAACCAAGCATGCCTTGTTCCCAGCATGCCCACAAGCTTCGACCCTGCGCAACTGAAAGCATTTCGGCCTTTTGCGAAAGAACCCGTCACGGTTACTGCATTCCTCGACGAAGCACTAGTTCTAAATTCGCTGCAAAAGCCGCGCAGACTTACCATCCGTGGCTCTGACGGCAACCTGTACAACGTTCTTGCGAAACCAAAGGACGACCTACGCAAAGACCAACGTCTGATGGAGTTCAACAACATGATCAATCGCTTCCTCAAACGCGAGGTCGAGGCCGCTCGACGAAGACTCTACATCCGCACCTACGCCGTCATCCCCATGAACGAAGAATGCGGCCTCATCGAATGGGTCGACAATCTGAAAACCTTCCGCGACATCATCCTCAAATTATACAAGGACAAATCCATTATACCAAACTATATCGAGATCCGGAAGCTCCTGGACGACTCCTGCAGCGGCGATCCCGAGAAAGTGAAGATCTTTGCGAACAAAGTCCTCGCGCTCTTCCCGCCTGTGTTTCACGAGTGGTTTGTCGAATCGTTTGCGGATCCCTCGGCCTGGTTCAATGCCCGCCTACGATACACACGCTCCGCGGCCGTCATGTCCATCGTCGGCCACGTCCTAGGCCTAGGCGACAGACACGGCGAGAACATTCTCTTCGAAGAAGACAACGGCGGCACCTTACATGTCGACTTCAACTGCCTCTTCGACAAGGGACTCACGTTTGAAAAGCCCGAGATGGTTCCCTTCCGACTCACGCATAACATGATCGACGCAATGGGCGCGTATGGTTACGAGGGCCCATTCCGCCGTTGCTGCGAAATCACCCTCCAGTTGCTTCGTGGGAACGAAGATGCGCTAATGACGATCCTGGAGACGTTCTTGCATGACCCGACGACAGACTTTATCAATTCGGCGGGGAGGAAAAAGAAGGTCGTCCCAGGCGTTCCTAACACCCCGGTCGAAGTGCTCGAGGGTGTGAGGGCGAAAGTCCGGGGTTTCTTGTTTGGAGAGAGCGTGCCGCTGAGCGTGGACGGGTATGTGGACGAGATGATTGGACAGGCTGTTGATCATAGGAATCTGTGCAGGATGTACATTGGGTGGTGCGCCTTCTTTTGAAATCTGTGAATGCAGGGCCACTCGAAGCACCCCGATCTGTTGGGATGCTTCCGGCTCATGTCTCTCATAGAGGCGTACTGCTGGACTGACTCGGGGCAGTCATTTGAGTTAGCGGTCCTGAGGGAAACGATATTGATAGATATGATAGGACAGTTGCGATGAATGAGTTGGTGGGCGGCTTCTCTGCATGTTCGTCTAGCTTGGTCTACGAGAATGATGAGCGACGAAATTGTCATCGTACCTGTTTCGGCACTTTGCCGTATGGGACCTCGTACCGTATAGGGTGTAATTAGTAGACACGTGGTTCGGTAGAGCATTGCGATGAATTCCCATTCCCGCTACGTCTGCCGCTACATCTTCTGAGCGTGATTCACACTAGTCACTCAATCACTCATTCTGCACCGGCGATGATGGAAACATGTCATCGGCGTTCAAGCCCTGGGACTCTTCCTCCTTATCAGCCTCGGTAGCCTGTATATCCCCTCCGTTCATTTCTTGAGAGTTCAAGGCCTCTTCCTGGGAGCCGTCAAGTTCATGCCCTGCGCTTGGGAACATGTGCGATGACACGGTGCCTCGCACGGGCGAGGACGAGAACATGTCTGCCCCGTCTGCTTGTGCTTCTGTTTGAGCCTCCGCTCCTTCTTCGTTCATGACATTTAGAGCAGGAGCCGAGATCTCTGCTGCAGCAGAGGAAGGTATTGGGGCTTGCTCAGAGGGGACCGCTCCTGCATCCGTTTCAGGGTCGGCGAGCAGAGCGGCCAAGTCGTCATCTTCGTCGACTGGGAACTCGTCTTCGTCAGGAGCTGGGGAAGCTTTGCCTTGCGTCGTCAACGGCATGTTATCAGGCTCCTTTTGCAAGGCAGTGCGTTTCGAGCGTGATTCTTGTTCGGCAAGCAATGCGTCGAGATCGTCCAGGTCTTCGTCGTCATTTTCGCCAAATGGCAGGCTCTGGGGTCTGGTGAGAGGTGCTGAGGTAGCCGGGAGTGCAGCTGGAGCTTTCTGGCGTGTCTCTTGTTCGGCAAGCAATGCATCGAGATCATCTTCTCCCTCGGAATCGTCCTCCACGATCCTCTTTGGTGCTGTCAACCGCCGTGGAGTGGTACGACCCTCTTGTTGAGCCAGTAGAGCGTCGAGCTCGTCATCTTCGGGGAGACCCGCGTCTTGATCCTCTGCGGCCCCCTTCGAGCGGGACTCGGGGATAAACAGAGAATCGTCTTCGCCGACTGTCCCGGTGTTTCGAGGCTCGTTATTAGCTCCATTCACGAGGGCTTCGTCGCCCACATACTTTTCCTCCGTCTCCTTTTCTCTGTCTCTCTCCTCCTTCTCAGCTTTTTTCTTCGCCTCCTTCTCTCTAAGATACCAGGGCTTGCCCTCGTCTATCCACTCTTTCCTCATCACCTGCATGCGCCTCGAGTGTCCCACCTTCTCCACTAGCTGCAACGCATCCGCAAACTTGGCCCGCGGATATAAATCGTCCAGCCACAGTTGGTAGTAATTCAGGAGTTTCGCCACGTCCGAGAACTCGTGGCCTTTGCCTTTGATCCTCAATTTCTTGGTGAGGAAGTTGGGCATGCGGGCATCGGCGCGCAACTTGGGAATGCCCGGCGCGGAGAGCAGACGGGCCTCGTCAAGTTTGGCGATGGGTTTGCGCTGTTTCTTGATCTTAATCTCAGAGTCCAAGCCTAGCGTGTCATCGAGGTCGGATGCCTCTCTCTTGCTGGGTCCACGGGGAGATAGGGTCGTCTCATCGCCGCGCTTAGTCTGCCGTGAGGGTTTGTCGTTGAACGGGTCTTCATCGTCGGTGCTGTCGAAGTTGAGGAGGTCATCGACCGTTGCGGAAGTGACGGGGTCGGCAGCCATGGTATTCCCCGTGCTCGTAAGGAGTAGCCTATGGAGAGAGACTTCTTCTGTCGTAAGTTTGCATCCTGATGGTTATGAGGGACGCGTTCGGAAGAAGTCGAGACGCGTACTGGTCCACGCGACGTCATTGGCAAACCAAGGAGGCTATTCTGTTTTAGAACTAGGCTCTTGGCGCTCGAAGCTCCGCATGGACCTCGACTCTCTGAGGCCTGAGGACCGACTGGAACAAAGCCGGTCAACACAGCCATGGCGGACGAGCAGAAAGTGTTTATCCCGCCCAAGCGGGTAAACACGGACTATCCAGTAAGTTCGGGCGGCGATGGAATCCTGAGACGAAGCTGACGGGTCTCTCTCTACAGGTCATCGATACAGATCCGTATGTCCCCTAGTCACTACAAGCTTCCCACGCGGTATGACTGACGGTGCTCGACATTATGCAGACACTGGAGAAGGGCATTTGGATATGCCAGAGGAGAGGACTGGACTTATGGCGCCGGCATGGCCGCGATAGGACCGGCATTCATGCTTCTTACCGAACGATACGCCCCCTCGTTTTCCGGCAGACATGCGTTCCCCATGGCCTTTAGACTCAGTTGCGCCGTCGGGCTGATAGCGGGAGCAGGACTAGTGTACCAGAGGAGTTGCTGTACGTGTGGGCCTTGACAAAGAGAAGCATAGCATTTTCAGGTGAAGGTTGCGCTAACGACCAATGTGATCACAGTGAGATTCTATGGTTGGACAGAAAACGATCGCGAAGTCAAGATGGACATGCGAGAGATGGTCGATAAAGTAAAGAAAGGAGAGCCTCTGTACGGCCACTCCGACCTCACGCCATATATGCAAGGTGTTGCGGCACGAAACAGCAGATACTCGGCACTCATGGCCAATATAGTGCCGTGGGCCAACTTTGTAAATCACAACCAGGTGAGTATGAGGCTGCCCAGAAAAGTAGGATATAAGCTGATGAGTCGTCTGCAGCATGGTGTTGACACTGCCAAATACTACCAACAAGCGGAGCGCGAGCTGGAGGCTGAGAGATTAAAAGGTGGAAGTTGATCAGCTGGATGCCACGACCTCAATAGTGATGGGATACCAAGACCTTGCCTGGAGCAGTAAAGTCGTTTCCATGTCTGTACATAAGGAGATGAACGACGGAGGCCTTCCAGCATCGACTCTGACCTGATTTGGGTCACAACTGAAGAAGAGAAGGCTAGGTTCTTCTTTTTCAGCATATCCGACTTTTCAGTCATTCTTCTCTTTTTGGCATGCTGATCACACCTTGCCAGCGCCCGACTTTGCATTTCGTGTTTGTCGGCTATTTGGTGGCCGCGTGATTCTCAAGCAGCATTCACCTGGCCACCAGAGACTCTGTGCTGACCGTTGGAGCGAAGAAAACAACTAGACTGGCCCACGATGCACGGCGCCAAGACTAAACATTCACAATGCCGCTGCCTGTCCCTTTGTGATGAGTCTCGCCAGTTTCGCTCTTGACTTTATTTCATGGTTTTCTTTTCCCCATCTTCCCTCGCTGCTTTACCCACAGACAGCACAGAAGTCACCTTTCGCTGGTATCTCACATTTTCATCACCATGCCGGGAAAGAAGGGAGGCAAGAGACGAGGCAAGAAGGCCGTGAAGAAAGGAGATGATACCCAAGCAGAATCCGACATCAGCTACACCTCCAATGTCTGGCAGAAACGTACATGCTCTTCTTCCCTGCAGATGTCTTTGTCGATACTGATTTTGAATCTTTGTAGGTGTCGTCGCCAGTGAGATCTTCATCAATCCCACTGTCACCACCGGCGAAGGCAGCCGCAAGCTCATTCAGATTGCCAACCAAGGAGTAAGACGTCCCACATTCTACCACCCTGTATCCGTCACATCCTGTATGTGGGCCAACATGAATTTTCTTAGACTCCAGTCCTGTTACCCATGTCTCCAAAGTATCTTCATGCCCAATCCAGGTCCTGACGGTGTTGCAGATGACCGAGTTTGCCGCTCAAACCCGAGAGTCGGTCCACGGGTTCACCGACGCTGACCACGATCACCAATACATCTACTATTCCTCGCTGCTCGGAAATATCTCGAAACGAAGAGAACAGGGCGCCCAATTCAACGAGAGACAGGTCCATCGCGAGCTGGACAAGAAACTCGAACGCTACGAGCTGCAGAAACTCCGCTACCACGCCGCGACCAAGCTCTCCAACGACTTGGTCTACAAATTCGAGCAACTCGGCAAGGTCGCGCAGAGTCTGTTGACCAGCCAAGAAGAGCTCGGCGAGGAGATCGCCGTGACCGACTCGGGCAGGAAGAAGATCGTGGTCAGCGCCAAATGTATCGACGCGTTGTGGAAGGATATCATTACGACGCATACGCAGCTCAAGAAGTTGCAGGACAACATCGCCACGACCAAGATGACCCTCCCGCCTGTTCCGGGTCGCTTGAAGCCTGGCGAGATTGACCGTGGTGAAGATGAGGCAGGGAACAAGCTTGGCAGCGAGACCGTGTGGGTTTACGATCCTACGAACATGGTTGGTGGGGACAAACTCGTCATTGGCACAGATGGTGAAATAGAGGGCCTGGACGCGGATGAGTCGGGTCGAACCGGTCCTGAAGCAGCGCCTTCATCACCCGATGAGAGCACCTTGGTTGAGGAGTTCGAGGACCAGTGCCAGATCAGTTCCCCTTCTGGGTGTGCCGGACCCGCCAGCTTCACAGATGCTCCTGCCACGCCGGATACGGAGGACTCAAGCAAGGCAACCCATGAAGAGAAGAGCAAGCGAGCAGATGTCAAGCGTGGTGGCAAGCGCAAAGCCGAAGAGGAAGAATCTGCAGTTTCCAAGGACGGTGCGGAGGTGCAGGATGAAGTGGACGAGAGTGACAGCGAGGTGTTGTTCATCTGCGAGTGATTGCAGAGGACGCTGGATACGGCCGCAGGCTAAGAGGCATCATCGTGTTAGTGCGCCCTGGATCAGAAGACTTTCAAAGCAATGGATGGTAGTACCAGGCTTGACTGTGCTGTGACTTCATGTCAATCTCGATTCTGCTTGTGTACGGTAAGCCAGTCAGCACATCGCGTTACAACATGCTCCGTACCAACCACTTTATCAAAGGCAGACGTTTGCTCGTCAACCCCTTTTACCCTCTCCTTTGTAGTCATACACGATCCTCGTCCTGACCACCTTGCCCGCGTTCCAAACGACAACCCGCCTCGTATATCGTCTCTCGCCATTGATCACCTCAAACCCCCAGACCTGCTCACACTTCCAGCCAGCGCCACCACCAGTGCTCTCCACCCAACTCTGAACGACCTCGTCGACCTCGAACCGCGAATCCGTCCTCCCATCCTTCAACTTCTCCCCCCTAAGGAAGGCAGCGTCCTCGGCCGACCCGGGCCCCTCGAGATGATACTCGCTGATCTTGACGAGGCGTGCTCTATGCCGACACTTGCCGAAGATCTTGTCGACGTGCTCGGCATCCTGCCAGTTCAAGACGCGGTCTTCCTGGGTCTTGTCGAGGCCGGCCACGACGGTGGTGACATCGATATGCGTCGTAGCGTCTTTGGTGTATTCCTTTACCGTGAGCTGCATGTCATGTCGCGTTATCTGTCAGTCAAGGCATTTCACCAGTCCAACAAGTGGCAAACACAAGCATACCACAACGCTAGCCAGGCTGATGACCTTGCGAATAGCCCAGTTGATGCCCTGCAACTCGAGCATGGCGTCGACGTCGTCGGAGAGGGACTTGTTCTACATAGTATATCCGGTCAGAGTGCGTGGCAGAATCGGAACTGGAGGCAGGGTTTAGTTACCAAGGCGAACTTGCCCGATAAGTTGGTGCATGTGGTCTGAGGTGGTGCGGCCATGGCGGCGGTGACGGAGGGTGGTACTTAGCTACAGTAGACTCGCGGGTCTCGTTGACCTCGAAGCGGCAAGACGGAGAAAGCATTGCTGTTTTTATAGTATGTCGCGGTCCCTGCGAGTCGAGGCCGCGTCCTACTCGGCTGGAGTTCGAGATGTCGAAACGGTTCCCTAAGTAGGCGTAGCGGTTACCAAAACTGTCGATGCGTGCCGTTCAGCTAGCCACCAAATCAGCCTGGTGGTGCGAGTATACTCATTGGCTGGCTGCGGGTTGATAGTTGGTCTGCAAGGCGTGTAGCTGCGTCTTGCGGCTGCTGTGATGCATAATTGACCCGGTAAAGCGTGTCTCTCCCATGGCATGCAGAGTTCTCCTTCTGCTGTGGGAGTGGCTGGCTATGCTCACTCCTCGCGCCGAGACATTGTCCGGTCATGTACCATTTTCTTTGCGTCCAGGGTACAGTGGCCGCACTTGCCAATGGGTTCGGAAGCGAAGCTTCAGCAGCCGGGGATAACAATGGGGCGGTGTTGTCGATGAGTACAAATACAAGAAGCCATTGAGGCCCCGACATTAGCGCAGACCAAGTGGGGCAGGAGCGAGGAGCATCAAGATCACACTATCTCAGCCTCAACCTCGAGCTTCTGTGTTCTTGTTTGGCAACAGCATGATTTGGGCTGAAGTCATCACCTCCTCTGAGGACTGAGCACTGTGCTCGCCACTGCCACTCCGTTTCGACATGTAGCGGCTGATCCTCACCGTTACTCAAAGCTGCACTGATCAGGAGCGAATGTGAAGCATGAGACTTAGATATTCTGATTGCTGGTCATACCCATGCTCTTCTCAAGGTCCATACTGGCGGAAGCTTCTGGTCGTCTGAACTAACGCCGTCTACACATGGCATACTCGACAGGATTCCATCCACTACACAGGCATCATTTCGTTGTCCGAAGCAACGTGAGGCAACCATTACCACCTCAGAGCAGCCAACACTTTCTCGTTGGGAATACTCGATGACTATCAAGCCGGCTCCCGTAACATTCAATGCGTCGACCACTACACGGTGTGTTGCTGAGCCGTTGCCCGGGCAGAACCACTAAGCTCAATGTGACGATACAAGGGACTGAGACAGTCGGCACGTTGAGACGGGTTCCAACCCGCGAGAAATCGAAGCCGCCGTCTTCATCACCCAGACTTCCATGGCCTTGTCTATGAGTGGGGGCTGGTTGTATCAACTTGACCTACCCGGCAAGAGGATGCTCACGAACTAGGTGGACTTTGTGAGTAGCAGTGCATAACTCGTGCTCTGCACCATGGACGATGAAGCGGCCAGTGGCCTTACTATGCTTCGTGGAGACTCGACACAAAAGTGGCCTCAGGCGTACTTGACCGTCAATCGCAGAGTCTTGGTCTCGAACACGTGCCTTCTGCGTGGGGAATTGGCGTGCTGTTGGCATCTCTACTGAAGCTGCGATGCTGGCTTGCAGGACTGCATGCGCTGGGCGTCGAAACGTGCCGGAATGGTCTGCTCCATTGAAAACCCGCGAAAAAGCTACATCGGTGGTAGCCACGTTGTGGATAAAGGTACCACGGGTCTCAGACAATGAGGACGGCTGTTGGGAGAGGTTTCCCGAGGGTAATTGTGCGGTCACTCTTCTGAGGAACAACGACGTTATTTGTAGTCCGCGTTTGGGTCGAAGCCCAAGACGACCTCAGTGGTTGCGAGTCAAGACTCGAGACTTGGGGACATGCTGCTGCAATTTACTAGCTTTTCGGAGTATGGAAGGGGTAATGATGTTGCAGCATCGCTTCAACCCACCATCCCATAGTTCAAGTGTTTTAATCGAGCCCTATTCCCCTTGCACTACCAGTCGTCCAGCGCCGCGAGAAGGCTGAACTCCTTTAGCAGGATCGACGTCATAAGGCCAAGGAGCCTGGCGACCCCTGAAACTTGATGTGAGGAAGGTCACCCGATGTGGACAGTTTCGCGTTCAGAGACGTCAAGATGACCTCTGCTCTATGAGCTGGGCTGAGTGGAGCAGAGCTTCTCACACATATCAACATGATATTAAGGTCGGATGTGCTCTTGCTGAGCAGTTTCCTTGCAATTTCTGCGCAGGCAGCAGAGACAAGAGCCTCCGAGTCTTCGCGGCCTCGAGGTGTCGGACCCGAATGTAAGAAATGTTCCCCAGCGCAAGAACAAGAGCAAGGCCATAGGGGAAACCTATAAGCCGCTGCTGAGGTTTGCACATCTGTCCAAGATCAACGATGACTGACCTCTCCATATAGTCGCCAAATTCTACAAGTCCACCGCCTCCCCCGCCAATTTCACATGTATTTCGAACCCGGCCATTTCGATCCCCTTCTCTCGCATCAACGACGACTTTTGCGACTGCCCCGACGGCAGCGATGAGCCTGGCACTTCGGCCTGCTCTTACCTCTCCCCCCTGTCGCCGCCCCAGTACCACCCGGGCCCAGACACGCTCTCCACGACGGCAAACACAACGTTAGCATTACCGGGCTTCTACTGCAAGAACAAGGGCCATGTGCCACAGTATTTGAGATTCGAGAGCGTCAACGACGGGAAATGCGACTACGAGATCTGCTGTGACGGGTCAGACGAGTACGCTTCCGTAGGGGGGGTCAAGTGCGAGGACAGATGCGCGAGCATCGGCAAAGAATACCGCAAGCAGGAGGAGACGCGGCAGAAAGCCCTGCGAGCGGCGTTAAAGCGGAAGTCCCAGCTCGCGGCCGAGGCGGAGAGGCTGAAGAAGGAAGTCGAGTTGAAGATTGAGGACGCCGAGATCAAGTTGAAGGCATTCCAGATTAATGTCAAAGAGGCCGAGGAGAACCTGAAGGAAGTGGAACGGCGAGAGAAATTGAGGGTCGTCAGGGGCCAGTCCGCGGGCGGTGGCAAACTCGGGGTACTAGTCGGACTCTCAAAATCACGGATCGACGAGCTGCGGGCACAGCTGGCCAAGACCAAGAAACAGCGCGATAGCATGGTCGGCCGGGTCACGGAGCTCGAAGGTCTGCTGTCGGCCCTGCAGAAGGACCACAACCCGAATTTCAACGACGAAGGCGTCAAGGCCGCGGTGCGCGGGTGGGAGGACTACGCGGCGCGCGACACGGACGACAACTGGACAGAAGCCGAGGATCGCGATCTCCAGGCCATCCTCGCCGACGACACCGACGCCAACGGCATCGACTGGGCCGAGTTCTCCCAGGAAAGTGACTTGGACGTGGAGTCTGACGTCGCAGCCCTGTATAGCTTCACGTCCTATCTCCCCGCGCCGCTCCGCGTCTGGCTCTCCGACAGCATGGCCTCCTTGCGCAAGATCCTCATCGAGAACGGCGTGCTCCCCGACACAGGCAAGTCCGCCGACTCGGCCGCCCAGGAGTCCAAAGCCGTGCAGGACGCAAAGCGCACGCTGAGCGACGCGGAACGCGACGTGCGCAACGCCGAGAACGACATCACCCGATTCCGCGAGGACTTGTCGAAAGATTACGGCCCCTTTGACGGCATCTTCCGCGCGCTCAAGGACCAGTGCATCTCAAAAGACAGCGGCGAGTACGAGTACGAGGTCTGCTTCCTGGGCAGCACGAAGCAGAGACCCAAGAAAGGGGGCGCACACACGGGGATGGGCAACTTTGCGGGCTTTGACGCTGAATTCGTGGATGAAGGCGTCGACAAGGACGGGAAAGGCTTGGGCACGGGCAACAGAGTGGTCTTGAAGTATGAAAACGGGCAGCATTGCTGGAATGGGCCAAACCGGAGTACCCGCGTGGTGTTGGCGTGCGCGGAAAAGGAAGAAATCTGGAAGGTCAGTGAGAGTGAAAAGTGCGTGTATCGGATCGAGGTCGGCACGGCGGCGGTTTGCGAGTCGAGTGTCAAAAAGAATGAAGAGCAGGAGAAAGCGGATGATGCTGCAAAGAAGGATGAACTGTAGCTGTACCGCTACAGTAGCTCGCACTTCCATCTTGAGCCTGCCCCAATCCAACTGCACTGTAGTGCATGTGCACAGTGCAATACCTCGAGACTCATACGTGGAGAGCCTCCTCTTACGCTTAGAGTAAAGTACCTCGGACGGCGACGAGGAGGTCGCGGTGGCTGAGTTCAAGGTGAGTTCAGGTAAACTCGAGGGGAGGGTAAGGTGAATCGTGTGCGAGTCGACTACTCGTACAAACGGGGCTAATAGGATCGCCGCCCAGATCTTCCGCCGCCTGAGTTGCCACGGCTGCTGAGGCACCGAAAGCCCTTGGGGAAGAAGGACGTCTAACGCGCAACAACGCGTTCTGAGGCAAGGAAGGCGCGGTTGTCAACATCCACCACGATGACCCCTAGTACGGAAGTATACAGCTCTCCGCCGGGATGTAATGGCCTAAGTATGTCGCGGTGGAAAAGGAGTGATTCTTGACAGACTCGGACAACCGCTCTTCCTACGCTCTCCTAGGCATCAAGACACAGAAAATTCCCCTCCGACTCCCCTGCTGAGAACAATTGACTTCTCCATGGCACTTCTTGGCCTGAATGAACTGGCTCGCTTTGGCTTCCTGGCTGTTTCGACCTTCCTCCGTGTCGTGTTCCATCTAGACCACGCGATTTTCTCCCAAATGAGATAGGTGTTCGGCGTCCCTTTGTGCTGCCATCCGCTCGGTTCATCAACATGTACTTCTCTTGGCGGCAAGTTCTGCCTCGGCGGATCAATGTATTGCTGTCTTCCCACCCCAGATACTCCACCCCAAAAGGTTTCGATATAGGTGACGAAGGCCTTGAGCCGTGTCTGAGGGGATAAAGCTGATGTGTCATAGACTGGAATATGAACGAGCATTTCTTCCGCTTTTCACGCAGTCGCTTTGTCTGTGACGAAAGCTACAACATGTTCATGCGGACCGTCCGGTTCGACATGAATCAGTTTGCGCGGGTTGCGGTCGACCCTTTAACAGCAGAGATATCATCATGGGGAAGATGCCAGGAATTCAGCTCCTGCAGGTCTGGGACCGGATGGCACTCATAGACAAGCTACAGGTCATTACTCAGCTCTTCGAAGTTCAGAAAACGTGGCTGTCAGCTCGTTTTGAGAAGATTGGGAGCCTTTACTACGATACGCGGATGATGTCGAAGCGAGCGTGGCAAACAAGAGCCACTTGTTTACCGACAACAACGGAACGGAAGTGAGAAACGAGCGTTTTGCCATAGGCCCAACAACCGGCCGAGACTGGATTGATGCAGGCAGATCCTTTTTGAAATCCGACCGAAGTCCTTGCAAGGTGCTTATCGCCACCGGAGCTGTTCGAGACTAATTCTTCACAGAGCCGTCCATCTGGGACTACTACCAAACTGTCCTCCAAAGGGAGATCGATGCCACAAAGAATGTGCCACGTCTTCCCAAGCAGATGGTGGTGCTCTGCGCCCCTACACTCTATCTGCCAACACGTGAGAAGAATCTGGCTGCGCTGGAATCATGCGCACATGTTGCTAGATACGCCCTTCCCTCCGATCCTTTGATTTGTGCATCTCACCTATGGCACAACGACCTCCACGACGAAAAGATATTCGTGGATCCCATGAATCACACCCGCATAACTGGCATCATTGACTGGCAATCGACGCAGGCAGGAACTCTCTTTGAAAACACCAGCGATCCTGGTATCCTTGACTACGACGGACCAGGCATCGAGTCTCTGGAGAAGCCAACACTTTTCCAAAATTACAAGGAACTATTCGGAACCGAGAAAGCTGCTGAAATTCAGCTCTACTATAGCAAGTCTCTCCTGGTGGCTTACCGGAGGCTCACCCAGAGGAATCCGTCCTTTAAAAAGACGTCCGAGTTCCAGGCCTCTACCGCATTTGACATTCTCAAACTCTCGCGCCGCATCTTTGAAGTCGGCGAGGCTCATGTGCAGGCCCTTGTCAGCACACCCGGGCTTCAGTAGAGTGACCCCGCTGCTGTACAGCAAGCTGGCGAACCCGCCTCTCCACCCAGCTTCTCGGAATCCGATCTTCAGCGTATCGAGAGTGACGCCGAAGCTGCCGATGCTGGCATCCAAGCAACGGACGAGATCAGGAGGCGGCTAGGGGAATACTGGCCCGAGAAAGGTGCCGTCCAGGCCCAACATTACGATGAGACGAAGCGCTTGCTCAAGCAGATAAAAGAAGAGCTCGTGCACGAGCTTGCACTTGATCCCGAAGGCAGGACGGTCTTCGAACAGTTCCGTCCATTTGATGAATAGGGCTCGACATGGTTGCTTGGATGCAAAATACCCGCAGTAACTTCTGGTGCCCGTGTCTCCAGAGCATGTGTTAAGAGATGGCCCCGTTATGGACCTCCAGATCAAGCAGATCGATGGCAGACCGTGGGCCCTGTTGCTATCAACCGGTAGACGCTTGAGCTCTCTGCAAAGAAGAGCCCGGAATGAGCGTCGCCTCTACATTGGCACCTGTGCTCGTGGCGGTCCAGCAAGAGTACCAGGCAAAGAAGTCACATGTACCAATCCAACAGAGCCCATCTCCAACGGCATTTATGATTTCCATCACCTCAGGATCACGGTTCCATGGATCTTGATCTGCCCGAGCTACGGACGTTTGCCTGACTGGCATTAGTCCCCTCGGACATCACCAGACATGGATCGTCGGGCCGAAGAACGCCACGGATGATGCGAAAGGGAGACTGGCGCTGTCGGCGAAGTGAGAATGGTCTCATGAGGAGCGAGAAAACCTCCCTTCCCCTCAACCAGCATAGTAGCCGCGCAGGTCATGGGTACGCAGGTATTGGATGGAGGGCAGGGCCGGGTGGCACATATTCGCAATGACAGTGCAGGTTCTGAAATGCCAGCCCGAGTTGCATTCCGACGAGGCAAGGAATTCGAGAAATGCTACAAGGTGAAGAGTAGTGATCCAAGTTGTGCAAGGGGTGAATTGGAATATCTGCCAAGCTCCAGCAGCAAAATGTGGGGAAATGCTCCCGGCGGTGCCTCGATTCTGGGTCGTCGATGAGGACCTTAAGTAACGACAAAAAGCCGTGGCCATTGAACATCTAGAGCGAATGCGATGACGTCGCTTCCGCAAGGCTTACCGTGCTTCATTGGTGATATGTAATCGACGGCTGAACATAGTAATAACAAGTACCGCATGTGGCGATAGCGCAATATATGGGCTGGTGTAGTAATCACCGGGGTAGAGTAATCGCAGGCATACAAGCAGGCATATAATCGAAGACAATGAAGTCTTGCAAAACTCTTAATTTTCCACGATTGTCGGACTGCGCTCAAATGCTTCCTATCAGACACTTAGGCTCGCTGCACCACGATGTTGATTCTCGATCTTCCTAACGAGGTACTGGCGCACATTGTTCGGTATGCCAACCTCAATGGAGACCTTTCTGGCCTGAGACTGGTTCACCCGAGGCTTCTCGGGGTACTCGCCCACCAGTCTCGCCTGTTGCTTGCAGACAAGTCCCTCAGATATGGTATCAGTCCTCGGGCGTTGCGTCTCTATCGATCACAGCACGTTGGAAGACCGTTCGCTCACGACCACCTCGATCCGGCCATGTTAGATGTCCTGGCGTTGGATCAATTCCTGCGGGAGACGGGAAGTCTGGCTGTGGACGCTGACCGGGCCCTTCGTCCCTTGCACAATGCATCCGTTGAGCACCAGCCGAGCAGTCGAGAGCCCTTTATGCTGTTCGCGGCCTTCACCCGGGTGTTGAACTCATCAACAACGATTTCCCACTCGACAGCGTTCGACTTGCTTGCCCCATCACCCAACGGAGGACAGACTTACTCCAAGAGCTACTCGGACAGTTTTCTGCAGCTCCTGAAACAGGAGTTGACTTTAGTCGAGCTGGAAGCTATCATTGGTGCGATTAGCATCTGCGCGATGAAACTCTGGAGCACCGTCTTCGTGTTCAGGCCTAAGGATTCCACAGTCACCGGCTTCGGCAGTCTCAGTGGGGCCTCCTTCAATACAGATCAGGCGATCTTGACGGAGCATATCATCTGGAAAGGGCCCCTTTGGGCAGCGAGAGTACTGGAACTCTACGGACCAGCCGAGATAGGGGCAACGCCAACTCAGCTGGACGCCGACGTGGGCAGCAATCTCATCAAGGAGGCAGTCTGGAGAGGGACACGCGAGGAAGGAGCTCGACTAGCCGCCAATGGAGTTGCGCGGCTCTTGTGGAAAGAGAGACAGGAAAGGATAGAGGCAAAGGCCAATGCATCTGCAGAGAAGATCAGCATTGCGGACATGAGGGTGAATCCATTGGTGTGGCGAGGCTCTTCGGGCGACATGTAGATTGCTTGGAGAGAGGCGCTCGAAAGGAGCGAGGAGAACAGTACGCATAACCGACGGTCGTGTCGATATCTAGCCTGTCAATTATCGAGACGTGGAGAGATGAACGGCAGGTGAAATGCAGGTGAAATGCAGGAGAGAACATTTGGACCAGTTGGGATTTATTTTCAGATTGTCCGCCGCCTGATAGGACGATGAGAGCTGCGTCATGCAGGGCGCACCGTGAAATGACCGAGGAAATTCAGGCACCGGCCGATTCAGGACTAGAGGGTCGCTAGCGCCTTGGCCTGTTTGTTTACCGGATCAGCCCCTGTCGCTGCAGGTGTCAACAAGCAAGGAGTTCGCTTCCATCACCGCAACTTGTCGCCCAGCGCAACGTCAACGAGGGACCTGCTCTGACACAAGTCCCTACCACCAGGCCACCCTGCTAGAGACCGCATCCAGCTTTCTCATGGATACACGCATTTTGCAACCCTCCAGCCTTACACTGTACGCGTCGTCCGATATTCGAGTGTCCAGCCATGACCATGTCCCTCACCGACACGATGCCTGAACCACTCTCCTCACTGTCGCCGGCCAAGCAGAACTCCCGATCATCTCCCTCTCCGACGAAGCTCGATTTTTTCCAGAAAACGACACTAGAAGCTCTCACGTCGCCCGTCACCATGTCGGGGGCTGCTGTCAGCCATCCCGTACCAATCGATAGCCCGACTGCTCTGCGGAACACGTCGAACCGTCCCGTCTCCCCTCCTACGCAGAACGGGCCGCCATCGAGTCCGAAAAAGCCACTGTCCCCGATCAAATATCGTCTGCAGGACGAAGTCAAATTCGAAAGCTCTCCTCCTGCCTCTCCTGCCGAGCTCACCGTACGATTCAACGAAGGCCTGACACGCGCGATTGACACAATGCAGAAGGAGCGCGACATGGAAGATGACGTCCTGAACGAGTCAACCATGTACCACACGCTCGACGAGGGGAAATCTGCATCGCCCGATCGCGAGAACGAGGGCAAAGGGGAAGCAGACACCTCAACTCTGAGAACGACCCTGGAAGATAAAGCAATCCAGGACGACACCGTCGGCGACCTTAGCACCATTTCTGCCATTCCTACAGACATGACCAGATTCGCCAACCTGAGAAGCACCCCGGCCAAAGCGCAGCAAGACGGCTGGTCCCCTTCGAAACAATTAAGGACTTCGGTTGTCACCAGTACTCCTGGCACTGCTCAACGTCCTTTGCGACTTCTTTCAATGTCAAGGCGGAGTACGTCGTCAAATGAGGAGGACGACGCAACTCCTCGAAGAAATCCCAATCTTAATGACTCGCCGACTGATCTTTTGAACTTCACCGGTCCAACAAATATCGTGATTCCTCCGCCGGCTTCTGCGTCGCGTCCAATCAGAAGAAGTCCGTCTGGTAGAGGAGGTTTTCCCATCAAAGTCAACCCTAGCCCCCTACATCGATCACAAGCTTCTGTAGATCGCGAACGAGCTTCAGGCCGCTCGCCACAAAAACTTGAACACCAAGCTCTTTTTGGGGACAGAACGGTGCCATCGACGCCGGCTGGTCAGAGACACAGTATGTACGGTGCTGCATCGGGCCTCGGTATGGATTTATTGGACATTGACCTTGAACCGATGGCGACTCCACGCTCCATCCCCACTATCACGCCTCGGGAGCTGGAAACGCTACGGTCGGAGCTTCAATCGCGCATATCAGGTCTCGAAGCGACTCTGTCCGGGAAAGAGGCCGACGTCATGGCGTTGAAGCGCGCTGTAACAGATGCTGAAGTACGGGTGGGCAAGACAAGCGAAGAGCTTCGCAACGAGCGGGCTACTCGAGAGGAAGTGGAGCATGCAAAAGAGGACTTGGAGCGCCGGACTCGAGAGATGGAGGAGGTCCTTAGGGAGGTCAAACAGAACATCTTTCTCGAAGAACGGGAAAAGGAGAAACTCCGAAAACAGGCTGAAGAGGCAGAACGGAAGACGGAAGAACACGAAGTGCGGATCCTTGAATTACAAGCGTCCCTCGATACTCTTCGCTCTGAGCGTGTCAAGGGCACATTCAGCCCGGAAAAGACCGACGCCCCAGCCACTCCCGGCATGAGTGCTGACATCGATTTTGCGGTCAAGGACGCGACAGAAAAGGTGGCTCGAGAGTTGCATGCACTGTACAAAGGCAAACATGAGCGTAAAGTGGCCGATCTCAAGGTCAGCTACGAGAAGCGGTGGATCAAGCAGGTGGAGCAGCTTCGGGCCGACCTGAAGGCGTCCCAGGACGAGGTGCTCAGACTGCAGACGGAGAAGGAAGCAACGATGAGTGGAGTCATCCCGGGGCAAAGTGAAGCAATGCACAAGATGGAAGGCCAGATCGAAGAACTTCGACGGTGGAATGAGGAGAACAGCGCTGAGAAGAAGATGCTGGAGGCCGAGACGGCAGGGCTTCGCAGCCAAGTCGAATCACTTGCCTCGGAGAACGACTCATTGCGCAAGGAGATCGAACAAGAACGAGTCGAGAAAGGCGATCTAGTGGCTCAGGTTGACTTGTTCCTTGCAATTAGCGCCCAACAGGAGGAGCAGCGCGCCATTCAACAGCCTCAACAGCCGGTCAGTCCGCCTCGCAGTGAAGACGGGAATGGAAGACCCAACTCCGCATCGGCTGTCGCCAGTCCACACAAGTCCCGGAATAGCTTGAGCGGTGCCGATTCCAGAAGCGGATTACCGGGAAGAGCTCGGCCTATGAGTATGCTACAGAAACCGACCGCTGGAAAATATTCTGGGATTCCGGCCCCTGGATCTGGCCTGAAAGTGCCTTCGAGCAAGTCGGCTGGGTACGGAGGGCGGATCATGGAAGGCATTGCACGAATGGGAGCCGGTGGGAGGTGATGCTCTGCTTCGTGTCGAGCCATGCATCTGTGTATTAATGGTAATGACTGGCACGATTGACTTCTGGGATGATCTTGACGACTGCGTGTTGCGACGGCGCAAGGGCTCTCTGTCCAGTCGTCTTACCGGAGTAGCGACGGAGGTGCTTGGTGATATTCTTCCCGTGAGACAGTGAGATCGAACAGAGCGGTCTGGGCAGAAGAGAACGTACCTATGTAGCGAGCGACGCAGCGAGCCTTCATCCCTATGCACAATGGTTCTTACGGCCGGCCGGATGTGCGCGCACTCGGCAGTAGATATGCTTCACCGTATCATGTGACCTTTCTGTCCGTCTTTTCTCCCTTCACCACAGATCCGGCCACAACTTCCACAGAAACTCAATTCTTCGCTCGCTTAGTGCTGCAAAGGTGCAAGCTGTGCAGTCTCCGGTGACAAAAGCGCAAAGCTCTCCCCGTTATCCAAGCTCTAGACGTTTTCCTTCGACGCTGTTTCAGCCGTCAATGGTCCGAGACCCTAGATGCGGCACTATGTGGCCGGACACTGGAACCTGACACAGCTTTACCAGCCGTCCACCCCTTCGCACATCAAGCCAATCTCAGCACGCCGCCTCTTCCCGTCCGTCTAACCTGGCCTGTGCTCCCATAATTTGTCTTGAAGGCCGACTTCTTGAACCGTGCCAAGCAGCCTGACCGTTCGATGACGTGCAAGAGCCGGTAGCTTTCAGATCCGAAGCTTCAGATCTTCGCTTAGCGTGCGCTGACCTATGGCGGCGACGGTGACCACCACATGAAGCACGTTCAATCAAGCCACCATCGGGGATTCCCACCATGGCCGAGACGGAGCAAAGGCTTCGGCCAGATCTCCCCTTGTCCCAAAGCAGAATTTGGAAATGGGGAACAGTGAATGAGGCTGTCGCGGGCATCTCTGAGACGGAATGGTATACATAGAAAGGCGCCGGGATCGGGAACGGGGAAAGTATATATGCCTCGTGTTTGTCCCCTTTGCCATATATCTTCCTTCAGTCTGTTGATTCAGCTCGACCGTGACTCTTCGTTCGTTCCGCTGTCTTCTTTTTGCAACCCCTTCTCTTTCAATTCTATCGGTTCCTGGAGGACTGATCTGGTCTGGAACCCATTTTATGTTGCTAGATCCATTTTTCATCTCTGAATCGACGATCCCACGCTCGTTACGATCCTTACGATACCATCCGCTTCAGCAGCAACATACACCTCTTACAACATGAAGCCAGTCATCTGCATATCCCTCCTTCTCGCCGCAGGCGTCGACTTGGCGGCTGCCCGACCAGCCAACCTGCATATGAGGCGCGTTGGTGGTCACATCCACAGACGCTCCTCCGTGTGGAACACAAAACTCGGTCGACGTGAAGTGCCCCAGGAGCACTCGCATGAAAAATTTCTTACCACCGTCAACACCAACCTGAAGCTGGACAACCCAGACAACATCGTGGACGCCGTGTTTGGACTTCTTGGCAATGCTGCTGCTTCGGCTGGCCAGGGAGACATTACGGATACCGACTGTCTCCAACAAGCCACTGCCGACCAAGCGTTCACCAATGCCAAAGCCAACGGTGACGTTGACGGCATGACTGCTGCTTTGATCGTGAGTTCTCCGTACCTTTTTGGGACGGCTCCAGTGTGATTGTTTGCCAATAATCGGTGCAGGGCTAATGGAGTATCACAGTACCGAGCACTCGAGCGCAACACTGGTGCTGTCGGACAGGCATCCGTTGCCTGCACGTCCATCACGCCTGTCAATCCCGAGATTGCTGCCATCTCTCAGCACCAAGATCCAGCTTCTGACAATGCCACCAGCATCAACAAGGATATCGCATTGGCGCTTGCCGTTCAGATTGCGAACATTGGCGGCAACCCACTGGACGCGCTGCAATCCGGCACTTTCGCTCCTGGTGAGATCGGCGATCCCACTGGTGCAGGCAATACCTGTGATGTCGTCGATGAACCTGTCGGCTGCATCTTCACTCAGAACCTGCTTGTTGAAGATGCCAGTGAAGACGAAGTGAACGCTGCCGTTGCTGCTTCGGCCACTGCGAACGCTGGGGCTGCTGATGCTACTGCCCTCGCAGAGTGTACCGCTGCCCCCGACGACTCTACGGCAGTTGCGGGTACCACCACCGCCGTCGAAGCCGCCAGCACAACAGTTACTGAGGCAGCCACTCAGACAGCAGAAGCCGTTGCTAGCAGCACCGCGGCCGCGACGGGAGCTGCGGCCGCTGAGTCAGGGGCTGCGACATCTGTCGGGTCCTCTAATCTGGACTTGGGGTCTTGTGACAACCCTACCATCATTTTCGCAGATAACCTCGACGGCCGCAAAGAAGCTTCTTTCGCACCTGCCGACGAGACGACTTTTACGCACGGCTCGGCGCTGAACATCAAGGTGATTTCTGACTTCGTCTGTAAGTCTCTACCGCTGCATTGTGTGCCCTGTGCTCGTGACTAACACGATCAAAGGCCAACAACTCGAAACGAAATGCCAAGCATCCCAGGAGGCCATCGACGCATGCAATCAAGGAGCGACTGCTGCACAAGGCGAGACAGGCCAAGCGGCAGCTGATGCATTCAACCAGGCACTAGGCTTCTAGTGCCATTCGCAGTTTGGCCGTGAAACATGTGACAGGGGCTCTGCACTCGAATAGCCTTCAGTGTCATCGGAATGTATGTGTCCGTGCTAGATGAGATGTATAGCATTGGCGGCGTGAGCGACATATGTGGTTGCGATGAATGCAGCGCCCGACTGTCACATCTTGCCCGGGAAGTGTACCTTTTTTAAACAATTAAACAGGTGTCTCTGATGTGATGGTCTGTTTCAAACAGCGGGAGCGGGTATCAACCGCAAGCTCTGCCGTCCCCGTCGATCGATTAGTCGATCGCGACATTGAATTCATGAAACCCGTTGAGCCTGGGCAGGATAGTCCCATTCTCCTTCAGACGAGACTCGGCGGCGGATCCTTTCGGGGCTCGTCGGCAAGCTTCAAGACCCGCTGAACCATAGCTTCACTGTATCCTAGGTAGCTGGCAGGATCGCACAGTTTAGCCAGCTCCTCCCTACTCATCTTCTTGCTGATTTCCTCGTGCTCGCAGAGTAGATCCAGCAACTGTCGATTTTCCACCTGTGACGTGCGACACAGATCATACACCACATCATGGGCATACTGGCGGCCCAGGGTCTTCCCCAAGCCCATCATCACCGCTTCACTCACGATCCCGCCCCTTGAAATGTCGAGGTTCTTCTTCATGGCATCCTCATGCACTTCCAGCCCGGCGATAAGTTCCGAAGTCTGCTTCAACGACGCGTGAGTCAGCGTCGATATCTGCGGCAGCACAATCCATTCAATCTCCCAGGGTCCCGTGCTCCTCTCGTGATCGCCGACCATTGCCTCGAAGAGACTCGTGCTCAACTGCCGGACCGTGGCGGCCATGGCGGTGATGTACGCGCACGAGATGGGATTGCGCTTCTGCGGCATCGTGCTGCTGGACCCGCGATGCGGCACATACGGCTCCGACAGCTCGGCCACCTCGGTCTGCATCATCAGCTTGACGTCCAGGGCAAACTTGGCGCACGTGCTCGTCAGCATGGCGCACAGGGATCCAAACTCGGCAAAGCGATCCCGCTCGGTGTGCCACGCAATCTCCGGGACCTTGAGGTTCAGATCCTTGGCCAACTCCCGCTGACACTCCAGGCCCAACAGCGGCTCGTCCACGGTCGGGGGCAGCGTGGCCAACGTCCCCGCCGCGCCCGAGAACTCCAGCACGGTCAGCCGCGTCTCCACGTCCTTCAACCGCTCCCTGTGCCGCAGGAACGTGGCCAGCAGCCTGGCGAGCTTGAAGCCGAGCGACATGGGCACGGCGTGCTGCAGGTTCGACCGCGCCGCCATGGGCGTGGCCTTGTGCGCGTCGGCCAGGGCGCGCAGGGACGCAATGATGGCCTCGAGCTGCTTCTCGAACAGGCTCAGCGTGTCCCACAGCTGGATCACCGTCGCCGTGTCCGTAACGTCCTGCGTCGTGGCGCCCCAGTGCGCCCACTCGCCCAGCCCCGGTTCCACGCCGTTGACGTGGCGGACCAGCTGCTTGACCACGCCCAGCACGGGGTATCCGACGAGTTCGGTCTGCTGGCGGAGCTCGTCAAAGTTCACGTTCCGGATGTTCAGGCAGAAGGCGATGATCTCGTCGGCGGCCTTTTGCGGGATGATGCCCAGCCGGGCTTGGGCTTTGGCCAGCGCGCCCTCGAACGCGAGGTAGCATTGCGTGCGCGTCTTGTCGGACCAGATGGCCGCCGACTCGTGCGTCGACAGGATGTTGCCGAAGATGACGGAGTCTTGCACGGATGTCATGTCTGAGTGGAGTGGTCCTTTTGGCGATGATATGTATGTACAGATCACGGATGTCAAAATTAAGTATCTTCCTACTCGTAATCAAGATGCCCGGAAGCGTTTCTGAATTGTCGCGTGAGATGGGCAGGATGCCTAGACGCTAGGCTCTTTGTTCCTGAATCGGCAGGGCAGAGCAGAGCCTCGTGGAGGGATAATGAGGTCATCTTACAGGACGTTCGAAGGAGCAGTCGGCAATTATGCGGTTGGATCAATCGGTAGAGAACTCGTACGGAGACATTACCACAATACGTAGTTCTCCTCCCACGTCCCCCCGCGTCAGTAGAAGCCCGAATAATAGTTCTTCCGTCCCGAGCCCGGAGATGACGTCGACTTAACTCCGGCATCGGATTCCAAGCATCCAACACATCTTCACTTGTCCTCGTGTCTACACCTCTCTTCTGTACCTACTCAAGTCGAAGCCCATGAGACAGTCAGGACCGGCTACATTACGGTCGACCATCGACAAACTCGCGAGCCGAGCATTGATACCAGCCCCCCGGTCCAATTTACATTACATATCTGTCCGAGCTCAGTTTCAAACTTTCACCTCGAGCTCATTTCTAATCTCACGCCCACGCCCATACACGTCCAAGAAATCAGTGACAGCTTCATACCCCATCTACCTCACCATGGCAACGTCAACACGCTCGTCCAAGCGCCAAAAAACTGATGGCTCGACGGAGACGGACCCAACCGCCGGGACTGGCGCCGAGGACTCCTACCGTCTCATCTACTGGCCCGGCATGCCCGGCCGAGGCGAACACATCCGCCTAGCCTTCGAGGCCACCGGCACACCGTACACGGACGTCTCCAACGCAACAGACGAGGGCGTCAACGCCGTGCTCGCCCAAATCAGCGACAAGAACCTCGGCGACGAAACCAACCCGCCGCCCCTGGCCCCTCCGATCCTGCAGCACGGCGCCGTGCTCCTCTCCCAGACGCCTAACATCCTGTCCTACCTAGGTCTGCGACTCGGGTTGGTCCCGGACCCCTCTGAGGACCCGGCAGGCCTGTACCACGTCAACGCCCTCACACTGACGGCACTGGACGGCCTGTCCAATGAACCGCACGACGTGCACCATCCCATCGCGTCGGGGGCGTACTACGAGGAACAGAAGGACGAGGCCAAGCGCAAGGCCGCCGACTATCGCGCCGTCAGGCTGCCCAAGTTCCTTGGGTATTTTGAACGGGTGCTCAAGGGGCCGGCGTCGGGGGGAGGCCAGTATTTGTACGGCGGGAAGCTGACGTACGCCGACTTGGTCCTCTTCCAGACGCTGGATGGTGTGAGCTTTGCGTTTCCTCGGCGTGTGCGCCGCTTGAGGGAGACGGGCGAGTATGATGCCGTGTGGGGGCTCTATGAGCGCGTCAAGGGTCTGGAGAAGGTGAGTGCGTATCTGGCCAGTGAAAGGCGCAAGCCGTATAGTATGGGGATTTATCGGCATTATCCGGAGTTGGATGACGAGGAGTGAGGATCCATTGCGTAAGCCATGGATTAAAGGGGGGAGTAAAAAACGGAAGGGGCCGAGGCGTAAGTTAGATGAGGGGGAAGTGAGAAACGAATAAGAAGAGCCACGAATCAGATGGTGGATGATGGAGATGGGCGGTTGGAGAGTTGAGTCGAAGCCTAGGAGAGTTGAGTTGAGTCGCATGAATAGGATGGTCCAGTACGGCGCTCCTCACCTATGTACGGGAAAGTGCGTAGGGCGAGTAGGACAGCAAGGTAGGGCAGGGCAGGGCAGATTAGAACAGTCCATAGTGACGGACACTCCAGACTACATAGGTCTCAATGATATAAGAGATCCCTCAATGGTCCGGCACGGACGTAGTCTCTAGGGTGTCTGTACCCTGTCATGCCCGTGAAACCGACCTGCGTCCCTGAACTCCGCATTCCACCACGACGGTTCTTGGACAGCCCGTTTCACATTTCAGGACACTGTCAAGACCAGATATGTTGAAAGACGCAGACGATACCCGAGTAGTGACTAATTCAAATTCACAAGCAGCAACAAGGAAAAGCAAGGTCTGGTAAAAACTATCCTCAACTCGATTCAGATGAAGGTAGTGATTCCTGACCCTGCCCCGGGAGCAGCAAGCAACTCCCTGGTATGGATCAGATGCATCTGTACGTGAATGCTTGTGTTTTTGAAAAAACCAGAAAGAGTGGACGGGTCAAGGACGACGATGGCATCGTCAATGACCCGGCCCTGGATGGCAGCAAGTCCAGCCCAGGGCTAACATAACATACATAGTAACATGCCAGCCAGCAAACGAGTGATCCAATGCTCAAGGCCCAAGCTTCACAGAACGTCTTCTCAGCCCCTGGTACCAAAATCAAACTCTCTGCCCGCCCCTAGAGATGACTGACAGTCTGCGACCGTGAAGTGACGAATAGCAATCAGACTTGCGCGCCACGATCGGTCGGTTGCGGTGGTCGGTCGATCTCGGGATTTACTGTTCGAACAGAGCCCACTGATCGGAGGCATGATTGTACGGAATGGCGAGGTTTCTGAATGTCCCATTATTTGTGATGGTGGATGGACTGTGGCAGAGAAACAAATCAACAACTGCCGATACGAAGCGACAGGGTTTCAATACATACACTTTGTTTGGACGCAGACCATACCATCTGTTGTTGGAGCCGTTGTCTGCCCCAATAAGTTCATAATAGGAGCCGTTGTCGTTCAAGTACTTTTTGGTGTTCGAGTCCTGGATGGTATAAAGCGCCGCAGAGGCTTCAGTGGACTCACTGACAAGCTGGATGTCCCATGTATAGGAAGCCTTGGAGATCTGGACCTTGCCAGCCACTACCGCGAGGTTTTCAGCCCCTGAGCTGGGTGAAAGGATGATGCGGTACTCGGCATTTTTCACGAATTCGGCCTGCATTGTGGAGAGATTCAAGGTAGATGAGATGCACACAACGAAGTGAACAAGATGGAGAGGATCTCTGAAGATTGAGGAAGAAGGAACATTGAGAACAAAGGGGCATGGGAGACGGGAAAGCCTCGTTTATATGCCTTTTCTTCCACCTAGTTTCAACAATTGCTGATTCCCATAGTCGTCGAATTGCTTCACACTCTCGCTAGACATAGACTCCGCCTCCAAACAGGAAGGCACAACCGCATCTCTGCGATCCCTTCTGTGTCTGCAGGGTCTGGTCGCGGAAATTCCAGCGCCACTGCAATGCAGGCGGACTTCGTCTCGTCGGTAGCGAATAAAATGGTTGTGTGTGCGGAGACGGTTCATTGCCTTTGGTAAGGAAGTTGAATGTGGAGGGGGCAGACAACAACAGACACGATCTTGCTGGTTCGACGTTCAGCTTGCTTCTTCTTCTCCCCGATATGTCTTGTGAACATCTGCCAGCTCGCAAGAGCTCTGTGGCTGGCTGGAGAGCCACGACATGGGAGCTTACAGAGCGTTCTAGTGCGCTCGACATCCCGAAAACCGTCTTGTGCATGTTTGATAGCTGAGATAGGACGGACCTGCTCGGTGGCGTGCTGAATAGAGGGCATGGATGGTTCTGAGTGACACAAGTTGGCAGGAGTACGAGGCTGTGGCGCGACCAGATGCCGCTGAGCGTAGCGTGACAAATACTCCGTCTCGTGTCGCCGTTCCCTGTCGAATTCACCCGTATCGCATTGGGAGACTCTTGCGGTTCAGCTCGCCACGATTGCCGACTTCCCGAGCAAAGGTAGAAGAGTGTATATGGTTGGAGAGTTTGAAATGGTGCCAGACGACAAAGTGGTGGCGACGACGATAATGCTTGGGAGTTGGTGTCCTATTGGTCAGTACTGGCTTCTTGTGAAAGCGCTTGGCCAGCAGAGTATGCGTCGCAGCGGGTACGGGGCTTCTGGATCGCGGAGATGGTCGGCTGCACCAGCCGTGGCTCCAGCATAGATCTGGACATCATATCGCCACGGACAATCGGTGTCAAGAACTCGGAGCAATGTCTCATCACCTCCGCTGCTCTCATCGAACCGTAATCGCACAGAGCTTGGGCGATCGTCCTTGTCTATAGCGGTACTGCTGGGCCCTAGTATGATGTATCAACTTGAAATCGATTCATACATGCTCGTAATCCGCGTTTTGGCTCGTCAAGTGCGGTCAGAGTGCCGCTAGCTGGTTTTACTATCCGGATAACTGGCTCCGTCATGAGGCTTCGGAAGTGGCTTCTGCGGTTGAGCTGAACGTCGGTCGACGCAGTTCACATGCGCCTGTGGGACTGGTGGCGCGAACCACCACATCTGATCACTTCCCAATACTCTACATCCCGCGCAGGGATGCGACCGCCATCGGGTGCTGTAATAGTGATTGTCGATCCAGAAAATTCAGAGGTATTCTTCAGCTCTGGCTTGGAGCACAATATCTCTGAGGCTGAGGCACATGCAACGCTAGGTTGAGCTTCCTATGCGAATCTGTTGATTGGTAGAGACCGCGTGTCGTGTCCTTTGCGTGGCTGTTCGGACGATATGTCCATCTTGCGCTTTCAGCGTAGCCACAAATCAGCGAACAACCAACAAGACGAGGTGGTTTTCCGAGGTGGGAAGTGTCGAATGCATCTGCTATCGGAGGGCTGATGAAGAACAGGATTGGAAGTCCAAGGGCGTGAGGATCCGCATGCGAGCTGAGCTCCGTAGCAGAATGAACGGGCCCGTGCTCCACATATGCGTATCATTAGAGCTGGATGGAGGTCACTGCTCCAGGGCCTGTAGAACGTGGGGTAGTAAGGGCTCAGCAGTGCTGCAGCAAGATGCGTCTTCGTCTTCCGTGTCCAGCAGGAGCATATCGACACCCTCTCAACTGGCCTCTGACAGGGACTTTGATCAGTCAGCTGGCCTGAAGTCGTCGACGAGAAGAACATTGCGAGCGCTAGCGACGCCACAAAGAAGCTTAACTGAGCTTGTGGTGCTTGTCCTTTGTGCTTCTCGCATGAGCACGAGCAGTCCGTGGAAAGTTCGAGGCTTCCGCTCTGCCCGCTCCAGCTACGCCACTTGCGAGCTGTCATTTCGCACGATGATCGTACTACATGCAGGTAGTTTCTATCATTCCTGCACGGGAGCCGAGTCGGTCGAGGTCTGGGTCTGCTGTCAGCTACGCCGGAGTTTTCCCCGCGATTGTTGCAGGCGTGATGCCTAACTTCCTCACAAATGTGGGTGACCAGTCAGTGTCTCCACCACTTGCCAGACACCCATGATAGGCTGAGCTTTGGCTTCTCTACTTCGCGTAAAGTTCACAGAAGGATTGCGGCCTTTAACCTGGCCACTACTCCTTGGTTGGCTGACTTTAACGAGCAAAATTCCCAGCGTAGGCTACGGCGTCGGTCGAAGAAGGTGCGGAAGAAACAAATATTCGTGAAAAGCATCCTCAGATTCCGCTGGCAGGAAAGCCTGCATAGTAGAAAGAGGGGAAGAAAAAGGACAGGCGAGACAGCAAGGGAAACAAGCAGAAATGGGGAAACAGCGAACCCCAGAAGGAGGGACCCTGCTCACTGACTCACTAACACGGCTTCTTGGTCGGGCACAGCGCAGGCGCAGACGTCATCGGTCCAGCGCGGCAACTGCGATGTGCCTAAGCGATAAGGAGGTGAAGGGTAGAAGGTAAGGTGGGAAGGAACGCGGTAATTATGTAGAAGGTAAGTGGAAGATAGGAAGGTGAGTGCGCCCAGTATTTGGCCAGTGCGAGGTCTGATACGCCTACCCTCTCCAGTCCGGGAGATGGGAATCAGAGGGCACGCTCTTGGTCCATATATATGGCTGGTGGCATGAAAGGCGGAGAGCTTGTGTCTCTCAGATAAACCTCGCTCAGACACATTAGAATAGCTTCCGGTGGTGCTTACTGTACCACAACGTACGGCGTTATCTGTCGTAGTACTCTCCTTTAGGCAACGTTTTTCGCTTTTTCGAATCCCCCGGTGCTCTTCCGCGTCTAGCTGAAAATCCCTGGATAAAGCATGGTGCTATTCGCATCCATGTAGATGTAATTCCTCACCACGGCGGTCCCGTTTGCCAACGCCTCCTGCTGCTCTTCGGTACAAGTATCACCTGCCGCCCAGGTGTAGCACACCCACAGCGGGTCGGGCGGGTCCTTGTTCTTGATCGCCCAGGTATCTTTGGGAGCTGTGGTCGGCGTGGTGTACGAGTTGTTTTGTGCCACATCGACCTGCCCCGTGGCGATATCTAGATTGAACAAGGTGCGGTGGAAGATCCGATACGCCGTCTCGGGCTGGTAGGCCGGCACCTCGTGGCCGGCCTCGTACACGCGCGAGAAGCTGAAGTTGCCGTACTGACGCACCTGGCCGCCCGAATAGGTTGCGTTGGTGCGGATCGGGACGTACCCTGCGGCGTGAAACTTGGGAGCCTCGCTGTGGTTGACTGCCAGAGACACAGCCTCGCCGCCGATCCAGTTGCACGCAAAATCGCGGTCGCCGTACACAAGGGTGACCTTGATGTTGTTGTCCAGCAGATACTCGAGGTCCTCGAGCCAGCCGGGCCGCGGGTAGTCGCCGATGCTGCGGAACGCCGCGGCCACGACGCTGCTGCTCTGCGTGAAGTTCAGAGGCACGCCGAGCGCGTGCTGCACGTGTGCCTGGTTGAGGTAGCCCAGGTAGAAGTTGGAGGGGATCGGGTCTGGGTCCCGCGTGGCGAAGTCGTAGTAGTTGCGCCCGCTGAGGCGGGTGTACAGGTCGCGCACGTGCGTCGTGCAATACGACTCGGCCGCCTCGCACACGTCGTTGACCGAGGCGTTGAGCCCGCGCTGTGTGCTGTCGTACTGCAGCGACAGGGCGCGGCACGTGGCGATCTGGTCGCGACAGGCCCCTTCCCCATAATACCCCTCGGTCATCTGGTTGTATATGGTTTCATTCACCGCTTTAATCCCGTACGTGTTGTTGTACGCAATGTGCGGGTACGACGGCCACTGGACCTGGCGGTCGATGCAGCCATTGATGATCAGCAGCGTGTCCAGGTGGATGATGTACGTGTCGCCCACGTCGGTCCAGGTGCCGTTCTCGATCTTTTGGTTCTGCTCCTCGAAAAACGCCGCATACGACGGGCCGTATCTGCCGCCGTAGGATTCCGTGGCAATGGACACGCGGCTGTCGTTCGGGTGGTACCCGGGAAACTCCTGGAACCACGTCTGCGCAAAGTGCCAGAGTGCGCGTGCGCCGTTGAGGCTGCCAAACGCCGTCGAGTTGGCGTTCTGGCTCGGATACGTCCCCACGAGGAAGGTCGCGTTCTGCTCGGGGATCGGGTCCGTGGCGTTCAGGAGGCTGACGTCGCCGCTAAGCAGGTCGTGCGTGATGTTCTGCAGCGTGTCGTATGACAGGCCCACTTGGACCGGCTGGTCGATGTAGAGCATGTTGACTTCGTTGTGCCACGACCAAGGGTTGAGCCGGGTCGAGTTCGAGTCCGGGTTGACCATGCACGGTCCGTTCTCGTCGAACAGGCCCAGAAGCGACGAGCTGCCGGGACCGCCATTCATCCAGATCGAGAGCGGTGCGTTCAGGGGGTCCTTGCGTGCCTCGAAGAACCAGAAGAACGTGTTGATTGGGTACGGTTGCGCCTCGTTCAGGTCGCCTAGTGTGCCGGCTGGTAAGTGAACGTATCCGGCGTACGACTTGACACCTGGTGTGGTTTCGCATATCCCAGGCTGCAAGTACGCCGAACTTCAGCCAGGCATCAGATAGGTAGCAGGCATAATCACTCACCTCCTTGTACGATATATACACGCCATCGTCGAACTTGGACTTCAGTATCGTGACATTCTCAGGCTTTGGTGGGAACTGTGCAGACACGACCTGGGCCCCAAGGAGAGCTATGGCGGTGAAATGTCCTAGCATGGCTGCTCACGAATTCGCTCGAGAAGGTCCCGTGTCGTGCTTGTGCAATCGCCCTGGCGGATATACAGTACATATATACACAATCGCCTCCCGCGAGGCGGTCGCTGCGGGGAAACGAGACTTGGGCATTACACGTCCTACCTTTGCTGCTTTGTGATGTGACTCTGCTGTGAGATGCTGGCAACTGGCAGATATCATCTTGGCAGGTCAAGGTCAAAATTCACGAGCTGCCTGTCTGAGTCTGGTGGAAGGTTGATCGATGCAACCGGCCAGCTCACCGGCAGCGGTGCCTGCACATCACTTGCCCTGTTTCCCCTTTGCCGAGGCGTCGATCGCAATGTTGATAGGCTGCGGTGCTGCATTGTGATCCGATCTTCCGCTACGCCTTCTCGAACTGAGCCATGACGGGCTGTCGCCGTAGAAGCGAGCCAGACGTGACAAGCTCTGCGGTTGATAAGAGTTGTGGTGATGCTTGAAGGGAGATAAGCTCAGCTGGTTTCGACTTCCCAATATGCACGAGGAAGTGCACAGCACCTGCTCCGGTGCATCATATAGCCAACATCGCCGAACCCGTCGCTTCGGGAAAGCAAGGCGGACACACACGAGCCCAAGCTCTAGGAAGGAATACGGACCAGCTATGCAGCCAGTCCACACAATTGATATACATATAGGGTAAGGACCGGGATTCCAAGACCGCTGCATACTGTGAGTCTTGCCTGGGTCGCGTGTGGGCATAGCGTGTGTCTATGTGACAGTGCTCTCATATGGACTGTCTCAATTCTCTAATCACAAACGACTAGCTGTCGAGAGGTCGAACTTTTGCCCGACAATCTCCTCACTGAGCTTCCATAGTCGCTCCGCAGCCTTCACATCCTTCGCCCACTCCGCAGGTTCCGCCAAGTGACAGTCGCTAAGGTAAATCACCTTCGGGTCAGACAGCTTCGGATCCAGCGCCGCAACCAAGCTTGTGGCACTGCCCTGATCGAGGTCCTTCCAGAAGGTGCTCGTCTTCTCAATCATGGCTAGATGCTTCTCGTCCAGGTTCCGCGAGAGATCTGTCCAGATGGAACCCGGGTGCGTGGCTATCGATTGCAGTCCTGCGCTCGAAAGTTTCTCGTTAAGATACAAGGACAGTAAGATATTGGCCGTCTTCGATTGTCCGTATGCCACGAAAGGGACATATGTTTCTCCTGGGGGAGGGTCGAACGACACCCCTGGTCGGGACATAGGCCGCTCGTCCTCTGGGATGTCTTCTGGTCGTTTCTGGAATTTGTGGTCGCTGTATCGGATTGGGGAGATGATGTGGCCTTGACTCGTCACATTGACGACCCGCGTCGACCCAGGCGGAGACTTCTGGGCCGCCTTGAGAAGTTTCGGCATGAGGAGGTTGGTGAGAAGGAATGGTCCTACGTGGTTGGTCCCGAACTGTAATTCGAGCCCGTCCTTGGTGTATTCGTGCGACGACGTCACCACAGCAGCGTTGTTGATGAGAATGTCGATGTGCTCGACTAGACCGTTGATGACCTCGGCGCCCCTGCGGACGGAATCTAATGACGACAGGTCTAGCTGCACTGCTTCGATTGGTAAATCCGGATGCTCGGTCTTGACTTTGGAGATGACCTCTTCGATTTTCGACTTCGTCCGCGAAGCTAGGACAAGCAACGAAGGCGAATGAGCGGCAAGGGCTGCTGTCATAGACTCGCCCAAGCTTTGGGGCGATACGCCGACGATAACGACTGTAGGGACATAAGCCAGGTACCTTGGGGTGGAATATACGCGTAGACCAACCTGTTCTGCCTCGGATGACATCGCTAAATGTACGAGCGACTGTTGTCGCGGTGGTATTTCGATCAAATTCGGAATGTGACACCATGTTGGACATGGCGGGCTATTGGTATTGACGACAGCAAGCAGCGTACAAGTCTGAACCTGGACGAATCTGATCGCTTCAAAGTCGTCCCGCGCAGCAACCAATGTCTATATCTTGCCTTCGCTCGGCGGTTCGATGCAGAGCCGAGCCGAGATCGATGGTATGGTGCCAAGGAGAGATGTCAGGAGAGACCAATACCAGATGAGATCCGAATTTCACAAGCTTTGCAGCATCGCTAAAAACGGCGAAGCCAGAGTGCATGTCCCACTGGTTCGGACATAAATGTCCCGCCTGGATTATATAGAAGGCTGATAGCCCGGATCAGCATTCTAGAATCGGACATGTAGGCCGGTCTCAGCATCGCACCAGGTGTGGGGTCCATGCCGATTCTTCGGCGCCGAAGTCGATACTCCGGACTTGGAATGCAATTACCTCGTGTGGTAAATCAGCGGACTCTGGAGACTCGCTGTTGCATTGTATCCTGCAGGACTGACTTGCGTGATGCACCATTATCTCGAACGAACGGTTGGAGGCGGGAATGGGGAAAAGATGGGGTGAACATCTCGGTGTGGAGAGCCGTCCACAGCAGAGTTGCTGCCAATCAGGTCGCATCATTCGCTGTCCATTGTCCGTTTTGGTACAATGCATGGGACGGCAGTTCAGTTGGAGAAAAGCTAGGCCTTCCGCACCGTGACTGGACCGCTCTCGCCAGCAGACTTGATCGCACGTGAGTACAACCGATAGGATCGCTCGTGGGGCTATATCGGCCTCGTGCGGCGATCAAAGGGTCCTTGGCTCATTCATCAGGGACGTCCTGCCATAAAAGTCTTTCCAGAAGCTTTCCTTACCGCCCAACCTTTGTATAGACCCTGCCCATCAAACTCATCGCCAGTAAGCGAAAACACGCAGCGTGCAGGAGTCCAAAACGAAAGAACGAGATTGAAGCGTATCGAATATGATCATGGCTGCGGAGGAACCGTTTGCCAAGTCCAAAACCGGCGTCAAGGTCATCATCGTCGGAGCAGGTGAGGCACCCCACAGCGTCCCTGGCATGGGCGAAATGCTGACAGCAGGCAGGTTTTGGTGGGCTCACCGCGGCGATAGAATGCCATCGTCAGGGCCATGATGTTGAGATTTATGAGTCGTTCCCAGAGCTCAAGGTTCTTGGCGACATAATATCCTTCGGCTCCAACGCCGGACGGATATTCACTAGATGGGGTGTCGATGGCTCGATAGCCAAGAAAATGAGGACCCTGAGTATTGACCTCGTCAACCACGGATTCAAAATCCACAAGTACACGGGAGAGCACATCATCACCCAGAAGACGCCTCCAATGGATCCTGAAGCTCCTGTTTTCAACGGCCACCGAGGAGAACTGCACGAAGTTCTCTTCAATTACGCCCGCGACGATCTCAAGATCCCCATCCATCTCGGAGAGAAGGTAGTGAAGTACTTCGAAGAGGACAACAGAGCCGGTATTCAACTCGCAAATGGGGAGCAAGCTTGGGGCGATGTTGTTATTGGCTCGGACGGCGTGAGGTCGAAGGCGCGAGAACTTGTTCTGGGATACTTCGACAAGCCGAAGAGCAGCGGTTATGCCGTCTTCCGCGCCTGGTTCCCCAATACCGACATGCTCGCCGACCCGGAGACCGCCCATTTCTGCAACAACGGCGACACATTTCAGGGCTGGATTGGACAGGACGTCCATTTCCTTTTCTCGACCATCAAGAACGGAAGCGATTGCTGTTGGGTGTTGACACACAGGGTACGTTGGGACCAACTGGAAGTCCGACATTGCTGACCATTGCGCAGGACGATGCGGACATTGATGAATCATGGTCATTCCCGGGCAAGCTAGAAGACGTCTACAAGGTGTTTGAGGGCTGGGACCCTCTCTGCAAGAAAATTGTTTCCAAGACCCCAGAAAGCCGACTCGTCGACTGGAAATTAGTATACCGAGACCCGCTGCCGACCTGGGTCAGCAAGGGAGGCCGGATTGCATTGCTGGGTGACTCGGCGCATCCATTCTTGCCAACATCCGCGCAGGGTGCAACGCAATCAATGGAGGACGGCGTCACCATCGCTGTCTGTCTTCGACGTGCCGGGAAGAGCCAAGTCCAAGATGCTGTTCGAACGTATCAACGAATCAGGTGAGAAGATCCCGACATTGGCACTGAATTTGCACTGATAAGCTGGGCAGATACGACCGCGTCAAAGCAGTCCAGAAGACCGGGGAGACAACCCGAGATATGTGGCACAAAGCGGACTGGGACAAAGTCAAGGAGAACCCCGAATCAGTCCAATTTCCACGTGAAGATTGGATCCACACGCATGACGCCGAGAAGCACGCCGAGGAGGTCTTTGATGAAAATTTCGCTGCGGTAAAGGCTGGAGATAAGGGTGTCCCAGACAAGCTTGCAAGCGGTGGAGACAAAGTCAGCGCAACCGCGACCGTGAACGAAGTGTCTGTGGCTGGCGAGGTGGAAGTGAATGGTACTCACTGAACGCCTTTGAGTTTCTGTACAAAGGCTGAGATGATGGCAGAATCGTCCCGCTTGCGTTCGAAGCTGTGATCGTCTCATGCATGGAATTGGTGTTTCTTGGGGGTTGGCAAGGAGTCTCGGAAAGACAGGGGTATTTCTGCAGCGCCTGTCGAAATCTGACGCATGAAGAAGTGAAATGGACATGAGCCTCTGAGCTATTTAGGCCATTTTTAGCTTCAATATATCCACGTCTCGGCACCGAAGAGTTGTGTACGCTGATTGAGGCGCATCTGAAGTGAACAGATATCAGTGCAGAAACGCAAAAAGTACTAAGTCGCTGAACGGCGGAGCATAGCTTTGCTGAGCGTTGCCATGCTTGGCGGTACGGCGGAATACTTCTCAAGATGCGCAGTCAAAATCGCTTGGCCTGTGACTGATGAGCCTCGATTTCATACTCGTTGGTCGTACTCATCCTAAGAATGGGTGCCACTCCTTTCTGCTGAGATGGCGGCCATTTTTTCAAAGCCATGGGAATCCAGCGGTTGTTACACGATCTCCTCCCCTATGCTGAACGAGTTGTTCTTGGCGTCTCACCTCGAACGGCCACCGGGACAACCGACGTTGAAGCCTTGATAGTTGACGGGCCTTCGCTTGTCTATTTTGTATATAACAGGCTGCTAGCATATCATTGTCTCAATTCCCTCATTGCTCTCGCTCCGCCACCAACTTACGCCGAAATCAACCAAGCAGTCCTTCACCTTCTGGACGATCTCCAAACTCAAGGCATCACCATCGCACACATCTTCTTCGATGGAGGCTTGCCCAAATCTAAACGGGATGTCCGTCTCGACCGCATGGACAAGTTGCGCCAACAGCTCGACATCTTTCGAAAAGCCCACGCCGACTTCCCGCCCTGGTCAGCCTCTTCCGTTGGAGTGCGGGATTTTGAGAAGGCTCTCTGGGCAACCTCCGGGATTTCGACGAGAAAGTCGACTCTGCCAGCTCCACCGTTCATGGTAGCAAGCGTCATCGAGGCCTTGAGCACCGCTGACAGCCCATGGTCAAGGAGCGTCCACATCGTTCCTGGTGAGGCAGACCTGTACTGTGCTCTTGCAGCTCAAACCTCCGCGGGGAAGGTAGCAGTCCTCACTAATGACGCAGATCTGGCAGTCCATGAGCTCGGCGGGAGAGGCTGCGTGGCTCTGCTCCATTCACTCGAGAAGAAGCAGCGGAAGTCTGCACCGAGGGGCTTAGAGTTCACAGTCCTTTGCCTGGACCCAGCACACACTGCTTCGAGAATGAACGTCGACTCTCTCTTTGCCTTTGGGTTTGAGCGCTTTCTCGACTCGAACGCCTCCACGGCAATCATCCGAGAGCGGGCCAGGAATGCCTCGAGCCTGCACCAAATGAAGAGCGAGCACACTACATTTCTGGAAGAGTTCCTACCATCGATGCCGGTTTCTGCCAACTCCCAGCTCAATCTAAACAGCCTGGATCCACGCACCGCAGAGCTGGTTGTCGGGCTAGACGATTCGCCTTACGTATATTTGACTCCAATCTTAGAAGACCCACAACGCGACTCATCTTGGTCATATGGAGCACACATTCGACAGCTCGGGTACACCCTTCTATCATCCTCGACAAGGTCAAGGAATGCTAGGCTTACACAGCCCGCAGCTCCTGTCACGGAATATGCCAGAAAAGGCCAACGCATCTCATCTGCCACAGTGACGGCTCTCAAGCCATCCGACGCCATTCCTCGTATGGCTGAACTGGAATCACTTCTCGCCATATACATCTCTCCTCCCTCCCCAGGCGCGGCAGTCAATGACAGAACAGCACTGCCAGCATGGTACGCGCTCGCCATTCACCTGGTACACCAAGAAAAGGTCAAACTGGACAAGTCACCCCTAACCTTAACACAAGTTGCGCGTCTGTTCGGGCTGCCGCAGACGGCCGCTCTCACCTTTAAGATACCTCCGAGGATATCTTGGGAGGATATCCACCTCTTGGCAAATATTCAGGCGGTGCTCTATTCTCTACGAATGCTCTACCAGATCACGGGCTACATCATGAATCAAATGCAGCTCCCGTCCGAGTCTGCGGCTATGGCTTCTCCACACCCCGGCAATAGCGAAGGACTGCCGACGGGAATAGCAGCTCTTCATAGCACGCTGTCGAATATGCCTTCCATCGCAGATCTCCTGCTCGATATAACTCACTTGCGGCAGAAACTAGGTGAAGCAGATATCGAGACACGAAACATGACTATCCGGTGTCTGAAAGACGTACTTGAGCCGAAAAGCCTACCTGAACTCGCGATTCAACACTCGGTACGTGACGAGGGAAATCAAGACACTAGTAACGAACATGACGAAGCGGTATGGGCCACAGCCAAGCCGAAGAAGAAGAAGAAGAGGAAAAGAGGACGACAGCTTGAGACGCAGGCCATCCAGACAAAAAGCACGAATATTTTCAAGCTATTGTCGGATGATCCAGGCTGATGGTCGTGTCTGATATATGTTGTATCTAGACCAGCAGTGTGATACAGCTCTAACTACGCCATCTGACCAAAATGCCCGGACCCCGCCTCATGGAGGATATCGAGATGGTGTCATCTACATGGCTTTCAACCCATACTCGACTCCTCAAAGACCACGTGCATCTCTTGCTCGGCATCAACAGGAAAGACATCCGCTTGGCCGACCTCCGGTCCTTCTACCGTCCGCAGTTGAGATCTTACTATATCGGCATTCATATCATGTCCCTCCCGCGCGGCAACTCTTCTGACCAACTCCGTTTCGCTGGCTTGCAGCGCGACGAAGACTGTCTTGACAAAGCCTACGGCCGTCTCATCACCTGTACTGGAAAGAATATCTCTTAAAGCGTTACGATGAGATCGAGCAAGAGCCGAGCATGTCAAAACGATGTTCCCAGTACTGGCACTGGCGCCTTGCGTCCGTTGACCTCGAACAAGGTATCTTGCTCGAATGCGTTCCAGTTTATTGACCTTGATCCGGGCCAAGCCAGATCTGCCTGTCGAGCGAGGTCAGAGGAAACCCTGGCTCATCTTCGCAATATCAATTGCGTCGTGAACTGCGTCTTCTTCAATGACTGGACAGGCAAGGGATTTGGCAAGGCGAGATGCGAGTGTGCTTTTGCCAACGCCGCATGGCCCTGACAGCACAGCCAGGCCGGTTGGGGAAGTGGCTGTGCTCAATGCGTCTGTCGGGCCCTCAACTTGTTCTCAAGAAATGCTGAACGAACTTCTGGACCAGTTCTTGAGACAAGGCAGTGACTCTTCCAAGCTCAGGAGAGATCTGTACTGCTGCGGCTTTCACGTAATAGGTACCGGTCGTGGATTTTCCTGGTATGGCTGGTGCAGGAAGCGCAAGTGCTTGCTAAATAGCAACGTGACAGCATAATCAAGTCAGGTAGGCGCAGACCGAGACGAGTAGCAAGCGTGGCGGACGAGAAATAAATGACCATGGGTGCTGCAGATGGGGTTGAAAGCATGGAAGTGAGGTGCCTGTGAAAGCGAAGTGAAAGTTGAGCCCTGCAACCACGCTGCGTTGTCGCCAAGCTTTCAGGTCGCATCGCCACGCCTTTGCCTTTGCCTCTGCCCTTGCCCGTCCACGCTCTCATTCAATTAACAATAATAGGTGATCAACGACCTGCAATGGACATTATGATTCCTTCCAGAGACATCGGGGCCTGTTTCATCCGTGCATTCCCTGGTGCAGTCGAAGAAGCGCGCCACTGCCACTCACTGCTCAATACCAGGATGGTGGAACCCTGGCCCATCTGAAGCCGGACGCAAGTGAGGCTGAATGCCAATACTGAACTTCGTAATGCACCTTCAGTCCGGCTTGTACGGGACCGGTTACTCTGTCTTCTCGACTTCCTGGAAGCTTCCGCTGGGATCCTGCGCATGCTCCGACCACAACATCGTGTGATTCAAACAATGGAATCTAGGGGATCTCCAGGTGCTACGAGTACAAACCTGGCTTACACTGTGCAGACCACAAACCTACCAAATCGAGCATCCCAGTACATACCTCACGCGACCGATGCTCTTAGCACAATCACAGCCTTGTCAAGATCCGTCAGGGATCAAGGAATCAGCCCTGTCTGGAGTGCATTTTGGCCCCAGGATTGCCGGAGAATATTCAAAAGGCGAAGCGAAGATATGGCTTCAATCGTGGGGCGGACAACTGGTCCGACTAGTGGTTGGGCAGTGGAGCAGTAATTTCCCCAGCACAAATGAGGCACACCCTTGCCTCACAACATTGCCCAAGGTCGGCCACTACATACTTCGAGACCGCCTACATACCACTCAAGCACGTCGAAGTACGTCAATACAACGAGCGACTCGCGTTGGTTTACGGGCATATGAAAGCAGTCGTGGTGGTCGTGGTGGTCGCATGTTGCGGCAGAAGGATAAGCGAGCGATGACGATATCGATGCTGGCGGTGCCGCGGGAGTCGCCGGCTTACCGCAGTCAAAAGCCAATGCGAAATGGTTGGGCGAAGCGAGCACCACCCGATCTGCAGATCCAGCGCGTCGGAGACTGGACTTCAAATTTCATCATTTTCGCGCATGTGAAATCTTTTCCTGCTGTCCTCACCACTATCGCATTTTGTCAAGGCCGTTCAAGATACACCAAGCCAACAAGTGTCTGCCGCCATTTATCAGGCCCACGACTCCGGACTTTTAAGATTTCATCTCGACGCGCAAGGCTGGCCCCGCTCGTAACCAGGGGTAAACATGTCTTTTATCTTGGCGTATCGACGACCGAAGGAGAAACTAGTTCGACCACGGGCACCAAGCAACCCTCGCCTTCAGGAGAATTTTATACACCAATTCAGGCCCAAGCCCTACAGGCTCCTTAGGTTCGAGGAGTTGCCTGAATGGTATCAAGACAACCACTTCTGCAGATCAGGATATCGACCAGTGTCCAACTCATGGATCACTTGCCTGCTTTCCCTTGGGCATCTCCACAACGAGTCACTGAACATCTACACTCATCTGATACCGGCCGTCGGTCTTATGTTCGGACAATTTCTCATCTATAGTGGCCTAAGCTATTTCTATCCGGACGCATCGATAGCCGACCACGCCGTCTTCAGCGTCCAAGTTAATGCCGCCATCATTACTATGCTGCTTTCCTGCAGCTATCATACCATGATATGCCATTCGAGAGACGTTGAGAATTTGATGCTGAGGGTTGATTATGTCGGGATTCTTACGCTGATAATGGGAAGCTTCTTTTCCGGCATCTATGTGGGATTTTACTGCGAACCCGTCCTCCGGCGCGTCTATTGGTCCATGATCATCTCCCTCAGCCTAATTACCGCTACATTGGTTCTGCATCCCAAACTACAGGGCCTGAAATATCGGGGTCATCGGACGTGGGCTTTCATTTTCACAGCATTGTCGGGCTTTGCGCCAATCATCCACGGCATTGTCCTCTATGGTTGGAGCGAGATGTGGGTGCGCTCCGGAATGCCTTATTGGTTCCTGGAAGGCCTTGTTTATGGGATCGGCGCGTTCTTCTTCGTCACGCGGATTCCGGAGTCTATATGGCCGGGCCGCTTTGATATTTGGCTCTCATCACACCAGTTCTTTCATGTCTTTGTGGTATTGGCGAGCCTCGTACATCTGTACGGAGTCTGGGTGGCATTTGATTGGAATTATCAGCATCAACGAGTCTGCGCAGCGCGGGTTATGTGAATACGCAAGTGATGTTTTGGGCGGTCTACGTCGCCGTCTATCATCCTATGTGACGTCCATCCCAGCGCAGAACTCTACGCTCAAACAGTGAACTTCTGCAGATTATCAAGACCTGAAGTCCTCGCTATGTCGGCCACCTGCTTCTCTCAAACTTCGTCCAATATGTCATAACCCCATCTGGCTGAAATTACCGTGGATGTGTTTCTCGGTCACGCACTTTGGAAGGACTATCGTGCCACGTTGGACTGCTCAGCTCACAAGCACTTGATCCGGATCCATCCCCCACCCGTTCGGCGACCGTATGAACTTCTGGATCGTCGACGGTCCTCGGTTCTCCCGTGTTGTTGTCTCCGAGAGGACTGTAAGCCTCGATCAAGATGCCCTTCTCCTTGCAGAAGTCTAGCAACTCGGCATTGTTGAAGATACGGATGGGCTTCGACCTAGTTGACCTGGGGACCTACCTCCGAGATAGAAAGCCGTTCTTTCAGGCGGCGAATATTGGATTGGAGACGCAAATGGCTCGAGTCTTCCCCGTCTTCAATAGTGCCTCCCTCGCCTTCCACGTCTCGTTGAAGTGCACCTCTGACAACCTGGAGACGCCGTTGTCATCAAGAGGGAACCAACGAGTACCAGAAGCAAAATGCACCGGCCAGTGCATCAGGTACTGATCGACCTTTTTCGACACCAGGGTCCTGCAGGGACTTGTCGCGTGCTGCCTTTACATGCTCGGGGTCATGCTTCGAGTTCCAGAGCTTTGACGTGATGAAGATGTCGCTTTTCTCGAATCCCTGACCGACCTCGGTCTTGTTTCTGTAGATGCTCCACAATCTAGATGTCTGTAACCGGCCTTGAGCGCAATTTCGACCGCGTTCTCGACTTCATGCGGTGCCACTTGACAGGTGCCGAAACCTACAGCAGGGATCTCTGCCCCCGTGTCGGGTGTGAAGGTTCGTTTGAGTGCCATTGTTCTAGTGGTAATCTGTATGGTTGCTAGGGACAATCGTTGGTGCGAGATGGGCAGGTCGGGCTGGTACAGGGCGGTAGGCTTACCTTTCCGTCGGCGACCTTGGTGTATTCGCAGACGTTTGCACGTTCACACGGGCGGCCGGCATTTTTGGCGGCGGTTTCGTGGCGTCATTCCTCGGTCTTGACACGAGTTCTCTCCCCGCGATTGTCGAGCTTGGTGAATACCCATTCGAGAATGCAAATGAAGACGTGGGCATACTGGGTCGATTGCCGCCGGATCGCAAATGTCGAAGGGGTGGCACCAGGGCACTTTCCGGACCTTTCTCTCGTGCTCGTGGGGTGGATGCACTGTGCCCAGCCATTCCTGTTCAGCTTGATCCCGCAACCGAGGAGCCTTTTCCCCGCCCATCTGTCATGCCCTTCCGCACCGCACACCTTCATCTCTGACCCGACGCCTCACGGGACGCACTTTGTTGCGCCAATCCCACGCCGATGGATACACTGAACTCCACGCCTTCGATGGCTGACGACGGCGATCTGCCGTCCAGTCCGCCCAAGAGGCGCAAGCTAAAGCATCCGCGCACTGCGAGAGCGTGTTTGTTTTGTAGAAGGTAGCTACACCTCGTGCGTACTGTCGCTCCGACGGAAGGCATCTGTACGGCAATCCCGACCGGCTCACGCAGCTCCGTACGCCCTTTCCCAGGTATAGACGCTGATGACAGGACAGAAGGAAAGTGCGCTGTTCAGGCACTCAGCCGTGCGACTATTGTAATGGTGAAGGTGTGCGTTGCGAATACGACGGTGTTGCAAAGCCACCACACAGAAGCCTTGACCGGGTCTCATCCTCAATCACCCATCATGTCCATGCTACTCAGAGTCCCTCGGCCCGTCAACCGGGTACCTTCCTGGGTGCAAGTGTCCCAACAGCTCACTTAACCCAGCCAACTTCCACCCGAGATACGACAAGGTCGAAAGGACAAGGACCAAATCCGCCGGCCACGGTGTCAAACGAGCGCACACTCCGTGTCTCTCGAGGTGCATCGCTGGAGCCAACCTTTGCCGAAGGCCATCATATTGGTGCAACAGCAGGCGTGTCCTTCCTCTACCACACACTGAACCGGGGAGAGGTTGCTGAAGGAGAGACGACTCTGCCAACGGCACTCTTAACATGCCACGGCGACATCCCTCCGGTGAAAGTGCGTCAGGACCAGCCAATGCCTTCACGAGAAGAGGCCGACGCTCTCTTGGAACGTTATTTCCGGTTTGCGACACCGACCTATCGCTTCTTACACCGGCCGACGCTCGAGAAGTGGACATCCGACCTATTGACTGGGGACCGCCTGTCGTCGGCAGAGGCAGCTTGTACACTCATAGTCTTCTCGCAGGCGCTCCTGTACACGAGAGACAACGACCGGTACGTCGATGGCGGCGACCCCGACCCGCATCGAAGCCAGTTCTATTTCGAGAAAGCCAAGTCTTTGCTCAATCAAGAACCTGGCCCGGCGTCCCTCGCGAGCGTCCAGTCCAGACTAGCTTTGTGCCTGTACCTTCTCAGCACGTTCCGCATAAACGAGTGCCGATACGTGTTCAGTCTTGCCTGCACGATCTTGACCTCGCTCGGTCTGCACAGGAGGTCCTCCGCGGCTTCCAGCAAACTCGACCTCGTGGCGCTCGAGTCGCGCAAGCGGACGTTCTGGTGCGCCTATGTCCTGGATGACTATCTCAGCGTGATGCTCGGCCGGCCCAGAATGCTTCGCGACGAGGACATTGACCAGCCCTACCCGCGCAACATCGACGACCAAGACCTGCTGTCCTCGGAATCACCCGACGACCTACCCCTGCACGGCAACCTGGAAGCCTTCATCGCGCACGCCGACCTCGCCAAGCTCATGGGCCGTAACAGCGATCTTCTCTACCCGCTGCATCCCCTGACGGAGGACCAACTATTCGACCGGACCAACGAAATGCTCGACTCACTCACCCAGTGGCGAGACAGGCTCCCAGACTTCCTCAAACCCCGGGACAAGACTCTCGTCGGCCACCGCACGTTCGAACGCCAAAACACCGTCCTCAAGCTGGCGTACGCGCATCTGCGCATCCTCGTCACGCGTCAGTGCCTGCTCGCCGACTTCAGCCGTCTAGGCCGCACCACGCCCTCCCCTGCTCCCTTCATCCTCGACGACCGGGCGTTGAAACCCGTACAAGAATGCGTCGCGGCCATCACCACGATATTGAATGCCACCCACGACCTAGTCCAGCGGAACGCCCTGTACCAGGCCTTCTGGTTCACGCAGTACATTGCGTTGGTCGCCATCTCGACCCTCTACGTCTACGTGATACAGAGCAGCCGCGCCAATCTCCCGGCAGGGATCTTTCCCGGGGTGGACGCAATGTTCGACAAAGCAAGACTTTGCCAGGATTATCTCGCAAATTTGGCGCCAGAGGGCAGTCAGGCACGCCGCCATTGTCGTCTCCTAGCCCGCCTGCGCCGGAGGGCCGAGAAGGATGCCGCGCGGGCGAGAAGGACCGAAACCGGCGCGGGTGCGGGTGCGATTGTAGGTGCTACGGTTGCAGTTGATTCTGGCTCTGGACCACATGCATCATCATCATCAGCCCGTGCAAAAGTGCCGGCCGCACCCGAGGGCGCGACGAGTAGCAGACCAGTCGTGCCGGAGGCACGAGAGTCTGAACGGGACATCAACCCGGACAGGGATACATGTGCCTCGGTCCACCAGGACGGTAGTACCGCCGGTGCCAGTGTGGGTGGTAACCTACTAGACGGACTCGAGACTGCGAGGCTTGATCTTGATGCCAACAAGGGGACCACGGGGCAGTTCACGCCTTCGGAGGATGATTTCATGTTTCAGAGTCTTCTGGGCTGGGGCTGGGAGACCTTGGACACGGTTGGGTTCCCGGCAGAAGGGGATGTGTTCAAGTTAGTATCTTCATGAGGACGGACGAGATGGTTTGTTCGAGCGTGGATTGTTCTTTATTAAGTAGTTCGGCTAGTCGCCGTGTCTGCGGAGTAACTAATCCTTAAGTACATACTTATACTTTATGTATACGCCCTCGACACGGGCTTTCGCAAAGGTAAGTATGACGCCCCAGGCACGTTGTTAGGGGTACCCGGTAGGTGGCTACTTAGTTCAACTCTGTCTGTACAGGGGCAAGAGGAGTGAATCGAATCGTCCTCACACGGGAGACTCGGCCGCTCCTACTGTTGCAACCGGGCGCCGTCGTGAGGACGCGGAGAGGGATGAGAGGATTCTGTGACGCATAGTACTAACTCACCCGAGGGCCATCGGCTATGAGGGTGGCCCCGGGGAGGTCCTTTTTCAGATACTACAGTACTCCATAAGTATGTTACATAGCACTCCGTACATACTGGATACCTATTTCCTAGTGGTACTAGTACTTTACGTGCAGTGGTTTCCTACAGGATTCGTGCGCCGGGGGGGTCGTCATTTTGGTGCTCAAAGACTAACTCAAGGTCATACGTTTCACTAACGATGTACTTGCATATATGCTGTGCTTGTCGTAGAGGATAGTGGTACCAGACACTACATGAGGAAAGCACTATATGCATAATGCGTGCACCGATCGGCAAGGTTGGTCAGTATGTATACTACCTCAACATCGACACCATAGAGTCCTGTACAATACCTACTACGCATTTGCCTACTCATCCCTGCTGCCATAGCTTGGTCTTCTTACCCTGGAATCCCAGCTTGTCCAGCTCGGCGACCTCTTCGCGAGTCAATCTCCACCCTAGAGCCTGCATGTCCTCGAGAGCCTGACTCTCTTTCCTCATCCCCACCACCGGCACTGCCCCTTTGAGAATGTTCCAGTTCAGCGCCACGGCAGTGACGCTGACGTTATATTTCTGTGCCAACCGCCGCTGCACCTGCAACACCGGCTCCACGTGCTCCATGTCGTACTTGCTGAACCGATACTCCTTCGGCGGCGGGTTATCCTTCGTGTACTTGCCGGTCAGCCGCCCCTGCGCGACGGACGAATACGACTGGAACACGATCCTGTGCTGCTTGCACGCCTCCAACATGCCCTCCAACTCCGGCATGCGGCGCAGGATCGAATACTCGCACTGGTTCGTCGCCAAGGGCACGCCATGCTCGGCCAAGGCCTCCTTCATCTTCAACATGTCGTCCACGGAGTAATTCGCTACGCCGACCGTGCGGGTCAACCCCTCCTCCACGCACTTCGCGAGGCCCTTGGCCACCTGCGCGATCGAACTGACGTGCACGTGCCCGTGCACGAGGTAGCAGTCGATGTAGTCGAGGTGCATCCGCTCGAGCGTCTTGCGGAGCTGCTTGAGCGGTGCGTCGACCGGGTGGATGACGTTGGTAGCCCCGTCCGTGACGTTGGGGAGCCATTTCGTCTGCACGATGATCTTGTTGCGCGGGACGCTGCCACTGTGCTTGTTGATCAGGTCGCCGAGGATCTCTTCGCTCTTGCCGCTGCCGTAGACTTGCGCCGTGTCGACGAAGGTCATACCCCTCTTCAGGCATTCTTGCCACGCCGCGCGCAGCGCTGGCAGTTCATCGTCTGACCAGTGGAAGGTGCTGGTGTCGCCCCACGACCAGGCACCCCAGATGATCGGCGGGATGGGGACATCTTGCCCGTCCTTGCCGCGAAGGGTGTGTCGCGTCGAGAGCTCGGGAGTGAAGGATTCGGGGACGAGGTGTTTCAGCCCGTCGTACTCGGCGGGCACTGGATCAGGTTTCGACGAGTGCATGCCGGAGACGGCGGACATGCCGGCCGACAGGCCTGCTTGGAGGATTTTCTGCGCCATTGTTCTGAGATGAAAATGAGTTGCTGCGGATTCAAGTTGTTACAGTATCCGCGAAAGGTCAAGTTGGGTATGGTGAGCGGTGAGGTGCATTGTATGCGCTTTTCTTTGGGAGTCTAGCAGGTTGAAAATCATCAGATTTTGCACAGTTCTGGGTGCGCCGACGTGAGAAGACTGGAGTGTAGACGTCAAGGTTGATGCGAAGCTCCAACCACATTGCGTCGCATATTTCATCCGGAGCGCTCGTACTGTACCGAGGTCATCATCATGTCCACAATTGGATTCGATTGGAAAATGCACACTGCTAGTGTCGATCAGCATGTGGTGATCTTCAGGTGAAACGGTTACGAAAGCTTGACAGAACATCAATCCCCGGAGTGAGATTTCCGCAGCGGGATTAATATGATGTCATCGAAGATGAAATCGCAGTGTATGACCAGCTTACTAACGCGGCAGGAGCGACACACGACTTTGCAGGAGCAGGTCTGGCCAGCCAAGATGATGGATACTAGATTTTACGACCTTCTGACTACTTAAGCCACCACTACTGTATGTGAAAGTTACGCCGAAATCATTTCTAGTATGTACCAACTATGCAGGGAATAACCATAACTCATATAGTACTACATTGTTAATGTCCCTTGACCCGCGCTAACCAGCCTAGGTAGAATCTGTGTTGTATTAGTGTATTATAGCACTTCTAGTACACTGATATACATAGTAGGTACTAGTAGGTTAAATATAAATACAGGTCCAATCCTATCTCAAGCTATAGTTGAGACAAGCTTCGAGGTGGGTTTCAGGACAGGCTCAACACCAGGATCAAGACAGGCTTGACAACACGATCGGAGCAGGCTCAGCAGGCTGCATCGAGACAGGTCGGAGATAGCATAGCGGGAGACTCACAATCCCAACCCCAGTTCCAGCCCAGTCAGTTCTAGTTCGGGCTGAGTCGGACTAAAAGTAAGCTGGGACCGGGCTAGAAGTGAGCTGCAGTGGGACCCGCCTGGAAGTGAGCTGGGACCGGGCTGGAACCGAGCTATACCAGGTTAGATTCAGCTACTGTACTATGTAGTAGTAGTATCGATATGTACTTAGTATGTATACATACTAGTAGCATCTAATGCGGTTATGAAACTGTATCAAGAACTTTTGAAAGCATCTGATGTTGTCTCAATGCAGAGACTCGATGGGTCAACACGACTCGAAACTACATAGAATGTCGATCGACCTGCCAGCTGAAAAAGCACGCCCTCCTCAAGCCTTCAAAGTCCTTCATGACGCCTCACGAGGATCTCACGTCCAGGATCATCGGACGGCCCCAATCCATGTTGAACCACAGCCTCGGTCTCGACTCTCCCACTGTGAATTGCGAACCAAGACTCGCTGCCTGTGGTTACTACATACTTACTTTACGTATCAAACCCCACCCGGAGGACCGTATGTCCGATCTACTTTATTTCCTCGCACGCTCTTGTGATGCCACTCCTCGGGCAACGCGGGCAGAAATCCTTCGCGCGTTTCCGAGTCCCCCTGATACGCGGCGTGCGGGCCATACCACCAGAATTTAGAGACGGCGGCGTCACCCTCGTTCAGGCACTGGCTCAGGTGAAGAGAAGTGACGACGCCGACGGCTTTCAATGTTCGTGTTGTTCTTTCTCTTCAATTCATGTAGGCCTCGATGGATTTCGGGTAGTCACGTAACATGTGCCAGTACTCGAGAATGTAGGCATCGTGGGCTTCCCTTGTTGACACTGTATTAGGCCTGGAGGTGGCGTCGGTGTTCGAGATGTCGAAGCGCCACATCTGTTCGGTCGCGGTGCCGTTCACATCCAGGCCTTTCAGAGTGGGACTTGAAGCGGTTGTTGGAGCCTTCCTCGGCCACTGCAGGGGCAGCGGTTTCTGGGTCTGGGAGCTTGCCTTGGTTGCGCTTCAAGTTGTCGGTGGGTTCGGCCACGCGGGCGTTGTGCATACTGGAGGAAACGAACTGCCAGGACGAATCGATCCGTCCAAGTACGCGTAACACGGCTGTTGTCAGGCGGCCCGTGTCTTCGTTCGATTCGTGGGCAATGGTATTGAGAAAGTTTTCGAGAAGTACTAAGTATCCGAGAGCTGTCTGAGAAGCATCTGAGAAGTATCAGACACTGTATCTGGGAAGTGTCTGAGACTTCTCAAAACCATGAGAATTTCTGCGATTCAAGCACTGTGAGCAGTGTCTGATACTTCTCAGATACTTTATCAAATTGGTCGTCATACTATGTAGGGTAAGTACTAAGTAGTAAGGATTGTGAGCCAGTATATTTTACCAAGAGATGATAGGCCTCAGCTGCCGGAGGTGAGTTGGAGTGCATGCCTTGATTCAAATTGTGGCTGCCTGGCAGGGTCAACGGGCATCGTGGTCTGGAAACGGAGTTCGATCAGAATCAGGTTGCTGAGCATGTTGAGAGTTTGCTGAAAAGTCCCTCCAACACGCTTCGATTATCCATCCCACCACACACAACGAGGTCGTAGTTCGTTCCGATCAGGTATTAGAACAATCAACTGCGTTGAAAAAGACTCATCCCTAACAGAATGTTTTGATCTTTGCATCGCATAGTTCGCCATATATACTCTCGCATTAAAGAACCAATCATGCCAATCAGCCTCGCCGTTCCCATCAAGTGGTCAGTGGACGTGCGGCTTCCCATAAGTGATGTTGAAAAGGACTAGCGACTAACTGTTGAGACTATGCACAGAGACCTCTTCCGCCCGACTGCGCTTGCCGGCATATTTGGACGTCCAGCCAACTTCTCGGAAGATGGGTTCCAAAATCATGAATTCCACAGAAGGAGCCATCACGTGTGCGGTGGACTGTAAGTACGCTGTTGCGGTCATAAGCAGCACGTTGGACGTCGTTTTCGTCAAAGGCAACGAGAAGAATGAGAAGTGGAAGACAAGCTCCGAGCCAACTACTTAGTAAGTTGCATGCTTAAGTATGTACTCCGTACAGATCTTGAACAAAATTTCCGAGAATCAATCTAGGCCAAACCGTAAAGGAGCAATTCGACACGGTCCCTCAGAACTTGATGTGGCCGAAACTCTTGGGGAGATGATTTTCGGCGCCGAAGTCGAGAGCCATACCAATGCCGGGAATGTGAACCGGCATCGAAATGAAGAAATGAAGATGCAAAAACACAAAAAACCAAAGAAGCAGCTAAGCTTGGATTGGGTGGGGCGGTGTTAATTCTGAAGTTCAGATCTGAATGGCATCAGAGTACCAGGGAACGGAATGTAAGGTCTCAGGTACTGACCAGTGGCTTCGAGTTCTGGCGGACACACACGCACGCACAAGGAGAGACCGTGAGAGGGGTCGCTCTTGTGGTGACTGTAGGCAAGTATATGTGCTTCTCGAAATGCAGTTGATATCCCAAGTTCTTCTTCATCCATTGTTGAGCATGCATGCATGCCACAGCAGTGCCAGCTTTGTCTACCTCATAGTACTTGTCAGAGGCTGACTGGATACACTCCGAAAAGACTAGGGTGCCCAGCTCCTGATGTATCCCGGGAAAATATGGATTCTGGGCAGCCAAGGCTGCTGAGAAGAAAGAATGTCCCGATCCTTGGTAAAGCCTCGAATCCCCTGACGGTCAGTACTACCAGTAAGGTATGATGAGAAGTCTATCTCCCAGAAAGTACGAATCCGCTCAATCTTGCTTTTCCATGTCCCTCATCGTAAAATTTCATAAGCTCGTAGCATATGCGAAACCAAATACCGCATCTCGAAAGCTGCCATCAGTGTTGATTTCGTAGTTCGATACTAGTAGTATGTTGTGATTTGCGGCAAATTTTGGCCTGCATGCAGATTTGATGTCATGATTTCATAATGACCTGGGGTTGCTCATGTATCATTCAGTATCTCTCGTTCATTTGGCGCTCCATCTTCGTCTCGGCTCACTAGAAGAATTTGCGGATTCAATGTCTGAATTGTGGAAACAAAATCTGACGACCTGGTGCATCGAGACCAGATGGCTGTTCCATCCCTACTCAATTAGGACGGCGACTTTGAAGCAGCATTAGCAGAAGCTGGGGCAGGTGCAGGTGCAGATTGTGGTGCAGGAGGTTGCGGCACGGGAGTCGCTGACGGAGCAGGAGCGCCCGTGGAGTTCTGCCCATGAATCTGTACTGCAGGCGGTTGCGTGGACGGGGGCGGTCGATGTTGGGGTGGTAGTGGTGTTGGTGGTGGTGGTGGTTGCTGTTGTGAGGGTGGTTGCTGTGGGGGCGGTTGATGAGGGTAATGGGAGGTCGAAGGTGGACTACCCTGTGGACCATTCGATGGAGGAGCTGCCCTGGAGTACTCTTCAATGCCCGGCAGCATACCATTGGAAGGGCGCGGATAGTCAAAGTTCATATGACCACACATAACCACGTCTGCTTCTCCCATGGGTTGCCATCTCACGTTCCGGAGCCGCGTCGCGAGAGGCCGTCCTCCTTGATCGTAGGCCGGCTCCGGGGACACCATGACGCCGGCTTTCCCGAAAAAGGTCGGTGCAATAGTGAGGATGACAGAATCGATTAGATGTGAGCGATGCATCCTCAGCAGCTCGGAGAGAACGACCCCACCTCCTTCCACCATGACGCTCTTTATGCCTTCACGGAACAAGACATTGAAAATACCCTCCCAGTTCATTCCACCTTGTGCAGGGATATAATCATTGATCATGAGGTACTCTCCACCATGGGCTTTCAGTGTGCTCACAGCAACAGGATGCAGCATTGCTCCTGGCGCGACCACGACCCAGGGCGCCTTACCACGACCCTCAGATGCAGTTTTCAGCACCTTCATCTCTGGGTGAATTCGTAGGCGCGCGTGAGGATCGATAATGATCGGTCGAGGTTGAAATTCCCAGGCGAGCCCACCATAGCCGGTTGAATTAGCGAGTCGGCAATTGAGGGCAGGATCATCTGCTATGGCCGTGACGACACCGACCAGGATGGCATCATGTCGACTTCGTAGATAATGTGTCATAGCTTTCGTCTCGGGACCAGAAATGGCCGTGGGAACACCTGGGACTTGGCTGATCCGGCTGTCCAAACTACTCGCCCAAGTGAGCGTGACATGGGGTCGCGTTCGCACATGTGCCAATTTCGGGTCAGGCACATAGGGTTCCAGAAAGCCCCTGGCATGATGTGGATACTGTAGAGTGTCCCAACGCACGGCCGGTTCACTCCGCGCATCTGGTTTGACAGGCTCCAATCGACCAAAGACACCACCAGGTTGTGTCGGAGGCTGAAATTGAGGGGCTGGTGGAGGGGGTGGTGCAGGCGGCTCTCGACGCGCGCGTTGTAAAGTGAAGCCCTTGTGTGCTTTGAGGCCCGTCTGATGATGCCCCTGTCGCCAGGCATATTGCACGTTCCGAACGTCTGACATCTTCATAAACTTCCCCCCTGCAGCGTGCATTTTCTCCGGCTCTTCCCACATCTTCCAGTAGATTGACGCTGGCATATACGCCTTGGCAGCCTCACGGCGAGCGGTGTCCATGATGCCAGTGTTCCTTTTCGTCCCGTCAATGTAGTCCAGGTCATGGGAATGTTTGACCACCCCATCAGTAGCACGAGAAATGGTACAAGTGTCGCCCGGGTTGAAAACGACCTTCATCGTCATGGCACATGTCTTCTCGTCGCGCGTCCGTTTCTTCCTCTGTTGTTTGCCCTCCGGCGTCGGGCGAGGTGTGTATGACTTTGCACTGGCACGACGTAGTCTGCAGGCATAATATTCCACCGTGATGGTACGGTCTTCTGGTTGGGATTCTGTTGTCCTCATCTTACGCCAGACGTTGTCCACAAATGGAAAGTATGTATGCCACTCTGCTGTGGATAGTTGGATCGGGTTTTCCAGACTGAAGAGTCGCTGACGCATATCGGCAAGATTCGGTGGATTGTCGAAGACGCTGTAGTCGGGAGGTTCGTCCTCAACCACGGTATATTGTCTACCGTGGGTGCGTTTGCCATCGGCTCCACCTTCATCCTCGTCTTGATCGTGCATGCTGATATCATTAAGAGCGTCATCGTCGCCGTCGGTCTCCAGCTGATCATCATCTTGATGGTCGGGCTCGTCAACGCCGTCGGGAGTCTCAGGATCGGTGCTCATTGTGATCAGCGTGGAGAGATTGTGAAGATCGTAATGATCGACACCGGTAGGGCTGTGGGAATGTGGACTTGACGGAGCAGACGCGTGCTCATTCGTAGAGCAGATGGACTTCGCTTAGTCGGAGTGAAGGTATTAACATGACAATGGAGTAGAAGATGGTGTAGGGGTTATGCCCGTAGTCCGTGAGGGCGCTGTCATTCACGCAACTCTCACTTTCGCTGTGGATTCACACGTAAAAAGTGAGCCAAAGGTGAAAGTTGCGCGAGTTGAGCGAGGGTCGAGTATGACCGGTTGAGGCTCGGATCAGCGCTTAAGCTCCACTCGTTCCGCCAAGCGCTTCTCATGCAAGGGACCGGCTCAACTAAATCGTCTCTAAATGAAATGTGACAGGTCTCAAAGGCAAGGGAATGCTACAGTGTAAAACTCGACGGGGGTAGACCAGGTGAAATTCTCGTAAACGTTTCCACAAGCGCCTTCTTTTGCACGGGTTGCGCGAGGTCTCCATCAAGAAGAAAGGCCTGCAAGTGCTAAATGGGTTTCTCAACTTCGCACCCACGGAGCGCGGAACCTAGACCGTGGCAAAGATGCCAATGCATTCCTGCATCTCTGCCAGCTGACGAGAATCCTTCCTAACCTTCATATGTTACAATCCCGACCCAGCGCAGAGGCTGCAAAACCTTTTTGGGTATCATGATTCGACAAATCCAACACGACCATCTCCGATTCACCTTCTGCCTCCATACCTAGGTCTGCTTCTCGACCGGCTTCTTGTTCCGCTCCTGCTCCTGCTGTAGCTGCTTCGAGAACTGTAGCTGGGACTTCGTCTCCTCCGTCGTGGTGGGCTCCGAGCTGGAGGACCACGTCTTCGGGGCGGAGTTCTGGATGGTGACCTTGAGTACGATGGTGACCTCCTGCGCCTCCTCGGTGGTGAAGGCGATCGCGAATGTGTGTCTCTTGGAACATACGCGTCGTCTTCTGGGCCTCGTCTGCCTCCACCGTATCCGCCTCGACGGGGAGGGGGGCTTCGGTATCTGGATGGAGGTGGCCCTCGCGGCGGCGGTGGTGCATAGCGGGATGGCGGTGGGCCACCATATCGTGAGTTCCTAGCTGGAGGTGGTGACCTGGAGAATGCTCTTCGTGGAAGGACAATGCTGACGGAAATGGACACGCCATCTAGCTGAGCCTCATGCATATGCGCAATCGCGGATTCGGAGCCAGAAGGATGATCATAGAGAATGTAAGCTGTGCCGCGGTTCGTCATGACTGCTCCACATTAGAGATCGGCCAACACTCCAGACATGAGCAAAGACATACATTGTTTGTTGAGAGGAAGGTCAACTGACTCAATACGACCATAAGAGCCGAAGATCTCGCGCAGATGGGCTTCAGTCACATTCTTCGTGAGCTTTTCCACCACAATCTTCGAACTCTGTGATCGTCGGCCGTCTCTGCTGGGACTTCTAGTGTAGCTTCGCTCTCGATAGGATCTTCTATCCCCACGACTTGGGCTTCGACTGCGCGAAATGCTGCGACTGTAACTTCTACCGCGGCCATGACCGTTAAGTCCCTCGCGATGAGGCGACCGAGTACGCGACCGAGAACGCGAACGGGCTGGAGACCGTGTTCTTGTCCTGGATCTGGATCTGGATCTCGGTGAGGGCGACCGTCGCGGTGAGTGCGAGGGATTGAAGGGTGGTGAAGGTGCTCTCTGTACAGCAGATGGCGTGTGACTTCGTGTGGGCGAACGGCCCCGTGAGGGGCTTCTTGAAGGCATAATGGGAATTGTGATCGTTGAGAGTCTGTGAGACGTCTAAGGCATGGTCGACTGAGAATCGTCTGCACTGGCTGGGGGTTGCAGGGCTCATGTCACTGAGTCCCTGCGCGCTCACTCGGACGAAGAAAATGAATCTGCGGAAAACTGCGTGAATACTCGGCAGTACAGTCAGGCCTTGGCGCGGGGCGCTCCACATTCACGGTTCTCCATCCAACTCTGGGTCTGCTCTAAATTAATCTCGGATCTCCATTAGACAGAGTCGGCAAAGTCACAGCGTCCTCGTATGTCGTCCTGCGTGTAGATGACGCTTTTCACGGTAAACATCCCGCCGCTGGAGCTTCCTTCTCCGGCAAGTGATGCCGTCCGGGTTCTCCTCCGCGCCTAAAGTCGTCCAGCAGGTCGAAGATCATGAAGCTTTCCCCGCAAAGCTTCTGTCACCTTCCTGAAATGCAACACTTTCCCACCAATTGGATACTCACTTCACTGGAGGAGTCCGGCTATAAACACAATCCGCGGAATGCTGGATGCTAGGCAGGACTGCAGTCACAGTCGAAGGACCCATCCGACAGACATGGCTTGCATGCATAAAAGGTCAAGCACAGCGTCAAACGCAGAGCGAGCCGGTTCTCAATCACTACATATGCCAAAATGCTCGTGCCACGCGTCATCGCGGGCTCGGTCCTCGTCAAGGTAGCTTTGTGTGCCATCCCCTTGTCTATTTCACCTGTCCAAAATGCCAGCAAGCCTCTTCTCGAGTCCTTCGTTTCGTACTCGATCGAGTTCTCTTCGTTCCCAGACTTTGCGGGGAACTCCAGTCAGCCAAACACCTTCTCATACAACCTCCTGACCAACCTGCGTGACCTTCAAGGGTCCTATCCCATCATCCGAGTTGGTGGAAACACAGAGTACGTTGGTCCGCGGTTTTGAGACTGGCGTTCTGAATGGGAGTGTAGAGACTATGCGACTTTCAATGAATCCCAGACAGTCGCCCTTGTTGGCAGTTTCGATTTCAGCCGATCCAGAGATTACCCGACAACGATATCCATCGGTCCAGAGTATTTCGACTCTTATTCCACGTGGCCTGGGGTGACCTACATCCATGGCTTCAGCATGGGCAAGAACGGTTCGGCAGGCTACGATACGCTGGTCGGCACCGTGCCGTTGGTATGCAAAGCTCTCGGCACCAGCAAAGTCGCCTATTGGGAACTAGGCAACGAGCCCGATCTGTTCAAGACCAGTTCACAGGGTCCCGTCCGACCCAGCTGGTGGAACGAGACCGACTATGTCGAAGAGTGGCTCAACAAGACCCGCATCATCAGGCAACTAGTGCAGCAGAACTGCCCAGATGTCATTACCTCGGGCAAGTTCAAATTCTACGCGCCCAACTTTGCGGGTACAAGCAACAGCTTGAACCTCATCACCACATGGAATGCTGGCCTGAATGCAGATAACGACATTGCATTCATTGACAGCCACAAGTACGCTTCTGTCTTACTCTTTCTGTTGACCATATCTTGCTAACGACCGTCAGCTACATCGGAGGAGCGACCCAGCCGGGCGTGACCCTCCAGGGTACGTTGATGAACCACACGTCAACCGTGCTCTCAATCAACAAGCACCTCAACGAATCGAGGCTCCTCGCCTACACGGGCCTCCCGTACATTCTAGGCGAGACCAACAGCCTCTACAACGAAGGAGCACCAGGCCTGTCAAACGCCTTTGGCGCCGCGCTCTGGGGCGTCGACTTTAACCTCTACTGCGCCGCCACGGGGATTGCCCGCGTCCACATGCACCAGGGCACAAACTACAGGTACCAGTCATGGCAACCCATCGACACGGTCAACGCGACAAGGGGCACCAAAGCACCCTACTACGGCAACATCATGGTCGCGGCCTTCCTCGGCAACCTGACGGCCGGCAACGTCAGCATCGCCGACGTGGAACTAGGAAGCACCTACCAGAACGCCTACGCCGCGTACGTGGACGGCCGCTTGGAGAGAATCGCCGTCATCCAGCTCAACGCCTACAACTCCACCGTCAACGGCCGTGGGATCGTTCCCGCCGCCACTACCAAGCCCCGACCAACCGAGACCTTCAGCTTCCAATTGCCAGCCGGCCAGACATCGGCGTTGAAGGGGTTGCATGTGCAGCGCCTCCTCGCGAACGGGAGCGATGCCATCACAGGCATCACCTTTGACGGGGTGTCGTATAACCTTGAGCTGGATGGGGGCAAGCCAGTGACCCTGAACAATGTCACTCGCGGCGAGGTCCTGCGGGCCGCCCAGGATGGGACCATCTCCGTCACGCTGCCGTGGTCGAGTGCCGCCATATTAAACCTGCAGTGGTGAGAGCGTCCACGAGGCAGCCAGGAGGACGTGAGACGGCCAGATATGAATCAAGGTATTTTACCATATAGTCTGGAGCGACGAGTGCACAAGCACACGTTCTGCCTGCTAGGCAACCGAATAGACCTCCTTCGAGCCTGTGGCTACAGTATCTGGGAGAGCGTCAATTCAGTTCCCCGTCCTTACAGCACCCATACCCAAACTCAAACCAGCCAAAAAGACACATTGCGTGTGACTGAGCGCATATCGGCTCGCCGGGTATCTCGATGGAACAAGTCAAGAACCTGGACTACGAGCTTTTCATTCCACTTGGTGTTTATATTTGTGTCGTCCCAAGGTGGACTTTTGTAAGCAGCCGAGCAAACCCTCGACGGAGTATTCAAAGTGTGGGTAGGTCGTCCTCGTGCTCTGGGGATATACTATGCATATCCCAATCCCTGTAGTCACATATACCGCCTCTCGGATCACGGGTAGACCACTTGTAAACCGTAAAGTCACAATTGGTACTTGACGTCCTCGCCCGCCCACACCCTGCCACTTCTGTTGGCCTTGGTCCTCAACCTCCTCACATGTTTGATATCCTCCTCGTTGTCATGCGTCAGGTACCACGTCCAGATGTTGGCCAACCAACTCGCGCCGATGGCGCCGGCGCAGACGCCAAACGAGACTTTGTAGCCATTGTGGGCGAACCGCTCTTGGAACAGCTGCGGGCCAATGACGCCCCCGACCTGGCCGATGGACGACTGGAACGCCAGGGTAAAGGCCGTGCCGGTGGAGCCTATCAGACTGGCGGACCGCCCTGCGGGATAAACAAACACATTGATTAGCTCATGGTTTGACAACGTCGCGGCAGCAGCCCCAACGGGTTAAGCGATGAAGCACTTACATGCCCAGAACGGGATGAAATACACGGAGTAGAACATCGTGCCGAAGATGACGGCAATGTACGTGGTATAGCGGCTCACATTGAAGCACAGGACGAGGAAGAAGGCCAAGGCGCCAGCACAGATCATCATGATGAACTTGGGCCGCGTGACATATGCTCTGCTGAGGAACCATCCTGCGAAGATGATGGCCAGGACCGTCGCCGCTGCGGGAGGGATGTTGAGCAGCTGGTTTCGGGGAAGGCCCGCGAAGCCCAGGCTTGTTGTCACGGTGGGGAGCTGCCACTGGAGGCCGTAGCCGCCTAGGTTCATCAAGATCTGGGACAGGCAGAAGGCGTAGGTGCGCGGATTCTTCAGCGAGGCCAGGACTTCGGTCTTGTCGAAGGCTGCATCGTGGGTGCGGGGCGCGTTGTCTGTAAGCCGAAGTTCGAGGTATTCTTGCTCTCGGGGGGTGAGCCATTTGGCGGAACGTGGCGATTTTGGATAGTCTGGAAGAACGAGGAAAACGATGCCGGCGAAGAGGATGGTGAACAGGCCTTCGAGGAGGTAGACCCTGAAATACTATTAGTTACTCGGCCCGCCGCGCTTGAGGGGACGAGTACAATCCCCCCCAAAGCCATGTCTGTTTGTGGGCAGCTTACCATCGCCAGGCGCTCAGGCCGCCAAGGCCGTTCATGTACGAGATTCCATAGGCGACCAGCGAGCCTACGATGCCTGAACAGTTCTGGAAGCCAAACATCCACATGATTGGCTTGCCCATCTCGTCGCTGCGATACCAGCTACACATCTGTGCAGCAAGCCCCGGGAACAATCCGGCCTCCATCATGCCTAGAAAGAAGCGAGCAGCATAAAGACCCTGTCTGTTCTGAACGGCGGCGTGGCATGCCAGAACCTATGTCATGCCCTTGTCAGCGCGACTTGTGGCAAGGAAGCAGTGGAACAACCTACCAAACCCCAAGATGCGATGATTCGAGACTGCCATTTACGGGGAGTCATCTTCTTAAGCACCAGATTGCTTGGAACTTCGAAGATGATATACGAGATCTGCAGACTGTGAGCTGGCGAGCACCCTTGAGAGAATCGTGACGTGGGATCCCTGAGGCTTCCCTGACTTACAAAGTAGATGGATTGCACCCAGTTGTACTGGTTCGCCGTCATGTTCAACTCTTTGAGAACATTGCGCGATTCACCGACTTGGAGGACCTTGACAGTCGCAGCGTTGGTGTAGTCGACATTCTTGAGCATGTACATGAGACCGATCAGGAGGAGGAACCGCTTGTCCACTTTCCGCATGATCTTGCGGTCTTCCTCTGCGGTGAAGAAGCTCAAGAACGCCTCCCTATCGTCCTCCGAAATGGACAAGGTGGGAGAATCCGCCACACTTGCGCGTGGCTCGACTCTGATGTCCGCTACTTTGGACTCGGGATCTGGGGCTGTGGCTGCCATTGCTTGCAAAGATGGAGAAGCAAGATATGGAGCAGCAAGCAAGTCAGTGCGACTTTGAAGGGGGCACCTTGAGAAGATGGGTTTGCAGCGCTGCGACAAATCGAGATGATACTGATCAACGGGGACAGTCCGACGGGAAAAAAGGTCAAGTTGCTGAAGGTTGCAGAGAACGAGGTCCTGGGACGAGGCTTCCCGGCCGCCAGACGCTGCAGTCGGCTCTTTCATATGTTCTCGCCGTTGTATTCATAATCGGCATCCAACAGTGACCCACCCCGTGTGGATGGTACAAGTGCGTCGTGGCGTAAAGGAACGGCATGGTGGCAAGCTCCGACTCGTCTAGATTCTACTGTCCCGTCGCAATGCTAGCGATCTCATGCTGATGCATTCGCTAGCACAAAGAGACGACAGCGATTGGAGCTCGGAGCACAATGGTGAAATGACAAAATGGGTTGTAATTACCTGAACAGGGGACTGTATCGCAAGAACGCACCAACAGCCAATCAATCATCCGCATGCAGACGGGCTGCTGAGCGGAAAAGCTTGACAAGCACGCCATGAGCGGAGCCTAAGACGTTGGGAGAGACCCATCTTATCCTCTTGCTGTCATGTATAGCAGTTGATTGCATTCGGCGAGTTGTCCATACCCTCTTGGAAAGAGGCCGCTGCGATAGCTAGACGTCTGGCCTCGGGCGACGAGCACGCAATTGACTGAAGACTTTGCTCTCGTTCGGCATTGTTGCAGGCTCGGAACATGGACACGGAAGGACCAGGAAGCATTGTCCTTGACACTGCGAGTTCGGAGGCAACGGACTCGCTACCATGATGTCGGGAAAGGTATTATCGCGGCCAAGTTCAGGGTGAAGGGACAGCACGTGGCAAGTACCATGCAGCGGAGCTGTTATGAGGGTTTTGAGCACCGCGGACTGGTCGCCACCAACCACCTGGGTTGGTCAATGCTGTGCGCGTGCAGGAAAAGCGTGAGTTGTGATGCTGTAGAAGCCTTATATCTCTAGAGCCATGGTGAAGATATGGATAACTGACTGACTGTAGAGGTGTGTGTATGTGTATCGGTTGATGGGTACCTGTACATAGTGACCTGAAGTGGCAGTGGTTGTGTGGCAAGCTCGATGACGTAGCGTGCATGCGCGTGGACACCAGCGACAACATCCATGGTGGTTGGCGTTGTCGTTGGTGCTCTTCAGCCAACAAGGCAACCTCCAAGCCAACACGAAAGTCGCGGTTCCAACACCGTGCTGCCAGCTTGAACAGATATCTACAGGCCTGCTTCAAGCATAGTTGTCTCCATGAATGCTCTGCCTGAAACAACCCAGCACCAGCCTCGTCTTCATACGCCGCAGTGTTCGATTTCAGGATTTCTCCGCCTCGCTCTGTGTCCGGAGGGGCAACGACAAAGTGCCATCCTCGTCCTTCTTTTCAGGGCCCGACTCATCCTCCTTGTACACGTCATAACGGTATTTCGCTCCTTCATGATCATCCCTTAGCCCATTCTGTCCTTTGCCATACACCTTTTCGCGGACAGTCAGTGGCTCGGCGTCCTCTGACCTGGGCTGCGGGTACACACCACGCCGCCTCAGCTCGGGAATCAACAGGTCAACCACATCCTCGAACGTTCCTGGTGTTGTTACATAGGCGAGGTTGAATCCATCGAGGTCTGCTTCCCTGATCCATCTTTCCAGCTCATCTGCGACTTTCTCAGGAGTGCCGACTCCAACCGGTCCTAACCCGCCTATAGCAGCCTTCTCAGCAACTACCCCCGGTGTCCATCTCGGGACATCAGGACTTGTGGTCGTGAAGGCATCGAGCATGCTCCTAACTTTGTGAGCCTCGATCGAGTCTTCAGCCGTGATATCCTGGTCCAGTGGAATCTTGGAAATGTCTATCCCCGTCCATCCCGAGAAGAGTACGAGTCCGCCAATGGTGGAGGCATATTTCTTGGCCTCTTCTAGCTTTTCCTGGGCCTCCTCGTCTGTTCGTCCAATGATCGGTGTGAAGGTGCCAAAGAATTTGATCGACTGAGGATCCCGGCCTTTCTCTTTGGCGAGTTGCCGGATCTTCGCAATCTTGGGCTGTAGCACCTGCGGGCTGTGCGCAGATACAAAGATGGCCTCTGCGTGCGTCGCGGCAAAGGCAGACCCGGCAGGTGAGGTGCCAGCTTGGAACAGGAACGGCGTCCGCTGGGGCGAAGGGTCCACGATATGTCGAGAATCGAGGTTGAAATACTTACCGTGGTGATGGATTGTCCGGACCTTGTCGGGGTCAACATATGAATCTGCTTCCGGGTTGGGGTTCAGCGCGTCATTCGCCCACGAGCCCTCCCAGAGCCTGGAGGTGACGGTGAGTTAGCAGACATTGCGTCCCATGTCTTCGCGGGCACTCACTTGTACACGACTCTCATGTACTCATCGGCTTGCAGGTACCGCTCATCGTGGTCGATGGGGTTGTCGAGCCCGATGGCCTTGAAGGCCGCCTTTTTCCATGAGGTGACGATGTTCCAGCCAATACGGCCGTTGGTCAAATGATCCAGAGTCGAGAACCGCTTGGCAAGCAGAAAGGGGGCCTCAAACGAAGTCGAAGCAGTGATACCGAAAGCTAGGTTCTTCGTAACCGCCGCCATGGCTGAGATGGGCTGCATGGCGATCATCAGTACTCGCCTTGGGCATTTTCGCAGAGCAAGAACTCACGATTGTCGGATCCGTCATCGGCCATTGTGCAGCACGCCGAATACAGTTGTCGAGACTGTCCTCATAGGTGTCGTACCCGCCGTATGTATCGGCGAGAAAGAGGGCGTTGATGTCGCCACGTTCAAGGATCTTCGCTAACTCGATCCAATATTCGAGCTTCCTCTTCCTGGCAGACTTGTCTTTGGGATTCTGGGATACACTCAGCTTTCAATCGGAGGCACAAGGACTCGGACCCCCATATCCTGCCCTTCCTGCCTAGCTTGTGGTGGGAAAACAATTACCTTCCATTGACCTGGCGAAAGATGTCCTACAGTTGACATGTCAAACGCATTGAGCAGGATCTGCTTTTTGACGCCTTCATGAGAGCCATTACTTTGCTGTATGGATCCCATTTCGAGGTAGCTTTGATATCGACGCACTTGGGAGTTCGATGTCCTGCGCAATACCCGGAAGTTTTCACTTCTGCAGCCAGCTAATGTTTCGAGAGCGACCAGATACTAAACATGAGATCCAGGTCTCGTCTAAGCCGCGACATACCGCAAACCAAAACGCCGCCAAATGAAGTCCTTCGATACCGGACGATCTTCTCCGCAACGACATTCATGGACGCAGTATGGCGTGATTTTAGGCCCGATGCCATAATACAAGTGGACCCCGGTCAATATCAAGAAACCGCATATCACGGCTCCCGCAGTGCGGGATATTGCCAGTCTAAGTTGCGAAATCACACGGCGAACTCACACGGCGTTATTACCAGTAAGGGCCTGGTAAGCGTGTATTTCGCGAGCATGTGTCGCATGCCATGTCTTTACAACTTGAATGCTACGTGCCGTCTGGTCGTTCTGACCGAATGGTCGTCCTTATCTCGCAGCCACGCACGCACCTGAAAGGACTTTCTTCTCCCATTCGTGGTACGTCCTGATCTTGACGCAGTCTAGCCGAGGCGCGGGATTATTTCGCTTCAGACGCCCACCCCTGATTAGGGTGCATCATGACTGAGGCCTGATATCTCCACCGGAGTGGCTTGCATGTCCTCTTCAAGATCCACCCTTCGCAGGAACGGGACATCCTATGTACGACGGGAGCGTCGTTGAACTCCGGATCTTGCGTGTTCGGCAATGGTGTCAGTTTGTGGATTCCATTCGTGATGGATGGCCGCACTAGTTTGATCATGGACATGTATACCCTTGGCACACACAGACGCACAGGCATGTGGTGCAGACACCGCACACTCGAGTGGAGGTTAGACCAAGTGGCCTGCGACACGAGCGATTGTGAGTGTACTTACCTTCCATCTGGGTTGGTATTCTTATGTCCGCGATCCCGGGACAGAAGGTCGAACGATACGACAGCAGAGCTCTCTTTGTCATGGCTAAGCCGTCGGCCTCCATTGATGGCCCAGAGCCTTCACAGCCAAGCACGAAAGCCAGTGGCAATGGGAGCGCCGAGCCTGGTCCATTTCAAGCGGCACAAAGACTGAAACACTGCGCATCTGCTTCGACAGAGACGATGGCAGGGGCAGCAGGCGAGGCTCAGGTACATGCACAGACACCTACAACGGCACAGACAACGACGCGGCCTGCCAACGTGCTCCATGAACGGTACCCCATCTCGGGCCTGACGCTTCCCGACCAGCATATCGACGATTTGAGAAGTTTGAGAGTCGTGGTTATCGGGGCTGGGCTCTCAGGAATTCTAGCCGGGATCTTGCTCCCAGCGAAGGTGCCGAAAATCCAATTGACAATCCTCGAGAAAAACGACGATGTGGTAAGTAACAAGGCGAGGCCTATAGGCCGATAGGCGCTTCGGGACCCGGGCTGATCGCCAGCACAACAGGGCGGCACCTGGCTAGAAAACATCTACCCGGGAGTCCGATGCGACATACCGTCGCACGTCTACCAGTCGACCTTCACCCCCTACACGCAATGGTCGCAGCAGTTCGCCGAGGGCCACGAAATCCGCGACTACTGGCAGGCGCAGGCCCGCAAGTACGACGTGTACAAGTACGTCAAGTTGGGCCGCCGCGTCGAGGACACGCACTGGTCGGACACGGATGGCCAGTGGACGATCACGGGCGTGGATCGCACGACGGGCGCCCCGTTCACAGAGACTGCAGACTTTGTCCTCTCCGCGATCGGCCGGTTCAACGACTGGCGCCTGCCCTCCTACCCCGGGCTGTCCGACTACAAGGGCCACCTCCGACACACCTCGAACTGGGACCCGTCGTTCGACCCGACCGGCAAGCGCATCGCCATCATCGGCAACGGCGCCAGCGGGATCCAAGTGCTGCCCAACGTGCAGCCCCTGGCGGCGCACATCGACCACTACGCGCGCAGCAGGACGTGGATTGCCGGGTCGTGGGCGGGCGACGAACGGACTTTCGCCCCGCAATGGATCTCGGAGGACCAGCGGCGCCAGTTCCGCGACGACCCCGAAACATACCTCCGCTTCCGCAAGGAGCTGGAGGACAAGTACTGGCGGCGGTTCGGGTCGACGTTCCGCGGATCCAAGGACAACGAGGACATGCGCGCGCGGTTCATCCAGATCATGGGCGAGAGACTGGTGCGCAAGCCCGAGCTGCTGGACCGTCTGGTCCCGGACTTCAGTCCCAACTGCCGCCGACTGACGCCGGGCCCGGGGTACCTCGAAGCCCTGGCGCAGGACAACGTGACGCTGATCCAGGATCCGATCCGGCGCTTCACGGCCACGGGGATCGAGACCACCACGGGCGACCACCGCGCCGTGGACGCCATCTTGTGCGCCACGGGCGGGGCCGTCGATTTCGTCCCCCCCTTCCGCGTGCGTGCTCGGGGCGTGGACCTCGTGGAGGCGTGGAGGCCGATTTCGCGGGAAAGAGGCCACACAATGGCGACGGTGGAGGCCGCCACCCATTACGGCTGGCCGTATACGTATCTCGGGCTCGCCGTGCCGGACGTGCCCAACTTCCTCTTCATCCACGGGCCGCACGGCGCAGGGCCCTCCGGCACGGTGCCCCACAGCGTGGAGGTCCAGCTGACGTACTACGCCAAGCTCCTGCGGAAAGTGTCGTCACAGGGCATCAAGGCCATGTGGCCTTCGCGGCGGGCGGCCGATGACTTCGTCGCCTACGCCGACGCATTCTTCGCCACGACCGTGCTGACGGACAATTGCAGTTCGTGGGCAAATGGTGGGAAGCCCGGCGGGCGCATCCACGGCATCTGGCCCGGCAGCGCGGGTCACGTCACGCTGGTCCGTAAGGAGCCGCGCTGGGAGGACTGGGAATACGCGTATTTGCATGCGAGTGGGAACCGGCTCGTCGGCTGGTTTGGGAACGGGTGGACGAGAAAGGAAAAGGACGGGGCCGAGGATATGACGGCATACCTGAAACTAGAGGGGACTGTCGACCTGAGGGAACTGCATGAGCAGTGGTGGGAATGAACAAGTACGTAGTTGAATGTCGCTGAGTGCAAATATCGTATAGTGTAGTACACCACACTCTACGGAGTACTGTCTATAATGTCTAGTTCGAAGAACGCTTTTGTGGTTGTGCCTAACTCCGGACCATGTCTAGGGGGAAATGTTCGGAGGCTAAGGCGCTTGGACCCTTCAGTCAACTTTGACCACGAGTCTTCCGCCGCTGATTTCGCCTCTTCTCATGGAATCCAACGCCCCGTTGATGGCTCCGAACCCTTCTCGGACGCCCAGAATCGACGGTGGCACCACAAGCCCTTGGCTCAGTAGCCGCTCGAGCCACAGCATGAGCGCCTCGCCCACCTCTGGAACCTCATGGAACACTTTGATCGGCATCGTGTGGAACGTGATATCGGAGGAGGATTTTGTTTTCGGCAGCCCGGTCAGACCCACGAGGTGGGCACTTGGAAGTGCGGCATCCGTACTCGGGATCGAAGCTGGAAGTGCAGCATCTGTCCCCAGCGTTGAGTGTGGAGATCCGGCGTCTGGCCTCGGTATCGAGCCTGCAAGTGACGACGACGACGACGACGACGACGACGACCCTTGCCTTAGGCATTGCATCAAGTGCGCCGCAGTTTCCCTCCCCACCGTATCGACCGCGAATCGAAGACTATTGTTCGTGACTGACCTGACAATCTCGATGGCTCGCTCAGGATTGTGATTGTCGACAATGACATCGGGCCTGATCTGCGGATTGGACGTCAAATTCAACGCGTGCTTGCCGTGGTCGAGGACACTGATCGTCCGTAATCCCAGTAGCCTAGCGATCTGGTTCAGCATAAAGGCACTGGTGGAGGAACCGCCCCAGATAGCCACCCAGTCGCCTGGCTTCGCCCGTTCACGCACGTTGATACCCTCTAGGCACTCCGGCTTGACGTCCCGGGGCAGTCGCTGAGGGTCCAACCGCCGGACTATCGAGAGCAGGTCCGGACCATTCGCCAGTTTGGAGAAATCGAGGCCTGCGCAGATCCCGAGGCAGAGAGCTGCCGCCACAAAGGCCACGCCTAGCGCAGACCCTGCTTCAGGGGATACGTTGGGTGGTAGGCGACAGGCATTGAAGTCGGTGGCGACCACGCACTGCTGGTACGCGGCTTTGCGCAGGTCTCTGTAGTCGGTGGAGATGACAATGACCCAGTCGCCGGGCTGGAAGCGCGACCTGTGTCTCGGACTGATGGCCACCTGCCCCACGAGCTCGCGGCCAGAGACGTAGGGTAGTTCGGGGATGCCAAAGTTGAAGTCCCTGAGAGAGTCAGTTCTCTAGGAGGCCCATGAAAAGGACCAAGGAGAGTATATCCTTACGGTGCTTTCCAGTCTATGGGATTGAGGCCGATGATCTTGTTTCGGACGAGCATTTCTCGGCTATTCAGAAGCGACGGGGTAGGGTGGTCTGGTATCTCCTCGTATGGCTGTCTGGGCGCGTAGAGGATTAACGCACGCTGATGCGTGGATATGGTCGAGGAGGACGAAGACGATGCCGACGACGGCTTTTCGATCTCTCGAACCATAACCTGGAAGTCAGCATCTTTGCCTGGACTCCCGGTCGTCAAGAATCGCAAGAATCGAGTGAACCCCATAGCTGGCTGGCGTCTGTTGGAATGGTGGCTCGCTTCAGTGCCAGCCAGGGTCGAGATGTGTGTCAACCCACAGACAAGGGCTTCAGAATGGTATTTCTGAGCCCAGACGCAGCACATTGTCTGGCACGACTCATCAAGTCGACAAAATCAACCAGCCATTAGGTCAAGTCGTCCCACGGGTACTGTATCGGTGTGAGCTGAAACGGATTGTAACTGTCCTTGTAAAGACTCGACCATCTCGACGCATATCTCAAACGGGTATCTACCTGTCCTTAGTTACCAGTGGAGGAAGAAGTGGACTCTCGCTTCACATTGCTTTGCACCTACTGTAGCGTTGGAGTATGTCGTGCTTGCCCACCGCGGTCACAACATTGTCCACGTCTGCCGCTGTACTCGGACAAGTCCGCAGCTCTGCTCGAAGCACGTTGCCAAATATTCAACTGGATTGACGCCGGCGAGCACGATTCATACTGGCGCGACATTCTATCGGATTGCGTGCTCCTAAGCGCGATGGCGCGATCCCACATTCTGGTACCTACGCCTGCGGCTATGGCTCTGTCGGCATGGAAGGACGGCGGGGTGGTACGTCGGAGGGAACTCTCTGACTTGGCACGAAGCAAGCCTTAATTATGTTGAGGTTCTGTGCACGGCAAGGCATCGAGAAGAGATAGACGAGGACAGCTTGGAGAAGGAAATACGACGAGATCCCGATGTCGACGACGGACGCGGCAAATGCCAAGACGAATGGCGCAACGCGAAACGGGGAGGCAGGGGTGGCAGGGGAGGGAGGCGCGCCGGGCCAGAAGAAACTCATCCTCAATGCGTTTGCCATGAACACTCCTGGCCACCTCTCGCCTGGACTCTGGCGACATTCCCGGAACCAGACGTACAACTACAAGAAGCTGTCGTTCTGGACGGATCTCGCCCGCATTCTTGACGACGCTGGATTTCATGCCTTGTTCCTGGCCGATGTCCTCGGCGCGTACGACGGTAGGTCTTCTGAAAATGATTGCAGGTTTGAGCCAAGGTCTTCTGTTCAAGATCCTACTGTGACGTCGGTGAGAACGTTGTGGCCATCCATTACCATCTGGTCCCAGTCAGCTCAAACATCAAAGATGGACACTCTCTAACAGGACACCAGTCTACAAAGGTCCGGCCAACACCGGCCCTGCGCTGGGATCAGGCGCTCAATTTCCCGTCAACGACCCGCTGTACTTGGTGCCAGCCATGGCCGCCGTGACGAAGAATCTCGCCTTCGGCATCACGGCCAGCACGACCTACGAGCCGCCATACTCTCTGGCACGCAGATTTTCGACGGTGGATCATTTGAGCAACGGACGCGTGGCATGGAACATCGTGACCTCCTATGTATGTTTGTTGTCCTTAGCACCTGCCAGTCTCCAAGGGATGTGGGACGTCAGCCATGCTCCGCAAGTCTGGGCGCCGTGAGACTCTAACGCCCTCGATAGCTCGATAGCGCGGCCCGTAATTTCGGCCTGGACCAACAAGTCGAACATGACGCCCGATACGCTATAGCAGAGGAATACATGGAAGTGCTGTACAAACTGTGGGAAGGCAGTTGGCGCGAAGACGCCGTGGTTGCCGACTTCGACACGGGCGTGTACGCGGTCGGGGAGCGCGTCCGAGACATCAACCATCAGGGCACCCATTTCCGCGTCCCCGGCCCTCACATCTGCGAGCCGTCTCCGCAACGCACACCCTTCCTCTTCCAAGCAGGGACCTCGAAGAGCGGGCGCGCATTCGGCGCGAAGCACGCCGAGGTGATCTTCGCAGGGGCACAACTGGCAGAGAAGCTCAAACCCTCGGTGGCGGCGATTCGGCAGCTCGCACGTGAGGCCGGTCGAGACCCCTACCACGTCAAAGTCATCGCGTCCATGTGCGTGATAATCGCAGAGACGGACGAGGCTGCGCGGCAGAAACAGGACGAGTTCATGTCGTACGGAAACCGCGAAGGCGCTCTCGCGCTCTTTGGCGGCTGGACAGGCGTGGATCTCTCGATCTACTCAGACGAGGAAGACTTCCGGTTCGTCAAGGTGCCCATGATTCAGTCGATCGTCAACGGCTGGGCTGACACGGTGCCTGGGAGCGAGAACCTCAAGTGGAACAAGAATCGGATTGCCGAGTACTTGATCCTAGGGGGGATGAATGCCAAGATTGTAGGCTCGCCGACTACTGTTGCTGACGAGCTCGAGCGATGGGTTGAGATCGCCGACGTGGACGGCTTCAATCTGTCTCATGTGGTTAACCCTGGATCCTTCGAAGATATCATTGAATTCCTGCTTCCCGAGCTGCGCAAGCGGGGGATCTTCCGGGAGGGAGTCGAGAAGCAGGGTCTTACTGCGCGGGAGCAGTTCTTTGGCACAGCCTCGCTGTTGCATGACCACCCGGGAAGTAAGTTCAAGTGGAACAAAGACGAGTTGGTACCTCGATATCAGCAGGCACAGTAGGCACGGAAGCGGAGAAACGTGGCCGCCCAGTCGTGCGGGTTGTATTTGGCCCCCTTTGCAGGCTCCCGAACCACCCAAAATGACATGTGGACTCGTAGGGATATATATTCAGTCTATTTGAGACATGGATAGCCCGCCCTTTCTTGGCCGCTGGACGCCCATCAAAGGTACCCGTCTGGAATACTACTTTGTGCAAAGTCATGTAGGCAGGCCTGGCCCCCAACGGAGTTAGTAAGCGAAAGAAGGGCTAGAGAGACACCCAGGAGGTATGGTAAGCGGCAGGCAAAGGGGCCTGATTGCGAGGCTGCGACCCCTATGCGCCCCACCGCCCATCCACATTCGGCTTCCCTAAACCACGTCGAATGCACCTTGGAATTCATTAGTAGCTCCATAACCATGAGCTGAGGATGGAGTATGTCAAGCTCCTAGGTAATCATAGCTGGCCGGGGAAGATGCTGTTCGACTTGGACGCCGGCGTTGCCTCGTTCACGAGCCGTCCTACAATTTACCGAGCCGCGTGATGATCAATCAAGATACGTGCTGTAGATGAATATGCCTGTCACGTAAAGATGACGAGCTATTGATACTATAGGTAGCTATGATCCTTCGGAGGATCCGCTGAAGGGTGGGAGCAGGAGCCACACCAATCCCGCAAGTTCCGTTATCCTTGATGGCCTTAAAAAAGGCCGCCGTGTGAAGAAATAGGCCTAACCGCTTGAGATGCCCCAGGAGCTACGAAACGGTACGCCTTTGTGCATCCGCTCGTCACACAACAGCCTCAAGAATCTCCTGCACCTGTTCAGCTCTGACCAGAGGAACGGGATTCGTTGGGGACCAGATATCTGCGAGTGATCTCTTGGCTAGGCTGGGAAATACGTCCCTCTTGATCCCGAGCTCCGTCACCGTCCTCGGTAGGCCTAGCGCACGGATCACGACGTCTAGGAGATCACCTAGGTCGGAGGTGTCTTCCTGAAGTCCCTTGCTCTTCAACAGCTTGGCCACTTCTGGATCGGACCACAATATGCCTCTCGCTCTTTGCTGCCGCTTGATGATCTGCGGGTTGCCATTCGCGTGCTTCATGTTGTACTTCATCACAGCTGGGCACAGGATGCAGCTAGTGACCCCATGAGCCACGCCTAAGGGACCCAGTTGATGGCCGATGGCATGGCTTCCACCCATCGGTATCCCGGCGCGAATATTGTCCATCGCAAGCATGACGGCCATCTGGCATTTATGGCGCGCTCCGAGGTCCTGAGGATCTTCCTTGCATTTGAGCAGGGAAGGGACTAGGAGCTTCAATCCTTCTTCTGCATTTCGGTCGGACTTGTCTGTGCCGTGCAGCGAGCATAGTGCCTCCACGCAGTGGTCGAGACTCCTGACGCCGGTGCTGAGCCAGTGGTATGGCGGAGTGGTCGTGCAAAGCTCCGGGTCCAAGATCACGAGATTGACGCCCATACCAGAATGGAGATAAGGCACCTTGTGCTTGGTCACATCGTCAGTGCCACCACTGAGGCTGAAGTACTAGATGTAGTCAGTGTCTGAAGTGATACACACGGTGTCACAGGGGAGTACCTCGCCGCCTGAAAGACTCGTAGGGATAGCTATCAAAGGTACTGTTGGCTCGTGAACCACCGTGGGCACGTCTTTGCTCTCTGCGGAATACCTGACGAGCTCTTCTCGCGTTTTGATATCATTCGCAAGGCACTGCCATCAGGATTAGCAGCACGGCCTGCATAGACGGGATGCTGGAGCTGACAAAGGCAACCATCTTCGCCCCATCCGTGATGCTTCCGGCGCCTAGTGTCACAAGACAGTCGGCTCTCGCCTCTCTGGCGTCAGCGGTGATCTGCAAGATCTCCGAGTATGGCGTGTGCGGTGTCATGCCCTGCGTACAGCCCACAACCTTGTCCTGGCCTATGGCCTCGATCAGTGTCTTGACCCTGTCGGTTTGCCGTGAGAGCGTCCCGGACGCAATGATGTAGACTCGCGAGGCATTGTAAGTGTGTTGCACGTGCTTCGCGCACGCCTCCTGGTACGTCAAGCCATAAGACACGTCGGGGGAGGACAGTTTGAGTTTGGCAGTTGGTATGCCGGCGACATTCGTCCCTGGCGGATCCGTAAAAGCTGGTCTATAGACCTCGGTTTGCGCCATTGCTGAAGGTACTTCAAGACGACTGGGTATTGGGCACTGTTTCTGTAGGACGTAGGGGAGTAAGTAGTGCTTGTTGATCGACACTTGTCTTGGTTGACTTCCAGCCGATCCAGCTCGCGAACGCTGTTTCGAAGAGAGGAGCCGTACACGAGCTCTCCGGAATAGCTCTGCTTGTTAAGGAGACTCACAGGTGAGGGGATCTTCTCCAGCTGGACTCTTACCCCAGACACGAGGTGGTCGGCCCAGCCTCGCGAACCCCACATCTTCACATGTCCCCAAACCAGCACAAATCAACGATAGTTACCGGTCGCTTGTTGTACCTCGCTGGTCATGCACGTGTTAGCCTTACGAACCTGGATTTCCATCTCCTGTCGGTAAGCCGAGGTTGAAGGAGAATGCTGAATTGGGCGAGAGGTCATCTTCAAGCCGTTACGGGAGCGACGATACGCTCGTAGGCTGCACCGATCACAGAGATGGGGGAATCCGACGGGAGTGGTAATATCACAAGCTGGTCGTCGTTGACACAGCGAGAGACGAGAAGGTGGTTTGAACGTGCGGAGAAAGGCTGACTAATTTGGCGCTATTCTCGCGTTCCTTCCCTTGACGCGTAGCGCGTCGAGTCAGTCAGTCATTCACTCCAAACTCACCTGAGCCTCACCTGCGCCTCAGCAGACAATATGGTAGCTGCTGCCACGATGCAGGATAAGCTCGAGCATGAGCACTCCTGCCAGGACCCCCTTGAAACCATGCCTGGCAGATCTCCTTCGCACTTGCGTGCATCCTCCCTCGCTTGTCCTTCGAGTGGAGCACGTATTCGGGAAAGCGCCTACGGGTAGTCGTGGAAACGCCGTCGACGGTCTCCAAGAGCAGGAACAAAAGTTGCAAGAACTCAGTCGCTTGGAGGGAGCTCACCCGGACGACAACGGTGTCTGGGCCAACGAGTCTCAGACTACAAGCAATAAAACGTGTCTTTGCTCCCAAGGACATAAACCACCTCGCACTCGTCCGAAGTCTGTACACCTTGCCCTCTCCGACGACCACCTTCAACTCCAAGCCGTCCTCGCGAGGGATCTACACGCACGTGGAGAGCTTCTGCATCTACAAACAGGGGATATTCTCACAATCGAGAGGTTCGAAGTCCGAAGCGCCCCACGGTTGAATGGTCGAGGTCGCGTGGTCTACCTTCGTGTTTATGATTGTGCACTACCCAGACTTGGGCACGGCTTCACACATGTAGACAACGGAGACGATCTTGGACTCGAGGAGGGCGGATCCTTAAGGCAGGCCGATGCAGATGACAAAATGTCGACCAAGTATCCATCTCGAGTGGATCAACAAGCACTGCCGGCTGAATACCGAAGCTGGCCGAGAAAGCACGACCGCAGATCGGCACCTCGAGATGCCCGGCAATCTTCTTTCACAGGGAACAAACCACGGAATGTACAGGACGCTGAATCTGACGATGATGGATTCGACACCTTCACTGTCGCTCAGTCACAGGTTGACAGACGCCGTGAAGCTTTGCGTCAAATCCAGTCAAGCCCGGCTATGGAGAAGAAGCCAACAAGTCGACTTGCGATGCTTGATGAGCATAGCCAAGTCGCTACCCAGGAGCGCTTCATTGCACCATTTTCACCCATACGAAGAACGTTTCAAGTTGAAGAGTCCAAGAGCCAAGGGCATTTTCAGGGAGATACTGTCGTACTGTCGGAGGATATTGCTGCTGAGTCCGTACTGCCGGGCAGCCCGCCAAAGCTTTCTGCTCCTCAAGAACAAACCCAATTTCTCCCTTTCCCCCAAGACTCACCTCACTTGCCACAAGGTCTGAAGCGTTCAGCGACCACCTTAGCATCCCTTCTTGCGGTCCCCACCCAAAAATCCTACTCCTGCCCGCCCCTCTTTGTCCTCATATCCTGGGTCTCCCCGTCCATAATCCACCGACCTAACACGCCCTTCCCGCCAAAGCGCCATCTCAAGATTCACGATCCGAGCATCTCCAATCGAGTTTCGGGGCTTACTGTCGCCGTATTTGTGGATGCTCTAGCATTTCTACCCGAAGTGGGGACGCCTGCTTTGTTCAAAGGTCTTGTCATGAACCGGGTTAGAAGTCGAGAGGATGTGATATTGAATAGGTATCCCCTGAAGGTGGACAGCCAGAAGTCAGAACGCAGTGCACTGGGTGATGCTGATAGCAAGGGCACAGAAGAAGACTGGTTTGTTAGTGACGAGTGGAAGTTGATCGAGATGGGCTACGACGTTGAGCATATGAAGAAGTGGTGGGGAGAGAGAAACGCTTCACGAAAGGACGGAGAAAGGAGAGATAGGTAGACGAGCTGTGTTGAGTGTGGTACCTATGGTGATTGTCGCATCAGGTCAGAAGCCCGGAAGAGTTGTCAAGGGTGATGGACGACCTCGGCCTCAAGACAGAATGTTTCTCGAGCCCGACAGAGACATGCGAGCGTATGTAGCTGGTGCATGAAACACAAAAGAAAGGTTGGAGGCCAACGCAAGCGGAATCCGTGCATGCATGCACTTCGCACGGTGTACATGTCTAGCCTTCTGGACGTTTGAAGGGCCAACATACGTTTCACACGATGACACCAGGTCCTTTCAAAAGGTCTCGCTCCTGGATTTGTCCGTCCTGCCTTCCGAGGGTGGCACGCCAGGGAGTCGAACATCGCATGATGGCCGATAGATCATCGATGGTCCAAGCGCTGGGGTATGGGAAGCCCCTGATGTGAAAGTTCCCTCACTGTATGAAGATTGAGGCTTTTCCTTTGCGGCCAGGCAGGCACTGCCACGCCACCAAAGCCTGGATCCGCAGTCACTTTCCACCAGTCATCGTTCTTGTCTTCGCACACAGGACGCCTTCTGGGTGGCGCAGTTGCGCCCGACTCCGCACTCCTACTGGTGCCGTACGTCTCTGCCTGGTCAATGAATTGCGCGGACAACCTTGCAACCTAACATGTGGCAGACTCCAAGGCGTTGTTGCTCTCGCATACAGATTCCAGCCTCACAACTCCAAGCCCAAGCGATGCCACGAGTCCAGATAGCTGTTAGGCTGCCTTGTGTAACATCCAACTTCGCGGAAGTGGCCCTTGGCTGTGACCACAGAAAATATCAGCCTCATCTGCAAACCTCCTTGTTTACTTCGTCTTTCAAATTCCACGAATGCTGTCCGGTCAGTTGACGGAGCGATCTTCTCTTCGCTGAATCAAATATGGTGCTTGAAGCAATCGGTGCATTTGCGTTGGCCTGCAACATTCTACAAGCCGTGGAGTATGGAGCCAAAATTGTGGCCAAGGCTGGAAGTCTGCACCGCCCACGTCGGGAGAGCACAACTGAGATACATGACCTGGACGCGATTGCTCAGCAGCTGAACAATCTCAGCAATGACTTAGGCAGGACAGTTGTGCCACCTCCTTCTCAGGCATGCTCACTATATGCCAGGCTGGCAGAGTGCAATGCCGAGAGCCTCCGACTGTCTCAAAAATTCATAGAATTCCTGCAGAAGCTACGGCCGAAGACCGCGGCGTCACAAGGCAACCCATCATGGACAGCAGCTTTTTGGTCTGCCGTTCGGTCGAGATGGCATCAAGAAGAAGTCCAGGCGTTGCAGAACGGTGTTTCTCAGGCAAGGTCAAATCTCATTGTAGCATTCTTGTTCTACATGCAGTAAATATGGCCCCTGTCCTTCGTTCGGTCTGTTGCTAAGTACCCGAAGTTCTACACAAGCGTCGAGTGCATCGCAGACGGCGTTGCTGGCAGCTTCAAACCGATTCGAGCAGAACATGCAGCTTGCCGTGGACGATGCCTCAAACAAGCTGCACAGCGACATCGCAGCGGTGCTACAGCAGATGGATCATTTAAAGCTCCAGGACTCTACATACGAGAATCAGTTCGCCCGATTCCAAGCCTCGCATGCGGATACACTGTCAAGGCTATCTTTAGGGATTGAGTCCATCATGCTGGAGCAAGAAGCCATCAGAACGACAAGTGACAAACAGCGAGCCCAAGTTGCTCAGCAGCGCATATGCATGAGCTTGTCATTCTGCGACATGGTTTCAAGGCAGGGCCGGATTCGCGAGGCTCATGAAGGCACCTATGGTTGGATCCTGGCGCCATGCGATACGACAGACAACGGTCTTAGTGATTTCCACTCATGGTTGGCTGCACCTGCGCCAGATCACGGCCTCTTTTGGATCTCCGGAAAGCCAGGATCAGGCAAGTCGACACTCATGCGGTATCTGGATGATCATCTGAAGCCTGCTTCTTGTACCAACTGGTTATCAGGGTATGGTCTTTTCATCTGTCGATATTTCCTCTGGAACCCCGGGCGAGGATTACAAAGGTCCTTTCAAGGTCTCCTGCAGGCGCTATTACATCAACTACTTTGGAATCATCAGTGGCTGATCGAGACTATTGTCAGCGAGGAGAGGTGGCTGACTGCGTGTGCCACGGAGCCTGAGCTACAGTGGTCAACGCCAGAACTGAAGACGACGATAGTAGCTTGCTTACAAAGGATCGCTACTACGAGGAAGATTCTTATCCTAGCTGATGGTTTGGACGAACTAGACGGCACAGACGACGATCGTCACGACATGCTAGATTTCCTCCACAGGTTGCCTCAACTTGGCTCCATAAAGGTGTGTTTGTCCAGTAGGCCCTGGAACATCTTTGCCGACTCCTTCTACGGCCTTCCTCAAATTCAGCTCCACCTTTTCACTAGGATGGACATTGAGAAATATGTGAGACAGTCGCTCTCGCACAGCATGCGCCATCAGAGCTCCTATCTCCATAACAGTGGCCAAGGGGAGAGACTGATTCAAATGATTGTCGACAAAGCCAATGGAGTCTTCCTGTGGGTCCGTCTTGTTGTTCAAGAGCTCATGCGAGGGTTTCGAGACGGAGAGACCATTCGCACTCTGGAGAGGAAAGTGGTATCGATGCCGGCGGACCTTGATGGGTTCTTCAAGCGGATCATCTCTTCTATCGATCCGGCGTATCGCAGTGAAGCCTCCGCATTTCTACAAACAGCTCTCTTCTGTCGGCAAAACTCCGACGTAGAGTGGCCACGTGGACTGTTGGAATTGACATTCCTCGAAGTGGGAGACCCAGATTTCGCAATGAGACCAAGCTGGGACTTGACTGAGCTGAATCTTGACGATTTGGATGCCTTGGAGTATCGCATCGATCTCGGGAAGAGGCGACTCAACAGTCGCTGCATGGGTCTGCTGGATCTCACCACAGATAGAGAGATATCATGGGCAATGCGGGAAGAAGGAGAGTTGGGTCCAAGGTTCATGAATGTCTTCTGCGCGAAGGTGGATTTTCTGCACCGGTCTCTAATGGACTACTTACTCACCGACGATGCCCAAGGTGTTTTGCAGCAATGCACAGACGGTCCCTTTCAAGCGCGACGCTTTCTATGCAGCGCACTAATAGCTAGGGTGCGTGCTATCCACGCCACCTGTGCCGGACCCCCTTCCCGCCATTCGGATTATAGTACGTCCATCAGGTCCCAGGACACGAGATTCCTCGCTGATCAAACGGACCTCGTGTTGAGAGCAATCGGCTGCTCAAAGGATCTGGAGCCTCCCACAATGAATATCATCATGAGACAGCTAGAACCGACGTTGGAGCTCCTACACCACTGCTCGAGTTCAGATTCTCACTTCCTACTCCGCGAGATGAAGCGCTTGGTGGATAGTCTCGACACCAGTGTGGACCGTTCGATCAGCATTGCCATTGGGTACAACTTGACAGGTTTTGTAGTAGAGCATCTGACTAGGGACAAGGTAAAGGGAATTTCAGGTCAAGCCCTTCTCGAGAGCGCCTTGAAGCCGCCATTTCCGCGAGGCCCGAACCCAGAAATGGTGCGAATTGTCCTGCAAGCCGGTGTAGATCCCAACTACCCTAGGTCTATCTGCTGGGAATATCTGCGCGATGTGTGTCTTAGTAGCCTGAAATTGTTCCCCAGTGATGCGGTTGCGTCATCATATGTCGTCGACATTATTGGGATCATGATCGAAAATAAGGTGGACATTTCTTGCCCAGCTGACATGCTGTCCAAGTTGAATAGAATTGTGAAGGGTGATCCCAAGACAGGGGGTTCTTTTGTTGCGGGACGTGGTCGAGGCAGTAAGGTTCACGGAGCCAGACCGTCAACGATTGCTAGCAGCCTTGTGCGAAGCAGGGCGAGCTGGACATGCCGGCAACGACAATAACAGTGCACTGGACGAGGGCGCAGGCGAGGACACGCATACCAAGCCACTTGGCTCGAGTTCCGCTCGGCCAAGGACAAGCATAACCACAGAACGACAGTCCCCCAGGAAAAGAAAAGGGATTGACCAGCCCCATCGCGGAAAGAAGCACAAGAGGAAGAATTAGGTCGATCTCACAGGGCCTCCGTGACGGAGGATGGTTCCATACGAAGTCGAAATCATGATACATTTCACTCGGCACGGCAAAAGTGCACAGTACATTCTACGAACTACCTCCGGAACTGGACTTCGATGCTCTGAAGCATGTCTATGAAGCATGTCGAACGTGGCTCTTCACCCATCACTGCAACCGCGCGGTCTTAGCTCATGAGAGAAGATTATTTCAGACACCGCATCCCGGCAACAAAGGGTACATCTACACAGCACGCCGTACGGAGTGCTCATACTCTATAAGTACGAGCTATGCAGTTCGCAAATTCCTCTGTACTCCGTCCGTGCCGTGCCGCGTCCTCCCGTCTCGTCCCGTCCCGAACCCACTCGCGAGGCACTCGGAGCCAGACCGGATTCGAACTTCTACTCGGCACCCCTCGGCCTGGATACCAATTCGCACTCAGCTTGGATTCGAAGTCGCACTCAGCTTGGACCCAATTTGCATTCAGCTTGGATCGGAACTCGCTCAGAATCAACAGACCGAACACGGAAACCAATCAAGCGATATAACCGCACGGAATCAGATATGCAGGATTCAAAGCACCATGACAGGCAGGCCCACGTACAGCTTCAATATATTTTAATTCAGGTTGCGCGAAGATATTATGGACGTGACAGACCAGTTCTAGGGCCTTGTGTGTACGTATCTCATTTCCTTACATAACCCCAATCTACCAGTCGCTTAAGTGTGAGGCACGGCCCTTGAGAAGACGCTTTTACGGAGCAATAGGTGCGGAGGACAGTCCAAGTTTGAATGTCTGAGGGTTGTAGGCGCTCTCGTTCTCGTTCTCGCCCTCGCCCTCGCCGGTTGAATGCCGTCTACATAGATACAGGGTGACATGTATATAGTAGCAGCTTTCACCCCGCGGCGTCAGCGCCAGCGTCAGTGTCAGCGTCGGCGTCGGCGTCGGCATCGTCGTCTTCGTTGCCAGGGACGCTAACAAATGTGGCCGCGGTCAAGTATCCAATGCAGTGTATGGTCTGTGATCTGTCGACATCGATCTCCCGACATACTCCGTACAGTAGCTCCGAAGATGCGGCGGACCATGAACAAACGAACGAACGAACGAACGGACTAGGCTGGCCGGAGTTCAATTTCCGGGGGGTTCTCGGGGTGTGGCGCCGAGAGCAGTTCACTTGTCGGGTTGATTTTCTGGTTAATATAATCAGAACCCGAGTTTGCTGGCTGGCTGGGGCACGAGGACTCCGTACTCCGTCCTGGATGGCAAGACGGTACATTGACAGACACAGATCTTCCAGCTTGATTTTGCGGGTGCAGAACGTTAATGTGGCCAACCAATCATGGTCGTTGTCCTAGTCACAATTAACCGTCCCATGCGAACTCACTGCAATGCGTTCTACGCACGTCCGCTACTTTTATCCGTATATAGACTCGCTCGCTCGCTCGCTCACTAGCTAGTCATGTCTCATTGATCATTCCATGCTACTATGTTCTAACTGGGCCATCCATCATGAGTGAACCCGTATGCAATGCAATGCAACGCAACGCAATGCGTTCTATCCCTGGCCGTTTCTTTCCGTTTCCTACCATTCGTATCCAAGTTCACCCGCCGAACCGTTCTCCCGGCCCCAATTTGAACCAGGCGCAAGCCTGCCAGTCACAACCCCGTTTATACACCTCGGTGCCCCACCACGAGAACCCCTCGGTCCACCCCGGGTACACGAATCCAAAGAAGACGATCAGCAATGAAAACGCCAGCCCGGAATCCAACGCCGCGGACATGGTCATGGTATATTTCCCCCACCAGCCGGGCGCGCGTCTGCGCAGAAAGGAATTGAAGACAAAGCACACGACGGCCCAGATGGAGAAGTTCAGACCCGTGGCCGGCGGGATCCACGACAACGACCCGAAGAGCACGGGGAGGTTGATTTTGCGGAACACGGATTTCTTCTTGTTGCGGCTGAGGAGCCAGATCAGGATCGGTGCGATGAAACCGATCAGGAATGCCCAGACGAGGGGACGATAGAGGGCCCCTGGACCGAAGAATCGTTGTGGGCCAACGACTCCCCACAGGATGCTGCCGTTGAAATGCACGCGGGCAATAGGGCAATTAAAGCCGTTGATGGCTTGGGGCGTGCAGATGCCGGGGATGTTGGTGAACATCCAGTTCAGGACGGTGATCTGCACGAGACTCGAGACGAGCGTGGCGACCATCTGGACCTTGAAGAGGAGCTTTGGTGGGATCTTCATGTAGTGGCCGAGTTTGAGGTCCGAGGAGAATTTGATCCCCTGCGCGGAAGAGATGTAGCAGTACGTCACGAAGACCATGTTTGCGACGGGGCGACCGGGGAAGACAACCCCACAGATCAGTTGGCAGATGAGGTACAGGCTGCTGTGTTGGTTGGTGATGGCCATGACAATGCCGACCGGTATGAAGAGGACGGTCGTGATCCCCAGAGCCATGAGGAGTCCGTACCAAGGGAGGTGAACGGGGTAGTATTCAACCACGAAGATGCCAACGGCTAGCATCGTCACGAACGTCAAGGCATACCACATCATGGGGACATCCTGGTATCGTCTCATGAGGCGATTGTGCACATCTTCTCCTCCCGCTTTGATGGTCTGGCTGTCGACTCTGTGGATTTCGTCATGGCCATTCTGGCCGTTCAAGGACGGAATGGCTTGGTAGCCCAAGTTGTTCTTCTCCTGTCTCTCTTGGAAGGCTTGCTGGGATTGGCGCCATATGTCTCGACCATGCCAGCAAGTCGTGTGTGTGATCAGCGCCGACAGCGCCGCGAACTGGACTCCATAAGAGAGCACATATGTGATGGGAAGGTAGACCTTGGAATAATTGTCGTACGCTACCTTGTCGAACAGAAAATCCGGTGTGAGAATTTTGCTGACTTCGTATGGTTTGCCGGTGTTATCGAACACGGCCGATGACAGGATCGGGAGGTAGGCAGAGAAAAGGACGTTCTTGTAGTATAGGATGGGAGCAATGATCCACATCACTAGCACCAGCCCGCCGACAACGTTGGCTGCAGCCCACCAGGGTGTCAATAGCGGTGACCCGATGTAGGCAATTTGGGCCCAGTCGAACGTCAGGGGGAAGAGCCCCAGCCCGGATGCCACGCCAAACAGATTGGCGACAACTACGTTCTTCGGTGCGAACCAGGTGATGACATTGAAATAGCTCAATGCAGGCATGATGAGGCCCGGGAAGAAATACCATAGGAAGGCTGCGCCCCAGACATACAGGAAGAATTTATAGCGGGAGACCGTCCAGCCGTTGGCCGGCTTGTTCTCGTCCTTGTGCATGGTAGTGAACATGGCCGTCGACATCAAAGTGCCAGGCCAAATCATAGCTGCAGGGCGCACCAAGAATCGCCGCGTCAAGCCGGCAAACGCGTACCCAAGGATTTGAGTGGAGATAGTCAATAGTAGCTGGTAGAGGATCGGAACGTCCTGCTTGTAGAACTTGTGCTGCTCGACAATGACATCGGTGGCAAAGGCGAATCCAAAAGAGACGTTGCTGCTGATGTAGACGCAGGCATGTTCTTTCTCGTTCCATTGCCCTTGAGCCAACCACAGCCTGAGTCTGCGCAGCCGACTGTCCCCGAATCGTGGGTCCTCTCTCTGCAACGACCCCTCGACAAAGAACTGTTCCTGGTCGTCTCCGCGCTTGAAGAGGAAGTCCCAAAGCTTCCCAAGAGGATGAACTAGTACAAGAGCGATGACCGGTGTGATGGCGACGCTTGGGTATCTCAAGGAGAAAAACAGATTTGTGGCGGAGCCAGCTATCGCAAACAACAGGGACAAAATCCACATTCGCGGTGTGCTTATGGAGAGTGCCGTGTTGTCCGTGGCTGGGACCGAAGCTCGAACTTCTGGATAAGGCGAGTTGTCGGGAGGATCGTCGCCACCAGGGACGTATTCTTGCTCGACCTCTGAGCCACTTCCTGTCCGTGTGCTCGCGTTGGATGACTCGGCTTTATGTCCAGCGATGGGAGGTGCGAAGGAGGCTTTGGCGTCCAGGCCCATCCCTACCTCACTTGCGCTGGAGGACGACCTCCGCCGAGCCCATTTTGAGCTACGCTGATGCTGATGCTGTTGCTGGCGGCGTGAATCTTGGAAGTGTCCAGGCTCATTCTCTAGGTCACCGGTAGACTGGATTCGCTTCCCCCGACTCTTCTTGGAAATGGTATGGCCGTGTGAGAGCTCATCTTCCGAATCCACGTCCGACTCGGACCTTTCGTTTAGCAACGGGACGGTGCCGTATGAGCCAGTGCCCAGCGCGGGCGAGGAGCGGATCAGAAGAAGGCTGCGGGACATGATGGTATGCCAGAGGCGAGAGGCCAGCCCTCGGCTCGTCTGGCTTCTTCTCGAGTGGAAGGGAGGTGTTACCGTGGGAGCGGCAGTTGGGTAGTGCGGTGTTCGATGTTGGACAGGGGTGCCCGACTCGGTTTGGGACACGGATTCAGCTGATGCACCAGCATCTTGCTGTGCGCAGCACTGAGCGGAGGAGGATGAGAGAGCAGAGAGCTCGAGATCGGCCCCGATAGAGGGGGCGTGGTAAGAGGTACTTGGAGCCTTAGCGTGAGCCAGCCTAGTGACCATGGCATGGCAGATCAGGCAGATCAGATCATGACTGAGCCCGCACAGTCACGACAGCGTTGGCTGGCCTGCAAAAAACGTGGAGGGAAATGGCGCATGGGAGAACGTCTCAACGTGAGTTGATGGGCACTCGGCGCGAGTGACACAGGAAACCCCGTTTAGGCGCGGGATGGAGCTGGTGGCGCGAGGCTTATTGGCGGCCGCGGGCACCTGTACAGCCACTTAGGCGATCATATCTGATAAGATTAGCCAACGCGTTCCCCCTGAGTGCCTATCACGTCACCACCAGGCGAGCACCTGACCACGGCGGGCTGACTCTGACTGTCTTGTCGAGGGTGGGCCCTTGTCTACAGGCAGTCACCGACATCGGCCATATAGCCATGCTTCGCTTTGATGAAATGCCAGTACGAGATACGAGTAGTCCAATGTGGTCTTGTGCCTTCCAAGACGTCTCTAGTCGCGTTGCCCTTCCTCCCTGCTATTTTCAGAACCCACCAACGTCGGCTCCAGCCCGAGTCAACATGTCGTAAACTCGCCCGGGCAGCTTGTACTTCACAAGCCCAGCAAACACCATGAGATCCTTAGCCATGTTGCCCAGCTGTTCTTTGACTTCGTTCGCATCTCCACCAAAGCCTGCCTCCCATCTGCCTTCGCGGTTGATCCTGTCTCTTTCGCCGCCGATCGCGCGCACCGCCCAGACCACACTGACCCCCGCACACCGCGCGACAATTTGGGGAAGTGCCCCAAAGGCTGTGGCAGCAGCCCGGATGATAGGAATGGAGCCCTTCGCCTGTAAGGGAAACAAGCCCAGCTCATTCAGTTCTTCAAGTGCTGTCATGTAGCGTGGTGGATTGGCTTCCATGTGTCCTCGGATGACCAGCAATCGCAGTAGGGCCGCAACAATCTCTCTGTTCGAGCTGGAGATCTTGTTGAAGTAGGCCGCGTTCTGGTTGTACAGGTCAACCATCCTCTTGGCCAGCTCCAACGGGGACGATGTTGATTGCGTGAGTGACAGCGAAGACTGAGGTTCTCCTCCTTCGGTGATGCTTGACCCAGGGCTCTTGCCATTAGAGTTTCGAGGTTTCAGTGGCTGTAGCTGCATTGCTGCTTGTCCCAAGTCCATTGTCACGGCGTCCGCCAGTGCTCGGTTCAGCACACTGATAACGTTGTCGTAGTCTTCACATAGATGGTACAGCAATACCGCATCCGCAATTTGCCCGCGCTGGTCGGCGATTGCTGCGGACTGCCTGGTGATGGAACTCAAGAATTCTTCCCTACTGTCGAGGTGAATCAGCTTGGCTCGTAACTCGATGGCACCAGGTAACCGAGTTCCATCGCTGCGGATGTCGCCCAGCAATTTCGCGAATTCTCGCGTCTCCAGACAGAGTTCACGGAGACACTCGTGGCAGGCATTGGTGTGTACCTGGCCGAAGCTGGGAGGCTGCAGGTCGGAATTGAGGCATATCAAGGAGAGGTAGTCGACAGCAGAGGCGGGGAGTGCTGTTCTGAATGTTCCTGTATGGTACGCGACGAGTGGCACAAAGTTGATCATTGGCTGCTGAGTTGTCGAGAAGGTCACTGCATCATGGATTAGCATGGGTTCGGGTATCAAATGCAGGGACCTACGCAGCTCATTGCCAGCCACTGAGAAGTCTGACACCCTCAGCAATCCGTAGTACGATAGAGCAATGGCAAAATGGACGGCGCTCAAAGCATTGAAGCTGTGCAGGTAGTCGACTGCTTGTTCAAACATGCCCGCAAGGACTTGCATCAAGAAGAAGGTGCCGTATCCGTTCGATCCCTCGACCTGGCTTTTCTGGAAATGCTTTTGCCCGATCTCCGTCACTGTTTCGCAGATTTGGTCGAGCCCAAAGACTTCCCCAGAAATCTCCTCGAGCCTCTCCGTTTCTCGAGCAAGGTTGAACTGTAGCCAGAGCCAATCCTCCACACCTTGACCAACAACGTCCAGGTGTCTTGAACCAATGTCACATCGACCGATCACTTTATAGCAGGCTATTCTGTAAGGATCAACCTGGTTCTTGGGGCTGGCTTTCGTCCGGTTTTGATACTCGTTGTCGATCATATCTTGCAGTTTGCGTCCCAACCGACGGTCCCGGTCCTTTGCATAGGCCGTCAGATACGAAACGAACCGTCGCTCAATTGATTGGAAGGCAGGATCATTTTGGACATAATCCGCTGCTTCTTGAACAAAGCCGCATCTCAGGAGGTAGAATATGAGGACCCAGCAGTAGTCGCCGTTCTCGCCGTTCAGTTGTTGGAGCTCTGTCCCATCAGGAGCCAGGTCCCGTCGTATCACACGCAGTCGGATGTAAGCTCTTACAATGTTGGTGACAGTGGGCTGCCCACCCAGCGCTGCCTCCCGTGGATTCTGCTCGACCTTGGTTTTTATCTCCCTGAAGAATGCTCGTTCTAGGTATGTTCTAGAACCATCCAAGACCTGTTTCTTCAACTTCAGCATTGCCGGCGTCGAGGACGAGTCGTCCAAATATGCATCGGCAAATTGTCGTTCCTTGAGTTCTGCCGAGCCTTCTTTGGTGATCTCGCAGAGAGCCTGGTAGGCGTCCACGAGTTGACGGGGGCTATCAGCTTTATTTTGCTCTTCGGTTTCGGCAAATCTTCGTAGCAAAGGGTATGCTTCGTGTTTCACTCGAGCGTTACTGAGTTCTGCCACTTTCTCAATGAATATCTTTTCCTTGTTTCTGAGCTCGCGCAAAACCTGTGAGCTAGATCTTGGTAATCCTGCTGGCGTGGGAGGAGCACCTTCACTCCTAAAAAAGGACGCTGAACCGGCTCCCGATCCCGCGATGCCAATGATGGACTTCTCCAGTGCCGACCGACCAAACACGCTTCTCGCGGAACGTGTTAAATCGGATTCTCCATGCTTGCCCCGTTTCGTAGTTTTGCCAAAGCCACCTGAGGCTTGTCTCCCACCTGCCGGAGTTGATCCATCCTCCGGTGGCACAAGGCCAAAATGTTCCATAATTCTGACCTTTTGTTCCTCAAAGTCGACACCCAAGCTCTCTTCAATGAAGCTGTCGACTTCCCGATAGATACGGTCCATGCTTTCTCGCAGCATGGCGTCACGCCCCTTGACTCGGAGATCCCTCAGATAGGCAGTAGACTCATCGGCAAAGGATTGTGCGGTAGCCCGTGACACTGGTGCCCCATCGTCAGGCCCCAAAGCCGAGAAGTCCTTGTAAGCCTGACCGGGCGCAACGCCGGAGCCTGCCAGCAGGTAATGAGCGCGACTCTCTGACAGCGGCTCAGGCTGCTTTGTTCCGCGGTGTCTGATCTCCTGCGCACGTCTGGCCAGGTCGCCCAGATCCATACTAAGGCTTGGCAACTCATGACGACCATTGTGCTGCGCCGTCAACTTTGGCTTCTTCTTCTGGCGTTCGAGCAAAGTGCTGAAGTAGGCAGCATCTCCGGTATTCTGTGTAGGACCAGGTGCTGGTTGCGAGCCAGCAGGAGCCGCCGTATTTGGGCCGGTCGTGCCACCGAAGAGGGAGGAAGTCGCCGGCTGCTGGGTGCTCTGAGCGCCGAAAGCAGAAAGGGTCGCGGCAGGCTGCTGAGCTGTCGATGGGGCTGTACCGAACAGACCTCCGGACTGGACAGTAGTGCTTGTAGTGGTGGGAAGGGAGAACGGAGCAGGAGCAGGAGCTGTATTCTGGGTAGCGAAGAACCCACCAGAAGGTGCAGCGCTTGTGGTGGCGCTGAGCCCTGCGAATTGGGCGGCTTGAGTATTTTGCGAAGTCGACGGCTCAAAGATGGACTTGCGCTTTCCCTGGGCGTCCGTCGTGGGATTCAGGTTTAGGCCGCCAAAAAGACCGCCTGACCCTGAGGTACCTGCAGCAGAGGCCGGCGGGCCAAAGAGCGATGACATCTTTTCCGACTCAACTGCACGCAGACGAAGTGGTGTGAGCCGTGCTCGATCTTGCTGAAGGTCGCGTATACAAAAAGTTGCAATGAACGCGTTCACTGCTCAATGCGGTCAGTTGCAGCCTTGGCACTAAGGAATGACTAAGCACTGATAAAATCTCACGTGACTCCTTTCCGCCGCGCCACTTCTCTAACAGCTCACTTCCATTATCAGCTGTGCACTCGCCTCGACCGCCTTTACGCTTACCCTCCATCCTGGGGTGCTCCATCCTGTATAGCTTCAGGGACGCCTATACATAGCGCCGTGTCAATCGCCGTCTTCTTCAATGTCAATCTGTAAGCGTTTCACACGAGCTGTGCAAGCAACTCGGCTACTGAGCAACCTGAGGACAAATCTGAGGAGGGAAGAAAGAAACAGAGACGGCGTCTCGCTGTTAGCAGAATTCAGGTGAGGTAATATAGCTACAAGTAATGGCATAATTGTGTGGAAAAGAGGTGCCGACGCGTTCAAGACCGAAGGAACATCGCAGTGTGGTGGAGTCTTGTGAAGAAATGGACTGGTTGAATGGGCAATGTACAATGTCACTATGCAATCGAAGACGACCCCGAAGATCTTTCTAGGATGGCGGAGACCTCCAACTATTGGCACACTTCGCTACCATTGACTGCTGTGGGTTCAGCTCTAGCTTGGAAGGCAGCATGCCGTATTGCTCTGAGAGTGCAGGCACCCTCGAAAGACCAAGTTGGCTATATTGAGCCTGCCAACAGGCATGGAATCCCATGTCTTTCGAGGAGGCTGAGCAGATACCGAAGCCGACCTGTTGTGACGTCCCTCGGAGTGGCCTGACGCTGGCTCGGCGCTTCATATCCACGTCCATCATCCAAGGGAGCACATAAGATGGAAGTGGAATTCCTGTTGAGTAAGCCGGTCGACTCATTTTTGAGGACAAGTATGGGTTTGTCAGGTTCTCAGTTTTCTTTGACTGAGATCTTCATGCATGAATTTGAGGACCTTAAGGCGCAAAGGCGGACACCATCAGTCCCGTCGACCAAGTCGGACTCGGCATATACGTTGAAAATGCAATATGGCCTCCAAGGTCCATTCCTGTCCCGATCAGATCCATTACAATACATTCTCTTGTATTGCATTTCCAAACTTCAGTTCGACGATGGTGTACGATGTGGCCATTATTGGCGCAGGGCCTTGCGGGCTGGCCGTGGCGGCTCGGTTACGAGAAGCCACTCCTTCTGCACTCTTTACCGACGACGAGCATATCAGGTACTGGAGGAGGTTCAATAGACGCGAGACGATCGAAAACGAGCGTAGATTCCAGCGAAGGGCGGCCGATTCTGACCTAGGCGACAGGTCTCACTCCGGCAGATCCATCATTGTGCTCGATGCTCAATCTGACGAGTGGATGTCAGCATGGAAAGAGAAATTCCGCAAGTTGCGGATCAACTATCTTCGGAGTCCTCTATTCTTTCATCCAGACCCAAGGGATCGAGATTCTCTCTTGGCCTTTTCGCATCTCCACAGCCGCACGAGCGAATTGCAAGAAATCCCCAACGTGGTTGGCAAAGAAATGAGCAAACATCGAGTTAAGAAGAGACGTCAGAGGTGAGATCTGAAGAGGCCAAGTCGTCCCATTGGACCGCCAGTGCTCACGTATCTCAAGGAGGATCACACAACACCTCCGCATCGATGACAGGGATCGTATAGACTATTTCACACCCTCGGCAGCGCTCTTTGAAGACTTTTGCGACGACATTGTGGACAGGTACGACCTTCGAAGCGTGGTCGTACGAGCTAGAGTAGAAAACGTCGAGTACGGAGATCTGGGCGGGTTGACCAGTGCGGAAGGATTTACCTTGGCCACGGACCAAGGAGCGATCTTCTCCCGAATCGTTGTCCTCGCAGTCGGTCCTGGTTGTAAGCCGTTCATTCCCATTGACAGCAACCTCCAGCTCGGCGCGGAGCCAGGCAGCGTTTGCCACTGCTTTGCTACCGCAGACGAACATTGCTTACCGGAGCATGTTCTGCGAAAGATCGAAAACGGACTACCAACCTCCGTCGTGGTGGTTGGGGGTGGACTTACCAGCGCCCAAATTGCCGATTTACTCATTTGTCGTGGCGTCACCAAGGTGTGGCTGCTGATCAGGGGAAGCTACAAGTTGAAGCATTTCGATGTTGACCTTGAATGGGTGTCAAAGGTGCGCAACCACCAAATGTCGGTTTTCTGGTCGGCAGATAGTGATGAGGGTAGGTAAGTTGGCCGCGAAACGAGAGTATCGGTCACTGATTTCCAACAGAGCGCCTAGAGATGCTCAAAAGAGCTCGAAATGGAGGCAGTATAACACCCAAGTTCGACAGGATTCTTCAAAGGCACGTTTTGAGCGGGCATCTGGCTATTGTGACTCACACTCGTGTCCAAGACGGGATTTGGTGCGGCAGGAGCCAGACATGGTCGATCAGATTGTCCTCTGGACAAGAGGATGCCCCGCTGTGTGTTGACCACATCATACACGCAACGGGGGCAGCTCCGAACATTGAAAAAGTGCAGTGCATGAAGCAAATGCTGGAGAAATACCCTCTTCCATCTTGCAACGGGTTGCCTAGACTTACCGATGACTTGATGTGGCACAACAGTGTCCCATTGTTCTTGACTGGCGGTCTTGCGGCACTGAGGCTCGGCCCCGGCGCCGCCAACCTGGCCGGAGCACGACAGGGAGCTGAAAGGATTGCCTGGAAGATCGAGGATCTGCTGGGAAAAGGACAAATGGCATTGCCTGAGGAGGAGGACTCGGTCCTCGCGGATGGGCGCGGCAGCCAGCTCAGAGAGCGGGAGAGGAACACCATGGCCGAGCAGAGGAGCGAATACACAGGAGGCTTTGTCAATCAATTCGAGGCCTTGACGCTGAACGAAGGTAACTAGGTGAGCTCAACTCTATCTGTCGACGATGGGCTTCGAATGTGCACGTCGGAGTCTTGCGATGAACACTGAGAGAGCGGAAAGTGAATCCTCGGAGGAGCCGTGTAAGCGGAGAATGAGTGAGCATCACTGGTCCTAAAGCGGGCTGCGCTTTCTGCTCATTCTAGCGAAGCTGAGTTCGCACTCACCTCAAACTCACCTGACAATGAATTTACAAATGCTGAAATAATCTCATTCGCATATTTAATAGCACCACTGCTCCGACATACCGTTCACCGATCACTTACAACTTGTTATCTCGGCTTGTCGCGCGTACCGTGGTTTGTAGAGTATGAATGGCCGGGATGGAGCCGAGAACAGCCAGCCTGTTGGTTGCGAAACTGACCTCAGAATGAAACTGGACTTGAGAGCTGGTGAAGATATCATGAGACGATTTTTGCATACAAGCCATACGACCGGAAAAGCCTGCCCAACGCTCACTGTCATCCCGAGATACAGTGCACATGAAGAATCGGCATCATCAAGAGTAAAGAGTAGGAGTACATTCTATCTTCAGAAGGGCAATGCGAGATATACTTCCGATCCGTTGTTCGTAGCAGGTAGCCCACTCCCATATGCATTACTGAGCCTAGATATGATTGTCAATTCAAGCCACCCTCGTATCCGCCCAGCCGTTGCGCCTATCGACCGAGATTGCATTATTTTGACAGACACAAAGACAGACGGCCACACAGCCATACATAGCCAGCTGTAGTGACAGCGCAGTCGGAATCCGATGTCCCAACTTTTCGGAGCCTGAGTCGTCCACCTAGCCTGTTTGTTTAGTTCGGTCTTCCGCCCTACTCATCCAACATGATCATGACCGTCGTGCTGTCATGTAAGCTATCCAATGTAGAGCAGATGAGAGCAGGGACTGATTTTCCTTTGTGCCGGTTCGATCCCATGCCATCGTCACGCCTCTTCCTCTTCTGATGTTAATCATCCTGCTTCATCCGCTATTATATCCGTATACATCGTTGGAATCTCCCCTGATTCGCACAGCCGGGCTTGTCCACACTTTACGTTCTTTCTCTTACTTTTCTTTATCTTTTAATGTGGCCCTTCCTGCTCTTCTGCGTCTTTCATAACGTGAATCAACCGCCCAGTCTCGTCATTCGCGCTGCACCCAACCCAGTACCATCCCAAACGCCACCGTCACACCCGTCGCTCTCGCTGTCGCACTTGACCAATTTCTGATAGACCCTGATTTGGTCCTGCAACCGAGCGACCTCCGCACTCATGTGTTGCATCTGTGCTTCCGATCTGTGGATGTATTTGATTGCGCGGGTCATGATGTCGGATTTGCGAACCCGCCCTACAATTTGTGCTTGGGCTTGGGTTTGGGCTTTCATCTCGTCCAGCAGAGACACAGAAGGTGATGATGTCGCTACATCGTCGGGGATCGCAGTATCGGCGGTCCCGGCGGTCTCGGCGGCCAGGAGGACGCGGTGGAGTTGCATCATCTTGCCGTTGAGGTTGTCGCGGTAGCGGCGTTCGATGATCGAGTGGGCGTGTTTGGCTTTCTGAATGGCTGAGGCGGAGATGGAAGCGGAGTCGTCTTCGCTGGGGGTGGAGGAGGAGCTGGGTGGGGGGTTCCGTTTCTTGGTGCGCGCGTGCGAGCGAGTGGGCGGACCAGTGGTGGTGGCGGTATTGGATTTTCGTTGTGGTGTGGCAAAGCTCGATGTTCTCCGTGTGGGGCGCGTTCGTGGAGGTTGAGGTTGATGTTGAGGTCGAGGCTGACATCGACGTCTAGGCAGAGGATAACCGCAGACGAAGGTGGGTGTGGATGCTGATGCCGACGGGGAAGTAGATGTCAAGGTCGACGTTGGTGTGATGGGCGTGATGGGCGTGATGGGCGTGATGGGCGTGATGGGCGTGTCTGTTTCTGCTGAAGCTGACCCCAGCGACGCTGACAAACCCATAGCTTCTGGGGCTGCGAATGTCGGCCACTGGTCATCCCGGGGCGTACTGTACCCCTTTTGATTCAGGTCCATGTCGAAATCAAGGTCGAGGTCCATGTTGAGCGGTGCACTTTGCGTGAGATCCGACTGCTGTCGCCGGAGCTCTAGCGGGCCGACTGTGTCCTTAAAGGGACTTTCCAGCTCGTCGAGGTAAGGGCTGACGTACGAATCGTCGGACGAGGCGGACTTCATGTGATACAGTTCAGGCTGGAGTCGCACACCCCAGGGATCGATGCATTTTGTGAGCGCCGAGGTTTGTTGGCCGTCATCGTTGGCTGGGAAGCGAGTAAAGTTGGCTTCATCGTGATATTGCTGCTCCGTGTTAGCTGGCTAGCTGAACGTGACCACGTATCCGTCTGGCGTACCTGGTCGAGCAAGAATGGATCTTGAAAGTATGTCATTGTGTTGTCGAGTATTCATTCAGCAGTGCTATGCTGAAGTTGCGCAAGCTCACAGAGAGGGCAGGCAGACAGACATAGTTACAGGTCGTCCTTGCAGAGATGACGCATCCGCGCGAGCGCGAGGTCATCGTCGTGTTCATAAAGTTTTCGTTGTTCCTTGAAGGGCAGAGCTCCGATCCTCGATCGCGCCCAGTTCTAGAACCCTGGGGAATTCCGAAGGGCCACCATTATTGGAGCCAAGGCTGCTGGTCCTCGTGTTGAGGCTGCGTCCAGCAGGAAGTTGTGTGCTTGTCGGTTCCACAACGAGGCACGGCTGGAAACACAGACCACCAGTCAGCCCACCCGTCCACAATGCGTCGAGGTTGACGATACCCAGTACGGTGTAGATAGATGGGGCATGCCGGCCTTCGTCTTCGGTTGGCTGATCCGGATCCTCGAGGCTGGCGATGTACCCAATTGCGAAGGCAGCTGGTTCCTTCCGCTTACGGCTGTGTGCATATTCGTCGCGTACAGAATTATATCATGCAACTGCTGTCTAGCTGTCTTTATCACCAGTACAGACAAAGACGAAGAGCCGGGCGCGGTCGTTGATCCTCGGAAGCGAATGGCTCTCCCACGGACCGCTCTGCTTTGTCTTGCTGCCGACACGGACGTGACAGGTGGGTGCTGTAGCTATCAGACTTTGCTTGTGGGACTTTATTACGTATGTAAAGGCGAGAGAGGGTACACAGAGTCTCCGTACCTGGCGCTTGACCATATGCAGTAGTCGCGTAGGATACGAGTGACAAGCTAAGCTGCCTGGCTGATCCACGACCCCGAGAAGCTCCGCTCGAAGGTCGCAAACCCTCGGGGTTAGTTCGCTGGTCGACGGGATTGTGATTGGGACTGGTTTCAGAATGAGATCAGGTCACCAAAGTCGTGTACCTCGTACAGCGTGGAGTGCGGTGCATTTGTTTCTTCATCCTAGCACGGCTTGTTCCGTCGCATGTGTCTCCCATTCACGATCATGGCGCTGTCCTGCGCAATGGTAGTAGCCATTCGGAATGGCCTTCAGTTTCAGCATCACGCAAGGGACGCGTCTCAGGGATGCATGTGGTAGAATGTCTGTTCTTCTCCGTCTTGCAACATGGTACTTTATATGTCAAAGTCGTGAAACCGTCACGTGTTGAATTGGACCGCCTTGACGGGAACGAGACTCCGTATGCTAGAAGCACACCATCTCGGTGTCTCTCGCGTGTTGATTGATTGCATACAGACGTAAATACCAGTAGTCTATCTAAAGGCCACACTGATGTCCAGCGCACCAGGCGCCATCCAGCAACCTCACGGTGTAAGCACAGTAGGTGACTCCTGCCAACACACCGGAACTCGTACTGAGTACGCCGGATCGACTCGGGATAACCTCAATGATGACCTACACAGATTAACGTATCCAAACAATCCTGCTTTCCGTGGTCTTTCGTCTTTTGGCCACTACCGGATGGGAATTTTGAAGTTGAGTCGCGTCACGTGGATGAACCCGCCGTCACGCATATACTGCATTCTTAACTCGGGATCGCCGTGCCCGTGGAGATCGACTGGGTTTATGCCTTGGTCCATAGATCCTGCCAATATTCGACACGGGAGTTGGTGAGGTGTGAACCGTCGTCCGAGTATCGCTTGTAACTGAATTCTTGGGGTTCGACCCAGCCGCCCAGTGTTAGCGAGGCAAGTGCTTCTCGGTGAAATTGGGGCCAATTCCTCAGAGACGTGTTGTTCAGGACATGCGAATGGATGAGATCAAATCTTTGCCGGAATGCCCACCCCTCATCCCCATCGGTGGTCGCTATCCGGCAATTCGGTGGCACATAACTGGGTTGGATTGGACCGAGATCTGTTCTCATGGCGTCGGCCGACGGGTATTCATAAGCTATATCGCTGGCGCACTTCCCGTGCTCGTACGACACCGAGGACGCTAGTTGGTGTGAGAGGGGCTCGAAGAACAGCTCCTCTTCGGTTTAAAAGACTCACAGCATGGTACATCCCGTCGATTCTGCATGAGTTAGCCCGTTCGGTTCTGAGGAAATCGTGATCAAGCTGTTAAAGTTCTCACCTTTGTCGCTCAACCTGTGTGGGGAATGTGAGCAGGAAGGGGAAGGGTGGCCGCGGCGCCCGATGTCACACCTCGTCATTGGGCAAGATGTATTCTACGGCGGTTAGCGAAGTATATGAGGCAAACCGTTCCACTCACCGCCGGCATGGTACTGCAGCAGATTAGCTTGTCTCTAGGAATGCTGGATGGAAAGCTCAGAGGACGCACAGCATGGTAGGTTCGCCTATGCGTGTGTTCATAATCGTAGGTGCTGGCAGTCACTAACCTTATCGACGACTCGCTTGCAATGTCTTCAGAAAGCGGCACTGCGGTTCCATGGGGACAAACCCACACGTCTTTCATCGTAATAACCGGAGTCGTTCTCCCTACATCACTATCCGGTAGAGGAGCCACCACTACTCTCCACGCACGGTTGTAAAGCTCTCGGATGGGTGTACCTGTCCTGACATCTCCTCGTGCGCGTCTGCGGTGACAGCCACCGCAAGGTTGGACATGGCTTTCGAAGTGAACACGGAAAACAACTACCGGGAAGGGCTCTAAAGAGCCTCTTACTCACACGGTGGTGGATCAATGAGAAGGAACTGCGGCGAGCGGCGGACAGCAACCGATATCGACGTCGTAGATCTCTGGTAATAAACTGTGGGGGATTCTGATAGAGATCTGATGAAGGTTTGTGTGGAGAGCCAATGGCAGGGCCTTGTTAAGCAGGCTTGATAAACGAAAGCTTGCGGTTGAAGTTCAGCCGGCTGCCCGGGGTCGCAGTTCCACTGGCTCGCCCCGATCCTGGTGGCATGAGTTCGGTACGTACCAGTGGGTGACCAGCAGTCCACAAGTCAAAACCACGACTTTTGTACACCTCCAGAGGGGAATAAGGAACCGAGAATTGTTGGTAGAAGGACTTCGACCATACGCAGTGCCTGGACTCCATCTGCGCCACCAAGGTCGATAACTGCCACCGTTAGGCCTGAGCGTATTGATGCCTCTGCCGATAGCTGCAGTCAGCGACGTACACAGATACTCGTAGTATCGGAAATGATCATCTCGGCCTCATCCGAATCCTGCCTGGGCAGCTGATGCCCGGCGTACGCAATCTTCCCTCGTGCGCCGTGTGTTGTGGAGCTTGGAGGCTGACCCTGTCCACCAGTACACCGGAAAAGAAATTCCCAACCTCGAAAAGGATGTTGATGCAACAGTGGTGGAACTGGTTGACCTGACCCGGCGAGGCTATGTCCAGAAAAACCAAGCTCTGGATTTCGCGAAGCTCGCAGGGTATTTCACTCTCGCCGTGCTAACCCAAATCGCTTTTGGACAGGCGCTGGGCTTCCTGGTGAAGATCGAAGACGTCTATGATTATCGCAAGTCAAGCAGCGCCTTCTATCCAATCATGGAACTGGGCTGAAATCACCCAACAGTATTCGCCATCCTGAACAGTCGGGTCATGGGAGGTGCTGCTCCCAAACCGACTGATAAAATTGGATTTGGAGCTATTGTCGGTGTTGCGCAAAAGGCGGTTGCCGAGAGGTTTGGGCCTCATCCAAAGAAGATGCAAGACATGCTGGGCTCTTTCGTCAACCCTGGGCTTACCCAGCAAGAGTGCGAAGTTGAGTCTCTGCTTCATATCCTGGTGGGGGCTGATTCGACGGCGACGGCGCCTCGGTCGAATTTGGTGGTCGTGCAAGAGGATTTCCTGGTCAGAGCGTGGCCAAGAAAACAACGCTGAAGGGACATATCACACTCCCTTGGGTTTTCTCTATAGACGATTTCGCTTCGATACTTGCGCAGAAATCATTCGGTAGCAGGATTGAACCTCACCAAGAAATCACAATTCGCATAACCTTGAACTGAGCATTCTGTATAAACTCGAAACTGAAGCGGAATTGAGGGCAAGTCGAGGCACAAGTGAAAGGCTTGGCGTTTATGTCATAGTCGCGCCTCGATTCCGAGTCTGCTGAGCGAGTTCGATCAAGCAGTGTACGAGTTCCCGTAACACCACACCACCAACTCTACCGGATTACAGCCTTCAACAACATTAGGCTGCCCTTATTGAACAGCTGCTTCCCACCCGCCGCGCGCCTGCGGCTATGCCTGTCTTTCAAGCGAAACCCTTCCGCAGCAGCGCGCAAGCAAAAGACCTCTCCGCCCGTGTTGCGACATGGTACAGCCGCAAACAGGATCGCAACCCCTTCCTGTGGTTCGGCCTGCCATTTATGACGCTTATTGTCGGGGCTTCCTTTCTTCTTACCCCAGCCACGGCACTGAGATACGAAAAGCACGACCGCAAGAATAGACAAGTCACAGACGAGGAGAAACTGCAACTGGGTTTAAGAGGCGGTCCAACAGGAGACGGAGGGCTCACCTACAATCCGCGGCGGCGAAAAGTGCTCAGGGGAGAACTTAACGAGCGAGACGAGTATTATAGGCTTATGGCGAAAGATTTGGACAGCTGGGAGCAGAAACGGGTGGAGCGCTGGAAGGGTGAACCGGATGGTAGACTGTAAGATACCGGCAAGGACGGACGATGACAACGTTTGGGAATTGCTAGTCCACCCACCGTCACGACCTGCTCCTAATCATGTTACGACAAGCTCTGCAACGAGCCGATGAGATGATCAATGTACCGGATCGCAGAGGAGCTGCTGGACAGCTTCACCATTGGAAACGCGGTAGGCATGTCAGAAAAAGAGACATTTACACTGGCAGCATGTGTCTATGAGCTCGTGATCTTGCCGAGCAGGCAACGTTGTCATGCTCGACCAGGATCTCAAAAGGAACCACATACGCTGTTCAAAAGTACGCCGATGCAGCTTCATTCAGTGCGAGCTGCGGCTCCTGGCAGATGGCACTTATGATCATCGAAGTATCCACGTGAAGGGCTGACAAGACTTGCTGAAGAGACACCATCCTGATGCCGCGGAGAGCTGCCTCGGTCGGTTGAGCGACCGATTCGCGGGTGGAAATGCTTCGGAGTCACATTCTCGATGTGATTGACAGGCCTTGTCATTGTGCAATTGGATTGCACCTGGGCTTAGACATGCGCGGACAGGCGATAGAAAAGGCGGTGAGGGGAGGCAAGCATTCCATGGCCACAGTTAAGCGACGAAACTGCTGCGGGCGGCTGGGCAGACCCGAAGCTCAGACTCCCCCAGTTAAGAGCAGCGCGGAGATTCAGACGTCTGGCGAACGAAAAGCCCGCGTGGTGGCCACCCAAGTGGCTTGCAGCCAGAATTTCTAGATGCCAACTAGTATTTGCAAGAAAAATGTTGGCATTCCTGCCTTCTCGTTGGTTGTCGGGATCGAAATGATTGGGACGTGATTTGTCTAGAACCCGGGTCAAGGGAGATCCGTCCTCATGGCCGAGTCGTGGGAAGAGAGGCTCGAGCTGTAGAATGAAACGTTGCGTGCAGATACGCCTTCGCATCAGCTGCTGCGAAACTTGTGGAAACAATACCAAGAAGAGAAGGTCAATGACGCCATGAAGTGTTGAGGAAGCATCTAGGTGGCATCAGGCAAGCGTGCAACCCGATGACAACGAAAACCACAGTTGTTTCCTTTTTCGACCAGTAGTTCAGGTTGCTCCGGATATACATTGCCAGCGAAGGCCTGGACCTTCTGAGCAGGCCAGATGACCGCAGTGAGTTGTAAGAACTGTGTAGTTGCCACGGTGAGTCCTCATACGGGGACTTACCGGTCCAGTGCACACCGTTCAACAATAAACGAGATGCATTCCGAGGTGTGAGTCTACGCGATGCTTGCCGATAGATTGGTAGCTTTTGACTTTGGCTTTTCTCTAGCGTCAGGAAAGGGTTCGGTCGCATGGCGCTTGGGAGTGAGGGGGCCCACGCCACGACTTCGCTACACCTCCATGGACCCTGAATGACCTGAGAGCGAGTTGTGTCCGAGGCGTGATAGAAGGCAAGCGACACCAGGTCTCAGTCCGCGCACGAGATCCGTTCCATATACAGCAGATGGCCTGACCGGAGCAGAACAGGATGGCCAAGTAATCATGAATGTGGCCGGAGATTGGGTGCTCGCCCTCCGCTCTGTTCTACACTGTACTCCTGTGCACTCAGTATTGGCCAGTCACATACATATCCAACAAAAGTCACCGACATGCAGTTTTTAACCCAGAGGGTCTGCGGAAAGTGGCACGTGTATTGTGCAAGTCAAGTTCTTCTGCCGATGTTGTTGCAGGGAAGCCATCCCCTACGCCTCTGTGCCTGATCTTGTGTCGTTGAATTCGAGGACCAAATTGCACATTTTGACCCGCTCACATGTCAGACTTCCTGCTTATCAGGGACTCACTTCTTCGTGCGTGACATGCTGCAAGAGTAGCGAATGACGTCCCAGGCTGCTGAAGGATTGATTTCCAAGCAAGGATCTGTTCCACTGGTCACCAACTTCAGGGTTTGACCCTCCGCGCCATTCCTTAGAGGTACATGGACAGGAGCAGTCCACCAGTCTTCCGTGCTTGAGCTACGTACCAATGCATCTGCATATTTTGTTCCTCGAGGTTCTAGGCCGTCTCATCGAGCCATCATTCCTGTGAGAATAGAGTAGAGACAGCTCTGACACGGGGCACCACAGTCGTTCTCGGGAAGGTTCCTTAAATGGCAACGGTGACATCGCTGCTTCGAGTCAGGCTTGCGGAGCATGCCTACCGCTACCCCCCGTGCCCCCAAAACTACCTCCTCAAGACCCCTACTGCGTGCGTGCTCACCACCTTCTCACCCTCGGAAACCTCCATTCAAGACTAGGCCCAGCAAGAGCCGCTCTGTCCAGCACTGGGCACCCTTGTAAACCATAACTCGTACTTGTAGTAATCTAGCATTGTCGAGGCATGGCGTCTTCCCACGAGTTCGGGATTATGCAGTGGGGCCTTTCGAGGGCTAGAACGTCGAGGTTCAAGCCGTGGCCCGTGAATATGCAGCTGGGCCCCAGTCATTGGCTTGCAGCAGCCAGTCACCTCGCCCCGAAGGCCCCTCGCTTCGCCCATCACCGTGCCCTCACTTGTCGCTCACACCGACGTCATTCGCCCTGCGTCAATTGTCAGAGTTTTGGCTTTGATTTCCAAAGGTGCCCGTGCCTGCTCCCTATTCCCTGCCGATAGCGAACGGGACTTTAGTAAAACGACCTGCTGCACCACCACCACCACCACCACCACTACTCAGTCACCTCAGCCTCTCTCTATTGCTACCCGCGTCCCGGCTCAGCTGGCTGTCTCAAACGTTCTATCTTTGTTGCCGGCAAACAATGAGACCACATTCCAGCTTGCTGCTCGCCTTGTCGCGTGCACAGTCCAGACCACAATGACGTAGATCTGTTGGGGCCGCTGCAACATCTGCAAAACACAGCACCGTGGTACCTCGTACCGTGCACCTTGTCATCGATCCTCCGCATCTGATATTCTACCAGTAATCCACACAGCCCTGCACAGCCAGCATACATATCCCCACGAGTTCCAGATCTCGACACCGTCACGGTCTGTCAAACGTGGTCTTTCGACTTGTGGAAAACTCTTCTATTAACGGGGACAATTTTTCTACTGGTCAAGAATTGATGAGAGTGCACCACGCTACATCGACCTCGCCCTTTTCACCAGGGCCACTGGCCAACGTCACCATGTCCGCCACCGCGACGGCGTCCCTCAAATCACCCTCGCATCCCCATTCTCATTCGCACTCGCATTCGAAATCCCATTCGCACTCCCACTCCCATTCCCGTTCTTCGCGGCCTTCGACCACGCCACGCGTGCAGCCAGCTGTCGCATCTGTCGGCCAGCCTATGCCACCTCTCCTGTCCCCCACTAACGTTCGAACATCCTCTAATTCTCGAGATGTGAAGAGCCCGAGCCCTAGCTATTTTGGCTTTGTAGTGGGCGATGATTCAATACCGGCAGACTCAAATCCGGGGAAGCATGTGCGCCAGAACTGGAATTTTGCAGGGTCTAACGCACAGAAGGATGTTGCGACACCTCGACACGTACCGGTCGAATCCAACCCAGATTTCGAGGCATTTAGGAGACAGTCGGAACATAATCACAGGTTCGCGTTGAATACGGCATTCAGGCCTTCGCAGTCGAGAACAAACTCGGACCTCAGTTCGACGGCTTCGCCACTTGCGAAGAGGCCTGCCATTGAGAGAAGTGCCCAATCAAACACCCGAATGGAAGATGTCTCGTTCTTTGATATTCCAAGACAACAATCTCCCGACTCTATCAATCGAAATAGCGTGGCCGACCATCAACACGCTCGGTTATCTTTACCTAGCAACGATATCCGCGGATCCCCTTCCGGCATTACAAAGCCCTCCAGCCGCTCAGAAACACTACCGTCGTCGGCGGAAAAAGACGTACCACCCATCGTTTCACCTACACAAGTAGCTGAGATCCTCCGCTCGCAACCCGGGCAGGTTCTAGTACTGGATCTACGGGTCTACCAGCAGTATGCGTCGGCAAGGATACGGGGGGCTCTGAACCTATGTATTCCCACAACCCTGCTGAAACGGCCCGCGTATAATGTCCAGAGGCTTGCTGAGACCTTCAGTTCCGCTCGCGACCAGGAAACCTTTGCGCGCTGGCAAACCTGCTCCTACATTGTTGCGTACGATGCCAACTCGTCGCTAGCCAAGGAAGCAGTCACGCCGTTGAATGTCCTCAAGAAGTTTACATCTGAAGGCTGGAAGGGCACCGGTCTGGTCATTAAGGGCGGTTTCCTGAAGTTCCAGAAATTAGTCCCGGATCTGGTTGACGATGGTCCTGTACAGCAAGGTAATGGAGCCTCCAGTCAACCGCTGTCGATCTCCGCACCTGGGAAAGATACCCTCGCCGTCGCCGGAGGTTGCGCCATGCCAACAACGAAATCTGCTGCAAACCCATTCTTTTCGAACATTCGCCAGAACATGGACCTCATCGATGGCGTTGGTCAACTGACTATTAAAAAGCCCCATGAACTCACGGCGGAGACTGAAAGGCGTATGCCATCCTGGTTGAAGCGGGCAGCCTCGCAGTCCAATGACGGCAAGTTGGTTTCCGACAAATTCCTGAATATTGAAAAGTCGGAGCAAAAGCGTATGCAGGATGCCCTCAACGTCAAGGTCTCGTACGGAAGTCCACGCACGGAACGACCAGAAAAAATCCAGATTGCCGGCATTGAGAAGGGTTCGAAGAATCGCTACAACAATATCTTTCCTTACGATCATACGCGGGTCAGGCTGCAGAACGTGCCAAATGGGAGCTGCGATTATATCAATGCCAGCCATGTGAAAGCAGAATTCTCCAATCGACGGTACATTGCCACGCAAGCCCCCATCCCGGCAACCTTCAATGACTTTTGGCGGGTGGTCTGGGAACAAGATGTCCGAGTGATCGTAATGCTAACGGCTGAAGCTGAAGGTGGACAAGTCAAAAGTCACGTCTATTGGAAGCCTGGCGAGTATGGTCAATTGAAGCTCAAACAGCTCTCCGAACGTCAAGTGAGTCTGGAGTCAAAGAAGCCTGCAAACAAACCTGCACCGACCACGCGTCCTTCCATGGCTCCGAGAAGATCGACAACAGCCAATATAGCTGGTGAACGCAGCCGAGAAGAGGTCAAGTCTCCGGGCTCCAGGGCGACGCCGATGGCCGTCGTTCGAGACTTTTCCCTCAGTCATTCCGCCCGTCCTTTTGAGCCGATGCATGAGGTTACTCAGGTCCATTATGCCGACTGGCCCGATTTGGGCGCTCCAGCCAGCCCGAGTGAACTCCTTGGGCTGGTGGAACAGGTCAATAAATATGTCCGTGGCTCTGCCTCGCCGTCCAGTATTGTTGGACCCGATGAAGCAGCTCCCAAAGGACAACGCCCCATCTTGGTTCACTGCAGTGCAGGGTGCGGACGGACAGGCACATTTTGTACGATCGACTCGGTCATCGATATGTTGAAGCGACAGAAGCTCTCCAACGACGGCGATCAAGATAGAATGGATGTGGATGCTGACGACTGGGTGACGCGCGACGATGTTGACTTGGTCGCCAAGACTGTGGACGAGTTCCGTCATCAGAGACTGAGCATGGTGCAGAATCTACGTCAATTTGTTTTGTGTTATGAAAGTATTTTGCAATGGATTGTTGCACTAGAGTCGGAGCAGCGCCAAAAACGACCTGGGCTACCAGACCCGCGGAGGAGTTATCACGGCTGAATGGCTTCTAGGGAAACCCGGGATGAGAAATGCATAATGGCTACGAGGGACTATGACTATCGTCATGACCAGGGAAGGATTGCGGCTGATGGTGTATAGGATTGGCGAGTCCATTAGCGAGTCCGGCCTGTGGCTCGCATAGCATGGCATGCTGCATTATCGGCATCGGTGCAGCATACTCATAACGAGGCGGGCATGGCATATACATATTGCACACGGGTTTTGCAGCGGGCAATGACACGCATTGTGCCAAGAGGGTCATGAATCCTTCTCTGCTTCCAGTCTTCGTCTTGGCATCTTTCTGCATGTTTCTATGATATTCCCGTGAGCGTCTGCAGGAGGCAGCTCTGGGGGCGGCAGGTGTGGCCTCGCGCGCGCGTGTGCTTGGCGCTGAGACACTTGGGCTCGTAACATCTGATCGAGAAACTGGGCGACGCATTGCCACACATGACATTGTACATTGCAGAGGACTCTGTGCTGGGTACAAGGTACACTGAGCCCAGTCGTCGGTCTGGAGCCGCCACGTTGTTTCTTCCAAAAATGGCAGCAGTGCCATAATATCTCTAATCTTGAGGTTTATTAACGTCACTATCGTCTGCTTCGCCATTGGCCCCGTGCTGGCTTTCACCCACTAATACAGTAGCCCGGAGATCGAGTGGCTGGCTCGGATCACAGCCTCGCTGATGATTGATCAGCTCTTGGACTCGCAGTGACTGGGCCAAGCACGCCACGCTGGATCCAAGATTGCTTAGATTCGGCCTCCGCGTCCTTACGGAGTTACATAGAACGTGCTTTGTTGAGGTCAGAGCCCGGCGTGAGTACTCCGTACTCCGTGCACAGTAAGCACTAACAAGCCGCCACTTTCCTTCTTTTGCAACTTCCGCTGAAAGCATCATTCGCCATGAGAAAATGCAGGGACAGTGTTGCGCCCGCTGCTTTCTCGTCCTCACGAGGCAGCAGCGGATCCCTAGGCTTGCAAGTCATAAGGCAGTTAACAGCCGCGGCAACATTCGTTTCCGTCATCGTCGCGGAACGCATGTGGCAGGAAGGCTTTGGTCCTGCTGCAAAACGATGTTGAAAGCTGCCGTGGTGGCTTGCGGCTCATGTTCAGCCCTTCCGCCAGGAATGAATGAGACGGACACCGCGGCGCCGTTAGCCCCGTCGCTTGCTTAATGATCAGCCAAGACTCTAAAATGATTAGCGAGGCGAGAAGGAGGCCTGATTTATGACAGCCTTCCACCGCAACAACACATCGAGGATGCCAAGGACTTGCTTGCCTGGACCTGACAACGAGCTGAGCCTGATCGGCTGCCCAATGCAGCTGTGACTTTTCAGCATCGGGAAGGACGATCACTGCCCAGCAACTGGCATGCGCATGCTATTCGGCGATGTCCCTGAAAGCAATGCATCCCCCAGTCTGCTGACTTATGGGATGGGAAAGCCAAGCCAACTCGTCCGAGAACCCGGTACCCGACGTTCTGTGGAGTGCATGGCAATCTGCTTTGTTGATGCTATCCCTGTTCAGCCTCCAACTCACTTTCTGCTAGCATTTCTATTCTCAAAGTCGTTGCCTTATAAAGCCCGGCCCTCCGCCCCTTCGTTCTGGGATTCGCCACGCACCACTGAATACTGATCGCTGCTGTTAGTCATCCGGGCAATCGACTTCACAAGACGAACCATTTAACAGCAGCTACTCATTCGCAAATTTCGTCCTCTCTTCACCTGCGTTCGAATCAATCACGTCGTCCTTGCCAGGACCGCAACCGGCACGATTGCGTACGCGCCCGTCTCACCCAGGGCACACGCCTTCACCATGTCGAACTATCTACCTCTCTACGCCGCCATGTCGGTGTTGATGGTCGACGCCGTCATCGAGGTCGCCTTTGTTGGATCCATGGTTGGCTTTCTCCACGACCGAGCAGGAGAGTTTTTCAACATCAACGCACCTGATGGAGCATTCGACCTGCACGGCAAGCCCGTGGGGCTTTTGGCCGACCAGGGCCACACCAGCAATGGCGCCGCCGGAACCGCTCTCGTACTGGTTGGTTGGTTGGGGCTTCTCACGATCTGGTATGAGAAGAGACGAGCCAAGAAGGTATGTTGTGCGAGCATCGGCGGTCGATAAGGAGCCAAGCTAATCGGCCACTTCTCAGACACAAGCAACGAGCCATTCCGGTATCTTCATCTTCTGGGTCGTGATGACCGTCCTTTCAGCGATGCTCACCTTGGCCGCGCTGATCTACACCTTCGTCCTCACCGCTCAAACCAACGACCAGAGCATCGACCTCACAGTCGCCGCCGCGAATCCCGAACCACTAATGTATCCGCTCGACAAGTGGACGCCCGAGAACTGGTTCGTCGCCGTGCTGGCCCTGCCGCTTGCACAAGACAGCGATCGATCCAAAATCCGCAACAACCTGCGCCTGATGAGAGGCTGGCGGTGGAACCTCATCCCCTTGTTCATCCTGGGGCTTGTGGTCGCGTCGCTCGCCGTTTGGGAATTGGTCGCCGGACGGGGACGGAGATCTCGGAGACAGGCCGACTCGAAGGAGAAGTTCCGAGAGTCGACACAGTCCCAGAATTACTAACTAGCTGGGCATGGAGGCCCAGTGAAGCACTAAAGGAGGAGGAGCAGGAACGGGCGCGGGAAGGCCCATGATTTTTTGCAGGATACCCTCTTTCTACGTTTGCACGTCTGGTTTTCTTTGGGGGGCTCTGTGTCTTTCAGCAAGCGAGCGAGTTGCATGGGGATGGGACGGAAAATTGTTACAACATCTTCGAGACGGCCTCGGACGGGCTTCGTCACTGACGGCTTGACGACCATCGCTTGGACGAACTTATGATAATCACAAGACACGTATACACATGGTACTATTCTGCCAATGGTAGACAAAGACAGTACGGAGTCATCCACTACTCGACTTGCAATCCTCCTGCACCTTGATGTAGATGTCATCGGCACCGATCCCACGTGACAATCGCCAACGAGAAGCCAGGAAAACAACCTTCAACATCCATCATACACGCCACCGAGCGTGCACAGTCATCACGATGTGAGGCCCCCCGGCGCCACAAAGCATACTCGGTACTGCACACCAATTTACCAGCAGAGCGTGGCTTGTGGTCGCCCTAGAAAAGCCCCGCCCCGCCATGCAACGCCACGCCACGCCGTGCTCCTACCACAACAGTGGCGATCTGCAGCTTTGTCAGGTACCCCAAGAATAGAAGGACTCAGCTAAGCCGAATAAGGGCGTACGAGGACCGAGCACGCGCTGGAGTCTGGCCCCGGCCACGGAGCTCGCTGCTTGTACGGGGTATGTAAGTGTACCTGAGGAGCACCTATCCACTCAAGTGTGCATGTTAAGTGGCAATCACGCAGGTCAAGCTTGGTGGCTTCCAGTGTTGGGATTAGTGTGAGAGAATGAATGCTCAGTAGAGGTGTCTCGAGGTGTTTTGGAACATTCTGCGATGTAGGGAGCAGCAGCAGGTGGCAGCTTGAATAATCATGTAATCATCGACGTTTGTTGGTGGTTGTGTCTTGTCGAGTCTTGTGTGTACGCACTCATGACAAGCCACTGTAATTATTGCATCCTCCTTTGGCCCTGGCTTCACACTGGGCTTCACATGCTTTGCCGCAACGCAACCAATCTCCTTAAGTTCTGCGTTCGCTGAGGCGGCATTACTTGGATTTCATCCTCGCTCCTGTATCTCATTGCACTGCTGCATGGCACCAAAGTGCTTTTCGAAATGGCGAGTGTTTCTGTCCCAACCTGCCTATGTGGATTTCGCTGCGTCCTAGCCCGCCCTTGCTTCCCTGCGGCCAAACTCGCGCGCTCAGGAGGTACAATATCAAAACACACACGCATCTCCCTCGATGCCGGGGTGGTTAAGAAAAGAGAGTGCGGATCACCTTTGCCGTTGCGAGGTACTGTCCTTCATTCCACGTCTAGCTGCACAGCACCTCTGTGCACCTCTGAGCAACACCTTGCGTCAAGGGAATCTTCAGATCTTGCCCGACTTCGGCCTTATTCGCATCTGGCATGTGCCACGCCAGATCAAAGACGGCACACGAGGCTGACCAGGTCTCTTCGGCCCTCGACAGCCTTTCTCTCCCCTTAGTCCAATTCTGCGTCCGCGGGGTGCCGGCATTGACTGCATCGGGAAGCCGACGCTTCCCCGGCCACGACTCCCACGGGCTCCAAATGCTGATCTGTGAACCTGTGATGCCACGATACAAGTCTGACATTTCCGTACCTCGTACATCAATCAATGTGCCAATAACGGACTCCCGCTACAGGTCTGAGCTCGATCTCCGAAGCTGATCCGATCAAGCCCTGTCAGCCTTCCTAGCTACATACTGACACCGGCCAAGATGAAGCCCAGCACGATAGAAACCCGACTGTTCATCAACAACGAGGTACTTCTAACCCACGTTGTCATCCTTTACCGCCAATCTGACGATCTACACAGTTCGTCGAGTCCCAAACCGGCAAGACATTCAAGATCTCCAATCCGGCCACCGACCAAGAGATCTGCTCCGTGCATGAAGCGTCCAAGGAAGATGTCGACCTGGCGGTCGACGCCGCGGAGGCGGCATTCCCGCACTGGAGCGCGCTCGCCGCGCATGAGCGGGCCATGTGTATGTTCAAATTCGCGCAACTCGTGCAGCGGGACGCGCAGCAGTTGGCCGAGCTGGACTCGATGTGTATGGGGAAGTAAGTCAGGATGAGCCACGTCGCCAGGCAGGCAAGCGGCGCTGACTGAACACCGTTAACGCAGGCCCGTCCAGTTGCTGAAGAAGATGGACATTCCTGCCCTGGTGGGCGTGTTCAACTACTTCGGCGGCAGCGGATACCATATCGTGGGGGAGTCGAGTCTCAGTTCGCCCAATTTTCTCAACGTCAGCGTGCGACAGCCTTACGGCGTGGTCGGGCTGATCATACCCTGGAATGTGCGTGCGAACACGACCACAAGACCGCGCGACCGCCTGCCTGACTAACTCACCCACAGGTCCCGATGATCATGTTCGCCTTCAAAGTGGCCCCAGCCCTGATATGCGGCAACACCATCGTGCTCAAATCGTCAGAGAAAGCACCGCTCTCGTCACTAAAACTGGCGGCCCTGATCAAAGAAGCAGGCTTCCCGCCCGGCGTGGTCAACGTGGTCTCCGGCTTCGGCGACCCCACGGGCACCGCGATCGGCATGCACATGAAGATCCGAAAGATCAGCTTCACCGGCTCCGTGGCCACGGGCCGCAAGATCCTCCGCATGGCCGCGGACTCGAACCTGAAGAACGTGTCGCTCGAGCTGGGCGGCAAGAGCCCCGCCATCATCTTTGACGACGCCGACCTGGAAGCCGCGGCAAGGTACACGCACTACAGCATCAACCACAACAGCGGGCAGCACTGCCAGGCCAACAGCCGGGTGTTGGTCCAGGAGGGGATCGCGGACGCGTACATTGAGCGCCTGAAGACGTTGATGGCAAAAGTCACGATCGGCGATCCTGCCGACCCGGCCACGTTTCAGGGCCCGCAGTCCGATCATGCCCAGCTGGCGCACATCCAGCGGCTGGTCGAGCAGGGAGCCAAGGACGGGACGCTGGTCTATGGCGGCCAACGACACGGCACGACGGGGGCGTTTATCGAGCCCACGATCCTCAAGAACGTGCCCACGACGAGTGTCGCTTACCGGGAAGAGATCTTTGGCCCCGTCGTCATCGTGAACACCTTCAAGGACGAGGCCGACGTGTTGGCCGAGGCGAACTGTACGGATTTTGGGTTGTTCTGTAAGTGGAAAACACCTCCGGACGCGTGAAAGAAGGTGTGCTAGGCTTGATTTTTGATTCCCGCCCCCTTGCTACACAAAGAGCCGTGTTGCCGGGGGAAAAGAAAGGGAAGGGGTTTTCTCCACGTCTCAAACCAGGGCGACCATCTCCTTTTGTTCAATAGCTAACGATCTCCGCCGCAGCCTCCGTGTATACCACCAACTTTGACCGGGCCGTCCGGGTCGCCAAAGCCCTCGAGGCCGGCGCCGTGGGGATCAACTGCTCGGTGCCCGTGCGCGCGGTCGACATGCCCATCGGCGGCTGGAAGCAGAGTGGCATGGGCAAGGAGCTGTCCCTGCACGGCCTGAACACGTACACGGAGTTGAAGACGATCTTTATGAAGTACAACAACGATCCGACCAGTATGGCGGTCAATACGTGGCATAGCGGGCAGATGCAGAACGGCATATAAGCTGGCAAATAGATGAATGAATAACTGGACTTTCTGGGCTTGGAGATTTGCGTTATCGAGGGGCTAGGCTACAGTAACTTCACCACCGAATGTGTAGATATGGTGATGGTTACCATATCATCTTCTCTGTCAGCCTGCTCTGTTGGGTACTGGTGGTGTCTTCGAGTTGGGCCCAGCCACCTAAGGGTATATGCACATTACAATAGTCCTGAGAATCCCCTGAGGTCCCGTGAGGTCTCCTAAGGACCCAGTGCCAATGCTGATGCCAATGCCAACACGGTTCCAAGGTCAGAACTTTGATATTTGATATACGGTCCCCATCACAGTCTCGACGAGTTCTTGCCTCCCGTGAGGTCAGCGACCAGCTTGCCCATCACCTTGCCCTGCTTGATCCTGTCTAGCGCTTGGTTGATATCTTTCAAATCGACCATTTCCAACTCTGCCACCACTTTGCCCGACGCGAGAAACTCAAGCGCCTCGTGCATGTCGGCCTTGGTTCCAGTCTGGTTCGATCGGACAATCACATTCTTCTTGAGCAGAGGCCGGAGGGACATGCTGGAGTGGGGAAAGCAGTAAGTTAGTGTATAACCTCGGTGGTAGGTGGACTCGCACGTGGGAGGTACTTACTGGAGGTTTCCAATGCCGATGGCCATGATCTGGGCTCCGAACCGTGCGTATTCGCCAGCAGAACTGACAAGGTAGGTCTCCTGTCAGTAATCGCAATTGCACAGACGCGCGCACCGGGGAAGGACTGAACTCACTCGTACGAAGATTGATGCGGGCTCAGTACCAGGATATAGTCTGCACCACCGCCCGTTTTGGCGACAATGGTCTCCACTAGGCCGGGCTTCGTGAAGTCAACAAACTCATCGGTCCCCATTCTCCGACAGAAGTCTTCCTTCTCAGGCGAACCCCCGTCGATGGCCAGAACCTTCAGGTCCATTGCCTTGGCGTACTGGATCGCCAGGTGGCCGAGCCCGCCTGCCGCGCCGACTATCGTGCACCACTTCCCTGGCTGGGGATCCATGCGCTTCAGGGCCGCGTACGCCGTTACACCGGCACACAGGATCGGACACACGGCCGGTAACGACACCTCTGCTGGGATGCGCACCAGCTGCGATGTCGGGAACGATAGATATCTCTGGAAGGTGCCGTCTCTGTGCGCGCCCGTGACCTTCTGGTTGTAGCAGTGGTTCTCTGCCCCAGCCTCGCAAGCATGACACGTTCCGCAGACGTGGCTTCTCCAGGCCACACCGACGATATCGCCGACTTGGAACGGCTCGGCCTCTTCACCCTCACTGCCGCTCCCCAGCGCGACAATCCTGCCAACACCCTCGTGGCCGCCGATCAATGGGCGGACCGGGTCCTTGGGCGCAGGTCCGCCGCCGTCCCGGGCATATACATCACCATGGCATACGCCACTGTACTCGAGCTCGACGAGTGCTTCGTGAAGACCGGGCGTCGCGATGGGGAGCTCCTTGACCGTGTACGCTTCGCCATAAGGGCCCGTCAAGACAGCAGCAGGAGCACTGCCTGTAGTCCTTACGTGGATGTCGCCGTTGATATTCCCGTTGACGTCGGTGCCGATAGATCCCATGATTGTGATATATATGATATCCGCGGAGCGCCTTCTCAGGTTGTAGGCAGTACTGGTCCTTTGGAAGTCAGATGGCGAAACTTGGAGCCCAGGGGATAGAGACCAGCACCAGCACAGAATGAGAAATGCCAGAGTCAGTGAGCCTGTTTGCCCGTCTGTCTGACCAAAGGATGGGGCCAGAAGGAATGACTAGTCCTGCACAACACGTGATATGCAGTTCATGCAAGTCGTGCGAGAACAACCAAGAAGTTCGAGAATCTTCGTACCATCTTGACACGGAGACAAGTCATTCCAAGTATGGCGGGCGGTGTGCAGAAAGATAAAGGGGAACTCGCCCGCGCTCTCATGGTGGAGTGTAGATGGCGATGTGATTCGATCCGATTTGGGTTTGTGTGCGGTCTGGCCTGGCAGCCCGAATGCCTGCCTACTAGCCGACAGGGAAGGAGGGTGGAACGAACGGCGACGGACGAGACGAACTCCTAATTGCCGATAGAAGGTGCAGCCTTGCAGGAAGGCCAACCACAAGGCGGAGCCGGAGCCAGAGCCGCGAACAGACCGAGGCTCCTGCATAGTTCAACCCGTCCCGGCGACTCCCCGATGAGCTGCTGCATCGGCGACGGATGAGCGAACCCCTCTACCCCACGTTCCCTTGTCGGTACAACTGCGGAGCTGTGTTTGCTCGTTCGGTCGAATGAGCCAGCCGTGGATGACTCGTACCAATGGTTACTCTGTAACTCTGAAGTGATCGGGACTGTGACTCGTCCTAGGCAGTAAGTTTCGGAAAAGCCGACCTTGGTTGATTTAACCTGACCTGACGGGTGCAGAGTCCAGGGCATTGTCCCGCGCACGGAACTAGGAATGGCTCATCCGTTCTTTCCAGAAATGCTTGATTACTGTGCTGGCTGTTGAAGCGGAGTGTGCCGCGCCGATTTGCTCCTTTGCCTAAGGAAGGGGAGGCGTGTCGCTTGACATCCGCCGCAAAACAGTAGTTACACAGTACAGTAGCCGTAGTACTACGCAGATATTACACACACCAGGGGACAATATGAGTGGCACAAGATATTGTCCCGGTGTATCCACAGCGGCAGCAATGGGTAATGGGCGAGGAGGAGGGAGCGTGTCTACGCATCTTTCAGACTTTCATCATGCACCTCCCCTAAATCGGGAAGAGCGACCGAGTCCAGTGCGTCTGCGGAAAGGTCGACAATCTCCTCGTGTAGTTCGGCTTAACGCTATGATCTTTGTGAGCTCTCTCCATGTTGCCGTTTCGACAGATTACGGTCCGTGTACCAGTAGGACTCCATCCCTTGTACTGTCTTACCATGCAAACCCCATTTGTGTCTATCCCGCAGGAGAGGTCACAGCACGGTGTGTGTCGATCAATGCTCGTAGTCGTGAGTCGTCATAGCGTGCATGGTACTGTGCGGTCTCAGATGATGGGACGGGACTGGTGTAACGGAGTGATTAACCCTAGTCGCATGCCAGTGCATACTCGAGATACCATGAATTGGACCCGCTCGTGACTGCTCGCCACGAGGATGGTGCCGATGGCCAGTATCGTGGTTCCCAATAGCACCGTTCTTTTCCGGCCCAGCTGTGCCTGGTCAGAGCGGCGCCAATGGGCGCTAAGACTTTGCGTATTTCGACCAGCTCGAGTGGTTGTCGGCAGCACGATACCAACAACGGAGTGTTGACCTACGCCCTAACGTCGTATGAAGCAGTCAGTCATCGTCCGGACCATAAGTGAGCTGGGATGATCCATCTGAGCCAGTCAATACTTGAATATCACCACGCCAGACACGACTCCTTGGTCGCCACCGAAGAGGACAAACTCTGGAGATATACTGAAGTGGTTGCTGCGATCAAGCGCCCACCATTGAGACGCTTGCTACTCTGGTTGATGCGCATCCATGCGTCTTGCTGGAGGGGAAGCGATGGGAGGAAATGGTGCATTGGTCGGATCATATACCGTTGGGCACCTTACAAACAAGCATTTCGTCAAGCTCCCGGTCAAGCATCGCAACGACGAAGAATGTCTCCTGCCACGTATGGAACAAGATTGACGGACTCGGCTGGCGATGACGCGTCGGTGGCATCCTGATCGACTACGTGGTGTGATCGCCGTAGAGGAGAAAGCGAAGACGAGTAACAGGGCGACAAGTCGGAGTCAGCATGTTGAGGTGGGACCACGGACAGCTCGACTTTCGTTGATGAAAAGAAAGTCGTGCAATTTGCGATCAAGGACGAAGTTTAGCGGCAGGAGAGCGTAATTATGTAATCAACGCATTTCGAGTGGACGCCGCTGCGCCTCGATGTTCTGAGACTCCACCGTCTGATACGGTAAAGCATAGTATCACTGGCGTAGACGCGCGCGACGGTCTCTCATACTTCAGTTTCTTCAATCGTATGAGACACCCACGATCATGCTCTCTGCCAGTCTGCCACTGCCACATGGATGTTCATCTAGGTAGGCAATCATAGGGGGCGTGGCTGTTGCAGCACACGGGCGAGGCCCCTGCTTGCACGCCATCTGGACTTGAGTCCAGCCTAGCCTCCGCGAACCAGACCGACTCGGTGCTGCGCCTCAGCTGTTTCTTTCAATTGACCTTTATCGCATGCATTTCCTCGTACCTCCTGCTCTACACAGCTAATTGACAGCTCCCAATGTGGCTCCTTGACACGACGACCCTTGTCCTACGTGAGTTTCAGTCTACGCCGCCGCCCTACGCAATCTTGTCACACACATGGGGTGAAGGTGAGGTCTCCTTCCAAGAGCTTGGGACCTTAGAAGCAAAGGAGAAAGCCGGATACTGGAAGATCGAACGATGCTGTGAGCAGGCCAAATCAGATGGATTTGATTATGCCTGGGTGGATACTTGCAGCATCGACAAGCGCAGCAGCGCCGAGCTCTCTGAAGCAATTAATTCCATGTTTCGATGGTACTCCCAGGCCCAGGTCTGTTACGCATACCTTGCAGATGTATCGTTGCTGCCTGCTGGTGATAGAGAGAAGCTCTCCAGCAAGCACCTCACTTCCTATCCGCGACCAGTCTGGGGTTTTCCGTCGAGCAGATGGTTTGAGCGTGGCTGGACATTACAGGAGCTTATTGCGCCTATGCACGTCGTGTTCTACGACTGTGACTGGGTAGAGATAGGAACCAAGGCGAGCCTGCTAGAGGATCTGGTGGAAATCACAGGCATTCCGTCCGAAGCGTTGATGGATCCGCTGTCCATCCGGCGTAATTGCATTGCAGAGCGGATGTCGTGGGCATCGAAGAGGCAGACGACCAGAGTCGAAGACATGGCATATTCCCTCCTGGGCATATTCGGGGTCAACATGCCGCTCTTGTATGGAGAAGGGACAAAAGCCTTCCATCGCCTGCAACGACAAATTCTCGCCGAGTCCAATGACCATTCCATCTTCGCATGGACAGCGCCAGACCCACCGAAAAACTCGACCGAGTCGCATGGTATCAGCGTCCTCGCGGAGAGTCCTGCCATGTTCAGTCGCGAACGCACGGGACCTGTCACCCAAAAACCCCTTAGTTCCCTCCCCATGTCTTCTATACACCCAATCACGATAACCAATGTTGGCCTGTCCATGGTACTGCCTATTATTTTCTTTGATGGGTGTTGGGTTGCTGTGCTGGAATGCCTGTGCAAGGCCGACAGTATCGGGATCTACGTGACAGGAGATCCAACCACGCCACGACGCTCCAGGATGCGCCCGCATCGTCTCTTTTATCTGCTCAGCGACAAGCTCCAGAATGTCCGACCTCAAAGTGTTTACATGTCTACCGACATGCAAGACGCGGCTCCCACTCCCGGCCACATGCAGGTACTTCTGACCGCTAACATCAATTGCAAGCGACATGGCTGGGACATGATATACTCCTGCACATGGCGGCGGCCATACTCCGGAGCTGCGTTGAAAACACACTACCATCGCAGACTGTGGGCGTCAAACCCGCCGCGGGGGGAGCCGTCCTTGGAATTACACACACTGTCCGTCACTGACTTCACTCCCGTGACAGAAGGAGAATGGCTAGGCATATCATTCACGGCCGTCCATGGTGACGCTTTCAGTCTGGTCTTCGGACCCAAGGACGGCCGACTCTGGTGCCATGGGATCGTGGGCCTTCAATTGTTGCAGTTGGAGCACATGGGGGCTCCCGCCGCCGTGCAACAAATGTTTTCAGAGGGTGACGGTGGATTCAAGGCTGAGCCAGCCTGGCCATATTTCCGGGATCGAGTCTCTTACGCGTTGACTGCTTCGTCCGAGATGCATGTAGTTATCAAGCTCGTATCGGGGCCGCCATTGCCGACTTATCGTGTCGAACTGACTCAAGAGCAGATACCAGATACATAGCATGACAGAGAAATAATTCCGAAACAGGACGCAGAGGCCTTGGTTGTGTGTCTTTCCACCCAAGACGCTCGTAGTTCAGAGGATGGATGCGGCACGATTACCATTGCGTCAATCCTCTAGAGCTCTCCCCACCGGGCTGCGTCGTTGTGGATCTTCTAGCCTTGTCCATCATGGAGCGGATCATCCCACGGGAAGGGTCAAATGCCGGTTATATCGCGATCTGGAGTATGGGGAGGATATGGCATATATCGAACATAGCCGCCACGCTGAAAAATGTGTCGGGATATGAGGAACATGCGCACGACAAGTAAATGAGTCTGTGACTTCGAGACTCATAGAATCAAGTCTGCTTTACGATGCCGTGTCGCACTTCTCACAGCATAAAGGAAAAAGCACAAACCATGGGCAATCACACCTTGGCCCTGAAATGAAAGGCATATCCCCTGCTGAATGAAGGGTCAATTGCCCGCCATTGACGAAACAGGACGTCGAAGACCGCAAGCAAATATCGCTCAGTCCTGGGGTGCAGAATTACGCCGACACCCGACGACGAATGGAGGTCAGGGACGAAGGGAGGGTGGCATCCTACAGTACACGGTGGACTAGGCTCCCCAACAACGCCGACTATTCCCAAAAGAACCAACAGTCGGAGCCTTGGCTCCGTTCAGAGTCGGCATGGGACAACTTGAAGCCCATGAGCAGACAAAAGTCGAAGAGTTATAGGCGATGCCTTCTCGGCTCAGACTCAATGCAACCCAACATAAGTATCAAAAGTGAAGCAGACCGCAACTTCTACAAACGTCTCCCTACAGTGCCCTTTCACATGAGGTGAACCCTGACCGGCACTCCCGGCCTGGAGCAGCAAAACTTATCATGACAGTATCATAATGCCAAAGTTCGACCCCGCAAAAGACATCCCGAACCTCCAAGGAAAGGTATGCCTAGTGACCGGTGCCAACAGCGGGCTCGGTGAAGCAACTGTCGCAGCCCTGGCCCAGCACGGACCCGCGACACTCTACCTGGCCGCACGATCTCACTCGAAAGCCGAAGCCGCGCTGTCCCGCATACGAGCAACCTCCGCAGCGGCCGCATCGGCAAACATCCAGATTCTAGATCTGGACCTCGCGTCGTTTCATTCGATCAAGGCCGCCGCGGCGCGGGTCCAAAGCGAAGTCCCTCGCCTGGACGTTCTGCACCTGAACGCCGGCGTGGCCATGATCCCGCATACCACAACAAGGGAAGGCTACGAGGTGCAGTTCGGCACCAACTACCTGGGCCACGCGCTGCTCACACAACTACTAATGTCCCTGCTTGTCGCCACGACACGCATCCCAGGCGCGGACGTACGGATCGTGTCCATGTCCTCGGTCGGACATAAATATTTTGCCCCCAAACCTGGGATCTTCTTCGACGAGCTCAAGACTGAGATGAGAACACACTCTGGTGCCGAACTCTACGGGTCCGCCAATCTCGCGAAGACCCTGTTCGCGTACGAGTTGGCGAAGCGGTATCCGCGGATCACGGCATGCTCCCTACACCCCGGCACGGTCAAGTCGAATGTCTGGGGCGGGGAGAAGGGGGTTAACGTGCTGGTAAACTATCTTGTTGTGAAGCCGCTGGTGGCCTTGACGGGGGTGTCTAATGAAGAAGGTGCCAAGACCCAGCTGTGGTGCAGTTTCAGCAAGCAACTCGAGAGTGGGAGGTATTATGAGCCGGTTGGCAAGGCTGGAAAGGACGGCCCACTGAGTCGTGACGACGAGTTGGCGAGGAGGTTGTGGGAATGGACGGATAAGGAATTGCAAGCCCATGGAGCTCCTGGGTGGCCTTGTTCAGATTGATTGTGGAGCGTAATATATTGTTTCACTGCGATTGGCGAGTGCTCACTGGAGAATACCGTGTCTATCTACTTACCCATAAGGTACACCACGTATGAGTGCCGCGCACCACTAGGGTGCTTTTTCCGACCGATTGTCCCCGTACGTGTATCCCGCCGAAAAGTGCTGTTCCAGAATATCTACAATACGCAGGATAAGTAAGCCCAGGCCGGTTACCTTCGGTGGCGCGTACCTAGCGGACTTCAGCGTAATTAATGTATCAGCGGAATATACGGCCGCATATCGGCCTTGTCGTGTGAACAGCCCGCCTGTTTCCATTATGTACCCGCTACCTACATACTAAACTCTATGTGCCCTGTCATAGGGCTGCGCCGCCGATAGAAGAACGTCAGCTTGTACGAGTCGACGGACCTTGTGAAAAGGATACAACTTCCAACTTCAAGGCTGCCAGGGGTGTCTTACAGCACTTGGCACCAGCGCGTTGTTGGCATCAGAAGCGAACACAAGTCCCAAGCCGCCAACGAGTCCGATCCTAAGGGTACATTACAATTTACAGCACCTTGGTCTACTTACTGTCCGTCCTTCTGTAGCATTCTGATACGAGCAAGAATGGCCATCACAGACAGTCACAACACGCAACCCACCAATGGCACACAATCCAAACTCGTGGCCTCGGCGCCGGACGCAGTGCCTGAGCCTGCCCAGATATCCCCAGCTCTCCTCCACCGCTCCCTCCACCAACAACCCTACAAAGTCACGTCCGCCAAGGGTCTGTACCTAACCCTCTCGGATGGTCGGGTGGTCATGGACGCGTGCGGCGGCGCGGCGGTAGCCTGCCTGGGCCACGGCAACGAGGAAGTCCTCGCCGCCGTGACGGCCCAGATGAGCACGGGCGTCAGTTATCTCCACTCCCTAACTTACACCACCGACGTGGCAGAGGACCTGGCACACCACATCATCGACGGCCCCCATGGCGCTGGCAGGTATGGTCTTGAACGGGCCTATTTCGTGAACAGCGGCAGCGAAGCCATGGACGCAGCGCTCAAACTGGCGCGCCAGTATTTTTTCGAAAAGGGCGAGCCCCGACGCACCCGCTTCGTGAGCAGGAAGCAGAGCTACCACGGCACGACCGTGGGGGCCATGAACGTGAGCAGCAACTTACCCAGAAAAGTGCCCTACGCGAATTTCCAGTCCGAGAACTTCAGCTGGGTCACCCCCGCTTATGCGTATCAGTATTCGAATTGGGAGGCAGGGGAGACGGAAGCAGAATTCGCCGAGAGGCTCGTCGAGGAACTGGACCTGCATATCCGGACCTTGGGGCCTGGGAGTGTCATTGCCTTTATCGCGGAGCCGCTTGTTGGCGCGACGAGCGGGTGCACGCCTGCCCCGAAGGGGTATTTTCGTGGTGTGAGGGACGTGTGCGACAAACACGGCGTCCTGCTCATCCTGGACGAGGTCATGTGCGGGATGGGTCGGACGGGGACGCTCTTTGCTTTTGAACAGGAAGATATCGTGCCGGACATCATGACCATGGGCAAGGGGCTCGGGGGCGGATACTCGCCCGTTGCAGGAGTGTTGGTGCATAAGAAGATTGTCGACGTCTTGAGGAAGGGCACGAGTAGCTTCAACCATGGGCATACTTACCAGGCCCATCCTGTGGGCTGTGCCGCGACGCTGGCCGTGCAGCGTATCCTGAGGCGCGAGGGCCTGGTGGAGAATGTGGCGAGGTTGGGCAGGTGGTTGTATCCCTTTCTCCTGGAAACGTTCGGCTCGGCCAAGTATGTCGGCGACATTCGCGGACGGGGGCTCTTTTGGGGCATTGAATTCGTCGGCGACAAAGTGACGCGAGCACCATTCCCGCCGGCGGTCGGATTTGGCGTCCGCTACCAGGCGACTTGTTTTGAGTTGGGCGTGGCCGTGTATCCGGGCTCAGGCACAGTAGACGGTAAGAAAGGTGACCATGCGATTTTGAGTCCGCCGTATAATGTGTCGGAGGTCGAGTTGAGGAGGATCGTGGAAGTCATGAAGAAGGCGTACGATAGGATGGAGGAAGAGGTTGATCGGGAACTGGCTGGGCGCGAGGATGTCAACGGCTTAACGAGGGCGTATTGAGATGGAGGTGGAGTGAGTTCGCGAGGCTATGTCGAAAAGGGAGGCCTTGACAACCCTTTCCAACCGACAGAAGTGCAAGGCAGCATACCCGGTAGGTGAGACGGAGAAACAGTGACAGGCACTCAGTGTGATGAGTTCTTGAGAATTATCATTAGAGTACGGAGTATGTATCCTGGGGCTCCATTAACGGCTACGTGCTGCTTCTTGGAGGAGGCACAATGGTCCCGGATCACTGCACGATCGGGTCATCTGCCTAGATCCCGGCTTCATGTCTTTTTGTGCGTCGTTTTGTCCTGAAAATGCGCATCGTAATTACCGTAGCGTACACCGGACGCTGCCGATAGACTCCAGCTGCCCGGTTACCGCTTCATAAAATCCAAATCTTCATAATGCATGCCATCGAACGATAACTGCCGTTCCATCCTCAGACCTGTTGTACACCAGGGACTATCTCACTGTCACCTCTGCATGGCCTCGACTTTGTGGTCGTGGGATATCTCCAAGCTCGTTACCTGTACCACTTTGACCTCGTCTTCGGCCAGGAAGAAAGTGGAAGTGGTGTTTGCCCTCTTCTTTGCCTGCAGCCGGTGCAACCGGCTCGCCCGCGGAGTCACTGAACCGAGAAAGGAAACTCTTCTTCTTTGGCTCTTGGGTCTTGTTCGCCTCGTCATTCAGCTTCACTTCCTCGAATGCCGGACCCTCTTCAGCTGGAGGCCTCTCAAATGTGTTGCTGTTGAACGTTGAGCGAGTAGGAAAGCGGCTTGACGGCCGTGAGTCGAGAGATGAGCGCGAGTTGAAACTGTCGGACTGGAGAATTGGGGAGCGGCCGGAAATGTCCTGCGAAGGAGGTCAGGCCGCTGGGGCGTTGCTATGGAGGAGAGATACTCACGAATGATCTTCTGTATGAATCAAAGGACTCGCGTGATATCGTGAATGCTTCGTTGTCGTTGAAGCCGAGTCGATGGCTGTTGCTGGTGGAGGAAGGTGACTTGGTCGACCAGAACGAAGGTCTCTCTGTGGGCGACGGCTATTGCACTGTCAACCGCTGCATTATCGTGAAGGACTGCCATTGCATACAGGAAGATATTCACCGCTGTCATTCACGGCTGATCGGTGTTAACCTCGGGTTCATGTTTGGCCTGGGTTGGCTTGATATCGCATACAACTCAGCTTGAATTCATTGGGCTCTATCTTCTTCTCCTTGATGCCGAGTGCTAGTGAAGGCTTGCCTTTGCCGTAAGGACTCTTGACATTTCCATCAAAGGAGTCGGGACGCGCATTCTCATCTGTCGTCTCAGTGGGCGCATTTGGTGCAGGACGCCTTGAGGTAAAGGGCATACGGAAGGGTGGCATGGCAGCGACTGATGTGAAGTGCTAGGTTGTTTACCGCACTGGTTTGAGACGACGGAGAATGGGAATACAAGAGAATCTCTGCAACGACTATGTCTCACAAAGAAAATATTGTGAGACGAATGTGAGTGCTGTGAAAGAGGTATGTCATGAGTACGAAATGCAAGTTGCGCCGGGAGAAGTGGGCTGTGTTGAAGAGATCCAGAAGCCGAACAAGATCAGGTCCTCGTCCCCCCTACTCCGTACGCCCAGGTCGCCCCGGGCAGCAACGCCACGGCGTACCACCGCCCAGGTGTTCGGGAAGCCGGAATTCTTCTCTGTAAGGGCTCCCGGAAGCAAGCTCCACTGAGCGATTGGGCATCAGTTAGCGCCGATCATTAACCGTAGCGCGGCTCCCTTTTCCATCGTGACAAGCAAACCCAATAGGCGATGCCCCTCTGGCTTTGTCAACTCCAGTCATCCACCTTGGAGACAATGACAGAGCTGTCGTACGGCCTTACAGGGACACTAGAACCGCTCCTTAAAGGGAACTAGGTCTTACGCTTCGCATGCAGGTACATGAGCGAGCATAGGGATTACTGTGTACATAAATTCTTCACATCTTGCCCGGTCACCAAGTACTCAACAGTAGGCTGATGATTCATCCGTCGAATGCGACTACGACATGCCAATTTCACCGGTTTTAACCAGTATGTAGATCTCCTTCGAGTACTCCATGCACCGTTATGATCGTGCTCATTCGCGTGGGTGACAGAGAGCTTCCTCCACACTTGGCTATTCCTGCTTCATGACGTCGTCGACCATTTGAGCCGTGAAACTTTCACCCCACCGAAGTTTCGGGTCCGTGTACGAGAGTGACGAGCTACTCGTAACTCGTACTCGTATACAGTACGGAGTAGACAGTGGATGAGATCGACGGCACCAGTCTCTCAGCCTCAATCCATGGTTTATTTTAAAACTCAACTCTCTTGCCTGTTGTCTCCAGGTCAAATACGGTAACACAGCAGCTAGCTGCCATTATGCAGCTGTACCGACTGCAATGGTATTGTTAACGGGACCATACAAATGTCGCTAATGGCGCGGTCGTCCTCGCACGAGGATTCTGACAACATCATGGTAGGACTTGTCAGTCGAAGTAGCCGCCCGGGTAGCAGCCATGCCATCGCGGATTGCTGTACGATGGACGGGAGATTGCAGCCTCATCACTGGTAGGACATGTTTTCATCTCTCAACAGTGAGTTGTGGTGTATCAAGATACGCTCATCCTCATGAGGTACGCGTTGGCCAAATATCCATCGTTGCGGGTCACTTCACTATCATTCTTGCCTCCTGGTAAAGCTTCACTTTTACATCAGAACTGGAAGCCACCATGGGCCAGACAGTAACTGCTCGATTCTGCTCACGACTGAAGCAGGTGCTGCCGTCGTCCAGCATCACTACCGCCACTTCGACAGCGGCCGGCAGCACTCTACTACTAGTCCGCCCTCCTCCTCCGGTCTTCCTCCAGTCCATCTTTAGCAGTCCAGTCGATCACATCCCAAGCTGCGCTATCGGTTCTTTGGTGCTTGTTCCCCTTGCTCTTCAGAAATGGGGTTCTACCTCTTCATCCTTCCTCGCCTCTAGCATTGCTACGATCCCGGCCTCCGGCAATATGCAAGATCCTTTCCCTGACGGGGCTGTGTTCTTTTTGGAGTGGCCGACATGGGCCCGTTTGGCGCTTGTGAGTTGAGCCATCCAAGAGGAAGATTGGCTTTACTGACTCGATCCGCAGGTTTTGGGTGGCACGTTTGTCCGTCTCATCTCTGCCAGACCTTAGTCATCCACCTGATAATCTAGCTAGGCCATCGTTCTCATCCTGGCTTTTCTTGTGAGATTGAGGCATTACGTCCGGGACAAAAGAAGAGCGAAAAGAGCAGCCGCAGAACAAGCCGAACGGGGCGAAATGACAATGGTCGCTGCCTTGGAGGATGATGCACTCTTTGGCATGCGCGCACTTCTGGAAGACCCAGAAGTCGAGGGCGTGTGGAATTCTCGCGAAGCCACTCCAATGCATCTCGATGGCGGTGTCTGTACTCCTCCTGCCTCGCAATCGACAACGAAAGCCCCGAAACACTCTTCGAATTCCTCCACCACGATATATGACACTGCAGACATTGGTTTGGCCTCTCCGACAGGTATTGCCCGGCTGGAACTCATGCGTCAACTTGCTAACTCGGTGTAGTTCTCACTCCGTTCATCGGGTCTACTGCGGTCGTGGATGAGCTGGGTGGACCGTCAACTCCGAAAAAAGGGAAGACACTAGTTATAAGCTACAATGGTCCATATTCAAGATCGGAAGCTGCCCAAACTGTATCAGGTCTGGATTCTCTGTCGCCGTGTTCCATGCGGACCTGACCTGACTTTGTTACACAGACGTCGGCCCACTCACACCAGTAGTGAGGTCGACTCCTTCGCCTTCGAAAATGCAGCTCCGTCCAACCTCGAACCTGTCATCCTCTGGCTCACGCAAATTTGTGATAGGGAATCGACCACGGAACTCACCCCGGCACCAAAGGGTGGAGGTGCAGTCTGAGACTAACCCACTTCAACGCATGGAAGCTCATCGACGGTTGCATTCCGCAGAAAGTGGTCAATTGCACCCGCGAGACCGTCGACACTCCGAGGTCGCTGAGACAATGCCTCTTTCCTCATCTACAGAATACAGCGAAGACAGCGACGACTCCATGTCTCGTGCTCTATCTTGGCCTACGCGTGACGGCACAATGAATCTGGGCAAGCAGCTCTCTCGCAGAGTCCAAAGGATGGAAGGCCCCTCTCCGGTTCCATTCCGCGCTTTCGTCGAATCCTTACCCACTACCAAACTACCACCTTCGGCTTGGACGGACAGGACTCAAGCTAGAATAGAGGCCAAGGTGCCTTGTTCTAAGGCAAGTGACTCCACCTCCAAGACATCTAGACATACACCAAAGTCTTCCACAAGTTCCACCACATCGGCAACGGCTCCCACACCATCCCCTTCAGACTTGTTGTCAATCGCCAATACTCGGTCACGAAAGGTCAACGACGGATTTGAACTTCTGCCAGTCGGCACACTAGAGAGGACACCCAAGATCAAAGAATTTGGAACTTGGCATAAGAGTTCTGGGTCACAGAAGAAGCCTAAGAAGCTGCAGAAACGGGCGAGGTCAGATTCTGCTAGTCTGAGTTCTACCGGGAGTCACCGGCGCAGCAGCGACAGCTTTCGCCCACCCATCTTCTGAGTGCGTGGGACGTGTTGTTGGTATATGAATTTTGTGGCTTTGGATGTGCAAAGGTCCGCAAAGCCTTCCGTTCCCTTTTGAGAGGTGCCCGAGCCAACCTGGGCGTCTGTTGGTATAACCATAGTGTCTTGGGAAGTAACTGCCGTGCTTACCTGATATGGCCAAAAAAGAGTGGGCAAGAAGATAATAGCAGTATTACCAAGACTGCACTGATGATAATGATAATGGCTCTCAGATGGTCCTTGATAGTGGGCTTGATACCGCGGTCTGTTGTTTCTGTGCCCCGGACACGATATCATCTGCCCCAGTGTTTCTGGAGCGCTGCGTACTTCTTTATGTCATCTACCCCGACACTCCGCCTGACTTCGTTTCTTGCATGCTCGAAGTCCGCCGGTGTTATCGCCACTGCCTGGCCTGAAGCCACACCGCGGCGTATCGCGTTGTAACCGGCTCTGCGGACGAGGGACTCGAGGTCGGCACCACTGAACCCATCACATGCCTCGGCGATGGCGGCGACCGAATCGTCAAACACCATGCCTGCGACCTTTCTACACAGCGTCCTCAGGATATCCACCCTGCCTTCCGCGTCCGGTAATCCGACGTACAACAGGGTATCCAGCCGCCCAGGCCTCAGCATAGCAGGGTCAATAATATCAGGCCGATTCGTCGCCGCAATGACGTAGATCCCCTCCCTACTATGCCCGACGCCATCAAGTTCCGTCAGCAACGTATTGACGACCCGGGCGCTGGCCTCGGATCCACCCCCTGAGCCTCCCTCCCTGGTGGGCACAAGGGCATCCAACTCGTCGAAGAAAATGATCACGGGCACGGAGCTGCGCGCGCGCGTGAAGACTTGCCTCACGGCGCGCTCGCTTTCACCGACGTATTTATTCAACAGTTCGGGTCCCTTGACGCTGATGAAGTTCGCGTGGCTGGCGTTCGCGCAGGCTTTGGCCAGGAGAGTCTTGCCACAGCCTGGGGGTCCCCAGAGGAGGGTGCCGCTCGAGGGAGTTATCCCGAGGCTTGTATACAGGGCCGGATTCAGGATGGGCTGGATCACTGTCTCTTGTAATTCGGTGATATGGGACTTCAGAGAGCCAATCGCCGAGAAGCTCGTGCTGGGGATGGTGGCGAAGCCTTCGCGCAGGGAGGACGGTTGGATCTTTGGGAGGGCGGTGAGGAAGTCGGCGAATGTGATTAGTAGGACGGCATGCTTGGTGTCTTCGTCTTCTGGGGGTGCGGCCTTGGCGTACTTGACGAGGCGGCGGAAGGATCTGATGGTCTCGGAGGAACTGCGGGCGACGAGGTCAGGGAGGGTGTCGGTACCATTTGCGTTTGCGTTGGCATTTGCATCCATGTCGACGTCGGTAGTGTATACCTCTGAAATGGCTTTCAGCTGGTTCAGGTACCGCCTTACTGCCGCGGCGGAGGCTGTGGATACGAGGTCGTTGAGGTCAGCGCCGACGAAGCCGGGGGTATGCCTGGCGAGAAGAGGAAAATCCATGTCGTCGGCAAGTCTCATGCCTCGCGTCTGCGCTCGAAGAATCTTTTCTCGGACAGGCTCGCTGGGCACGCTCATGTTGATTTCTTTGTCGAAACGGCCGCCTCGGCGCAAGGCGGGGTCGAGACTGTCGGGTCTGTTTGTGGCGGCGAGCACGATGACTGGTTTTCCGTCCGTCTTTTCGAGCGCGAGGTCGTCCATGCATATCAGGAGCTGCGCAACAATGCGCTTCTCCATCTCTCTTTGGGCGGATTCGCGCTTTGGCGTAATGGCGTCGATCTCGTCGATGAAGATTAGACATGGGGCACACCGCATCGCTTCCTCGAAATGCTCGCGCAGTGCCTTCTCGCTCTCCCCGGACATGCCTGACACGATGGACGGGGCGGAGATGTTGATGAAATTGACGCCCAGCTCGGCTGCCAGTGCGTGGGCGACCATGGTCTTGCCACAGCCTGCAGGGCCGTGGATCAGGATGCCCCGTGGCGGTTGGACTCTGTGCTCTGCGTAGATCTCGGGCTTGGTCATCGGGATGACCACCAAATCCTCAAATTGCTGAATTACTGGGTCGATTCCGCCTAGGGAGTCCCATGTTACGCCCGTCGGGGGTGACCTGTCAATAACGGGTGCGGCCTTGCGTTTCTTCCTTGGAGGCTCCCCGTTCACAATGGGTGCTGGTTTGGCAGGTGACTCCATGGCGACCAACTCTGGCTTGGGTGTCGATAATGCAGAGGGCGCCGTTGAATTGGCCCATGCACTGACTATGCTTCGATTGAGGTTGCTGGACGCTGGCTTGTGTTTCTGGCGCTCCTCCGGTGCAACTTCGATGGACGCCTCGCTGTCCGACTCGCTGTCCTGCTGCAGAGTCAGAAGCACACGCTCAATACTATCCTCCAGCAACTTTTTCGGTCGTCTGTTAAGGCTGGAATTGGAGCGTCGGATCTCGTCGTACACACTGGCGAAGGTAAGGCGTTCGGGCGGGCCGTCCTCGTACTGTGCACGCTCATCGATGATTCTGCGGACAACTTGGTACACCTGCGAGACGCCATTGTTAGCAAAGGGCGAGCGTAATACGGGACAGCAGGGCTTGCCTCTCTGTCTAGACCCTGCCCGAGCGTTTGGCGGCGGCGCGATCCTCTAGCCATAGTAGCCGCTTGCGCGAGATTATCTTTGATCGCTCACAATATTTTTTCGGGTTGACTAGAATCGCTAGAGCTGCGGGGGTCCCTGTCTCCAACCCCAGCCTTGTGGTCGGTCCCTGCCTCAGCCTCGTGCTAGTGACCGGTGGAGCGTTTCCACACGAGATGCAATGCCAAGTCGGAGTGAGTGGGCTGACGACTCTCGATTTCCGGGGAAGCCTAAGGTGCAAGTTGGAGCAGCCTAAGTTGACAATCGGGGCATGTGGCATTTGTGTTCGTCGTAGGCACTTATATTTCTTTTCTCACATCTCACATGCGGACTCGACACCAATAGCTCACGAAGTAACATCCTTTCGCACTCCAACCCTCCCACATGCCAGGATACCTCAGCTCCAACTGAGCACGCGCCACGGCTCGATGATTTGGATTGCTGCTCAAACTCGGCGCATCGTGCCTGGATGCCCGTCCTGAACCCTTTTCTGCGCGCGCTCTTTCAGAGTAGTGTGCTAGGACACGCCCTCCCCTCGCAGAACTATGTCCTCCTGGTGCCTACCACCGAATCCCTCCTGTTCGGCCAGGATCGCGAAACGAACAGGAGATATGCCGACCAGGTCGAAGATGAAGACTTCCTTGGAAGCCACATCCTCCGGATCATCCCCAACGCGGCCGCGAAGGAGGGAAATGTCCGCGACAACCGTACCAAGGCGAAAAACTACTCCACCGTCAACGGGCGCACGGTCATCGTCAAGGAGAATGTCGTGTATAGTAACAAGGGCTTCAAACATTTGAATCAGGCGCCCCTGTTGAGTGATCTGCTGTATTATTCGCCGGGGAATGATATGCAACAATGGCTAGTCTACTACATCTCCAAGCCCTTGACGGGTCTGTTCGAAGCATTGCCCATTAAGCCCGCCATAATCGGAGACAGGACAATCACCGCGTCCGCGTCCGCGCCAGTTGCTTCTTCATCGTCTTCCGAACCTCCGACGCCTAAGAAGAAAGATATCAAGAGCTTTGGACAGCTGCTGGAGAACTTCCCCATGATTCAGCGACAAATGCAGTCGGGCTTGGAGAGGTTGTTCAACGAGTTTGGCAAGGAACTGGGAAAACCCCTGCCACCACCACCTTCGCAGCCTTCACCCCGTCCGCTGTCGAGCGAGTGGGATGGAACGACTCAGGCATCGGAGAACGGATCCATCAGGTCTAACGGGACAATAAAACTGCCGTTCAATTCTCCAGCATATTTCGAGGACGAGGAGGACCTCATGCGAAGAGCTCTAGAAACGGCTGTCACTGCAGCCATTGACTTGTTCCAAGGAGTCGACAAGCAGCAACTGTCAAACCTGGGCGCGACAACTGACCTGACTGGTCCCGACGTAGAGAAGCTGATTGAGCGATATGTAGCAGAGTCGGTACACGATTCGCTACTATTCCCTCGGTTATGTGCGTTTCACAAAGCACAGGACCACGAACTTGACCGCAGAATACGGCAGATGGACTGTCTGGACGTCTCGCAAGTTGGAATCGCTATAGAAGACGGTCGGAACGGCAAGCGAGATCTCATCAGCAGAATCAATCGCGGAGTTGGAGTCTTTCGAAAGATGGGCGTGGCTGGTAGTCCACAAGAAATGCTGGATATATTACTCGAAACGCAAAAGGCGGTGTCAGAGCCGGCGGGAACCTCGGATGAGGAGAAGAAGGCCGTGGCGGCAATGACCATCAACGCCGACGTCCTAGTATCCATGCTTTTACTCGTCGTCATCCGGGCCTCGGTAAGACATCTCCAGGCGCGATTGTCGTATATGCAGCGCTTTATCTACATTGACGACGTCGAAAGTGGCGAAATCGGCTACTCTTTGAGTACTTTGGAGGCAGTGCTGACATATCTGGCACGAGATGCCGGCGGATTACGGAAAGCATCCAAGCAGAACCAGTCGCTGTGGAAAGCAGTCAAAAGTGGAAAGGTCGACGAGGTCAGATCGATATTTGAAGAGTCCGCTATCATGGACGACGACCTGGTCGAGGAGCCTTTGGAAATTCCACTATCAAGAAAGACCACCGTGTTGAACATGGCAGCTGATGCATGTGCTAGACCCATGCTGTCACGAAATCCATCCAGCGAAGGGGGCCTTTCGCACGTTTTTCCTTTCCAAGCAGCGGAGAAGAAAAATCCGATCCCTAAGCAGAAGAAGAAGGTCCACATGGCCGCTAGAAGCATGTCGATTTCTTCTGTACACTCGGGTTTGTCTAGAGCAGCGACCATCGAGACGACACTCAGCGGCATAGAGGGTGACACCTCTGTGCAAAGCCTTGCGCAGACCCAAGACGCGGTGGGGAACTCAGTCCTCATGATGGCTGTTGAGAGCCAGCAACCGCAATCCTTACGTTACCTGCTGAGCCTCTCCGAGCATTACACGCCGGAGGAAGTCATGGCGGATTCGAACCAAGAAGGAGCGACATTGCTTAGTGCTGCCGTCCAGCTCGCCAAGACGGAGCTAGTCGACATCATACTCGACTTCGTTGAACAGAATGCGGAAGAGGCAAAGTTCCGAGAGTATCTAGCTGTCAAGGACACTCGAGGCAGAAGCGTTGCGCACTATATTTTCAACACGCCGAAACTGATCAAGAGACTCGCCAATGTCCTGCCTTGGCGGCAAAAGGACAAAATCGGACATACGCCTCTGTTTGCGATCTGCCGCACGTACGACCATCCCGAGTACAGCAGTATGGTCTCTGAGGCCCTGATAGCTGCGAGAGACGCCCAGCAGGATGACGGTCCTTTGCGAATTGAAGACCATGTTGACAACAAAGGCAACTCCTTGCTACATATTGTTAACGACTCGGTCATCATGCAACGCATACTCCAGTATTGCGAGGTTGATATGAACGCTACCAACGACAAAAAATTCACGCCCTTGATGCTGGCAAGCAAGTACGGGCGCGTCGACATGGTCAGGATCCTTCTCGGCGATCCCAGAGTCGACACCCATGTGCGAGACTTTCGCGGTTTGACAGCGGTCGAACTGGCCAAAGATGACGAAGTGCGAAACCGAATCGACGACCTGATGTTGTTCTCGCCTGCGAATACAGTCGACGCAGCTGGCCGCATCACGGCAATCGTCCGCTCCTTCTTCGTCGAGGACGGCTCGACGCGATTCATCCTCAAATCCGGCGCTCCCAACCCTGCCGTTTCTAGCACGACTTACACCATAACCACCTCTCGTCGCGCCCTCATCGATTTCGAAAATCTGGCAAAATGGCTCTCGATGGACTCTCCCGCTTCGTACATGCCTATCATGTCGGCCTCGAACTTCCGCAACCCGTTTCAACTGCATTCCCGGCCTTCGAGGGCTGTTTTGTACGATTCGCAATGCCACCTCGACCGGTTTCTCAAGATTTTGATGAAACACCCTACATTCTCCACACATGAGATGCTCTGGGAATTCTTCCTGGTGCCCGACATGTTGCAGGAGCAGATGGCTGAGCGGGCCCGACTCAAGGCGGAACTCGTGCAGGAGAAGATCACCGATGAATACGACCCTTTGACCTCGAGAGCGGACATGAACGCCGTGGACGGCCTGGTCTCTCACTCCCGCGACATGGTGCGCAAAATCAACATCGCCACCCGCTCGGTTGTCCGTAAAGGCTACGCTTACGTGCAAGCGCAGGCCGACTTTGCAGAAGCTCACTCCCTTTGCGCCGTGGCCTTTGCCACTCTCGCCGAGCCTGCAACAACTCTATCAGACCCACTTGCGCACACCTTTCTCCGACTCGCCAGTCTGATGCATACGGAACCCGCGTCGTCGCCCTTGCGGAATTACATCGCTTCCCTGCAGACTTTCCAATCTACGATCATGGCTGTGCAGTCCGCGCTGCTGAAACCCTCGGCGCTGATTGATAAGATCACATCCGCGCAGAAACAGATCGAAAAGGACAGGTTGAATCTGGCCAACAACTCTGTGCCACGCAAGGGGCTTCTGAAGAACGTGAATCTCCCGTTTCCCGGCACGGAGGAATCGCGGATGAAAGCCCTCAAAGATACGGAGCGCAAGGTGGTCGAGAGGGAACTAGAAGTAGAACGCCTAGGTCGCGAGCTAAGGTATACCAACGAGGTTGTCGTGGGGGAGTTGGCAGGCTGGAACGACTGGAGGGAAGGGTGGGGCAGAGAAGAGGTCAAGAGGATGGTCAGGCAGACCGTCGTCCTGGAGCGGGAACGGCTGAGAGCAATGCAGAGGGCGATGAGGGCTATAAAGGGAGAGTAAGATACAGTCAGGTCATTGGCATTGGATACATATGGTGCAATACAGTACTTGATTTGAAGGCTTGAGGCGAATGGCATGGGGAGGGGGTGTACAGTATAAACAGAACCACATTGAAGAGACAGGTCGACCGAGCAGCGAGTGATACCCTGGTTGAGTTGATGGGATTGTGACGCAAAGGCAGGATAGAACAGACTAGCATTTCATTTCATTTCTTGTATAAACCGTAAATGAGTCCATAGTATCAAACGCTCTGAGAAGGAAAAGTGGGTGTCTCTGGTTTGGTCTGGCCTAATCGAAGCGTGTACCTAGTCTGCCTTTGTTCACAGTGTATCATGTAGTCAGCTGATGCCATGCCATTTTCTACGATTCTCTTGTTCTGCGCCTGTGCGTGCCCTCCACGCGACCAGTCCTTCACTCATCCTGCAAGTAAGCAGCAGTGTAAAGTATTCCACCTCGAGCGTGTCAAGGTAATTCGACCTGGATCCGAACCTGGACCTGGACCTAAAACCTGGCCACCGCGGCTCATCCCTGCGTCACCTTCTTGACCGTCCCGTCCTTGTCGACGTGGATGTTCAACCTACGCACAACAGTACGGGTCAGCATCAAAATTCAACCAAGCATGAACCAGCCGCCCAACCGACCACAGGATGCATTCGAGGTGGGCATTAGTCCTCATGTAGTAGCCCCAAGGCACGTCGTTCAACACCCAACCGCCAATACATGTGTGTGTGTGTGTGTCTGTGGTGTCACCACCCAACAACGACGAGAACCCGACTTTGTCTCTCAAAAGCCTGCCTGCACGAGACACACGAGTTGTTTCTGCTGTGTCTTCGTCTCCTTTCTTCTCGTTCCGCCCACCGGGATACCTACCCTACCCTACCATCGACCTCGCCCCGCCCCACCAGTCGCCGCGTGGCCCTACTTAGTATAGTACCAAGAACAAGGAGAGTTGCCATCTAGCATAACACAAAGAACAAGATGGCTGGTGCCTTACATACCGTTCGGGGTTATGATCCATGGTCATCATCCCGCCCTCACTCTCCACGACGCGGTGATTTCCCGGCAGATCCTTCTTGGCGAATGTCGTTTGGTCGTGCTTGTCGCCTAGGGTTTTGCCCATGAGTTTCGTGGTCCACGAGTCGCCGCCGTTGCCGGAGGAGGTGATGCCGGGGACGACGAGGGGCATTTTGTCTGCGGAGCGTAGCGTAGCGTAGCGTAGCGTAGCAGGGATATTATTTACGGAGGCGGATGGTGTCTTTGTGGGTTGGGGTACGTTGCGGAGTATTGAGTCAAGGAATTGAAGTGGATGGTTCTGCAACAATTGTAGTGGAGTGATATCGGTTGAGGTTAGAAGATTTCTTTCAGGAGGGAAAGGTCAGGGGTGACGCGATAAGTGTACTCTGGGCTTTATATTTGTACTGACGCCTCTTTGAGTGATGCCTGGCATACCTAGTGTCGGGTGGTGTTGATACCTGAGAGTGACGATGAAGCGATGACGTCGTGCAGCCGTTGTGCTCGTCAGGTGCCAGTATCTGGGTACCACTTCTGCGTCACTGTACAGACTCGGGTGGTGCGTGCATGAACAGGTGATCGGACGCGCGCTCCAAGTGTTCGTGCTAAGGACAAAGTGCGATTAGAGCGCACAGTCGTGCTGGCAATTGAAACTTCCCTAAAACAGTCATGCTGGTCATTGCAACTCAAATAACACACTCATGCGACAACGGAACTCAACTAATCGTGCATGTCAAGAGTAGAATTATGCATTTCTGTATGTGCAAGCGGCCTCTACGGGTGGCGCGGCTGGTCATGTTAGCAGCCGTCGCACAACGAACGCTATGCATGCCTTGTCCACGCCTGCCATTTGACTCCCTTTGGTCGTCATCAGTAAACCCCAGCTCATGGTCGAAATAAAGTACAAAGCTTGAAAAGACTCCCCATGTCGAACCAGCTTTTGGAAATACAAGCACATCATGATCGAGGTGAGTCGGACCCCATGATATTATTAAAACACACGGAAAGTAGGCGCGTACCAATTTGGCACATCAGATGTAATCTCGGGCGGCCTTTTGCAGTTCAATCATCCTCCATCCTCTGGTCTCAGGATTGTTGACTTCCTCAGGTAGTCTCGTCACACCAATGGCGTATGTGACAAGCTGCACCTTGTCTTCCATTCCCGCAGCCAGTTCGTTCGTCTTCGCATTCCGATAGACGTGGACTTCTTGTGTTCGGCACGTGATGATGAAGACTGGGATGTCACCGGGCTCCAGTAGTCGTGCGTTCAGGATGTCGACGTGTCTGATATCCAGGATCCGTCCGTCAGACTTCAGGCCAGCTTTGGTATACTGTTCCATCAGAGCGGAGTAGACTTGAAACTGGGCCGCAGAAAGCCACAGCTTTAGTGTCTCCACGTCGCCCTTAACGTACGCGTCCAACACTTCGGGCAAAATGTACTCTCGCATGTCCCGCAAGAAGGGCTCCATCTGGAATGACGGGTCCATTTCTCTGAATTTTTTGATCACCATGGCTGTTTCGTTCTCGGCAAAAAACCCGGCGACCCGATCGGATATGGAGCGCGCAGTGGAAATGATTGGGTTTTCGGACTCTTCGTAGGTATTCTTCATGTTGAAGAGCGATTGCATGAGTTTCGAGTTGTCTTTGAATTTGGTCCAGGACTCGCGCCACGCAGAGTCTTTGTGGACGGTAATGTTGGTGCCGGCACTGGGTACGCAGTCAGTATGTGCCTAGGTGGATCAGTCTTCGATGGCACTTACTTTGGATCCTCAACCATCTGCTCCTGCTTCTTTTCAGGACTCTGGGCCTCTCTCAATCTACGCGCCTCTTCTCGCTTTCTCCGCTCTTCCTTTTCAATCCAGCCGCCGTACCTGGAACTGCTGCCATCGTCGACCGCTTCTGAGACGTCTTTGAAGGCTTTTGTCTCCCGGATGGGTCGAGTTGCTTTTTCAATACCGCGGCCCGTTGCGTTGACGCCCTTCCGGATGCCCTGCACGACAGGAGTCTCCCAAGTCCATGCTGCACCCGAGCCAATCGCACTGGCGGTACTCTTCAGTACTTGCGAAGTACCCTTCGTTGCCGCTTCAGAGGCTTCTCGTGCTCTCCTCACAGCTTCGGATTCAGTAAACTGCTGGACCGAGCCGGAAAGCTGCTTGGTAGATTCGTTCCATTCTTTGGAGGCTTTGAATTCTGTACGCAGGGTCTCGGTGAAGACCTGCCAGGGAGTCTTGTCACCATGGGGCGGTGGTGGAGGAGGTTTGTCATCTTTCTCTCCCTTCTCTGACTTTGCGTCTTTCTCTTCCTTTTCGCCCGAGGCTTCTTGTTCAGGCTTCTCGTCCCGCGGCGGGTCTCGCACTTCCTCTTTCGGGTCAGCTTTGGGTTGTTGTTGGGATTGAGATCGAGAGGTATTGAGTGATCGGATTAGCTGCTGGTTTGAGGGAGTGAGTCGAGGTGAGAAAGGAGGTAGGCGGAAGTTGTAAACGAGAGGCGATGGCAGTAACCGTCTGTAGGCTGCAGTTCTTCCATGTTGCGCCTGTCGGACTGTGGCGAGCGCGGAGGTGGTCGTCACATACTGACGGACACCATAGAGAGGCGCGCGACGCGGTACAACCATGCTATGCGGGAGATATTGACGAAGAAGGGCGATAGAGCAAGAGACGCACAGAGAGGACAGTATTCAACACAGCTCCTTCATGTTCAGAAGACGCATCTTTGCAAAAGAAGCCCAAGTCAATTTCGCTGCGGCTGAACTTCGGCTCCTCGTGCTCCGCCGTATAGAATCTACATCTCAATCTGCCGTTCAATCTCTACGCTGATGGACTTCTCGGAGCTTCCACTGTTCTTGTCAGTCCACGCCAGCGACAATGGCGCGCCCAAAGTCCCTCCTCCTGTCGTCCATGTGTCGGTCGTGTCGACAATCCCAGCTCCTACTCACCCAATCCCGCCGCACCCTCTCCACCACCACGACCTCGCAAGAACCAGAACGAGAACGCCCTTCGCCGAGAGGCGGCCTCGCCCAACGCTTCGGCATCAAGTACAACGACGACCGCGCGCCCAGGACGCCCGTCGACCCCCTCGCCGCCTTTTCCGAAGTCCTCCAACCACCCCCAACCGCCACACCCACCAACAACGCCATGCGCAACAGCATGAAGAACGACCTCCGCACCATTTCTCTCTTTGACGGCGAAGACCCTTCGTCTTCTGCTTCTCCCTCCAGTCGGGCCCCGAACCCCTACCTCGACGAACCCTACCACCTGAACGTGTACGCGCACAGACACAACACACACATCACATTCACCGAGCCGAGCCGCAACCCGATCCTCAGCCTGTCGTGCGGGAACCTGGGCCTGCGCAACGCCCAAAAGGCTTCCTACGACGCGAGCTTCCAACTGGCCGCGTACACGTTCCGCAAGATGGCCGAGAAGCAGTGGAAGATCGGCGGCGCGAACTCCAAATCCCCGTGGCTGACGCTGTCGAGCATCAAGAAGCCCGCGTACAGTGGGTCCGCGGGCGCGGGGATCGAGGTTATCCTGAGGGGGTATGGGCCTGGACGGGAGGCGTTTCAGAAGGCACTCCTCGGGACGGAGGGGCGGATGATCAAGCCGTTGATTTCAAAGGTCACGGACGGGACGAGGTTGAAGTTTGGGGGGACCAGGAGTCCGCAGGTTAGAAGGTTGGGTTAGTGGAGAGGGTGAAATAAAGGAAGGCAGGGAACCAGAGTTTCTGGATATGGACATGGGCTACACATAGCTATGTACTTGGTGCTTGTTGTGGAGGAATCAACGACCACGACTGCTTCCAGTGCTCACCTAGTGTTTGAGATTGGCGGGCGGTGTACATGTCTCGATGGGTCTAAATCTCGCGGACCCGGACCAGGACCTGTGCCGGTCTCTATAGACGTGATCTGATGATGCCATGCGTCTCTCGTCGAGGTGATATTGGGTCTACATGTACATTAGATATGCGAGTGCCGGCCGTTAATCGGCACAGGCGAGACATGCACGTATGTATGTGATCTTTCCTACACTGCACCGCCGTATGCCTCAATAACCCCCAGGCGAACTGGAGAAATAATCACCACCACCGATCGAACTCCCTCCGACGCTCGAAGTGCTACTCCCGCCGGGACTCACTTCCCTGGCAGCCTTCCCTCGAGTCCGAGGAATCTGCAACGTCTGTGTGCCCCCGGCCGCCGCCGCCAGCGATCTCTGAGGCTCCAGATGCGTGCTCTTCTCCCTGAACCCCACGCCGACAATGACGCGCCTCAGCGCCTCTCCTCGCGGATCGATGCCCATCATGAACCGCGCCAGCTCGGCACACAGTTCGAAATCCCCCTTCTGCCGGGCCAGCTTCATCAGTCGAATCACGTAGCCCTCGAATTTGCGTGCATCGTAGGTATACTCCGAGGAGTCGTCGGCTTCTGCTTCTTCCAGGCCCTGCAGGACGATGAGGTAGGAGGAGGCCGTCTTGAGGTCCGAGAGCGCGAGTGCCTGTTCGAACAGCGTCAGTGGCGGAGGGAGGTGGGCGAACAGCGTGCGCCAGAAGGAGAGTTCCGTCTTGCGCACGCACTGCACCACGGTGGATAGGTAGGTTGGGGGCGGGAGGACGAGCTGCAGGAAGGAGAGCACGGCGGGGAGTGGGCCACGGGAGTCTTGGGCCTCGTCGTCTTTTTCTTCGGCTTTTCGATCAACTTCGTCGTCGAGGACATGGTGGAGCAGAGTCTCGAGTGCGTGGGGGAAGTACGACAGGTTTTGGTATTGGTGCGCGAGGCCGAATGCTGCGGCGGTGTCGTTTGCTTCGCAGAGCTGATGGCGCAGGACGTACGGTAGGAAGAGCTGTGTTCGGATGCTGGAACGGAATTGCGCAAAGTTGACGTCTCGTCGTTGGAGGAGTTCGGATTCGATCCCCAGGACGACGCCTTTGGTCAGAAGGATTGAGAGGGGGTAGAAATCCACGGACATGGACAAGGAGGGGGCGGTGATGAGATCTCCCGCCGCGTGATGAAGCAGGTCACGCACGTCCGGCCATAGGCGAAGCTCCTCGCCACTGAAGATCCAGAGGGAGTCTCGAAGGGAGTAGTTCTGTTGACTTCGCATCGTGAACGCCGAGCCTGGCGATGGAGTGGGCGGTGCCGACTCTTCCGGGCCGGTGCTGAAGTTGAAGTAGATCTGGTCGCGCATGAGGATGTAGTATTCGACGTGTTGCGCAATGACCCGCATGTCGTATTTGAGCTCGTCCTTCTCGTTCCTCGAGGCCTGCAAGAGCACCAGTTTGTCGTCGACGAGGAATAACACAGAGGCGAATTCGACGTCTCGTGAAGGATCGCCGTTGCGGAGTTGAGAGTCAGGCACGACCCAGCTCACGGAGCGTACTCGACTTGGTGCGCGCACAATGCCATGAAATGCGATCTGACCGACTTGAACGAGTTGTGCGCCTCGCTCGGTGATGTTGAGGATGTAGTGGTAGAGGATGTTCTCGTAGGTGTAGACCAGAAGGGAATCTTCACCGGACGGCCCAACAAAGACGATTGGCATCGAAAATGTTTCAACATGCAGAGGGAAGCGGCCAAGGTCGGCTTCACGCGAATACAGCCGGAGGTCATACCCTGCGGCATTCTCGGTTGCAACAGCAAGGATGTGGTTGAACCAGCACATGCCGCCACGAACGGCAAATGCGCTCTCGACCGATAAATCAACAAAAGTCTTCCAGCGTCCACTTTGGACGCTGTAATGAGCCAACCCGCGACGCCCGGCAATTGCGATATATCTTCCGTCTTGTGACACCACGCAGGATTTGATAGGCCACTGGTTGTGTAAATACACAGATGGATATTGTGCATGATGCCACAACGACGCCTCATTCGATATCGACGTCAAGTCGGGCAGCTCATGACCGCGGTAGACTGTCAACTCGTTGGGTGTCTGGAGGAGGGCGCGCACGAGGTTGGCGCAAGAGAAACAGCCCATCGCCGCACTCCGCGACATCTCCATTTTCCAGATTCGGTTCTGTGAAGGGGACGCGAGAAGGATCTCGGCGCCGCCACTGACCCAGGCTGCTCGATGGACGGCGATCAGCCAGGTCTCGTTGTTCGACTCCGCATGGGTGACGTTCTGGTGGAAAGTCGAGGCGCCTTCTTTCCCGAACACTGACCATGTTGACCAGCCGTGTTCGTAACCTGCGAAAAGGCAGTAGCCGTCCGGCGACCATTTCAGACAAGTGACTGCGCCTCTCGACAAAGGCGAAGTAGATGTCTTGAAAATATGCGAAAACGGAATGTTGCCAACATAATCTTTGGCTGCGTAGCAAACAATCTCACCATTCGATGTGGCTATTGCAATGAGCGAGAATCGGGCATTGATACTGGTGAGTGTTGCTGGGGACGATGTCTCGGGCTTATGAAAGCAGTATCCGTCGAATAGTCTGGTGGTCGGACTGGTCGAGCCTTTCGACGAAGGGAGAGAATCGTCCGAAGACGGTGCTCGCGACATCTGCGGTTTGACTCGCTGCACCGCGTACGCATGTCCATCTTGCGAGACCCAAACAGAGAGGTTCATGGCTCGATCGTGCACCATGATAGAGATGCCAGACTTCTCGGTGACCCAATCCATCTTGTTCAGAGTCTGGGTCACGGCGTTAGAACCATCCTTCTGCAAGTCCCATTTGATGCACTGCACAGCCTGAGGTTTGGTGGTCGCCACAACGAGCTCTGAATCCAGCGCATTGATGGAGTTGAGCCCAGCATCAATTTTAATCGCTCGACGAAAACGGAGCAGCACTTCTGCCACGCCTGCGGTTTCATCGACATCGAAGCTCCGCACGAGATTCTGCCGCTTCGTCTGACTGTAGCCATATTGCTGCTGTAACACTCGGGCATTCTGGTCGCTTTCCACAGAATATAGCATCAAATAGCTCTCAGTGGTACGGACAACCAGCGTGCTTGCATCAGGCCTGAAAGCCACTCCCAGATTCTTGCCATATGACTTTAGCGAATTTGCGGATCGAGATATCGAGGCGAGAACGACTACAGGGCGAGTTGACCACAAATCCAGCTGGCAGGAAGTGACTGTGGCAAAGAGTTGGTCGTGCCGTGCGACTTGCACGTCGATTATTGCGCTTGAGGTCGGGATGTCGTCCTGCGCAGAGGCATTGTCCAAGTCCCGCTGCCGACCTGGCTCAACTTGTCCGGCTGGCTCTTGAATGGGTCGCTTACTTCCATGGTATGCGAAGATTTGTGGCACGCTGCACGGCCAATACATAGTGCAGGGAACTACTCGTCACCGACATCTTTGTGTGAGTTCATGTGCTGCTACATCCATTTGCCTGGCCAGGGTACCTTGAAGACTAACGCAGCTGTCCGGGAGGATGGGGATAAAGACGAAGTGGTCGGGGACGAAGCAGGATCCGATAGTTACGGAAGTCGACGTGTCAAGTCGTGACTTCGCGCTAAGGCCAAAGCGGATTAGCTTGATTGGAATCGCTGTCTTGCTGCTTTACTGCTTGACTGCTTGTCCTGCTGAGCTGACGCTCGTTCGTGTTTGCCTTCGGCATACGCGATGGCGGCATCCTTGAACTTCTGTCTGACGGGACTCGTTCAAGGAAGAAGCTTCTACCATCTGGCTGCTGAGAGTCTGAGCCCCGACTCTCCCAAATCCGCATCCTGCTCGTATCTCTTGCAGCGTGAAGTCGCCTGTGCAAGAGCAGCAGTCCCGCCTCTCCGCGCAATCGCCAATCACGACTAATGGAGGTCTTTATCAGGGGTATACCAGAGAGACTGACACAGAACCAGTTCGAGAAGCTCATTCGAAAACCCTTATCAGACCTGGAAATCTATGATTGGCAAGTTCAGAAGCGTCCGCGCAATCAGTTCGCCAATTTGATCTTCCTCCACATCAGTGATGGCCAGCGTTTCCTCGATTGTCACGGCCAGGCCAAAGATCTTTCGGGACGAGAATACTTACCTGCTTCTAGAACGAACGTTATGTGTTTCGGCGTACCACTTTCTTGTTCGCTCAGTAGGAGGCGGCCCGATCCTTTGGCACTTAAAAGTCTACGAATGGAGTCTAAAGCAAGGCGTGCTTCAAAGGGCTCAACTGGGCAGATCGGGATTGAATCTCACTCTGGTGCTGATCGTTGGCCCTTGAAAATTGTCAGCCTTTCCTGCGGAACATGGGGTTATCGAGATTCGAAGACAGTCTTTCTCCGTTACACCCACTGGCTCACCGGAGGGACAGCACAATTTGGTCGAAGGCGGGTCATCATCAGCTCCGACCAGGGAAGAAGGGTAGATATACCATTCACATCGATTGTGGAAACCAATGTTGAAGGTCTACCACATCCTGCCTTAACATTGACACTGAATGCGGCCCCGCTTTTCTTCGAGTCCACACTTGGCAACGTGTCGGCGCCGTCAGATCTCGATAACATAATAATTACCCTCAAGAGACTGGGTAATAACCGTCAAAGCTGTCATGATCCGCCCTGGATGAGGATAACCAGTCTGAACAGCCAGCATGAAACAGTGGCTGGCACATGTCTGGTTTACCGAATCAGTCTCGAATGCAGCACTGCTGAACATCAAATGGCGGCGATGGGTCGAGCACGCCAAGTCTTATCTCCCGTTCAGCAACATGTCGAGGCTGCCGAGCCGCAGAAGCCATACAAAGCCGAGATGAACGCTCTCCTGGAACGCCTCGAGGGTGTCGATGCCATGCACAGCCCTGCATCTCTTCCTTTCAACGTCAAGTTCCAGCTGCAAGCACTTGCGCAGAACGCAGTTCTCCGGCCGCGTATCATACACGGCCTGCTTGGGGACATCGACGCCATGATATCTCGGGCGGGTCCACAGATCTGCACTTACGCGATTAGGAGCTTATCCCATGAGCTTCCATCTCGATGTCTTCGGATAGATGATGATACCGCAATGCTCTTGGCTGCAAGAAGTATTTTGCAGGACGCCGAGACTCGAATGAAGGAAGGCGGTCTCCTTCCGGAAGAATTGCAAAACATTGGCGGCCGAGCACATATCCACAGAGTGACTTTTACACCTGCTGGAATGTATCTTTACGGTCCGGAGCACGTCAACAACAACCGAGTGCTTCGGAAGTATTCTGAGAACCATGACGCATTTATCCGGGTACAATTTTGTGACGAAAACGGAGACCCGATTCATTACAATGCCAACTGGTCAAATGACACTATCTACTATTCGAGGTTCAAGAAGATTTTGAACGAAGGCTTTCATATAGCCGGAAGGCGCTACGCGTTCCTCGGCTTCTCTCATTCTTCCCTCCGGGCCCAGTCCTGCTGGTTCATGGCCCCTTTTATTCATGATGGGTCTCTATTGTACGATCGTCAACTCATCCAAGGCCTAGGCGACTTTTCAGAGATTCGGTGCCCAGCGAAGTGTGCTGCCAGGATCGGGCAGGCATTCTCAGAGACGCCTATCGCTGTTACCGTGACAGAAGGCGTGGCTCAGGTGATTGATGACATCGAGCGTAACGGCCGGGTGTTCAGCGACGGCGTCGGGACGATATCGAAGATATTACTGGAGAAGATCTGGGCTGCATTGCCGGTTGAGGGAAAGGCCAGAAAACCTCGCGTCTTTCAGATCCGGTATTCAGGTATGTCTCCTCCGTAGTCCCATTCCAGTCTTCGTCTGTTGTATTTGGGCCTCCACCATTGTCGTCAATAACGGCCCAATCTTTAACGTGGTCTACATTATCTTGGGCTTACCGTGCAACAGGCGCAAAAGGAATGATATCATGGGATCCCAGACTCACTGGCGAGAAGATGCTTTTACGCAAGTCTATGGTCAAATTTCCTGCGCCGGATTCCCTTGATATCGAGATATGCGACGCTGCTTACCGGCCATTGCCCTATTTCCTGAATCAACAGACAATCAAGATCCTTGAAGACATGGGTGTCGACGAGAGTTTCTTCCTTTTCCACCAAAACAGGGAACTCGATCGACTTCAATCGACTACTTCCAACCCGACACGAGCCTCTCAGTTCCTCAAAGCTCACTCCATCGGCGACAGTATCCACCTTCCCTGGTTCTTCAAACAGTTGTCCAAGATGGAAATCTCTTTCCTGGACGACACGTTCCTTTCCAATGTCGTCGAAATGGCTGTCTTGATAGAGCTGCGGACACTGAAGTACAAGGCCAGGATCCCAGTCAAGGATGGATATACTCTCCGCGGGATCATGGACGAGACCGGCATACTTCAAGAAGGTCAAATTTTCTGCATAGTCGAAGAGGGCGACCTCCCTAAAGTCATCGCAGGCGAGAATTTGATCATATCCCGCTCTCCAGCCCTTCACCCGGGCGATGTTCGCTGCGTTACAGGAGTAACCGTGCCCTCTTCTTCACCACTTATGGCACTTCGCAACTGTGTATGCTTCAGTTCCCGAGGAAGCAGGGATCTCCCGAGTCAGCTCAGTGGTGGGGACCTTGATGGAGACCTGTACCAGATCCTATTTGACCCGAAAGCCCGACCGGAACGCGTCTTCGAGCCCGCTGATTATCCAAGGGCAAAGCCCATCGACCTCGAACGGTCAGTCCAGCGGGAAGATATGACGGACTTCTTCATCACCTTCATGGCCACCGACCAGTTGGGCCGGATCGCCAATCAGCATAAATATCTAGCCGACCAACGTGAGAACGGGACTTTGGACCCCGACTGCATCAAGCTTGCAGAATTGCATTCGACGGCTGTGGATTTTTCCAAGAGTGGAATACCGGTTCGTTAGATCTAGATGTTCTGTGCTGTCTGTGCAGCTGACGATATAGGTCGACTTGACGAAATTGCCACGCTCGAACCATTTTCGACCCGACTTTATGGCACCAGGGCCGCACGTTGTCATAGAAAAGGCGAAACCACCAAGTTTCGCCGCTCCACCAGAGTCCCGCGATGATGGTGACGACGACGAAGACGGGCCTACGTACAGATATTACGAGAGCGATAAGATCTTAGGAAAGCTGTTCCGAGCCATTGATGAGTACAAGATCCTTTCGACTGTGCAGAGCGCCGCTCGAACAGAACGTCTGCGCTTTGCCCAAAGGTCACACTCGGTGCTGGATGCTGTCTGGGCCAACGTCTATCGGCGGTGTCAGTATATCAACTGGGAGGAGCACGTTCCTCGAGCTTCCGGAATCCGTGACGAGTACGCGCTTTCCCAATTTTCAACGGTCTCTTGTCCCTCGACTGACACGGTTTCAGATACGAATCCATTGTCCATGACTTTGCTGTCGATTACGGAATCTCCTTTTCCCAGCCTCTCAGTGAGTACGAAGTCTTCATAGGCAACATTCTGGGCCGAGCTGGCGCTCAGAGTAAAACTCAACGTGAAAACTCCCAAAATCTCCGACAAAGCTTCCGCGAGGCCTTGCGGTATATTGTTGGTCGTATCGTCAAGGACGAGGGCGGGGAGAGCGAGCACGCCCTTGCACGGAGCGTGGCTTGTTTGGCGGTCGGAATAGAGACTTCGAACTCGGCAGCTGTGAGAGGTGCTTCGAAAGAAGTCCTGGTCAGCTTTGGATATGTCGCCGCTTCCGTGTGCCTGTGGGAATTAGATCAACTGGTAGAGGCCAGAGGCGATGTGCTTACTATGTAGGATGAGCTCGTTGGTGCCGGTGACATGAAGGCGAGGCCAGCCCACTCCATTAACAGCGAAGCTCGATGCCAGGTTTGCGTTCCAATGCCTTGTCTCCAAGATTCAGCACTTGAAGCGGCAGACTCGAAAATGCAAGCATGCCGTCGGAAATGTGACGCTGCATGAGGACTACATCTAGTAGTATCTCCCTGTACTCCGTATGAGCTGTCTCAATTTGATTCGTTGCGAGGCATTGCTGAGACGAACATGACTAGCGCGAGCACAGCCCTGAATCTGCAATGATAAACGCTCGGACACAAATGTGGGGAGACGAGGCGAACCATTACTCCATGCGGCAGTATCATGAGGTGATGGAAATGTGGGGTTGCAGGTCACCCACAGCTGAGGCACATTGCGGGTGTAGTGCGGGTGAGGAGCGGGAGAAGGTGCAGGTGAGGTGCAGGTGAATGTGCAGATGAGGTACAGCTGAGGTCCCGGTGATGTAGGAGCACGGGTCTTTGTAGTTTCACCTTCCACCTTTTTCACTGCAGCGTGAACATGTATGATCTCGACCAGTGGCTAGACTGATGCAGGCTTCTCCTACCTCAATCATCAATCTCCAAGTACTTCCATCGCAGGCCGTTCGACCACCAGTTTCCCGACGACAGTCAGCGCAGAATGCAGACAAGTCCACGACGATAGCCTGTGCGGCATGTCGGAGGAAGAAGGTCAAATGTGACTCCCGGAGACCAGCCTGCTCCCAGTGCAAGGAAGATGGCCTGCCGTCGTGCAAGTATGTGGAATGGAAGAAGACAGGATTGCCACGAGGCTACGTCCGAAACCTGGAAGCTCAGATCCGTATGAATCTACCATTCTCGAAATCCGTGTCTTCTCAGTCACACTCACTGGTTCGTAGAAGCACTCCAAGCAGAGAATGATGAGCTTCGCAACCTACAAGGCAAGCCGCCGCAAGGTGGCAGCCAGCTCTCACACGCGCATGCGGCCACTCGATATGAATTTCCATCCGATGACACCCTGCCATCGGGGTTCCTGGGTCAGAACTCTCCTTACGCGCCCTCCGACCATGATATCCTGATGCAGGATCCTGTCGATATCGCTAGACTCGCAATCTCAGAACTTCTTACGGCCGAGGATCAAAACAATCTGTACGTCGTCTCGTCTGGTCTAGCTGTTACTCGCATGGCCGGATCATCTGCTGACGGTCATACAGCTGCACCCTATATTTCGAACGCTGCCATCCCTTCGTGCCCATACTACATAGGCCCAGTTTCAGCGTCGACAAGGACGCACACGTGTCTCTATCCGTCTTTGCACTTGCCTCTCGCCACACACCCTCCATCGCATCCAAGTCCGACATCTTCTACAGTCTCGCCAAGCAAACAACCCAAGCTACCTTTATCAATCCTGACATGAGCACCCTTAACGCATTGATACTGCAGGCCATTTACGAGATCGGAATGCCCAATTCCTCGGTGCACGCGTTAACGACCGTAGGATCCGCCGTTTCACTTGCAAGTGCCTTCAAGTTGCTGAGAATGGAGGATCAAGAGGACGGCGACAGCAAGCCGAATCGATGGATGGACCGCCCAGTAGATTGGGTCGAGGAGGAAGGCCGGCGGAGGGCATTCCTGATGGTGCTGAGTCTAAGCCGTTGGATGGCCTTGATTCAGGAGCGCGAGATGGGGTTTCCGGTCAAGCGGGACATCACCGTCATGTTACCTATAAGTGATGAGGCATGGTTCGCCGATGTAAGTACTTTCAAGAAGAGTTATGGGAGGAATACCAGTGACGACAACTGATGGACGCAGCCAGCTTCACGGCCAGTCGCGAGGTCGGTAACCGAACCGATCACTTCTCTCCGCCACGCGTGCGAGGCAGGTCCGTTTGCCAGGTTCGTACAGGCGCTCGGCTTATTCGCCAAGGTCAGCGACTTCAACCAGACATATCGACTGCGAAGCAGCAGTGAGAACGACGAGGAGTTGTCCAAGATCGACAGCGTTATTCAGTCATATCTAGGCTCCTTCCCAAGCAGCTGGCGGACATCTCTGCTTGAAGGTGAACACCTGCTCGACCCTACGACGCTCGCGCTCGCCCATAGGTGAGGAGCTCCGGAAAAAGTATTGATGCTTCCACGGCCGTACTGACGCCGACAGCGCACTACTCCTGCTACACCATCCCATTGCGCGCAGAGAATCGCACGGCTCCTCCAAAACCCGATGTACCGCGGCGGCGGAGGAAATTCTCGACGTCGCATACACAATCCTGGACGTGCCCAATACTGGAAACTATCTACTCCCTCACCCCCTCGTGCTGGCTGCGCGAGTCAGACTACTGGAGTTGGTGCAGCGCAAGGGCCACTATAGAGGTCGAGACATGGACCTGATAGTGAAGGCGCTATTGACATTCGGGAAGCACTGGGGCATGCAAGGTCAGTCAGGTCCAGTGAGGCAATGCTCTTGCTCGAGACTCACATGATTGGTGAATATTGCTATGATGAACGGGGCACTAACGTTCTCCGATCGTGGTGCCGTTTAGAGAAACTCACCGAACATGCTGGCAAGATCAAAGCCAACACCGTGCCGTTCGGCGAGCCTTTGACTCACGTCATACCAGTCACGAAGCAACCCGTGTCAAGACAGAAGACCGCGCAGTTCGTCCCCAGCGTGCCCAGACGGCTCGTCGGCAGCAGTGGTTGGGGGTGGGCCAGCACCCTGGGAGGGGACGTTGCGTTAAGCGATGAACAGGTAGGCGGAGGAGTTCGAAACCCGGGCAACACGAACGTCAGCCCAAGCAATTCGGGACCGTTGCTGGATACTAATCTCATGGACGCGGCGATTTTCTCCGGCGACATCTTCGACTGGACCATGGGACTTGGGACGGATGCAATGGATACCGCGCCGATTCAATAAAACCATGGTCTATGTGTCGTTTCAGAGATGCCAGGATTCAAAACTCGAAAGATTCTTATGGCAGATTTTTAGAAGGCCGTATTCCAAGGTTCTTAGCTGCTGCATATTTACAGTTGTCATTACGGACAAAATGTATCCATGGTGGCCACGAGATGAAGATGGACTAATAATCCTCATTCTTATGCTCGTCCTCGTCCTAGGTCCTATTCCCACGTATGCGGCGGGGCCGCAGCGTGCTCGACCGCCTCCACCTCCGTGGCGGTGACTTCAAGGTCATCCTTCTCTGACACAAATTTCCGGGGCATACCTAGCGCGGCCTCATTGCAGACATAGCCCTTGAACTTGCGAGCCGGGAGATTTGCTTGGAACTGCGAGAGCGAAACCTTGTCAGCGATGACTGATCGAGAAAAGAAAAGAAGACAGCACACGCAAGGACAGCCAGGCTCACCATCACGTCGATTTCCTCGAGGGTGCGGTCCTTGACCTCCGGAAGGAAAAAGTAAATCCAGGCCGTGGCCACGATGGCGCTTGGGAACCAAATGAAGCCGTATTTGGGACCCCAATTCATACTGTCCGGGTTGATAAAGTACGGGGCGGTGAAGACGCTGAGCCACGGCCAGAAGAAACCCACCACGCCAGCCAGGCCGAAGACGAAGGACCTCAATCGCAGGCTGGGCATCTCGCCACCGACCAGCCACGCGTAGGCGGCCAAGCAAGCGTTGTAGAAGAACATGTAGATGATATTCATGGCGACAATGACCTTGCCGGTCGCAGAGCCCTCGGGCTGGGCCTTGTACACGCAGGCTTGGATGAGCTGCATGACGCCGCAGATGACCATGCCGGACATCAGGATGGTCCTGCGGCCCAGGCGCGTGACGAAGAGGGATGATGCGAGAATACCGACAACGGACAAGGCAGAAAGGACGCAGCTGTCTTCGAAGGGCTTGCCGACACCGGCCATTTGGAAAAAGTAAGTGCCGTACATGATCATGACTGTGGGCGGCAGACGTTAGCTTGAGTAGGCTGAAGGACATGGGGCTGGGCCTTACACATGGCGCCGGGAGCGGACAGGAGCGTGAGGGAGCCAAGCGAGAGCAGAGTGCGACGGCGTTCGATCTTGTTGGTGAAGATATCGGTCCACGATCCTTCGCCAGCACTCTCCCTTTCGAGATTATGCGCCGTCTCGACCGCCAGGATTTCGGCATCGACGTTGGTGCCTGCGGGTCTCAGCCACAAGAGGGCCTTGCGAGCTTCTTCCTTTCGGCCATGGGTCAACAGCCAGCGTGGCGACTCGGGGATAAAGATGATGCCAACGCCGAGGATGAGTGGCACGACGTAGATGATGCCGAGGGGAATGAGGTAGGATTCCTTGCCCGGCAGTTTTTCGGTGAAGTTATCTTTGCAAGAAGGTCAGCCGGATTGCGGACGCTTTGAATTTTGCGCGCGGGTGCTGTGTATGCGTACCAACGATATTGCCAATCAGGGAGCCCAGTGCGACCCAGAACTGGAAGAAGACGTAGACGAACCCGCGAAGGTGTGCTGGGGCGACTTCTTGCAGGTACAGCTGGGGGAAGGTCATGAACCAGCCATTTGCTTTGGTGGTGGTCAGTACATGGTGGATGCCAGTCTCGCGAGGAGTGTGAACTCACCAATACCAATCATGATACGTCCGACGTACAGGGCGGCGACGTGGGTGGTGCCCATCATGATGGCGTCGCTCACGTAGCACCAGATGATGGCGAGCCAGACGCATTGCCTTCTTCCGAACCTGGTCGACAGTGGGCCTGAGAGCAGTTCAGTACTGAATCCATATCGGGCCTCCTCGCAATCCAACGGAAAGTGGCAAGGGGGAGAAGGAAGAAGATGTCACGCACCCACGAAGCCACAACCGATGACAGCACCGATGGTCATGAAAGACGATATCAGCTGCTGGGTGACGGGACTCAAATTCCAGCCGGTGGGAGACAGCTCATCTCTGTGGCCGAAGACCTGAAAGGAAGAACTCAGTATGGTTATGGTACCCCTCCGTGAGACCCCCTCTGAGGCGTCTTCGGGACGTGACTCACTTTGTCAAAGCCCACCATGGCTTGAATACCAGCGATGAGACCGAAATCGACGCCGTATTGGAACGCTTCTCCTGTGTCAGCACGGCTTTTCTTTTTCACAACCCGTTGGAAAAAACAATGCAGGAGAAGAGTCAACTCACGACCCATGGCGATCAGCAGACATGCCAGCAAGCATTTCCAATTCGCCGCGATGCTGTCGTTTGGTGAGGACGCCGCCATGGTGGTTGTTTTCTGACCGTGGTGTTACTCGAGAAGGGCAGCCCGAATGTCCCAATTCAGCGGTGTTTGTGTTCGCTGGGACGAGACAGAGACAGAAGGAGGAGGATCAGGATAACTGCACTCCGTAGATCCACCTGCTGTTGGGCGTCCTGTCTTGAAGGGTGGGGGTCCGCATTCTGTGTAATCTGGGGCCCCAGACGTGTACATGTACTCCATGTCCTCGCCTGGATAGTCGCCTTGCGCGGCCCGGCACAATGTTGTATTGTTGACCCGGCCACGTGCGGCACAATGTTCAGGTGCAGCATTGGCCCGCTTCTAGTTTGTTCTTGGCGTGGACGGCATGGGCTTCATCCCCATAGTGGGCCACTATCCCTGCAGGTTAACGGACGTCCCCAAGATCGGCGTCCCCAGCCTCTTGGAGCCAGAACAGGACGTCGACGTCCCCTCCTCAAACACAGTGGGGCGGCGCCATCGCGGGCTGTGATGGTGCTCTCATCTGGTCGATTGTATGACACCCTTGGCGAGACCAGTGCCGTTCGTGTGGTCGGGAGACAGAGTATCGTGTTTATGGCGTGCCTCGGTCAATATCGCACACTAATGCGCTAGAGGATGGCGAGGACGGGACTTGAGCCCGTCGAGGGTAGTCACCTACTGTAGCTGGCACAAGCGAAGTGACCCCTGAGCGGACGAGAACCCGGTTTCTCCGCCCAAGTCGAGAGTGAGAGAAGGCCTGGAAACCCATGGCCGGGGACTCCAAAGATCTGGTCCATTTGTACCAGTAGACGCACATTTGCGAAGTGCTTTTGAGCTGCGATAACTAGTCAAGGGATTTAGATGCTTCTACTCGTCATCTACAGAATATCCAAGTTTCCTGATCCTCCTCAGTGCCTCCTCCTCAGCGTCGTACCCGAACAACCCTTCGTTCCAAGGTTTTGGAGGTTCGCCATCCTCAGCCGCCCAAGTCCAAGCATACGCAGACCTGGCCGCCGTGCTTGCATCCTTCATGGCGGCATCGCGGGCTTCTTGCTCCGGCCCGTCCAGCATGTGGTTCTTGCCGCGCTGTTCGCGGGCGAATTTCTGGATTTGCGTGGCTCGTGAGTACCTGAGTTGCTGGAATACAGGACCTACGTCCCGCAGAGGCAACAGTCGTAGACACTGCGCCAAAGCAGCGGCGTCCTCGATGGCTTGCGATGCGCCTTGAGCCTGGTAAGGTAACATTGGATGGCAAGCATCTGTATTCCATGAGTACGGCGGATCCAAACATTGTCATTCGCATGAACCAGAATGTGGGGTGGTACGAACCTCCTATCAGCACCAATTTGCCTCGATGCCACCTCTGCAAGGGAGGCAGGTCCATCAACTTCCATTTCGTGACTGTGCCCGGCCTTGCGCGGTCGAGCAAGGCCTTGACCTGCGGACACCAGTCCTTGTACAGCTCCTTCAAGTGCTCGATCTCACCTTCCATCTTGTACGTGTTGTCCATGGTTCCGTCGTCAGGAAACACAGTGACGACGTTGAACATGGTTTCGTTCCGCAACTTGTAGCCCACAACGTGCATTCCGGGTCCCCACCATCCAATGGCCATGGGTGTCTTGACGCAGTCCGCCAGCACAGGGTCACCTGCCATGTCTTCCGTAGGCACTGTGAACCTGTAGGCGTAGTCCCCTGTCACGAAAGGCGGCGCGGCTTCCTCGCCCTTTAGCACCACCTCGCGCATCGACGACCGTAGCCCATCGCTTCCAACGATAAAGTCACAGTTAATCTTCTCGCCCGTGTGCAGCGTGATGCTGGCGTCATCGACATCCGCACCGATGACCTTGGCATTGACCTTGATGGGGATCTTCAGCTCCTCCACTTTCTTCCTGAGAGCCTCGTGCAAGTCCGCCCTATGGACATGCCAGTGTGGAAAGCCGTATTTCTCCTGGATCTGCGGCATCATCGGCGCCTGGGCCAAGACCTCGCCGTTCTGCCATCTGATGACTCTGCCGTACCTGGGCAGAACTACATTGTCGGCGAGGTACTTGTCGACACCCCATCTGATCAAGAGACGCGAGCAGTTTGGGCTGACTTGGATGCCGGCACCTAGCTCACCGAGCTTGGATGCAGCTTCGAGCACTTGTACCTCTGCGAGCCCAGTCCGGGAGATGGCGATGGCGGCAGCGAGGCCGCCTAGTCCTGCGCCGACGACAACGACACGAAGGCGTTTGGCTGGGGGATCTGTGCGCGACGGTGACATGGCGAAAGTGTTGCGTTGCGGTGCCTCGCTTTCCTCGCGTCTCGACTGTCCGGGATTGAGACAAGTTCACACACTTACCTCTTCTCGTTCGAGACATGGCTCAATGAGCACAGGCCCTGCATTGTTGCCGTCAAGTCCCCTGCAGAGTAGTGATCTGCCGGTATGCATTGCAGTAGATCGTCTGGAACGGGGAGCCGCACTGGTGGCACTGCCGGCACAATCTTACCCCGCCAAGCGACACGGCTGTCAAGGCTGGCGAACACTCCTCCGGCTGGGATCTTTCCCCAGATGGCAAAGGTACTTGCCAACATTCTACCGTGCGCCTCCACGGCGTAGGGATCAAGCCATGTGACACGATGGACCGCGCAGTGGCGTAGACACCATGCCGAACTGATACTGTACAGCAAGTAGGTCGTGGCCATCATAGCTGTGGCAGCTGCATGTACGCGCCGCGCTGTCAGTCTCACCAAGGGTCATACAGTATTCACAATGTCCCCCTCCGCAGTCGACAACCCGGTGCTTGACGTGATTGTCGTAGGTGCCGGGATTGCTGGTCTCGCCGCAGCGCTCGCCATCCACGACGCCGGCCACAACGTCAAAATCGTCGAGGGCGCAACCGTTCTACGAGAAATTGGCGCCGGCGTCTTGATCTCAAGCAATGCGACCCGTGAACTCATCCGCTGGGGGCTCGAAGACGATCTGAGAGATGTCATTGTCCAGAGCCGTGTCTCGAGGGTGTTGAGATGGGACAATGGAGATGTGCTGAGCGAGGTCAAAATGGACCCGAGTATTGCCCTCAAGAAGTACGATGCACCTGTGTGGATGCTCCATCGGGCGGATCTTCATACGGCCATGCTGAAGAAGGTGCAGAGCCTGGGCATTGAGATCAGGCTGGGGTCGAGAGTGCTCGACGCCGATGTGGACACAGCGAGCGTGACTCTCGCCTCGGGAGAAGTCCTGTACGCCGACTTCATCGTCGGCGCTGATGGCGTCAGGAGCAAAATGCGCGACATCATCTCGCAGAAGCCCGTGCCCGCGCTGCCAACAGGAGACTACGCCTTCCAGTTCGCGCTGGAGATCGAGAAGTACAAGGACGATCCAGTGATTGCGCCGTTGGTGGAGGGCCATGCCGCCACTGCTTGGTGGGGTCCAGGCAGGCATGTTATCGGGACATTGCTGTAAGTGCGTCAAAAGCAGTACCGTAACAATGATTGATCTAGCGTGGCAGTCGCGGCGAGAAGCTCTTCAATTGTGTCGCAGTCTTCCCTGACGATGGCTCGCTTGGTGACGAGCACAAGCAGTTGGGAGCAGACGTGGACGAACTCCGCCGGAACTTCAGCGACTGGTGTCCAGCGTATGTCCTGCCCTTCTCTTCTCCCTCTCTTTTGGCCTGGCTCTGAGAGCTCAAGAAAGACTGATCATCCTTGGTAGTGTGCGCACCATCCTCTTTCACGCAGACCCCAGGTCCATCGTCAAATGGAAGCTTCAGGACCTCGACCCACTCAAGTCCTGGCACCGCGGGCACGCCGTCCTCATCGGCGACGCATGCCACCCCATGCTTCCTTACTTGGCGCAAGGAGCTTCCCAGGCGATCGAGGACGGCGCCGTGCTGGCCCAATGCCTCGCCAATTTGCCCCTCGACCGCGTCGGTCTCGCATTTCAGGACTTGCGATTTGCCCGCGCCACGCAGATCCAGCAGAACGCACGCAAACAGAAGACCGAGAACCACTACCCAGATGGGCCAGAGCAGCGGGCACGAGACGAGAGGCTCAAGGATCCGACGCAGGTGCGGGCGTGGCAGTGGGAACCGGTGGTGGGCAAGCCGACCAAGAACTGGAACGACGGGCTGTTTGGGTATGATTCGAAGGTTGAATGTGAGGAGTACTTCAAGGAACATGAGGCAGGACGAACATTAGTGAAGCAGGCTGCATAGGCTTGATACGTGATGTTGAAAAAATACTAAGCCTCTACTGTGGTAGGGCGTCGCCATCGTCTCAAGCACGTCCGATTGCCTACCTAGGTACGTGAGGGCTAGTCCCTCAGCTATGACTGTGTATGCCACCTGTGCCGGTGGGCGTGCCTGCCTCAGCCTGCCTCACATGGCATGGGCAGGAAAGGGACAGCATGCCTATCACATCTACCACCTTGCACACTGGAGAACTCCGTACAGCTCTTGTGAGGTTCTCGACGTAGCACAGTTTGATCATCCACGAACGCAAGGTCCTGGACATAGAAAAGCCCTACTCCAGTACCAACTATCCCAGGCATCAGAAGCTAGCGGCAACCGGTTCTGCAGACTGTTGCACCGAAGTCCCGTTTGTCAACTCTGTCCCATTCCCATTCACCGAATCTGTCCCGTTCCCATTCACCGACTCTGTCCCATGCGTCCCATTCTGCTCAGCTACCGCGACTTTGCCCACAAGCTCCGCTATCCGCTCGTCATCATAATACGCCTCGTCCTCCGCCTTCCTCTCCGCCTTCTGTTTCTTCACCCGTTGCAGAAGAGCGCGCACCTTGGGATCAGTGGAGAACTGGTCCGGCACCGTGTCCCAGACTTCCGGCGGGGTGGCATCGGTGGAGCTGTGTTTGCGACTCCATTCAGTGAAGAGCAGTGACCGCGATGACTCGATCATGAAGGTCATCATGCCTGTGTACATGTTAGCCGTGGCTACGTTTACAGGCGAGGAGAGGAATAGTGCAGAAGAGAGAGGACGGCATCACTTACCCTGGAACAAGATCCTGGGGTCGTTTCTCTTCTTTCTCCGTTCCTGGACATAGATGTCCCCGAACCCGCCATGTGCCGTGAAGCCAGCTTCATAGACACCTCCTCCGGGTCTGAAGTTGGCGCTCCGCCCACCGGATGCACCATAGATGTTGGCAATGAACTCGCTCGCGGCGTTGCGGTGGAAATAAGGCAGGCGGAAACTGTTCATGGCCACGTCCCAGCGCGGGCCGAACCAGATGAAGTCGACGAGCGGCACGTTGGGGTCGCGGGAGCGTGCGGTCAAAAGAGTCCAGACCGAGGGATCTGTGTGGTCGACAGTCGTGCTGCCCTGGGCGACGAACTTGGTCATGTCGTACTGCAACGGAGATCAGTATAGCTGGTGTGACGGGGGAAAGCGGTCTGGCATACCTTGTAAGGCAAGCAGTTGCCGTGCCACGCCGCCACGTCGAACGGGCTATGGTCCTGCATCAAGGCATGGTATTCGCCGTTGATCTTCTCGACGATATGCCACTGCTGATGTAGCTCGTCCATATCGTCCATGTACGCGACGGGATACGCAAAGTCTCGCGCATTGGCGTTTCCATATCCTCCGATCGGACCAAGGTCTGGCAACTCAAACCGCGATCCCCAGACCTCCAGGATGTACCCTCGCGCCTCTGCTGTGCCGGCCGCTGGGTTCACGCAGAATTTGACGCCGCGCGGGATCACGCAGATCTCGCCGGGCTGGAGGTAGAGTTTGCCCATTTCAGTCTGGATGTCTAGGTTGCCCAGCTGGGCGACTAACAGAAACTCGCCATCTCCGTTCAAAAATGCCCTCCACTTCATTGGCGCATTGATCATAAACACGTGCAGCGCGAGGCCGTCGCGCATATTGGCATCCCCAGAGCCACCCAGCGAGTGCAGGCCATCCACGAAATCAATCTCCTCCCCTTCCTGGGGAAGCTCAAAGGGCGCCCACTCGATCTGTGACGGGTTCATCTGGACCTTGGGATTGGCGGTCAAGAAGCAACTCTCCACATGGGCTTTGGACTCGAGCACGCCCTCTTGGAAACCATGGTTCGCGACCGACGGCCGGCAGCGGTACATGTACGTGCTCGCATTGGCATGTCTGCCTGCTGCGAAGGCCGACGACGTGAGACCTTCAGTGTACAAGTTGAATCGCGGGACCTGGGGGTGATTTTGCGCAACAGGCAGTGTGCCTGGGATGATTTCGCTCTGGAAGCGGTTACCGTAGCCCCATTGGTAGTCGTAGGGGTCCTCGATGCGTGTGGGCCTAGGGGTGTCGAGGTCGGTGTAGTGGAAGACCTTCTGGATGTCAATGGGTTCCTTTGCCTTCGTGGAGGGCGCCACTGGCTCTTCTACCGGTCCTGGCATCTTGTCGTCGACGGTGTCGGGTTCAAATCTTCAAAGGCCGTGCTGTTCTGCGTTCTCTTACTCCAAGACGGAAGCATGATAAGTTCCAAGACCTCTCCCGGGCCGAGGAACGCATACATACATACAAGTCCCGTCCGCTACACATCTTCGCCTGGACCCCCTGGTGGTCGCGGTCTGCATGATTGGCACGGCGTAAGACTATGCCGGTGGTAAGTCTCCGCTAAAGATGTGCCAGGCGAGTCGGGGAAACATTGGACTTTTGTCAGGGGTCCGCTATGCATCCCCCGGATTCCCCGGTTTGGCTCTCCACCATTTTGGCCCCGCCAAGTCATCAAACCAGTGGCAGGAGAGATGGTCATCTACTGTGCACCGCATACTGGAACGAGTCTCCCGCCATCGAATCTGCAGTACTCCGTAAGTGGTCCCACATTCGACATACGGAGTCCTGCTATGCCGTTTGCGCTTGCCTCACCCCGCCGTGGGCGAACGCTCTGGACTCCGAGTCTCCCTCTTATCGTGTGGGGCTTTCGGGTCAAGGTGAGCATTCATTCCACGGTGTAACTTTCACCGCAGTATCTCGTTGTGATGGATCCAGTTCCAAGACCACAGCTCTCGCCACGAAAGAAATTGCTTTATGTCAAGGAGCCTTGTTGGCAATGTACAGGAGCTGAAGCGATCTCGACCGACATGGAAGAGCAACCATGCACATCAGTCGTGACATCGCAGGTCTCGGCACTGTCAGCACGGACAAGACATACTTCGACGGCACGGTAGCACAATTCCGGGGGATACCTTATGGTGCTGTCACGCGGCGATTCCAAAGACCAACGATTGTGGACGAGTGGCCTACGAAGGCTCTCGACGCCTGCCAATTCGGGTCCGTATGCCGTCCTGCTACGTCTTTCGTTTGTTCCATGTAGACCCTATTTGTGCTAGAAGATCAGTTACCTCCAGTGCTTACATAGTCACGACAGCCCAGTCTCACCCACACCGGCCCTTGCGGCCACTCTGAACCTCGTTGGCGCCACCCTTGAAGCCGAAGACCCTATTCCTCCTGCCGACGAATTCCTGTGTCTCAACCTTAACATCACAGCACCCACGAACAACGATGCCGCCAAGAAACTCCCCGTCCTCGTCTTCATCCATGGCGGTGCGAACTGCATGGGCGCCGGGTCTACAGCCGGATATAAGGGCGCTCCTCTCGTCCATATGTCCTTGGGCATGGGCCAGCCAATCGTGGTGGTCACCATGAACTTCAGACTGGGGGCTTTTGGATTCTTGGCGTCGGCTGATCTCGAGGAGGATAATCGGGCAGCCGGCGATCGCGGCGTCGGCAACTATGGGATCCACGATCAGATTGTGGCGCTGCAGTGGGTGAAGAGGTATATTGGTGCATTTGGCGGCGACCCAGGGCAGGTGACGGTGGTTGGCCAGAGTGCTGGTGGAAGTGAGTACCTTGGTTTCTTGATTTCCGCGGATCCCGTCCTGACTTTGCGCTATTTACTGACTTGGAGAGCAGGTGATATTCATATTCAGATGCTATCGCGCTGGGCTTCGCGCGAGCAATTGTTCAGCCAGGCGGTGATCATGTCGGGCAACGCCGTGCTCACCACTCGTAGCCTCGAGCACCAAGAAGGCATATACCAGAAGTTTCTTGCACACCTGCAGATTCCCTCCGATATCGCTGCATCGGACAAAGTCCAGCGTCTGCGCGATGTCCCAGTGAATGAGCTGTTGAACGCATACATCGCCACTGGATCGCCGCTACCGAATTGGCAAGCCACAGTCGATGGGTTCCTCCTCGATGATCTTCCCCGATCGTCGACGATAGGAGACCAGCAGTACGACACGTATGTCCGCAGAATCATCATTGGTGACTGTGAAAAAGAAGTAAGCTCTCCTTCCGAATCTGCATTTCCTCACCTCCTGGCCGCGTCTGACCTCTGCGACAGGGAATCATCTGGGCCCCACGTATCGCCAAACTCGGCTGGACACCCGACAAGATCCGCGCCTTGCTCTCGTCTTGTTTCCCTGCCGAAGTCGTCGACCGTATGACCTCGTCCTACAACCTCTCGGACTTCTCGCCCGAGCAAGCAGTGGCCATCCTGGAACCGTTCTGCAACGATGCAGAGTTCGGCCGCGATATCCACGCGATTGCAAAGTCTTTCAGCGCCGGCGCCGGGAAGGCGTTGTACTACCACATGCGCTATGGCAATCCATTCCCGGGCCCGTTCCAGAACCTGGCACACCACGCCGTGGACTTGCTTTTTCTCTTCCAGACATACAACCACCTCTTGCCGGACAAGCTGGCAGAAGCAGCACAGCAGATGGGACGGCACTGGATAAACTTCCTCAACGGCGGCGATCCATGGCCTGCCTACAGTGAGGGAGAGAGCTCCATGTGCTATGGACCAGAGGAGGTGGCGTTGTTGGGTCGGAAAGAGGATGACATGGGCAGATATGAGCGGTGGGAAAACTTAGGCGGCACGGATGAGTGGCCCAGGTGCAGTATGATCATTCGCGGGGAGGTTGCTTCGCTGGTGTGATAGCGAGTGGAAAGGACCTTGGCACTTTGCTGACAGCGACCGTGAGATCCCAAGACTATTCCGGCCATAGCCACCAGACGTCAACATATTTATTGGATCTGAGTTTGCCAGGACACAGAAGCACAGCGCTCCTACCAAGTTATGTACTTCGTACTCCGACATGTCAGCAAAGAAACCTGCTTTCCGAGCATCAAGCCGCCGCTACGGAGTATTTAGAGCAACAAGGATTGGGCGTAGGGCTCTTCTGAGACGTACCCATCCCCAGATCTGGCAATCTTGAGCCTCGGATCCAACTGGAGGCCTGAAAAAGTCTTTCTCCTTCCGGTATAGCGGCCCGTTGGGTTGCTTACTGTGTAGCCCCTATTCACGGTCCCCGTCCTTTGACACCCGCACCACCCGGTGCGCTGGGAGCCAAGCGTAAGGCGCTCTACTCCGGACTTAACCTTGGAATTAGCATCCCGTAGCCGATGTACAATATCTTTAATGAAGCTCCCAAGGCCACAATGCATGCTTCCTGCGAGCCTATTGCAACTGTACTCTGCTTGCACAGGGTAGCCACCCTCGCGTTCTCTCTTTGAACCACTCTCGTTTTGTGGGCACTCATTCATGGATCGTTCGCCGCCCGGAAAACCATCACAGTTTCAATTACCGTACGGATCATTGAGCCAACATGGATTTCAGTTTCAGAACCAGATCCCTCTCCAGGGCCGAAAGCAACCGCGACCTCGGTACAATTCCCTACCTGGAGAGGACGACATACACAACGAAGGCAAACAAGGACCACCGATCACGGCGACAAGAGATACGGAACGGCACAGCGGCGGCAAGAGGGTCATCTTCGCTTCCCTCGCGCTGATTGTGGTGCCAATGTTAGGTCTCGCGGGCCTGCTGCTCGGTTTGGTGCTGGCCAACGATGTCGAAAAGCCCGCGGACAGGTCGTCGGGCACCTTGACCTTGAATTTGAGATCCGAGTTTGATGATGACGCCTACTATGTGGACTTCAATCCTACCACGCTCGTTACAATCGCGTCTTGGTCATCTACAGTTGCGCCCTTACTGGCGGTGTGCGCAATGATCCTGGTGTCTTTCCCGATTGCTCAGTCACTGAAGGCAAACTCGCAAATGGCCGGGTCTGAGCTGCCCACTCCCTGCCAGTTCGCATTACTCCTAGACTGTCTTTCCGCTGGCATCACTCCGCTGTGGAACGCGCTTTCATACTGGCGTTGGCCTCAGAAGGAAGGAGCCATGGCTTCGAATGTGCGCAATGCTTTGACGGTCCTGGCGATATTTATGGTCCTGGGATACACGATCGCTGGGGTAGATACTTGGCTGCATTTGGTCATGGAAGCAGTCAATGTAGAACTGGTTGACGTCCAGCCCCCGTCTCAAGCCCTCGGCCGCGGGCTTCCTGATGGCCCATGCTCCAACCCGACAGCCGCTGATTTCGACGCAGGCGATTGTATCATCAGACTCGGCGCAACGAGTGTATTCCTCACGGGCGCGAACGAAGCGGCAAGGGTTATGAGTAACACGTCCACCACCAACGCCGTCTACGACATGTATATTGACGACACACACTTCGCCTACCTCGGCCCTTCCATCATTCCTTCGAACCTCGACTACCGGGCAGAATCTCTGGCAATTCATACGGAGTGCAGGCAAATGGGCAAGCAATGCAACCTTGGGGTCAACCAGTCCGGCACATCAGAGCCGTTCCACTGCACGGACGCATTCTACGGTGATTTGGCACAACCGATCATCAATGGTGATGATACGGACGGTGTTACGGGTCTTGCTTTTCGCTCTGCCGGCATTGTGTTCTTTCGGGACCCTGGTCTCACTCAGCTGGCAAACAAGTCTACAGAGACGGAGAGCTTCCTGACACGTCCAAGCAATCCACAGCATCTCGCTGCTTGGGCAAAGGTTGAATTGGGCGCCACAACTCTGCAAACCGCCGATGGTAATGTGGTCACACCGACACACGGCGGCACCAGTTGGCTCCTCAATTGCTCTGCGACCGCCTACGACATCACCTATAGTTTCGTCAATGGCAGTCTTCGGCACGCGAGGGCCGAGGTGGCAAACGGCTCTGTGGGGACTATTCTTGCCGCTGGCAACTACTATGGGTTCGGCAAAGTGGCACTAGAAACTGCGGCGTACTCGGCAAGTCAGTACAACAACACTGCGCAGATGGCCGATGCGTGGGCGAGGGCATACTCCAGAACCGCCATGGCACTGGGCTCCGGCATCATGACGGCAAGGGCCGACTTGGACGAACAAATGCGCAGCACGAGGCTGGTCTCCAGAGTGCCCAAAGCTCCCCTATACACGCTTGTTGCCTTGAATACTGTTTACGCGGTCCTCGGATTTGTCCTCGCCTGGCTAGCACTAAGCTCCAATCCGTCCGAGACAAATGAGTTGCGAGAGAAGCTGAGCACGGCAGGCCTTGTTGCCTTTTGCTTTGAAGGTGACAGAGCTGATAAACGCGTGGACAAGAAGCGGGAGATGTTTGCTGAGTACGAAGGTGCCCCTTCCAGTAGGGTTGGAGTTGAGGAGAGTACCTACCACGGAGGATACGTCTTCAGGTTGAGATACGGGCCGCACAAGGCCGTGCCGGACCATTTGTCTGCTGATGGACAATGAGAGACGTATGTCTGTCGTTTGACGGTGCTTACGACCCATAATAATATGCGCCATGTCTTTCACAAATGCTTGTTTGCCTGCCGTGCCTTTTCATTAATATTTCTTTGTCTTGCCGCGCCGTGCCCCTTTCGGCTCAGCCTCGTGTGTTCCCTGTGCGCCTGGGTGTGTATAGATAGTCCACTCTATCAACTGTTCATGCTCTGCCTGATAAGCATACTCCCATAGCTTGCCGTGTAGAGAGAATGTGTCTCTCCTTGTTGTATCTGCGCTCCATTCCCCGTGCTTGTGACGTTCTCTGCGGCCCCGTCTCTCGCGATGCTCTCCCGACTGCGCTCTGTCACCAAGAGCTGTCCATACCGCGAACAACACCTCCGCGAGTCGCTTAGTCGTCTGTTGATGATGTGATTGAAGCAGTTGCCACCTCTTGCCAAGCAACCACGTCCCTTCTCCCACATTGTTGTCCTGATCTGTCGCTTTTTGCCCCGTAGCCGCAGCCGTAATCTTCTCATTGTCTCTGCAGACAGAGTCGTTCCCCTGCCTGTAGCAGCCTCCTTATGCTCATACACACGGAGCAACTTCCTCGTTCGTTTGTTCCTTCCTCCGCCAAACAATGGATCTTTCCCCAGACGAAGAGGAAATGTGCAACCTCTTGATCAAAGACGTCTGGACCGACCCCAAACATACCCTCGGCGGTATGCCCACAGAGATTCTCCAGCGTATTCTCGTACTCCTCTTCGCCCAGTTCGTCATCCGTCCTCGAGATCCGCTTCGTCCTTCCCCCCAACGCCCTAGGCACCAATACATGGCCGTGTTCTTGGTCTGTCGACGATTCAAAGAGGTGGCAGAGCAGGTATTCATACAGAACTTTTGTCTTCGGATCCCTGGTCGCCTTAATCAGTCCAACACCATGGTCCCGGCGGCCCTGCCACCATCCCTCGCGGCGAAACTCTCCGCTAACCTAAGATACCTCGAAATGCCCCTCATGGCGGTTGCAAGTCTTCGATGGGACGGTGTGCTCAGAGGCTTCTCTGGGCTACGAGAGCTTTGCATCCGACCTTTCGCCATCCAAGTCCCAGGCCCGGCTGACCTACCAGATGAATGGGATGTCAGGGGGCCGCTACCACCCTCGCTACGAGCGCCATTACAGGCACTTAGGTTTTCATTTGGACTACCACACTCCTGGCCTGGGGATGTCAGCTGGCGCCGGCTGCTGTTACCAGTATCTAACGAGCTCCTGCACTTCGGCTTGGCGGTCAGAAAGCTCAAGAGTCGCCGACTTGCACGCCATATCCCTGTACCAAATCTCCTGCCAATCACACACCCTGACTATGCTTGCCGAACTGCAGAGTACAAGCGCTCGTACTGGCTTGCGATCTACATACTCGAGTGGATGATGGATCTGCGACGTCACGTCTTCCTCAGCGTTCAAGGCGATGAGCCAGAAACGCACTGGGTCTACGCCCACGTAGCTAATGGGCACATCGATTTCCTGAGGATCTTTTACTCCACGCTGCTGGTTATGTGGCAAGAGGGCGATCCAAACGGCCTGCCCGCTTTGAGAACAACCCTTCTTGAGCGCCAGACAATGGGTGTGGGGCCTTTGAAAATCAAGCTGGCTATACAATTGTTCATCCAGCGCCCTGAGGAGGACAAGGTACACCTTTGTGTAAGTACAGCGTCGAGCTCCAGAACGATGGCTAGCGTCACAAAGGAGATTACTAATGCTGTCATAGGAAATCGAATGGGACCTTCTCAAAGAATGGTACTGGGACGTGCCTGTTAGTCAACCCTACGTGCCCGAGCCTCGAGATCAAGCTGCATTTGACCAGCTTCTGGGGCGCGCAGTAGACATAGAGTGGGTTTAGAGCAACCAATCACGCTGAACGATATGGTGAGCGGCATTCTTCGAGCATTGGGCAGCGTAGATTAGCATGGCGTGGCACTAGGTTGTCTGGCAGCTCGAGCTGCACAACGGGAAGTGCAAGGACAAGGCAGGACACAGGCGCTGGCCCAGCTTGGCTAGCATACGGGGACTTGCAACTCAAGCACACGGTAAAATACTGCAATTAGTGCAGGCAGACCGAGAAGAAGGCCTTCAGATGCTGTACATGGTAGTGCAGAAGATAGGTCAAGAACCGCATCAGAATGCATATTACTCCTCACAGTTCTCCCAGTCGCTGGGTGAAACCGTGTCGCCATTCCCATAGTAGGAAACAAACACGCAACGTAAGATGCAAAGCCTAAACTGAGTCTATATATTTTTTGAAGCAGCACGTTTCACCGCAATCGACCATAGGATGTGGAAAACAGGGCTTCCCGTTCGCTCAGCCGTACTTAAGCCACATGCCGGTCAGTTAGTACTAAGGTGGGTGACCACTTGGGAATCCTGGCTGTTGATTGTCTTTTTGGTTCTGCAATTCTCCTTTGAAGATTGAGAGTCGAGATGAAGTGTAGAGAAGTTGTTGTATGAATTTTTGGGCCACGATGGATGCAGCGTCCCCTGTTCCAACAAGCGAAGAGCTTAGCATAGCCATCCGGCGGCCTGTATGCGACTATGATGCCATCGTGGGGGAGTCAGGCAGGTGTTGGAGAGGGTCCTCCTTCTCTAACAAAATTGGGTTGCCTGTGTCCTTTTTACGGCCTGTATCTGCTTTGGCGAAGTAGGCAACCGTCGCTACTACCAGATGAAAGCACTCAACGACTATCAGGTTCCGAATATGTTCTGAGCAGTGGTCTAATGCGAAGGACGTTCCCCAAGTCTTATACCCCCAGCAACACGAGTAGAATCTACCCCGCACCTCGCATGTCCTTACTGCTCGGCGCCAATAGCAATGCCAACGGTGCGAGCTCATGCGATGCTGACTCAGTATTCCGCATGCTGGCGAGACCTGGATGGAGGAACATCACGCGAGCGAAGACGAGACGACCGCTCCGGCCGCCGCGCTGGTAATCTCCTTCCTATCTGATTGTCTTCCCCTGTAGACGGGAATGAGACTGGGACAGTGACATCCGACATACCGACCGCCACGACATGTATGAAGCAGCTTCCTGAAAAGAGATCCAGCTACTCCGGCCAAGATGCCCATCGTCGGCAAGGACACGCCAGAGAGCGTGTCGATACCGACGGCCACGTTGAGGAAACTCTCCGGGTCGCGAGTAGATCCTTACACGCGCTACGTTGCCTACAGGCTATTCAAGGACCTCAATATACCCTCCCAAGGCGGGCGAAATATAAATTCAGCTCTGTCCAACCTTCCTGTCCATCTATCAGTGGCGCCGGATGAGAAATTGTCCTTTGGCTGGGGTCTATCGAATGTGATTCGCGACAAGGCTGTCCATGAAGGATCGTATGAGCATTTGGCCATGCTGATAGCGCTGGGCGAGACCTTCCGTGAGCCTGTGAGTCGTCTCTTTTGTCGATGAAGGAGTGTGCTATTGTCGTCGCCTTTCCAGCGCAATTGCTCATGAAGAATACGCAGTACGGAGCCAAAGTGCTTATGGAACTGGCACGTGCAGCAGCAGATCCTGAAGACGTGACGCCTCACTTCTCTCAATGGAGAGCTGCGTTGCATGGGTGCAACGGCATCTTTGCCGCCTCGGACTTTGGCCTCCTGGTCGAGAATTATCTCCAACTGGATCCCTACCCTGTCAGCATCCCCGTCGGTATGAGCGCCGAAACTGTCTTTCCGGCAAGCGCCGTCGCCAGGGCTTTGCAAGCGTTGATGAGCGTCACGCGTGGGGACCAGAAGCAGGTGACTTTCACCGGCAGTGGTATCATCTCCTGGTTCGGGGCAATTGCCGAGTGGCTCTGCGATCTTCGCATAGGGGTCTACGACTCGGCTGGCAAGGAACTACGCATAACTCACCCGGATCAAGAACCGCAAGTCAACCTGGTATACGTGACAGAGGCGGGCCTCAGGGCAACCTTCGAACCGCCGCAGCAGAACGGGGTAAGCCATGCGCAAATGTCTCTGGTCGACCAAACGTACTCTCCTGTCCTCCACACCATGCGGATCGGCGGACGGGTTGCGTGGCAATCACTGCTGCCGCGAGTTTTCGGCAAGAGTTTTCATTATCTCGACCATGACCACTCCAAAGCCTTTGGGACGATGATTGGCAGTGCGGCCAGGATGTTCGAGGGTCTAGCGCACGGCAAGGGCCACGAGGAGCACGGCCAGCTGGTGTCCATCCAGAACCAGAGCAACACCGCTTCTTACGGGGCTGGACTGATCCAGACGATCACCGACTGGCTACCGGAGCTCAGGCGCTTCCAGGGCCGCATGGAACGCTCCCTGAAGCTGTCCCATGACGAGGCCTCCACTTCGTACGTTGAAAGCCTGAGCAAGATACGCAAGGCCTGCCATTGTGGCATCTGCACGTCCAAGGATGAAGTCGGCGCGGACAAAGAAGGTCATCCGCCAGACCACGGGTACTGTCTTGCGGTCTTGGTTGAGACAATCATATCGTTGGGCCTGGCTCTGGCACGAATGGCCGTCACTGCGCGGTTCTTCCCCACACGCGCCGGCATCTATAGCTTCTACCAGAGCCAAGTGGCGAGGAGGATGGAGGCGCGAGGCCTGCACTGGACGATGCACTTCAAACTCGTGTACGGCAATGTGTGGAACGCTACCAACGCTGTCCGCCTGGCGACCTCGGTGCAGATCTTCACCGGGTCGAGGCCCCAGAAGGACCTCCCGAGTAACCTGGTCGCTTTGTCCCATGAGGGTTGCTGCGCGTATTTCATGGACCTGGAGAGAACCATGAAGTCGACGTCGGACTGTCCGCAGGTGCGCCTCGTTCGTGTTGTCCCGGGCGGAATCAACGTGAGTGAGAAGGTATTCGACCGTGCTGCCATGGGACCAGTAAAGGATGCCGAACCAGATGAGCCATGGGAGGAGGTACGTTAAGCTCGTGGCCAAGAGACTTTTGTCGATGTTCGTTGACACAGTCATCGTTGTCGTTGTTGTTGTCAAGTCCTCGACTCACGTGCTGACAAGATTTACAGGTCAAATACGATCATTTGCCGCAGCCCTTGTTCTTAAAGTGAGAGTGGCTCACAGTGGCGGCAGGAATTCAGACTGTATGTTAACATCTCAGATTTGCTCGCGTCCTCGAGGGGATAAACGGTGCAGCGGAGACGGCTTGTTCACGGACCAAGGGAGATATTTGTTCTCGACGGGGTTTTACTGTGGTAATTAGAGCACGAAGAGCTCCGGAAGCTTCGACTTCAGGTGGTGGGCATAACCCAGATCTCAGCCCTGCTTTGGCGTTAGTGAAGGTAATTACACTTACGAGAACACGAGTTTATATTGTCCTGATCGAACCAGACCGGAGATGGTTCGGTTGTCGTAGCAGGGAGGCACCAATTTTGTTTCGTTAAGGACATGGTGCAACCGGTAGTCGGTAGTCATTGGCCAGGGGGTCCCCGTGGAGCTTGTTCCGGGCGGCCGAAGAAGCACCCAAACCGTTACTGCGAGGCTGATCGCGGCTTCTTCCTGAGTCACCGCGCGTTTGATTCGTGTGTGCCATATCCGAGCATGTCCGACGAGGGGCTCCAAGCAACCACAAGCTCCATTCACCCAGCCATTGGCGCCACGGCCCAATGACGAAATTGTGCGGACGCTGCTTTGCTGCGTGGGCTTCTTTGCCGGCCAGAAGCTCCTCGACGTGTTGCTGATAAAGGCAACATACTGTGTAGTCCCGCACAGCAGGTCGAACCTCAGTCCACCCAACGCCGTACGACACGGCAGATTGTGTGTCTCTCAGTCTTTGCTCTCTTTCTCGGTGCCATGGCCGCCTCGGCGCTCCTGAAGAGCCGATGCAGGCGAGCTAGCTATCTCAACGTAAATGAAACAGCTCTCGGACTCATCACTGGCCCTGCAAGCTAACAACCACGGCAGAAACTGGCCAAGGCAGAGGATCTGATTGACCTCTTTCCCCATGGCTCGTATATTGGCTGGTCCGGCTTCACGGGCGTCGGATATCCCAAGTACTTCCGCCTGAACCCGTCAAACACCACAGCTGACGAGCTCTCAGAAAGGTACCCACAGCACTGGCCGACCACGTAGAGAAGAACGGCCTGCAAGGATCTCTCAAGTTCAATCTATTTGTCGGCGCTTCAAGCGGAGCAGAGACGGAGAACCGATGGGCGAGACTCAACATGATCGAACGGCGGTCGCCGCATCAGGTGGGCAAGGAAATCGCAAAGGGCATCAACAACGGCAACATCAAATTCTTCGACAAGCATCTCAGCATGTTCCCCGTGGATCTCATGTACGGGTACTACACCAAGAACAAGGCGAACAACAGACTGGACGTGGCCATTGTCGAGGCCAGCGCCATCACCGAGGATGGAGGCATCATCCCGGGTGCGAGCGTCGGTGCCAGTCCTGAGATCATCCAGATGGCAGACAAGGTTCGGAGGAGATGCCCCCAACTTAGAGTCACTGAGCAAGGCTGACTCACGTATGTGCTTGGATGCAGATCATCATCGAAGTCAACACCGCTGCGCCCAGCTTCGAGGGCCTGCACGACATCACCATGACTGATTTGCCGCCGCGGAGAAAGGTACGCGAGCTCAACATTGCGGGTGTCAACCCGATTCAAATTCATGGCTGACGAGAACCAACATCAAAGCCGTACCTCATCATGTCGCCAGAAGACCGCATCGGCACACCACATATTCCAGTCGACCCGGAACGCGTCGTCGCCATCGTCGAGTCCGACTACCCAGATCAAACGACCGAGAACGCTCCAGAGGACGAGTCATCCCGCGCAATCGCCCGCAATCTGATCGAGTTCTTGGAACATGAAGTCAAGCAAGATCGACTGCCGAAGAACCTGCTGCCCCTACAGTCTGGGATAGGCAACATTGCCAACGCAGTGATTGGGGGTTTGGCTGTAAGTTGTTCGACCCTCGATCTTCATGGACTCCTTGACTTACCTCTTGGGCCGGTTTAGAAAGGCGGCGCCAACTTCAAGAACCTGAAGGTGTGGACCGAGGTGCTGCAGGACTCGTTTCTCGACCTCTTCGACAGCGGGAACCTCGACTTCGCGACCGCGACGTCTATCCGCTTTTCGCCGGGTGGCTTCCAACGCTTCTATGACGGGGTAAGTAAGCAAGCGAGCCGTCAGAGTGTTGTCGGGCGAGCTACGTTCCTACAGTGCTGACCCCCACCGTTCATCCACAGTGGGAGAACTACCACGCCAAGCTCCTCCTCCGGTCCCAACAGGTCTCCAACTCGCCTGAGATCATCCGCCGCTTGGGCGTGATCGGCATGAACACGCCCGTCGAGGTCGACATCTACGCCCACGCCAACAGCACCTGCGTGATGGGCTCTCGCATGCTCAACGGTCTCGGCGGCTCGGCCGATTTCCTCCGCTCGGCCAAATACTCCATCATGCACACGCCGAGCACGAGGCCATCCAAGACGGATCCCACGGGCGTGAGCTGCATTGTGCCCATGTGTACGCACGTCGACCAGACGGAACATGACTTGGATGTTGTGGTGACGGAAATCGTAAGTCCCTCGCGGCGCAGCAATTTTTGGCCTGGGTATCGATAATTATTTGGCGATGTTTCGAGCTAACGCTGGGTAACACACACAGGGTCTAGCGGACGTTCGGGGCTTGTCGCCGCGGGAGCGAGCTCGAGAGATCATCAAGCACTGCGCGCATCCAGACTATCGGCCCATCTTGCAGGATTACTTCGACAAGGCCGAGTTCGAGTGTTTGAGAAAGGGAATGGGGCATGAGCCGCACTTGCTTTTCAATACCTTTGATATGCATAAGAATCTGGTGGAAAATGGGACCATGAAGATCAAAGAGTGGAAATAGAGGAACGGGGAAAAACTCCAGCATGGCGTGAAACAAGGTCAACGCAGCGTGGACTGACGTGTTGTGTGATGGTCATTCCAGGGGCTCATTCTGAAGGATTGATCACCGTGGTTCATCTGGTGTATAGTACGCAGGCCGTTCGAGGGGTTTCTGGTCGAGCTCGTCGTGAAGAACCAAAGTTCAGTGTGATTTCACATGGTTTCCTCTGTGAAAGCGGGTGTAGTCGGCTCTCAACCATATAGTCCAGACTGTCAGCTCTGTAGGAACTCTTGCAAGAGGCAGCGGCCATATTGACGTGCACTCTACATTTCAAGCTCAAGGCTGATGAAGGCTGACCGGAGCCAAACTGGTAGAGCGGTTGACTAATCCTGTTCGATCGTTCTTTAGATGCATATTTAAATCGCGTCTGATAATCCACATCCCATAAAGGAGCGGGGTGAACAAAATCGTAAAAGGTATCCTGCCGACCGCAAGCGTAGACCGGCGTTGCACCATTGCTGATTGCTCTTGCGCCATCGGCCACCAGTGGCTCTGCGACACCACCTGATTAATCGAAGCCATACCCTGCGTTGCGGTCGAAGTGGCGTTTTCTTGACCTGTCTCAGAGGCCGGATACAACTCCAACAGACCTGGCGAAATTGCTTTGCTTGATCATTCCACCTTTGATGTTTTTAAGTACGGCCACGCCATCCATTTCTAAAGCATAGCTGAAGGACGGCATCTTGAACATGTCGAACTTGGCAGAGAGCATCAGGCGGGCCCTGAAATTGGACTCCCCATGCCCCGGAAGCCAACTGGGGATTTGTCGGCGCGGTCAAACCGACGGAGGAACTGTCTGTTGCCATCTCCCTTCGGTATCGCGATGGGCCGACGTGGGATGCAGAGAATGTTATTCCTATTCCAGCCGAGCTAGCGGATGAGAGCTCATTGCCACCAGTTCTTGAATCCTTCAAGCCCGTGCCTTCCCTAATCCCAGACATTGATACCTTGGTCGAGGACAAATTCCTCTACATCGCTTGTTGGGCATAGGCGGCATGTAGCAATATGACATGTCCGAGCCAGCCACCCCACAAAGCCTGATCTGCTCTACCCGCGGCTCTCAAATGGCCAAAGTCTCAAGGTCAGGACGAAGCATTCACTTCACAAACTCCCTCTATGGCGCTTGGGACGATCAGTCTTCCAGTGCCGAAGCTGGCGCTGGCGCCTGGAGCGCGAAACTGAAATCATTCCAGACGGCGGGCTCACCATTGACAAGAGCTCTCCCGCTCGACTCGCACTCCAAGGCACCGCGTGTGCATCAGCTTCGTCTCCAAGACCGGATGCGTCGTGTCAGTGCTCCTTGATTGATCCGTGTCAATTTGGATGAACGGTCACGGCACTGCAGCTGATTCACACTGCTATGCGAGGTCGAGTAGATTGTGAGCAACGAGGCACAGTGGGCGAACCTCAAAGATAAGTCGGCGGGCCAATATGGGAATTTGCAAGTAATTAACACGCCCGCGACGTGTAGCTATCCATGGCAGTCGCGCCTGTCCTTTTTCGTCTTTTTCAGAGTCAGCCCTCTTTTCTCACTTACCTCTCACATCTCATTCACGTTTCACTCATTCACGTTTCACTCATTCACGTTTCACTCATTCACGTTTCACTCATTCACGTTTCACTCATTCACGTTTCACTCAT